TGCAACACATTGAAACATCATCCTTCGTGGACCTCCTTGTCAGGATAATACAACTCGACGAGCAACCAGGCGGCATCGGCGTGGTCGAGGTCGGTGTCAGTTTACGGCAAACAGCCGTCTTACGATTCAATACCAACAGTGGTTATCGTCAGAACAGCTCGTGCCCCGCTTACTCGCGCTTCTCGCGCCGAACCACACTCCCGACATGCATACCGTGGTTGCGGAATTGATCAAAGGCATTATCTCAATGGCAACACCTGCGCCAGGTCCAGGGATCGCGGAACTGCATGCCGCCCCAGCGTCAAATCTGTTCGCTAGACAGCTTGCTTCAGAAGAGAGCGTCAAAACCCTTGTCGGGTATATGATGACCGAGTTCCCTGCGAAGCCGGCAGACGATCTCGACAGCGAAGATACCCTCCCCAACCGGGCCTCCTGTTCGTCTTCGGTCGTCCATTCAATAGCCATTGTTATCGAGCTCATCCGGAAAAACAACTCCAACTACTTCGAGCCATACCTCTTCCACACCCTTCGGAATCGCCTAATCACCGTCCAGCAGCAACTGACCTCGACTGCGTTAGAGGATGATGGCGGAAGAGAGACCCTTGAAAAGGCCCTTCGTGAGATGGTGGATCGGATGGGCATTGTTCATCTTGGGACGGTGTTGACAATCATTTGTGGCAAGCTGGACTCCCTCCAGCGTTTCTTGCGCTCGCCGCGCTCGTTTGTGAGACTTTCCACTCTTCTTTGATCTGTTCGGCTTATTTCAGCCCAGGACGGACCGATACAAACAACGGTTGGGGCCATCACCCCTCTTACCTTCGAGCGTTATAGAATCTGCGAATTGTTTGCGGAGCTATTGCATTGCTCCAATATGGCCTTGGTCAACCGCCCTCCAGAGTTGAACAAATTGTATGACTCTGAAGGACGGTTACAGGGTGGCTTGGCTGCGCTTGAAGATCTAGCTCGTGTCATTGCGCTCAACAACGGTGATGAACGAGATCGAGACGCTATGGGCACTTCTCAGGACGAAATCGAGCCGGCACGAGAGCTCCCAATAACTGGTATCGTCCGACCGTTCATGGATTCAGACGAGGATATGGATGAGGAACCTGGGAGTTCAGACGACGACTCTGTTACAATGGAGGAGCTCAATATGGTGGACGACCCGCCGTTTCCGATTTCTGACCCGACTGTTAGGGCCGCCTCAGAACCACCCCCATCTCCACCCCTCATCCCATCATCTTCTCCTGTCGCTATCCCCACTCCCCGCGAATCACCAACTTCCTCTCTAAAAAGTCCCGACTCCGGTATATCGGCCTCGACATCGACAACCAGTTTACGGTCGCAAAGCTCGAAACGTCTGTCCCGCCGGAGCGCAGCGCCGCCACCAGAAATACCGCCTCCAATTGGAGACCAGTTCAAACGGCGCTTTATTGATCTAAATATCTCTGCGACATTATTGGTGGGCTCTTTCTTTTTCCTTGCTCATCAGGTTATTGACCAAGTTGCAGGACTTGTTCTTCGAGTTTCCTTGGAATAATTTCCTGCACAGCTCGGTGTATGACTTGGTGCATCAGATTTTGACCGGGGACGTGGATGGTGGCCTTGGGCGAGAGCTGGCTGTTTCTCTTTTCCGCGATGCCCAGCTCATGAACCGCATTGTTGAAGGCCAGAAAATGAATGATGTCGAGTGGTATGCTTTCCCTTTCACCAGCCCTGAATTATGCTCATGTCTCCTCCAGCGCAAAGCCGAAAAGTGTGCGCCTCGGGTTCATGGGCCACTTAACACTTATTGCGGAAGACGTATTGACTGCACTCGAACGGTTTCCCGCCGACTTGAGAGAGCAAATTGCCGGTTTCGCGCCACAGCCGGACTGGGAAGAGTATGTGCAGGGGCGTTACAACGAGACAAAACGCAGGGACGCCGAGCTGCTTGGCGGGGGCAAGCCGGTGATCAGAAGCACGATGTCGGGCTCTGGAATGACGAATGGTCCGCGGTGGAAGGTGGATGAGGAGGATTCGGGAGGCGTCACTGTTTCGACAAATGCCCCAGAGAGCGGTAGTGCGCGTGGCGAGTTCAAGCGTGCTCTGACTTCGCGGCCACGGAGAGAAGGCAGCGCTGATTTTGGGCCTGCGCCGATGTTTGATGAGCAAGAGGAGGAGTCTGGGACCGTCAACAGCCATCGCTTCGATTATGTCGCCAATTCGGACAACTTTGATTCTGACGATGAGGATGATGGCGCCGGGTGGCTGGCCCAATCGACTTTTTCGCTGCGAGATCCGCCTGTGTCAAGTCGCCATTTGCAAAATTCTGAGAGGAGACCATTAGGTGCTTCTGGGTTTGATGTCAGTGCTATGTTCCGCTTTCCTCTAAGAGTACTTAATCTTGGTTAGGATGTATTTAGCCCAGGAGGCTCCTCTTCTTCCTCAGAGGACCCGTTTGCGGATGAGGCATGTTTTTCCGTGGTTAATTTTTGTCATTTCTGACGCCCTTTCAGGACGGCTTTGGACCCTTTTCAGACGCAGCGGCCTCCTCTGGCTCCGATCCATTCACATTCGCATCGTCGCCCTCCTCCGCTTTCTCAGAAGACATGGACGACTCCACGTTCGACGACAGCTTCGGCGATTTCGGCGACTTCCAGAGCGGAGATTCGGACTTTGGGCGGGCGAGTCCGCTGAACGACGGCGAGTTGACGCCCACAGCGGGCAGTTGGACGTTTACGAGCAGCAGCGGGATGAGCGATGGGAGCGCGAGCCCCAGTCCTGCCCCGCCGCTGGACCTAGAAAAAGTCTCGAAACACCTGCACTAGAGTTTCTAAAGTATATATTACACCCTGTTGTTGTACAGACTTGTCTGTAAAGCCCTTGTATCGCAGCCTTGAGGAGAGCGAATGATTCATTCAAAACACAGGCTCTAGCTTAAGAGCTGTAAGTCAAAAGTGTAACTTCAGAGTGCCTGTCAGGGGAACCCCCACTTTGGCCTCCTTTGGACTGTCTGAGTGCATCTGAGGCACATCCAACTGGTGCCCCTCAGATGATGAATGAACTAGCTTAGCTTATCTTAAGTATTCCTTGACTTGGTCAACACTTATCTTAAGCTTACAACTTAAGTAGATAGAGACCTAAGTTTCACTGCTATTATTGGGGAGCAAGCTCCCCAATTCAGCAGCTAACAAAAAAATCTCCCACACGACGTCAAGTGTGGGAGATTTTCGAGGCATTGCCGAGAAAACCCAAAAGCTGAGTGATTTCCGCCAGCTCCCCATAAGTAAGCTGAGCATCAGCTTACAAGATTCATGTTTATGTCTAGTTTAATAATATATCTTAAGATATCATGAGGAGGGATAAGGCCGCAAGCGGCAGGTGCCGAATAAGCCAAGGAAGACCGTGGCCAGCACCACGTGATATGACGTGGCTCGTCCCAAAAGGGTTATAGAAATGCACAGCCATTCCCGATATGGGGGGGGCTGGTTTCAACATGATTCTATAGAGGCCAAACCTTAGGTTCGGCAATAAGATCTTGTTTCAAATACTAAAAATGGTGGTCTATATCTTAAGTCAAGTTAACCCCTCAAAGAATAACAATAAGGTATCTGAAAAAAAAAATTATATATTGTGTCACATGTCACACCTATATGATGATATAAACTGTTTTGGCATGTGATAAATATTTTTGGTATTTTTTTACTTTGTCTGACACTTCTGGCACCTATAGTTTCCAAATAAAAAAATAGTTCAAATTCCAATTTTGTATATGAGCTCATGCCAAAATTGCTATTTGAATTGAGTAAAATGTTGTTGAGATACTACATCTACTGGGTGGCTGTGCTGGCTGATTAATGAATTGTTACTGATGAAAGACTTGACTGACCATTATATCTCCTGCTTGATATTACGCAAGATTTTAATTATACCAGATAGAGTAGTTATAAGTTGTTGTTTATTACACCTACCACCTAATTTTTTCTTGATTTCTGTCAGGGGAACCTCCCTTTCGGCCCCTCGGAGACGATTCCGATTCCGGTCCGACTCCGGTTCCGACTCCGGCGATCGCATCACCGCCTCCGTCAGGCGCATCGCCGCCCCCGCCTGGCGATCCCCCTGGGACCTGGCCTGCGACATGGCGCAGGCATACTGCACGGAGCAACGATCAACCTTGGCGCGTCAAGAGCGCAGTATATAGTTCCGCTACCTAGCAGGCGGACCCTTAGAGTTTCTTCTCTTTGGATCCTCCCCTGCTAGGTCAGCCTCACTTGTATTTGCTTACTTCTATTCACTCTTTGGATCCTCCCCTGCTAGGACCTTGATCTCAGGCCTCCGGGGTTGCCCTTACAATTTCCTATAGTATCAATCAATTTTCCAAAAATGATATCATCATATTTAGGAAATTAACTAGAAAAGAACAATCTTATTAGAGTAAGGTAGGCGACGTTTGATGTCATCGAGCGTTACTGATGTGACTGATCTGCACAGCCACACGCGAAAATTTCAGACGTTTTTTGACCAAGTGGTAGTTGAGCAAGAGAAGGCTATATAAACATTTTCATGTTTTTTGCGCTACAGATAGTATGAGTTTCGATAACTTAAGCCTGTGCTGGACCCAGTTTCCAAGCTGGCCACGACATCTTAGCCTCCTGCAAGTCTTCTGCATACGATGGCGGCAAGGTTCGATGCCCACGATACTTTTTTGTTGGTCCACGCAGCCTCCGCTCCATTAAGCCCATGGAAGTAAGCATCACCAAAGCGTGAGGAACGCGTTGCAAACCGTCGCATTGATTCAAGTGGCACTGACGCGACAGCCTGCAGAAGATTGGCACGAAGATTGTCTTCAGAGGTTGACTCGGGGAACATCCGGTATATCCGCTTGGCGTAGCCCCAACACTGCTCGATAAAATTCAGCTCTGGATGGAATTTGGGGGAAAAAAGAACGTGATAGCCACATTTCTCGCAATGTTCTTCTAAGATTGATTTCTGATTCTTGAAATCTGGCTCCGAGTACATCATTTTTCGTAGACAGCATTTCGTGTTGGTTGTGGTGCGGCATTTGAATGCACCGCTTCCACCGCACTGCACAAAATATTTCTTCTTGGTGGCGGGGTTGATTGAATCGGGGTCTGGCAGATCGTGACCTTTTGCGCGTCGTTCCTGAACCAGAACTTTGAGTCCTTTAAATGTGGTGCCATCGGTTTGATAGAGGTTCTGGGCTGAGCCGTCCCGGAATGTGGCATCGCGCATGTGGACACAAACCCCATTGGTTTTGTTGAACTTAGTAGACGGTCCTAGAGTCATGCCAAGGGCACTGAGAGCATCCGGAGATCGAGCCGTGTGGATAGTCGCATTGTCGTATGCAAAAACATGGCGGTCTTCTGGGTAATCATGGTCAAGAATGTCCATAGCGCGGGTGACTTGGGCCAGAATTGTTTCTGTGGTTTGATATCCCTCGCGTTTCTTACCCGGCTTCAAGAGAACCCGAGCATCATCATGTTCACTTTGCTGGAAGTGAGAATAAGAACAAGAGCATATGAAGTGTACTCACCCAAGGTCATTCGGCTTCTTGGATCGCAACCAGCCATATTCAGGTGACACAAAATCACCAATCATATCGCTCGCTCCCTCTCCTTTTGCTTTGATCTTCGCCGTCTCAGACTCGTGAACCCAGCGCAGCGTACGTCGATCGTTCGCATAGAAAATTGATTCATCTTGACGCCAAATTGTGTAGGGTCGACAATCGTTGTCAGAGCCCATGAATAGCCGCAGTCGACACTCGTGGTCAACCTCTTCAAACGTCGCATCTGCTTGCCAGTGTCTCGCACGGGCCTCATAGAACATCCACCGAGGCAGGAAGACATTCTTGCGATAATCAACAACATCTGCTCGTTCGTGCCCATCCAAGTACATTCCTTTGGGCTCTTTCTTCCAACGATACCCCATTTTCTTCATCCATCGTTGGGCGGTGCAGACAGAGATGTTGCGTTTGACACGGAGGCGGGCTTAAAACTCAGGGGTGCGTACATAGCGTGCAATTTGGTTTGCAGAGACCCATTTACCCAGACTTTGCAGATGGAGATGGATTGCGCCAGCAATGTCTTCGTCAGAAAGCATCGAGGAGCTGAAGCGGCCGTATTTGTGTTGAGGTATGTTGGTCTTGTCTTCACAAAATGCAATTGACCACTCTCGCAGTTTACACGCAAACCATGTCTTCATTCCCTTCTTCCCACTCGCCATCGCAATAACCTCAGACTGGACTGTCTAGCCTTGAAACCCAACACCACGATAGAGCTGCAAAAACCGGACCATTGCCTCCAAACGTGCCTGCAAAACAAGGTCCAGCTTAGCCCGAATACGACCATGTCCAGTTTTGCGATGTGGACGCAGCTTTTCGTGGAGGTTTTTGATAGCTTCCTCGACAGATTCATTCGATGGGATGCGTGCAGGAATACGACGAGCATCGACTCGATTGGGCAACGTGAAACCATTTGGTAGATGTGGATCGCAAAACTTGGTGTGCAGCAGGAACAGAGGATTCGATGGGTGGGGAGAATCGGGAGATTAACGGTGGGATCATTCTGTGCGGCTGTTCATGGGGCAGCGTCCGAGCTGCTGGGTCCCAAGGCTCGTCTTCATCAAGTCCTTCCTCCGCACGCTCTTCAGCTGACATTTCCAGTGGCTCCGTCGTGATCTCACTGCCAGCGAGCTCATCTTCTTCCCCGCTTCCACCATCATCGTCATCATCATCGACCTCTTCGACCCAAGCTCTCTTTCTACATTGCTGTTGGATCGCTGGTTGCGACAAGCTTTCCGACACTGGAACCTCAACCACTGGTGGTATCGAGTCTTCCTGGGCAACAACCTCCTCGACTTCGACTCCATTCATCTCCAGCTCCCTTCCCATGCCAAGACCATCATCTTCCCGTTCGATGGACATCTCGACGTCTGAATCGTCACTAATGACGATGATCTCTTGCATTTCACGCTCGTCAACATGAGCCTGAGCTTTCTGGAATGCAGTAAACAGGTCGCCGTTCCGTAGGCCCATGGCTGTATTCTCACGTGCTTCTCGTGCAGTTTGTTCCTTTTCTGCCTTATTCCGTTCTTGCTGACGTCGTTTGGATAGTTTCTTTCCAATCTTTGTACTGTGGTACTGCCCTCGTCGCTGGGGACCTGCTGTGATGTGGATGGCTGGACGAGGGAGGTTGGTGGCAACAACTGGTCTGCCTGGTTGGAGCAAACAGCCAGTGAGTGGCAGCTGATTGTCACAGAGCTGAAGCCAACGAAGGAGGGTGTCCGAGCTGGTGGGGTGTGGAACATCATCTTCTTGCTCAATTTCCAGTGGCAAGTCGTTGTCTGAATCAGAATCCAAGTCGGACACCTCAGTTGGTAGATTGTGTAGAATAGGAAATGCATTCTCTTCAGTTTCTTCATCGCTACAATTATCCAGCTTGCGTCGCCATAATAAGGCCCAGTCAGCTTAAGCAGAAGACCGTAAAAAACACACCTTGGCTTTTTTCTGAGCATGAATACCCAGATTCAATGCTCTTTTACCCCCAACTTTGCGTGGCATGCTTCTGTGAGAGTCTGGTTGGACTGTCGAGGACACAATAGTCAGCCGGGACCGTAGAAAATGTGGCAAGGTATGATCACGTGTGCGTGCCGGGATATCACGTGCCGTGACATGTCACACATTTTAGCAGCGCGGAATTTTTCCAGACTTTTTTAGGATGTACTCAGCTACAAAAGAAAAAAAATCTCAGACACTTTCCAAAAAAGGAAGTTATAAGTTGACATTGAGGGCAGATACAAAAAAATTACAACCGAGAGTTTCTTGAGAGCTATAAACCCTTCAGATTCTCGGTTTTACATTTGCCAAAAGTGTGCCCATCGAAGTGAAGTAGGCTTGCCATCAACCGCCATCACATCAATCCCATCACTCGATGACATCAAACGTCGCCTACTTAGAATAACCAGTTACAATTCCAAGCTAAATATAAAATAGAGACAGAGAGGCGTAGGCAAGTGTGTGTGGATCTACCTGCACCACTGCTCAGGCCTTCTGCGCTCTACAACAGCAGTTGCAGACAACCAGTATATAGTTGGTGTCTTAGCAGACAGACCCCTAGGCCCTGCTCGGTGTCACCGGCTTCGAACCCGGACTCACTTACAATCAGCCCAGATGGCAATGGGGGCGGATGCCACTGAATCCAGAGCCAGATGGGTGTTCGGTGGCGCCTAGCATCTGGGTTTGTCACGCGGGCCATCGATCTTCTTCCCCTCTTTTCCTTCCTCCTCCTCCATGAGCGAATCTTCGAGCAAGCAGCGCAAGGAGCACTGCTCGTGGCGCGATGCCGACGACATGGCGCTCATCAACACACTCCGCCACCCTGTATACCTGGTCTTTTGCAAAAGATGTGGGCCACTGCCCACCAGTCTAATGCAAAAGATGTGGGCAATTGCTCACAAGTCACAAGCCTGTAATGAAAATACTAGATTAAAGAGCCAAATTGATAGCTATGACTAAGCTAATGCCATATATGGTAATAGAAGTCACTATTTCTTCAGGCCGATGATTCGGTGTATAATTTGGAACAGTTTATAATACAGGGCAAGGGAATTGATGTAATCACATGTCACATTGATGGAACAGAGCCTAATAATCAAATTAATTGATCTTCATCAAAAATGGTTCCACATCAAAAACATTATATAAAAGGCATTCATCCCAACACCTAGAAGGTGCTAGAAAGCCCTAAAATAATTAATTATTATTGCAATACTTGTGACATTTGTGACTTTAGGGCTGTTACCCACATCTTTTGCATTACATCCATAGGCAGTAGCCCACATCTTTTGCATAGAAGTAGCTATATCAGCTGACTCTGCACAAACAAGGCAGCCTTCCAGACAGACAGCGGCTGGAAGCCGCAGGTCTGGCAGCTCTGTGCGGCGGCGGCCCTTGCTGCCTCTCCTGGCGCTACGAAGACAGCCGCCAAGTGTCAAGACCATTACGGCGGGCTCAAAAGCCTGTTCAACGAGGCCCGCAAGCTACGTGGCGCCTCGGGATTTGGGTGGGACAATGGGCTAAAAAACTGTAACGGCGACGGACGATGTCTGGATGGATTACATCATAAATAAGGTGCGTGGCCGTTGATTATGTGCTTGATTCATTGCTGACTACCCTCCAGAAAAATGGCTGGGCCACAAAATGGCAAAAAAAGCCTTTCCCCCTCTACGACGACATTCTTTTCCTCGTCGATGGCATCGTGGCCACCGGCGAGGGCACATTCCACGCCGGCACCCTCCCCATTACACCAACAACCTCCAGCACCGGCACTGGCACCTTGGATGGTGCTTCCACATCCACCAACACCGACGCAAGTCCTCCAGACCTGCCGGTGCCCACGACACCATCTGCTCCAACCCGGCAAGTGGCTCAAATGCCTACCCCTTCCCTTCGCACTCGCATCTATGATGACGCCAACCTGTCGTCTCCATTCGCTGAGCCGGCATCAAGCTGTAAACGCGCTGCTTTGACATCTCCCCAGAAGTCTGGCCGACGATCGCGACCCCGCAATGTGGATGCCAGGAATAGCATGGCTTCTGCCATGCGCGAAATTGCAGGAGCTCTGAAGGTGAGGGGCAGTCCAGAGATCTTGACAAGGGCTGTGGAGGTGATGGAGGAGGACAACGACCTGTCTGATAGCAAGAGTGTCGAGGCGATGAAGCTTTTCATAAAGGATTCGAAGGTGGCCCAGCTGTATATTGCACCAAAAACAAAGGCTCTGCGTACGAAAATTTGTCCAAGACCTCATCGAGAGTACATTGTTTGCATCGTAGGGTAGTTATCAATAGACTATAGTGGTATCTATTCCTCCGGAGCAACCTTGTGAATTTGAATACCTTTTGTGAGCATATAAGCTTTGTAATCTCTCCACATATTCTGTGCAATTGTGTCGCGCCTGGCCGATGCCCGGGCACGTTCCTCTGTGCTGATCGACCATCCTAGTTCCTCTGAAGAGATGGGCTCAGCTGGGTTAACAATAAGATCTTGCAAGGAGCTTTCTCGATGGATTGGGGCAGTGGTTGCTGATTCATCCTGGGGCTCCGCACCATCATCCTCGCCATCATAGACTCGGATGAAATTGTGGAGTGCACAGATGGCGGAGATGAGTTGGGCCTGGGTCTCGACGGAATACTCGGGGGCACCACCAGTAAAGATACTCCAGCGACGTTTCAGAATGCTGAATGTCCGCTCAACTGCATTCCGAAGCTGAGCGTGCCGCAGATTGAATAGTTCTTTATAGTTCCGAGGGCGCTGGTTCACGTTTCCCCATTCCTTGAGATGGTAACGGATATTGTGATATGGGGTCATCAGAACATCACAGAGTGGAAACCCAGCATCTGCAAGATAGAACTTGCCCAGGGGAACAGCAAAGTCGTGCTCACGTGCATAATTAAAGATGTGTGAGTCTGATGCACTCCCTTCCCAGCCTGCAAGCACATAGACAAAAATAAGAGCAAAATTGCAGGCAGCAAGAATATTCTGTCCAATGAAACCCTTGCGGTTACAATACCGCAGCATCGCCCCTGAAGGCACCCAAGCAGAGAAGTGCGAGCTGTCGATTGCGCCACGACATTCACGGAAATATGGGTAGAATTTCCGGGTAGCTTTGATTTCCGGTGGGGTGCTGTTTGGTGGTAGATAGATGTGTTTTGTATAGAAGGACCCAGTCAGGCAGTTAAGAATAGTGTGGATGGATTTGCTGATGGTTTCTCCGCTCCGTTGAAAGAGCTCCTGAAGGACGCGCGAGCTGCAGCCCACCCGAGTGAAGTACAAGAATGTTGCAAGTTTCTCTGTGGCTGTAACATGCTTCGAATTCGTAAGCCCAGAATGCAGTTGGAGTTTGAATAGAAGCCAAAGAAAGACATGCTTGGCCATTCCCAGCTGGCGATAAAAACGGATGTCGCTGCCAACAAGAAGCTTGTCAACCCAGATCTGCCCTGTAAGTGTGGACATGTTCAATGGGATGGGGTCAGTGAGTGTCATGCCAAATGAGACTGTGAATGCAGCAACCATACACACAATAGACACCAGCGCATCACGCCGTTGTTGCTGTGGCCAGTGCTTGCTTCTTCTTTTCCCTTTGTTGGGCCAATAGGGCATGTTGTGCGGTGCTGGACGCGTCACAGGAAGACCTGGATATGTCACAAGAGGGTCCCGAGGGCATAGTGCCAAATCTGGGCTGAAAAACACGTCAAAAGGGAATGAAGAAACAAGCCTTTTGATCTACTTTAAATACATGACTAATATCATTTTAGACACTTCCGCCCACTTCCGGCCTGTCGTGATGCACCTTGATGGCCTACCGAAGACGTGGGAGACTGCCTTGCGCTAGCCGAACCCGTTGCCAGATTGGCTACGGGTTCGAAGCCGGTGACACCAAGCAGGGCCTTAGAGTTTCTTCTCTTTGGATCCTCCCCTGCTAGGCCCGGGACTCTCATTGGAGTGGGTTGCCCTTCCAATACTATTATACCACTGATCATGTGTGGATGCCTATGGGTATTTTGACCTGTCAGTTACCTGAACCTGTAAGATACATAAACCCAGAGAATGTAGTAACCTGTAGGATAAGTATAGTAACCTTGAGGACAAATTTATTGTGATACTAATATTTTCAATAACACTTCCTATTACAAGTTAGTCAAAGCTGTCCAACTACAAGTCAAATGAGCCTACACTTGTATAACAGGCTCAAATATTTTACAGTGAAAATCAATAGGTTTTGCCAGCCACTTACAGCTAGCTGTACAACTAAGAAATCTATGCAACACTTTTATATCACAGCTGTAATGGGCTTCAGACTCTGTCTGCACTAAACTTATATCCACCCTCCCTAGCAACTGCATCAAAGGCAAGTCTGCTGAGCTCTCTTCCTGTAGAGTCGAGAAGGGTGCACTGGATGTTATCACCAGGATTGACAGGCCCGACGCCGTCTGGTGTGCCTGTGAGAATAAGATCGCCTTCCTGTTCATGATCCAAAAAGCGTCACATTTGGTTATGGTTGGACTGAAGACAGACCTCGAGTGTCATTATGGACGAGACGTGTTCGATGAGACGCGGGATTCGGAAGATCATGGTGGAGGTTGAGCCGTTCTGTCTGAATGCGCCATTGAGCTGTGGAGACTTGGTCAGTGAACTTACAATATAACAGAAAGTGCACCTGCAGTGTCAGCATGACGTTGTGCGGATCGGGAATGTGATCTTTGGGGATGAACGGTCTTTGTTACTCGTCAGCGCGGGTTCAAATTGGCTTGGACTTTGAACCCAATAGGGAGGAACGAGTCGAATCCTTTTGCGGCGCTCCACGGTAGCCCTTGTTTCTTGGCGAGATGCTGAACGTTGCGCGCACTCATGTCGACCGCAAGAGCTACAAAAGCATTATATTGTAGTCGAGTATGACACGAAACGAGTTTGAGAAACTCACCATAGCCAGCGACATGCGCCTCCGCCTCTGCCTTTGAGATTGCACGCGCCCTCTTTCCGATGACCACACCGAGCTCGACTACATACCGCTGTCAGCTCAGCACGCGACGACATAAATAAATACCTTCGTGGTGGGCGATGACGCCGGCGGGGATCTCCACCTTCCCGCCCGACAGGAGATAGCTCGTCGTTGGCTTCAAGAAAAAGACAGGCTCCACAGGACGCAGGCGGCCCTTGATGTAGGTCTCGTAGTTGGTGCTGATGCCGATGATCTGAGGGTGTTCGCTGTTACCAAACTGCAAACAGTAACGAGGAGCAGTGCTTGCCTTTTTACCGTTGCGGACGAAAGACGCAGCCATTTCAAGTTGCGGGATGTGTGCGGTTGGGCTTAAAGTAGTTCGACGCGACGCTGTACCACGCCCATGGCGCTCGGAACCGCCGCTTTATAGTTGATGGTGAGCTTTCAGGTCACCAACGGGAAATCTTGTCTTCTAGATCAAAGTTCGTTCGCCTGTTCTTGATGTCAATCCCATTAGACTGGACAAGGTTTATATTCAGCCTCACCCAGTCGAATAGAGCTAGTGCTCATCGTTCTGAAGATTTTAGGAAACACACATATAAAAGCCTTCTCTATATGTACCGTTCGTACTGCATCGCCTTAGGCCGTCCTAAATTCCAGTAAATTTATACCCGTCTTCCCTCGCGACTGCGTCAAAGTCAAGCCTGCTCAGCTCCTTGCCAGAGGCATCGAGGAGCGTGCACTGGACCTTGTCGCCAGGATTGACGGGCCCAACGCCATCAGGTGTACCCGTAAGAACAAGGTCGCCTTCCTGTCAAAGGCTGAATTGGGGGGACAACGAAGGAAGAACAAACCTCAAGTGTCATGATAGATGAGATATGCTCAATCAAACGAGGTATTTGAAGGATCATGGCGGAGGTCGAGCCATTCTGCTTGGACGTGCCATTGATCTGTCGACCAAGTCAGCGTAGACCAGACAGAAACAACAGCAACAAGCGGACTTGGAGTGTCAGCGTAACGTTATGCGGATCGGGAATTTGTTCCTTCGGGATGAACGATCTTGCAAGCAGTCGTCAGTTGTGCTTTTTTTCCGGGCTTGGAGGAAAGTACCCAATCGGAGTGAATGAATCGAAGCCTTTCGCGGCGCTCCATGGTAGTCCTCGTTTCTTGGCGAGGTCTTGAACATTCCGCGCAGTCATATCGACCGCAAGGGCTGCAACCAGATGAGTGGGGGCACAAATTGACGGACAACACACCATAGCCCGCAACGTGCGACTCCGCTTCGGCCTCTGAGATGTTTCGTCCACCTTTCCCAATCACAACACCAAGCTCGACTATGAACTTGAGCCTCCGTGAAGAACGAAAGAGAGAGCGACAGACCTTCGTGGTGGGCAACCACACCAGTCGGTATCTCCATCTTCCCGCCGGAAGGTAGATAGCTGGTGGTGGGCTTCAAGAAGAAGAAAGGCTCAGCAGGACGCGTGTTCCCCAGTTCCTTCACGTGGAGGTCATAGTTTCGTCCAATTGCGACGATCTAAAATGGGTGTTGGCTTGGCCATGCACTGACAAGCAACGGAGTCGACCTTTTTACCCTGTCGGACGAAGGAAGCAGCCATGGGTGTCGTGGAGAGGAAACGGATGCCGGGCCCGGTGCGGGCTCTATGTAATAAGCTGATCATGGCAGTTGCGAACAGGGTGGGACGCGTCGCGTTACGCAGTGTCACAGCCAAATCATTTTATTTCCTCTCTCAGTCTGCAATCCAACTACAATCCAGCCGGTCTCCAGAATGCTCCTTGACACTGAGAGTCGAACCGTTCCTGCAATATATTTCTCGTATTCTCGACTTTTTGCAGCTCAGCTCCTTCTTATGGATCATCTTCTTTCACACGAATGGGAACCTCGTAAGCTCAACATATCATGTCTTCTCAGGACGCGTGCTACGGTGCGTTTCGTGTCTAGAGACCTATCCAATGATCCAACGCTAATGAAACGATTTTCCTTTGTGACCTGCAGATCGTTTGGCCACGGCCTATTCGCCACTCATGTGTTTACCCAAGTTTTTTTGTTGATTTTGTTTTCTAGCCCCTGTGTACAGTGTGGCCCCAACAAAACTCAACGGTAACGAGAATCCGCGATGGACATCAAGGTGCCTAGGTTATTGACGCCATTTATCTATGTCATGCATGGTCAAGCCTGGTCAAGTTGGGAAACTGATTCAAGTTCATATTGAAGGTATACTTAGCGCGGCTCCGAAATCGAGCAGACCTAAGCATGCGTTGCGCCTGCCGCCCTGTCTTCAGCTCGTCAAGCAGCCTCCTTTCAATGTGGGATTCGCGTTCGGGGCGCGAAAGCGACACGTCCGCGTGGTTTTTCTGACGTTGTTACCGAGATGATCAGCCAACACGCTGATTTGGCTAGATCTCGTTGCGTCTCCCGTTTCTCCTTTCGCTTTCTTTTAAGGACGTGAGGTGCTTAAGTACCTGGTGTACGAGGGCTCTCGCTTTTTTCTTCTTGGTTCATCATGTCGTTCTCAGACACTGGCCTGTCCATTCTTTTATCTCGTGCGTATCATTCTCGTCACACACCCTTCTTCGCTCCACATTTACTCACTTGGTTACAATGTAGGAGACACTCACAACTCCTCCGACACCGACCCGCCCTCAACGTCCCGAAAGGCGTTAATCGACACCTTCGTTACTCTCCAGCTGCTTGGGCTTGTTGGCAGTATCGCGCTCGTCCTAACGACCACACTCTCCCGTCGCGCGCCAAGAAATGCGACATGGCAGAACTTCTTCACTAGCTGGATTATTTCCACCGCGTCCTACTCCCTCCTGCTTGTGTCTGGGCAGCTCTACAAGGAGCACCCCCCATTTGGCTTATGTCTAGCACAAGCGGGGCTAATCTACGTGCGCAAATGCCTCCTATCTCCTCGGAAGACGGCTAACAACTCCTGCAGGGCACCCCGTCGTTGACTGCTGCAACAACCTTTGGCCTCATTATGCAAATCTGGTTCAGCGTCCAAAATTTGCTCCTCCGCAAAGTCAAGCACGAGCGCCTGTGGACGGTGGTGATTCTCGTGTTGCCATACTGCATGATGTTTGGGATGGTCATCGCGTCCTGGGTGGTGCGTGAATTCCTCCGTACTTCTCCTCCACCTCACCGTTCTACCAGACGGGAATCCAAAACCCCTCGCGGGTCAAAGTGATCGGGAGTGGGATGTACTGCCACATCGTGCGTTGTTCGCTGGCTATCGCTGATGATACTGATAATACGCAGGGGCCGAGCAGCACTCTGTGAGTGGTTTACCCAACAGCGGGCGTAACGCTGACCGAAATTGAACAGCGGCAAAGCGTCAGCTGCACTCGTCGCATTGACATTGCTCCCCACCATTGCGCTCGAAAGTAGGTCCTTTCTCAGAATCCAACTTGTCCATATTCTTACCAGTTGGTGCAGTTACGATTTGTGTTGCCCTCCGAAAGAATTGGTCGACTTTCAAGCGCATGCGGCACTCGATGTCAATTACCCTCCGCGTTATGATCTTCACGCTGTTCGGTATCCTCGCCATCTCGTTAGTCCCGCTTGATCATTCCGTCCGTCTTCTAACAGGCTTCCAGGCTCAGCGGTGTCTTCGTATTTTCAGACAGCCATGGGGCAGCAATCAATGTCATTCTCGCCGCTCGTGCGTGACCCTTCCTTACTCTCCTCCTCTTCACTCAACACCTCTCCCAGTCCCGGTTATCGGCGTCATCATCTTCGCTTCCCAGACCGACATCCTCTCCGTCTGGAGAATAACGCGACAAAGACCCGAGGGTGCCCAGCCCCTCCAGTCACAGGTCTCGGAGACCACATCAACGAGCAAACCATTGCCTGATCTCCCTCCTGGCGCAGTGTAAGGAAGACGTCGGGCTGTAATGTGTATTCTCTATAATTAGTCCTGCGGATTTGTAACTGTACCACAGCATGGGGAACCGAGGTAGACCCCCAAGCAAAGATTTGCCTCGAGATCATACAACCAACCCATATAGCTGAAACCGTTACACCATAATAAATCTAATATAAGGCTGAGCGGGTGAGGTTGCACAAGTAGAAAACGCTGACTGATGTTTTCTGGCCTAATTTCTGTTCCCTCCAAATTTGAGAGAGCTCGAACCACTGGCGCTAATTGGAGAATTCAATCATGCAGGTCATAGTATCAGTACATTCACGAGACCGCAACGGACCGACCAAGTAACTTGCCAAGTAACAACGAAGCTCTAAATCGACACCCTTCAGATTGGTCTCGTAGATAAACAAATACGTTGTCGTTTGAATGGAAGATGGTAAGCTGGCCAGCAGAGCCCTCCAAACTACGTAAGCAAAATTCTTCGCTTCATCTACGACTACCGAAGAGATTTGAGCAAAACACAGTCCACATCATCGGGAAGACACCAACCAAGACATTTTTCAGGCAGCGCCAGCCCTCCACCGCATCTCGACCTCCGCAAAAACCTCGACCCGTTTCGTCACTTGAAAACCCAGACCCTCAAACAGCTTGATGCTCGGAACGTTTGATTCAGATATGCGAACGAGAAGAGCAGTCGGGGGGAGTGGGAGTAGGCTAGATTGATCTGGCTGTGGTGGTGGTTTGTGGCAGATGAAGTGCCCAACAGAGGAGGCAGTCGCGTAGCCAAGCAGCAGCTGCAACGCCTCTCGTGCACATCCACGACGGCGGTATTCCTTTTCTGCGTTTATTCAGACTAAAGTCAATGGGAGGAATGCGCTGACGAACCAGCGATCATAACTTCCGCTTCACCATAGAACTCCTCGTCCGTTTCCTTCCCGTGCAAGAAAATATTGACATCCCCAATCATAGGCAGCGCTTTCACACAGGCATCGTGCGGACCGAGTACTTGTGAGGAGTCAAGCCCATCGCCAGTCTGTCGCGCCAGGACGATGAACGTCAGTTTGTCCGGGTCTTCACGCCATTTGCCTATCCTTTGCTGAGAATTTGGAGTAGAGAAAGGCTCATCATCTCACGCTGCATATCGTATTCCTCTTCAAGCGTCAAAGGCTCGCTTGCAGTAAGAGCTTGCAGCTCTTCATTTTGCATCCATTCGTGGTACGCCTACTTTTTTTGTGGAGTCAAGACCGCGTTGCAGGAGAGAACCAAGTGGACGAACGGGGACATGCTCCGGAAGATACGGCACGAGAACGACTTTGTCGCCGACAATGACTGTGGTCGCGTTGATGTGCATCGGGGTCAAAAGCAAGCCACACTTAGACTTGATCACGCCCAAAAATTACCAACAACATTTCGATTCAACTACAGTACAGCAAGCTCAAAGCTCGCAATGCTACGACTACCCGCCTTTCAATACGATTTTCTTTATTATTACTCCGACTCGCCTGCCCGCCTTTGAATGTGATTTTCTTCTGCTTTTCAATCCTATCCCGCCTGTTTGGGGGCGGTGTGAAAACCGCAAAAAGGGCATCTCCGCCCGCCTTTGAAAGTGCTTTCTGCTTCCCAATCCCATCCCGCCTGTGTTTGGGTTTTCGATATGTCGTGAAAGAACGTGAAGAGACAGGCGTAAAGCCACGTTTCCCTTCGCCCGCCTTTAAAACAGGTTTTCCGCTTTTCGTTAGACCACCGCCTGTTTTTGCATTCTCGAAACGGCCTGAAAGCAGCGCGATTGACCCAAAAGACCTCGGACAATGGAATGGTCGTCCGATAGGTCGGTCATGAAAATGATGGTAGAGCTGATTCGTCTCGCTGCCGATGGGTATTGGGGGCTTTGGTATATGGTTGTATGCCCAGAGTATTGTCGACAAGACAGACTATTGAGTCGGGTCGTGGCCAACCATGAAGGTGGTTGCATGGTAAAGGTCCATCGTCGGCTACGTTGCGTTCGCTGACAACGACGATGGAAAAGGATGATATTGCTGCCGTTTTGGGGTATTCTAGGCCTTGGTATAGAGCAGTGGAGGCCAAAAGGTAACTGCAGCAGTGCAGCCATATGCTGAAGTGAGTTTCAGCGTGCCCGGCGACAAAAAAGCGGCCGCGGGCAAAAGGTGGTAATTCGTCGAGTGGTTCGTCGCATTGTGTGTTTCGCGAGAATTAACGTCGCCCTGGATGATGTTGGCATTGGTGGCGCATAGAACAGGACCGTTGGCGATAATTTAGCGCCAGGAGAGGCTGTTGGCAGAAACAGTTCGCGGCTGCCTCGAAACGAGTGTCGCATGTAAGCCTTGGATATAAGCAGTTGCACTCGTGAAGGGTATGAGGTGGTGCTTGCTGCAGGCTTGACACCTTGGGTGATGTCGTCGATGCCAAAAGGTAACTGCAGCAGTGCAGCAATATGCTGAAGTGAGTTTCAGCGTGCCCGGCGACAAAAAAAGCGGCCGCGGGCAAAAGGTGGTAATTCGTCGATTGGTTCGTCGGATTGCGCTGACTGTGGATTGAGTCAGATCGCTGAAGGACGCAAAAGGCGAACAGCGCGCGACGAGTCAAGATTGCGCAAAAGCATGTTTCGCGAGAATCAATATGGCTTCAGATCGTCGCCCTGGATGATATTGGCATTGGTCGAGCAGAGATGGCGATGAATTAACGCCAGGAAGAGACTGTACAGGAACAGTGTGCTGCTGCCTCGGAACGACTATCGCGTGTAAAGCCCTGAATATAGGCAGTTGCACTCGTGGAGAACGATGAGGTGGTGCTTGCTGCAGGCTTGAAATCGTCGATGGTGGGGAAGCGGACCATCGAGGGAATTGGGTGTTCGGAAAGAAGGGAGCACATGTCTAAGCCTGATGAGTTTGGATATCGAAAAATTCATGGAGAAGGACTTACAATCAATCCCAAGCAAAATAGTCTACGCGGAAGGGTTAGAAGACGCTACTAGAAGGATTGTTACTCACCCTTTGAGCGCAGCGAGTTCCAGGGGTATCGGCTGACGCTCTTCGCGATATGGGGTATCACCAGTCCAAGCAAATGATGTCATAAGACGATTATCTAGGGCAGAGATTCAGAAAGGGAACACCGAGTAGCAAAGACCGACTGACATTATGGGCGCTAGTAGCGGTCCGTTCAAGCAAAGGGCATAAACTAGCAGACACATTAGCCCATCAATGAGTACTCAAACATGAGACCTACTTCTGGCACAGCGCATCCGTGGCTGGCTCGATCGGGGAGTAGTTTGCATGTGGAGCCTTCAAATAAATCCAAGCAAAGCAGCTGGCTCGAGGGTATAAGCTGCGCGTATGGGATAGTAGAGGGTATCGTGTTTCCTGCAACCTATCAGCCAATAATCTTGTCACCAGGAGATAACGCACCAAGAAGCAAGCAAACTATCTCTGGTGTCCGATACGAGTGATCCGTTGCCGATATCTTCCAATGAACAGATTGAACTTGACCCTTAAAGAACCGAATATGGGTCCGTCGCACGTGCCCGTGCCCTGCCATGGCGCTTCACGCCCCCACTCCTGCTCGACGTCAAAGAAGCTGGGTCTTCGTTCTCTTTGTTGTCAGAGCGACGATGCTTGCGAGGAGGCTTAGTTGGAGGTGGGGTTGTGACGACCTCTTGGACAGTGAGGTGACCGAGGAGGGTACAAAGGTTGTCCACCTCCACGTCAGTCATCTCCACGTCAGCAGGAGCGAGGGAGAGCGCGGCAACTTGCTCGAGAAACTCTTCGGGGAGTGGCTCTGGAAAGCACTGTCTCACCCGTTTCTTTGGAGGTCCATCGCTGACGGGGCAAGTACGCTTCCCGAGCGTCACCACGGGTGGTAGATGACGCTTTCGAGTGGCTTTGACGCCTTGGGAACGGCGATGTTGTGGACGGGGTGGCTTCGGCAAGCCGTATTCATCTTGCTGTAGACGAATGGGTACCAAGACAAGTAGAAAAAGGATAACGTACAACATGTGGAGAGACGCGGGGGAAGACTACGGGGAAGAAGGTGAACGTGAAGTCGAAGTTCGCGAGGGACATGGTTGTCCAAAGTCAAGAGGAAATGCGGAAGTGTCTCGGTGGTCACGCTGGCTTTGGCTCTGGCACAGGGGTCCCGAGACTTGGAGCCATCGATAGCAGGAAGGTCGTGGAGGAAAATGGGCTCCAGCTGCTCGTTCAAAACCACCAGAGAGTCGAAATAGCGACCAAAGCGCCTATATTACAGTTCCACGGATGTGGGTCTATGCCAAGGATCGTATGCGACATCAACGACAAAAGCATCGGTTGGAGGAGTGTCGGGAGAAAGCGTGAAAAGGTTTGGATGGTGGTGGTCGAAGGAAGAGTTGTGATTGGCTGAAGATCCGGCGATGGCTTGGCAGACGATCTGATAACGGCTGATTAGAAAACTGATTAGAAATGACTTGAGAGTCAACCTGTTCAAGTTGTATATAATGTGGGACTACTGCATCGTTTAGCTACCAATATTCATCTGTTTTCCAAGCGGCATCCTCATAGATCTCCCGAAAATCAACCCAACGGGCCTTGAACGCAATCGCGGAAAAAAACATCTGACAGTGCGCGACCATTGCTCTCAGCGTTGACTGCCGATGGCGGCCGGCGGTCAACTTCACTTGGGATAAAGGACAGCGAGATCTGGATATGAATGGCCCTGTTGGACGATGACGCTGTCGGCCTGATCTAATCGTTTATCTTATCATATATCCCATCACCCTCGATCGTACTGAACTGGAACCTGGGCGACGGGAGAGACTCCTGAGCTCTCTCTCGTCGTACCAGGTATGACCCTATTTCACTTACTGTCTACATCTACTTACTGAGCTCTCTCTCGTCGTACCAGTCAATATATCTTGCTCGTTCACAGGTTATGGGCCCCGCGTGAAATCTGTGCAGCAAAGAAGATAGCATTCGACCAACATCCAAAGCTCCTAAAGTCATATCGCATCCCAATCCACTCGACTTGTCGACATCTTCCCTCTAGTCATCCACACAATCGCAAAGCACCCAAAATCTAACAGTGCACGCAACAGTGCACGCAACGTCGAAACCTATTCAGAATGTCTTCACCCGACAACGAAAAGGAGTGGAGAACTCTCAAACTCACCACCATTGTCGAAGCCGCAGATGGCAGTAACAACTATGCCGAATTCCGAACGAAAGCCATGCGTAAACTTGATGCGGCTGGATACTGGAAGTATATCGACGGCGATGAATACAATCCCCCTGTAATCCCAACACTCATTGAGAGCCAGACATATTCCGGTGTCGACAATGCTGGCAACATGACCACAATCACCACGCAAGGGAACGAGGTTGCAGTCAATGTTGCAAAGAAGGCTGCAGAGGCCTGGCTTGTCCAAGACAAAAAGGCGTTGTCGACAATAACCGATGCTGTTCCTATGGCGAAACTTTATGTTGTCAACGACTGCAATTCAGCACGTCAGGCATGGTTCGCGCTAAGAGACGCCTACGAACCCACCAATACCCTGACGGCTGTCACCCTGAAAGGCCAAATAACGTCGCTCTTGTGCGGTACAGGGAACCCAGTCGCGTGGAGAGTCACCATGCTCCAGAAATACCAGAAGCTCCGCAGAGCTGACCCAGATATGATGCCAGATAGCGAGTTCACGAAATGCTTGGTGACAAACATGGCGCAGACCGAGAAGTGGCGATATTGCAGAGATTCGTTGCTGCAAGAGATGACTCTGGCTGAAAAATCTGGCAAACCTCTGAGTTCCGCAGAAGTTGTCGCCAGATTGCAGCAAGAGGAAGCGTTCAAGGGACTGGGAGCTGACGCCTCGAACTCGTCCCACAACGGCTGAGACAGACAGCGAAGCAGTCGCTAGTGCATCATTAGCTCAACCGAATCACCAACAGAGACGCTTTCAACAACGAGCTCACCAGCGAGGCGAGCATCGTGCCGCTCCATACGATCGACGATACGCAAACGCGCCACCAAACAACACTCCCCACCGTGACCGCGAGCGCCTGTTTTGCGAAAAACGTTGAATGTGCAACGCCGATAGGTCATTGTCAAGCGGACTGTTTTGCTTATAAAGGCGGAAAGGAAGGTCAGTATCCTGACACATACAAAGGGTCAAGAATTGTGCACCTTCCACCCGCCGAACGCATAGCCGCTTCCAGACGCCAAGCTCGACAGAATATTCACAGAGGAGGAGGACGTTTTGCAGGCATGGTGGAATTCGCAGAAGATGAGGAAGAGGAGGATGTATTCGAGATCGTGGGGAACGAGACCATAACTGCTGGTTTTGCGTTCATGATGGGAGCCATGGAGGTGGAAGATGAAGAAGACGAAGGGGATATCTGGGTCAATGCAGTTAATGTCGGCCCAACTGAAGAAATGACCCGCACCGAAAACGTCTACCACGACACTGGAGCTTCCCGACACGTCTTCAATGACATAGCGTCCTTTCGAGGTTATAAGCGATTCAGGACCCCAGTCAATGTTCATGGTTTCGGAACGAATCTTACTACGCACGCGTTAGGAAAGGGAAACATATTCTTGGAGGGGACTCACCAAGGCGACACAAGTTTCTCTCTCAGCAATGTCCTGCATATTCCCACCGCACGATGCAACCTCATTTCGGGCACGCAGCTCGACTTGAAAGGTGTGCAAACGGAAACGGGGGGGGGCCGCATCGATTAACTTCAATGGCGAGGGGTTCCCGTTCGCGTCTGGAGAGATAGTAGGAGGATTATACAAGATGGGGGTCAAAATCATCCCAAGTGACGAAATCTTCACGGAAGCAAATTTGGCCCAAAATCTCAGCAACTCGACAGATATTTCCGCGGAAGCTAATTTTGGTGCAGATCTCATCAACGCAACAACGTCATCGGTCGTGGCGGTTCTTGGACCAAATGCCGACGACGCGACATCCAAGCAACAGGTTTTTTCCACCGTCTAATGGGGCATTTAGACGTTAAAGGTCTCAAGAGCGCCACCCGCGGCCTGCCAGAGACTGTGGACTCTGTCAAAGTCAAGAACTGTCGAGTTTGTGCTCTAGCCAATATTAAACGACTGAAATTTCCCTCAAAGGTCTCGACACGCGCTGAGCGCCCTCTATTTCGTATCCATGCCGATATCTGTGGTCCATTCCCCGTCGGGTATGGAGGCTTCAAGTATTTCATTACCTTCTCTGACGACTACCGCCGCTACGCCACCGTGTATTTCCTCAAAACGAAAGACGAAGCTCTGAAGTGCTTCCACCACTTCCGTACTGGAGCCGAAAAATTACTCAATACCAAAATTGTCTACCTCCGAATCGATAACGCCCCCGAACTCATCCATGGCGAATTCAGCAACTATTGCAGCGAAAACGGCATAGCCTACGAAAAGACGGTTCCTGACGCGTCTCAGCAAAATGGCGTGGCGGAAAGGCTGAATCAAACTATCGAAAGCATGACGAGAGCGATGCTGGTAGACGCTTCACTCACTACTTGGTTCTGGCCACTTGCGGTTCAAGCCTGCATCCATATCAAAAACCGCGTCCCTCATTCTGCCAACGCCGATGGCTCAACTCCTTTCGAAAGCTGGTTCAAGCACAAACCAGACCTCTCACATCTTCGACCATTTGGTGCTCTCGTCACAGCCAGAAAAACCAACTCCACGGAACAAATGAAATTCGCGATGCGAGGCGAAGAAGGCAAATTTGTTGGCTATGCACGCGATTCGAAAGGGTATCTTATTTGGTTCCCCGCTACCAAAGCTATTCGCCCACGACGAGACGTGGAGTTTCACGGTTTTCCCGAATTCGTTCCCTCTCCCACTCATTCCGAAACTCTGTGGGAAGATGTCCCCAGTGAAATCGAGGAGCATTTCAAAGATCGCGCAGAACGAACACAACAACTACCGCTACCCATTGCCGTTGAGCATAATCCCGCCTCTGAGCGTAATCCAATCGCCACTGAGCGTATCCCTGTCGTCTCTGAGCGCACTGCCTTTGAGCAACCCACGACCGTTGAAAACAACGAGTACGTATTTGTCGTTAACGACTATAAAATGATTTACCTGTTTAACCAGGCCTTCACCGAATGCGGATGAATCCCAATCAAATCGCAGTACAACTCCCGAGTGCGTGAAAACACACAAGGAGATCAACACACTGACGAATCTTACAGACCCGTACAACGTCTATTGGACGAAGTAATGGAGGAAATCATATCTAAGCCGAGAGCTACTCCGTGCGTTAACGCACTGGGATTCCTTGAAGAATACCCTAATCTAATAACCAGATTGTTTGACCAAGAAATGGCAACTCCAAGTGCGGAGGAGATTGATGACACTCCCCTTGCGCAACGAAAGGGCACACGTACCCGTCGCATTCCCGCTCGTCATATCATTAACCACGCGACATTGGACGAGGGGGGGGAAGACTTTGTGATTTCTGAAGATTACCTCTTATCCGTCCTCATGTCGGGCGATGAACTCGAAATCGAATGCGAACTCGAAGAACTAGTCGAAGTCGCACAAGCACTTGAACAAGCCGAACATGTATACTCCACACTCACCGAACCCATCGACGACCCAGACGCCAAAGATCCCAACTCCATTCCGGAAGCAAAGGCTTCAGCGTATTGGCCACAATGGCTCATTGCTATATTCGAAGAACTCGAATCGCTACGGGCGAAAGGAGTATATATCGAAGTCGACCAAGTCCCAGCAGACCGCAAAGCCGTTGCGTGGCAAGTGGGTACTCCACATCAAACGGGACAGAGACGGACGAATATCCCGCTTCAAGGCGCGACTAGTCGCAAAGGGGTTTACTCAAATTCCAGGCCAAGACTACACCTACACGTTTGCCCCAGTTGCTCGTTGGGAGTCTATCCGATTTGTACTCACACTGGCTGCGACTCATGACATGACTCTGCGCCAAGTTGACGTCAAAACGGCTTTCCTTAATGGACCTCTCGATGAAGAAATCTACATGCGCAAAACCCGAGATAGCTGGACCTGGGTATTGGCGACTATTGAAGGGTCTCTATGGACTAAAACAAGCCGGTCGACAATGGTACCTCGAGCTCAACGCACGACTCGAGGTCATAGGCTTCAAACGAGTGGAGTCTGATTGGAGCGTATATATTCGAAAGGTGGATGGGAACTATACGATCATCACCACCAGCGTCGATGATATGCTCATTGCATCGACAAATCAATCCGAATCCGACGCAGTAGTATCGGCCTTATCTGCCCAATTCGAAATCACTGACAACGGTGAACCAAAGCTCCATTTGGGGTGTTCAGTCGAGCGAGATCGCACGAACCGCACAATTCGCCTCCACCAAAAGTCATTCACGGAGACCATTTTGCGCGACTTTGGTTTCGACAAAAGTAACACAGTGCAAACGCCGATGGATCCCAGTACTCGTCTAGCGCCACCGACTGACGAAGAGGTGGAGAAGGCAAGAGATTATCCGTATGCGGCCATCGTCGGACGGTGCATGTATCTGGCAACTTGCACACGCCCAGACATCTCATACACAGTGCGAGAGCTTGCTCGATTCATGGCAAGGCACGGACCGGCACACGTGACTGCAGTGAAGCATCTCCTGCGGTATCTTCGCGGAACGCCAAACCACGGCATTCTACTGGGCGGCAAAGACGAGTCTGAGCCGATGCTCACAGCACTCAGTGACTCTGATTGGGGAATGGGGAACGACAGGAAGTCCATTTCGGGATTCATGATTCTTGTTGGGAAGTCTCCAGTTTCTTGGTCGTCGAAGCAACAGGCTGTCGTTGCCTTATCCTCGTGCGAAGCCGAATATCTTGCAACAACTCATTGTGCGAAGGACGTTCTCTGGCTTCGCAACCTTTTATTTGAACTCGGCTTTCCTCAAATTCAACCTACGTCATTATTTTGCGACAATCAAGGCACTGTGGCCTGTACACACGACCCACATGCGCACTCCAAGATGAAGCACATCTCAATTCGAGAGCACTTCATTCGAGACTGTGTGCTGAAACAATTGGTGGATGTCATGCACGTGGCTGGCAACGAAAACATCGCGGATCTATTCACTAAACCCTTACACCGCACGATGCATGCTCGATGGGTGAAAATGTTACGACTCGACCCGCGTCAAGGGGGGGTGTTGGACGATGACGCTGTCGGCCTGATCTAATCGTTTATCTTATCATATATCCCATCACCCTCGATCGTACTGAACTGGAACCTGGGCGACGGGAGAGACTCCTGAGCTCTCTCTCGTCGTACCAGGTATGACCCTATTTCACTTACTGTCTACATCTACTTACTGAGCTCTCTCTCGTCGTACCAGTCAATATATCTTGCTCGTTCACAGGCCCAAACCGAACTACAAATCCATGTACCTCAGAGGAATCGACCGTCAGTTGGAGTTGGCGGAGCGCCGGCAGCGTAAGTGCACTGAGACACCGGTAGTCGTCGGGGTGTGCTCCTTCGCATGTCTCGAGGACAAGCCTCTCGAGCTTGGGAACGTTGATATTGACAGCGTTTTCGTTGGTGTCCGCCAGGACCAACTTGTGTTAACCGGTAGGTAACCATAAAGCCAGCGCTGGCTTTATGGTTACCTACCGGTTAACAACTTGCACTGAACCAAATTGACACACAATGACAACACACTGGCGCACTCGACGAAGGAAGTGTGCATCAAAGAGAGTGTTTGCAAATGGCTCCAAGAAATCGCGGGGCCGGGAGTAAATTTGGCGGCCAAGAGTGTCAATGACACAATACGTGGAAAGGCCCCATTTGTCATATCGACCGCCAGAGGAGGAAGATTGAAGGCTCGAGGATAATCATCCACTGGGCGGATTGCTAGCTCTTTGAGATGCGGCGCAGGGCCGCAAATAATTCGCGAGGATTGGGCTTCGAAGGTCCAAAACTGAGCGTATTCCCACCGAGTGCGGTGAGCGACAAGAGCTTGCAAAAGACGTTCATTATCCAGCCCACCTAGCTCAAAGACTATGCTCAGTGACAACAAACGGCTCTTGGACCGCTGTAGCCATTCCAGGACTACAACGAGGTGCCGACGACTGTAGCAGTCAACAGCTCGCCAGAGCTCGGGACTGTGTAGCGCGATGTCGCGCCAAGTGCGGCAGATTCCGAGCAGGTAAGTGGGCGAGTCCTGGCCAATCAGCTGTGGAGGCTTGGGATATGGTGGAAGACAGTGTTCAAATATGGTTGCTATGATTTCGCTCGGCAGAGAGTGGATAGTTGTGGGGTTTGGGGACCATGTTGTGCAAGCGAGAAGCTTCCAGTTTGAGTCTGGAGGACACTGAGAACTTGATTGGAGCTGCTCTTCCACTTTAGACGAATCCATAAGCAAAGAAGATGGGAGATAGAGGCAAGTTCCATGTCAGTCCGCCATCACTGATACCCATCCAGCTGACTGTAAACAGTTCCACGCAGAAATAGTTGTCTTACAGTTATACTACACTTACGAGCTAAAACGTTATTTCTTTCCCTGTACTAAATGTTGGGCGGATATGCATGCACCACATATCATCGCGTTCCATTCCAGGCCACTCCTCCGGAGGCATTGGATAGTCCTCTATAAGCAGCATATCGTCTTCATGGTTCAACATGAACACCAGAATGATCCTCCTCCCCGCGCCAAACGCTTGGGCAAGGACTCCGGCATACTCGGGCCTACTGCGAGTGGGCCCCCAAAGCTCGGTGAAGCCTGAAGGGCAGTGGGTCTGCGTCGGAGAACTCGATTTCCGAGGCCTGGACAGAATTCCCTAGCTCCCCCACACAAGTAGAACAGGACCGCGTTAGTGCGCCAAAGCGAGTTTTCTTGGCCTCGGTATACAGTTCAAGTGTTTGCACGACCTGAAATTAAGGTTGACATGGGGAGCAAGTGAGACAAGTTCAAGACGCACTGAGACTAACTCTACAGAAAGCAACAACAGCTAAGCAAAACACGATTGACTACAAAATAAGTGAACAATATGATACAACACTGCTCCTTCCAATCACGAGAAGCGCACTTTCCGCCGCGACGTGGTCTCTGAGACTGAAGCCTCACTTTCGTGTCGAGGAACGACTATCTTCTGTCGTTTTGGCGGCGATTGGCCATCCGTGTCATCAGAAAAACGGATTTTTCTGCGAGCAGGTGGTGTCGGCGGCGGAGTGTGTTCCAACGGGTAAAACGGCATGTCTACGTCTGCTTCCTGCTGGAGCGCATTGTCAGGTTCCCCAAACTTCACAAGTGGCGCTTCAAAGCTGGGGACATCCTCCATCGGAGTTTCTGGGAGGAATTTCGGATTCTAAAGAAAGTCAAACCGGACAATCAGGGAGAACAGGCGTGTACCGCAATGTACGACCGGAATCCAGCCTCTTCAATCAGCTTCGGCATCTGCGCGACATCCTGGAGGGCCTTGCGTCTGGCGGCCATGGTCTCCTCAGCAGTGGCGCGTATCGCAAGTGTTTTGACTATGGAAATGGTCAATCATCGACATAGGCTCGAGCGACAGAGGAACCGACCTGTGATAGGCCGTGTTTGGCCAATTCGATGGCACCGCTTGATTGCCTGGCTCTCCACGTCGGGACGCCAAACGGGCTCGCAGAAGATGATGCGTGAAGCACTGACGAGATTTCTGGGACGAACAATCAGCAAGCGTATGAAGTATGATGAAGCACCTACAAGCCACGGGCGCCAAGTTTCAACTCAGCGAGGAAGACGCGGTACTTTTCTGATGTCTGAAATGTCAAGACCATTTGCGTCCGTACATCGGCCTTGATCTGGTTAGAGAAATACAAGTAGTCAACGCCGATCAGCTCTACGGCTTCCTTGATGTGGGCCAATGTAAGCACAGAGTCGGAGAAGATAAGGAATTTTTCCGTCTTGGAGTATTGAAGAATCTGTCTCGGAGTCAGCGAGAAAGGAGCAAGTGGATGTTCGGGTTCTCGCCTCGTTGATGATATAATTCAACTTGCTGCTCGTTGTCGTTCCCAGCTTCGCCTGGCCGATGTGTGAGCGTGCCAGCAGGATGGATGGGGGATCTCTAGTTTCGGTGTCCATCGTGATACCCAACTCAACTTGCTCCAAGCTCTTGTGGATCTCCGTTACCGTCTTCGCATCCGAGGAACTTTTAATTGCCTCTGTGGCCTTTGCTTTCCTCCTCGACTGCTCGTGACTTGCCCCTGAGCTGCCTGTGGATTTTCCCTTCATAGCTTGTCTCTCCCTCCTCTCCACTTCGGCGCGCCATTTCACATCCTCTTCCACTTGTTCTCTCCCTGCCCGGCAAATAGCCTCTTCGCTCGCCAGAGGATGGCTGACCATCCAGTCACGAAGTCTCTTGATACGGTCAGCGTGGATGTAAAGCGCGCCGTTTGCTATTGTCCGGGACCATATATCCATGATTGGCTTCACCACATCCGTCAGCTGGTAGGGGACATCTTCATGGGTTTGAATTGCACGCCACAACGGGTCATTGAAAGCGGTTCCGCTGTTCTATGTGAGCAACACTCGAACACAATAGATGACCGGCTCACTAATGTCGGATGCTGTTTTCCAACAGTAAACGGTCCTCCGAACCTGTTGTTGGGCTTAGTTTCCCCCGCAATTTTGCACCACCATCACTGATGTTGTCCGCAGCGTGGTACATGTCGGCGTCCACGCCCCAGAATAGTATCCTACAACGACTTTAAATATGACAGTGAAACAGGATGAGACTGACTGTGACATGTTTTGCATTGCTACGGCAAGCAGGTTTGCGTTCTAACCCATATTGGCAGTCAACTTTTTGGAAAAACCAATGCTTACTCGTGGATGAAAGAGATAGTCCTACAAAACAAGTCAGATTATGTATGGATACTAGTAGACCAACCAAATCTTTGCGCTCTGAGGTTATTGCGTTGATGGCGATTGAAGCCTGCATTGCATTATAGGACTTGACGGCGATTGGGTGGAGCTGAAGAAAGACGAGTTCGTGTGTGACGGGAGGTAGGACGACCTCTTCTTCGACGTCCGCAATGCTTCAATCGAGTATGAGCACAAGAAGAGCGTATTTTTTTTGGTCCACTCACCGATGTCTTAGCATTACTGACGCCATTAGCTGCTTCAATACTTCAATGGCACCAGGACGTGGTGACTTTCGCGCGCTACCTCTCCCGTTCAGCAAGGGCTCCCTGACATGTGATTCCATAAGACTTGGTTTCGCGAGTAATTGTGGCACTCCGACGAAATGAGTGATCATGATGCCGAGTTTGTTCAGATCTTCGCCATCTTCACGAGTCCATATCCGCTCACCAGTTAAGGTCAAGGAGTTATCATCATTGGAAAGCGAAGTTGCTCGAGAAGACTCAATTGATTCCGAGTCACGTGCGAGCGCATCGAACGACACCACTTTCTTGCCGAGGCTCAAGCCTAGCAGGTTTGTAGTTGGGGTTCCCGAGACAATCCAACGACGCTCAACACTCAACGACTTTGTGAACCCGGTCAACTCTGTTGCGAGTGTCGCTGATACATGACCTTCGTCGATGATCAGTCGTTTCCATCGAACGTGTCGCAGTGGAGAGGAGGCAGGTGCTGTGCAAACACATCGCGGCACCCGGACATTGTGATATTCGGCGCAGGAGCAGCCAGTCCATGGACTAGTTGTGGAGTTGTCTTTCGAAGCCCTACTTTCAGCAGTAAACCCTGCAAAAAAGTGTCAATGATCAGCAGCCATAAAGACCATCCGTACGTGAGTAGGTCATTAGGATTATCTACACGTTAACGTTGTAAGCACAGAAATTGGACTTTTGAAGCTTACGTCATATTCTGATGCCAGTATCCGTGCAGGCAGCATGGCTTCAGTGCCTTTCAGGACGCAAACCCTGACATGGTCTTCACAATGTAAAGATATTTCCTGGGTCCATTGGAGCAGAAGATTGGGGGGCACTGGCCAATGAGTTAGCGATCTAATGGTGTAGTGAACGGGGATTACAAACCAACAACCAACGACGCTGAGGTAAGATAGAGCATAAACGGCCCAGCTTGCTTAGCCCCGACCTGATTCCTCCGGTTGGTTCGCTCGTAGTCTATTGGCTCATTCTGGTAGTCAAGGTAGAATGGGATATTATTTTGCTTTGGTCCATTATACTGCTCCAGGTCCTCGACTGCCTCTTTGAGCTGCTCATAGCGTTCAGCTCTGGATGGGGGCACCGATACCACAGGCTCGACGGCCAACTTGTGCAGCAGAAGTTCGACAAGTGTTGGCACGCATTGACGACTATCTCTTGGAGGAAGCGCTTTGCGGTTGTTCAAGAGTAAACGGGCTCGTGCCGCGGAGAACTCTGACCCCGGGAAATGGCGGAGGGCTACGGGTGTTAAAATGGGCCGTGTATCGAGCATCGACGGTTCCGGTGTCGATATTTCGGTTAGAGTAAACAATATCAAACCCAAGCACATAACGGTTTTGCCCGTTCCTATATGCCAGAGGATTAGTTTATGTCCGGCTTGCAATTGGCTCATACCAAGCTCCTCGCACAAGATTCCACCTCTGGCTGAGTCAACCTTGGGCCGTTCGATCAATACTTCCATGGTACCAGGCTGGAAGTAAAACTCTTGCGCGTTCATGCCTTTCACTGGCAAGAACAACGGATCTGGTTCAGCAGTTGAATTTGATTTCGACTCCTTTTCCACCATAGCAGCAATCGTGCGTCGTTGGTAGCGATGTAATGTCGAGCGGAGCCCCAAATTGTTGAGTGGATCGTCATAGTTGAGTAGACGACGTGTTATTGGTGTTGAGGTTGCAGTGATACTCCCTGAGGGTGAAGGGAGAGCCTCGTAGAGCTCCGTCAAAGTTGTTGCCTAATGATTAGTGAGATTTTTTCGGCCATTTTTTCAACTCAATTGTTTGCTTACAGTATGTGTAGGAGTTGATGTCGGTGCTAATTCGAGTCGGCCATCCCAGCTCGCAATCGTGCGATTAAGATTGGGCAGTAAGTTCGCAAGAATACCTCTGGCAGACGTTAAAAGAGGCTCTGCTCTATTTCTCAGCTTCCCTTGTGCACCAGGCAGGTCATACGGGATGAGATATATGCGAATGAGCACCGTGTCGTTCCGTGGCGCGGAATAGGATGCAGATATAAATTGGTGGCTAATGAGAAGTCGGAGACCAGTAACAACAGAATAGTCTTCCGGCCTCCTGATATACTTGAGAAGAGCATCTAGACTGAGGATCGTCCAACCGTCTTCGGACTCCGATTCACGGCGAATTTGAGAAAAGGAATTTGGCTCTATGGGCACAGATAGCGTGCCATATGAGAGAAACCTCGAGGTTGACCATATAGTGCCATTCATAAGCAGCGTTTAAAGATATACGAGCCCGTCGTCGATTAGACGTCGAAAGAGTTTCGAGTTTAGGAGTCAGTGTGGTCACCACCGTGACCACGTCACGCCGCATCCCGTCACAGCTTTCTCGTCTTGCGATGCAAAATTTCGCGTCCGCGTTGCGCCAGCCATGGAGGAACATTGGCCGTAATGCTCAAACCCTACGCTTTAACTCCACCACATCAGGGTCCAACCCAACCTGGACGGAGTATTTCGCGCTGCGAAAACGGCGGCGACAATTCCAAACAGTGTGTTGATTCTTGCACTCATTCCATTCTCATTTCTAACGTGATAGGCGTGTACGATTCCCTGCGCAATGTTCGGCTTTCTTGGGGGATCAGCTTACTTTGGCTCGTTAGAAACAGATCCAACAAAGCCTGTTATGGCGCGTCCTGTTTTGCTCTCTCGATTCGTGTTCTCATATCCACCTAGGGTGTTGACCCCATGATATTCTATGGGGGCTGCGTCATCCTTTGCATGGGCGAGTCGTTTTGTTGCCTGTAACCCAGCTTTCTAACCGCTTCTCAAGGTACCGGCTGGTTAGTTGGACCCACTCTTGGCTCGTCCGTTTGGAGAGTCTTCAATCGAACAAGTGTCACCCATATAGATGCTCTCGACCGCGAATTCTACAAACACATTGCTCGCAACCGGGTTGACGCAACCTTACAAAGTGCGACGAATCCAATACCAGACTACTACGGTACACCTCTCTCTCTTCTAATCCGTGTGAATGATTCAACCCTCTTCCCCAGGCGAGAAGGTTGGATCGCTGGCGCAATATAGACAAGTGCGTATCCTACGCTGCATTCCTTCCTTTATAACTGAGGTTTCAAAAAGTGGCTTCGGGACCAAAACAAATACCGACGAAAGGCAGCACCATTAAAGGAAGAGTAGCATCCATTAGTCCAAATTCTGTTTACTCGACCAATGCTATTGTGCAAATCTACATCCCGCGTCTCAACTTGGACTTGTATTGCTGTCGAGAGCTTCATTTGTCCCCCTTCGTTCAGCAGGGGTACCACTAGTGGGCAGCATGTCAAATCGTCAAATCCGCTCATTGTTTGTTTGTCGAAAGCTCCGACATTTGAGAAAGTTCCACGTCCTCAAACGGGCAACCAGAACTTGAGAGCATCCTGGCCTTGACCATTGATTCCAGAAACAGCACTCAACACTGCTCGTATCCCTCGTATTGTGGTGAATGCTCTCAGCCCGATGGCACTCAGCAGCGCCCCAACGATCACTAGCAAGAAAACCGAGCCCGTGATACTGAAAGCGAGAATGCCTGGAGCGGTCGTTGATGGTGCATCCAGGGTAGGGTCAAAGCCGTCAGTCCGGTTGAGAAAGAAAACGGTGAGGTTGAGTATAATCAAAGAGGCAATGACAGCGAGTGTGGACGAGAATAAGAAAACGCTAAGACGGCATGAGTGGAAGTAGGTTAGCAGGGAATAGAGTAGATACCCAATAATAATAGTCCAAAAACGCTGACTCGCAAAAATTGCCTCGCGTTGAAAGTTGGCTCCCCAGTTGAGCACGATTTGGATGATAACTGGGAGTATGATACCGCATATGAAAAAGGGGAAGCAGTAGCACATGAGCCCGACATCGCCTCTCGTTGCTCTTGGTATAACGTGAGCTCAGCCAATTTCGATTCAATCATCATCGTACTGGAACACAGTCGAATATATCAAGCCTGCCCCAAGGGTGGAAATGATGATAAGCGAGTTCGAAAGATGGGTTGTGATTTGGAGCATGAGCCTGCACCAGTCTCGAAAACCTCGAAAGTAGGTCAGCTCCGCCGTTGCTTGCGTCTTGATAAGATGTGTGTAGCGCGCAAGGTCATCTTCAACCTCTTGCAACTGTAGTGCCGTGTTAGCCTGAGGAATAAGCACTGACTGCGAGAGACAAACATGGGTCCGCAGCTTCTGTGTTCGCGTTATGCTCTCACAATACTCGTCAAGGAGGAGCGTTTCCTCCTTTGTCAGACAGGTCTTTCCCTTGCTACCTGGGAGAGCATCCAGGACATCGTATGCGTGGATGCTGCAGACCGGAGTCGTTGTGAGCTGACTGGAGGCTTCATTATTATGGGACTGTTGGTCCGGAAGCGTGAAGAAAGCCTGTACAGTTGCTTCATCGTCCCATCGCTCTGGCGGTTCGCTCAAGTTGAGGGTATGGTAAAGGTCTTCGAGTTGGGAGATGCGATGGGAGCGAGATATAAGATACTGATGTTACATGCCGTTAATGGCGGACGAGAAGGAGGAGAGGAGAACATACCAATTGCTTCACCCGTTTTCTGAGTTTGTTGTACCCTTGGACTTGTTCAAGGAACGTCGTGGCAAAGTATTCCTGGTCATAAGTTCAGAACAAGACTGGCTAGCATCGATGTTTGACTGACCTGCTTGTCCTTGAACGCGTCCGATCTCGTTGGGGCCACCAGGTGCCAGAATCGTTGTTTGACTGTTTCTAGTCTGAATCCGAAAGAATGACCAAAGAATCACAACTAACTTGCCTGAGACCAGGTCAAGTGGTGGAAGCGTACACTCGGAGATTCAACGCGACGTAGGGGCAGGTGCCATTGGTCAAGGTTTTGCGTTTGGTTTCTAGTAGGCGGCATGATGATGAGTCACGGATGGCCAGCAAGAACAACGGCTCACCTTTCGTATATATCATGAAAGGGATATGATAGTCGCCGAATGCTGTTCAAGTCTGCGGAGCGGGTAGCCAGCGAACGGGGATTCTATCACCGGCAAGTGGGAGTACATAAGGCAAGTTGTGAATCGACATTGCATCCCGGCAAACTTGCGATGCTGTGTTGGCTGCAAGTGGAGCACGAATGCATAGCTTTCGAGGTTCATCGACGTCGTCGCATGGCCTCAGTCGGAGCTCTTGCACGTTAAATCCGACATGGCGTACAACGGGTTACGATGTAGTGGTTAGATGCAAAGGAGGTGTGCTTAGTAATGCAGGTCAACTCATGGCAAAAAGAAATCCATTCCAGGTTCTATTTAGGCGCTTTGGAACACTCTACGGTGTGCTCCAAAGTCGGTGGGTATACCAACTACGAAGAACAAGAGATGAGAGAGAGGGAGAGAGAGAGTAAAAAGAAAAGAAAGAAACAATAAGCAATCCATCCAATATCGTGGCAGCCTGACTGTGTCCAATACGAAGAGCCGTATACCGTAAAGAGAGACCGAATAGTGACGAAGATACCGCTGCTGCTCACCGTTTGCCAACCCTTGTTGCTCTTCTAACTTTGCCAAAACCGATCCTTGACGTTCCCAGATACTCGCACTTTTGAAGGAAGCCGTAAGCACAGCGTTGACACACTTGAGACTAAAACACGTCTGCCCTCGCCGTGGGCGTGTCGCTGTTGCTTCTTTGTCGGCAGAAAAAGCGTGTGGAATGCATCACGCTTTCCCCCTTCTTGCTGATCATGGTCGGGTCAAGGTCCTTTGTCGATTGAGGCGAAGAGCGAGGGGAGGTAGGGTTGGCAGCAGCAGTTCGTCAATTTACGCCCTCTTGCGGCCGTGCTTCTTCTTCTCGCCAAGGTCAATCTTCACCTGTTTGCCTCTCCGGTACCGCTTCTTTTCGCGAGTCCGTGTGCTTTGGCGGATGTATGGGGTTGGCGCAGGAAGCTCAGCGTCGGTGTCGGTGTTGGGCTGGTGGGTTGATTCGACCTGAACATTATTAGCAGATGGCAAAAGGAAGAAAATGCTAAAAACCTTGGCGAGACCAGAGCAGGTGAGTTTTTCGACAAATTCATGATTGGTGACTTCGAAGAGAAGAGTGGCTCCTTCGAATGTAATCTATGGTAATCAGCATAAGCAACTCGAGGATTTCGAAGTAACGCACCGTGAAGAGAAATGCTTTAATCCGATTCTTAATTAGGGCTGAAATGGTTGCCTTGAATCGGCGAGTGTTGTTGGTGAGAGGCCGTGCTGTGGTAATTCCGAGAGTACTGGCCTTGTTGGTGATCCAGGCAACGGTGAAGACACGGGTTGCGGTCAAGCCGAGAAAATGGTGCAATTTAATTGCAAGTGGGTGGACTTTGTCCGTTATGGACACGGCAGTTTTATATGACAGCCAGCCGACGATGAAAATGGATAATACAAGGGCAGTCCGGACCAAGGTGAACAGATGATGCAACTCGGCCGAAAGTGTGTGAAATGTGGTCGATATGCTAGACCAGATTGACTTGGCCATATAGAGATTTCGAATGGCAATGCCTCGAATGACGACAGAAAGTTTTGATCGTACGACCACTGCCTGGCTGCTTACGACCAAGATAGGCCGTATAGCTAAGGCGTTAAACTCGAGAGCAAGGAATCGGTCACATTTGATCAAGAGGTATAGAACTTGCGACGCGACTATGGGAATGAGAGACCCAAGTGTTTGGCAGAGGATACGAGGCCAATTCTGGACAATAGATAAGCAAGTGAAAGAGAGAAAACAAGAGGAAACGAACAGCGAGAAAGACGCCAGCGAGGATCATGCTCTCGTCGACGACATATAAAATTTGACGACCTATCGACAGCACCTTGCAGAACGCGCATTCGAAAAACGGCGAAGACTTTATGAGAATGAGAAGGGCGAGGACAGTGACGAGTTCGATGAGGGAGACGTCGAGCTGAGATTATATTAGTCGTTGATTAAACTGGACAAACGAGCGACACACCAAGAACACGAGACATTCGAGGTCGCTTATGTTAAACTGCACGGATACCAGATTCTGTTGGGCCTATACGACGAAGATGAGAATGTGCACAACAAGGCTGAGACGGGAAGTACCTCGTGCAGAACATAGACCAGATAATCGACGTTTCCTTCTTGAAAGACCTCGCCAGCAACGATGAGCCACTTTTCCCAGTCAGTGACTGAGACATTGTTGTCCTGGACATGAGCGAGGTGGCTCGCTCCCCAGTCAAGGGTAGGAATACCGATGACTGAGGGTGTGGTCCAATTCGCGCGAGAGAAACCAATCGAAATTGGTTCCTCGTTGAAGAGGCACACTGGGAAGGTGCGCACAACTTCGAGAATGATGACGAGGGTGGGGAGGAAGGGAAGGAGGGCGGAGCTGACATCGACACCAGGAGTGTCGACGCTGCTGAAAATAGATACAAGAGAGGCAAACGCAAGTGTAAGCTTTCTGAGGAACATCGTCGTTCAGATTCAGAAGAGAATGGACTGTCACGGCTCCCGTCACCAGCATTTTATAGTGGCTCGCCAGGCGGTGCAGAGGACGCAGCAGCAACGCGAAGCTCGCAAAATGGCGCGCTCCAGAGTCGGGAGCATTCAGGAGCATAGCTGCCAGGAGTCTGGCGACAGCGGGCAATGTCATTCGCTTTGTTTGAAGGCGGATGTCAATGAAATTGCTCGCCACTTGTCAGTCATCTAGCCTTCGACTAGGATTTCGACTGAAGACTTGAAAGTGGCCCATGCGGGCCATGTCATTGATGTTGGCAACTGGCGAGTTTTTGTTTGCGCGCGACGAGTTGACGATGAGGACTATAAACCATGTAATTCAGGAATCCATCCCTTGTCGTTGGAGAGGCTGTCTCCTCAAGGTTCAATGACGGCCAGCCATAGTTGCAAGAATGAAGATGATTTCCTCTGCACTCGCCATAACAAATATGTCGGTCAGACGCATCAATCGCCGTGAGATTGTCCTTGGAGTCCGCTAACCACCGTGCCGAAGCCCAACGCGAAAAAGTGTGGCCGCCAATGGGTATCCTACAACCCAGGACGGTGTTGGTGCCCGGTATGATGCTACTGAAACCTTGTGCAGGCTTTCGCAGCAGACATACTCAGATTCAGACTGGTCGGTCCTATACCAGTATGTCTTTTCAACTTGAATTCTCTTCAAAGATGTTGAACACGCACCAGTGATGTTGCTTTCATAAAAAGTCGAACATTTGGGTTGTCTCGACAATGTCCGTCAATACTATCCCGAAGTCAGCATTTTTTCTCCTCGAAAGCAGAGACATTACTCACATTGTCAGCAAGTTTCCTTATTCCCCACACGAAGTAAGTATCCACGAAATAGTCCAGTTCATCTGCACTCATCAATGGGCCTCCTCATCCAAGACACTTGCTTGACCGCCTCAGCCCACAAAAAGCTCAAGCGAAGCACCTGAACTAGACTGCGGCGGTCCAACCGCAGACCCAAAGTCGACATCCTTGCACCTTCGCCATACAGCCCACATATTGCGCCGGGTTTCGTCCCTGATCGATGTCCTGGATCATGCAAGCTTGTTCCGGCACTGACGCTTGTTATTCAGACCGGCCTTGTGCGTTCACGAGGCTAACGAAAAACATTGCCGTCGGATAGATGCAGGTGAAACACTGCTTTTGGTTGCCTTTGGATCGCGACATTGGGAGAGGAGCATTGAGACGAATGAGAGTGAAAGGCAAGTGATGGTTTTCCATCAGATAGTCACGGTATTCCCACGACTCTACAAGCCTGAGTTCTCGGTTCGGAGTACCCACTGGCTGCTCGATGGAGACTTTTCCGTGCTTATGCGACTCTTACATTGACACCAGACAGATATAGAGTCCATATCGAGTTATTTCCGATAGATACAATTTTTTTCCCGCTTCACCCAACGACACCATGCTCTCTCTTAGCTCCAGTTCTCAAATACTTTACTAGTACTTGCCACCCGATATCTACATCCAATCAATTAACAAGTCGCGGTTACAAGAGTCGCAGGCAACTCACCGTCGCCTTGTTTGCAGCAATGATATGCCCTTTGCCGCCTGTCGCATCAAGGTCGGAAAAGTCCCATGTGCCCGAGCACGCCCCACAGTCTACTACAACTGTATAGGCTGATGAAGTGACCGAGACAGAGGTGGTTCCACCCGTGAATGAGACTCCCCTGGAGACGAAAGCTTCAATGAGCGAGCCAAGGACTAATCATGAACCACTCACGAGATGGGTGCGCCAGTTCCGGGAGTGCCGTCGTTGTCAGGGTAGCTTTGGCTAATCAAGACACCATAGTCGGTGATACCTGAAACGGTGTTGCTGTCGAGGAGATTGAGAAAATTTTGCATCGAGGTTGATAGTGCTTATACTGACGCCTCGTAGGTCACCCCACTAACACTTGCAGAAGTCGCATCGGCATCAACCTTGATGCGCAGTCCATAGAGGCCACCAGTAATTGTGTTTCTTGCAATCTTGACATTTGAAACCGTCTTCCCAGAAGCGATAGAGCCAATGGAGATTCCATGGGAGCCTATGCACGTCGAGTCCTCGATTACAAGGCTAGAACCGGAGTTGATAGCAACACAGTCGTCTTGGTTGTTGACTGTAACTTGGGAAAGGGTGACATCGGAGGCGGAAATATCGAAACCATCAGTGTTGTGGCCCAGAGACCCCGCGTTGCCGGCAGCTGTAAGATTTATCGGTTTTGAGTTGTTGCTGACAGAAACAAACCAAACAGTTGTCAACAGTAACATGTTCGATGACGGTCGTGTCGGTGGTACCAACCGAGATCGCTTGGGCAGGCGAATTCAATACCGTGACAGAGGAAAAAGTGCCAGAGCCCTTGAATCTGCGTTTCGATTAGACAAAGGACATAGAATACAAGTGACACAAACTTGACAAAAAGGGTGGGGTTTGGTAACACCTCCGTTTGTGCCTTGTCCATCCCAATACAGAGCGCCATTTCCCTGTCGATTTCGTCAGTTCAAATACCTGACGATGATGTGAAGAGCCGCAGCGCACATCTGCGAGTGAAGGTAAGAGAAGTCAAACGGGCTGCGAGCAAGACAAACTGATGTTGTGGTCTCCGCCATTGAAGTTTATGTTCTTGGTGTTGAAAGTCAATAGCGGGCCAGATGCTAATGTGAGTTCTCCGTAAATATCATCATGAAACAACCCTGGAGTCAAGCACTAACAAGTAGTCTTCGAAAACACGATGTCCCCCGTCATGGTAACAGTTGCGCCGCTTGCTGCCTAAAAGTCAAGTCAATATCGCGACGGAGTCAATGAAGGAGAAATACACACAGCTATGGTAACAGTCTCCCCAGATGGGACGGTGAAGCCTGTAATCACGACAGTGGAGCACGACGAAAGATTTGAAGCGCTAGAGACGCTGTTGACCGTGCATGTCGCGCGTTTGGCCGTGTCCGTACGCGAAGCGGTATGGTTGCTAGGCAGTGCGACAACCAATGCAACAAGGGAGGCAAGCACGAAAAACCCACGAATCATGCTGACTTGCTGTCGATCCATCGGTCAAACATGGACGGGCTTTTATACCAGAAAAACGACCTGGCGGACCGCTACAGCCAGAGGATAGGAGCCACCTGAGCCTCGTCGTAATCTGCGACGGGCCGCCAGCAACTCCAAACGGAGCGACGAGATGCTTCCTCAGCATCTAAGCTACGATTCGCGACTCTGTTGGCAGATCAAACGCTGGAGCGAGCAATCTTGACCCTTGCGGCGGGCCACAAGATCGAAGGATTCGCCGATGTTGGAGTTCGCTGCACCGTGGCGATATTTTCGTGCTATGACCATGTGAGATTAATTTTAGCACGCTATTTTCGACAGACAGACCAAATCATTCACAGTCGTGGTGGTTTGGCTTGCTAGGACACTGGATAGAGACATTGAGATGACAGGAGGATAAGTTTTTAGAGTTTAGAACGAGGGCAAACTGTAAGCCCTGTAGAGCTCCCTGTAGATTGTAGTCGCATGCGAGACTCAAGAGGGAATGAAAGTTTCGATGTGCGGGGGTTTTTCGGTTGAAAAGCCATTCCTGGTTATAGCGTCAGCTTTGGACCGAGGCTTCAATGTGCATATGACGACTTGGAGCGTGCGGATACTAGGAGTTGTGAGCGGGTTGGATGGCAATTGCAGTGATCCTCGGTATGAAGTGGCTGCTTGAGGTATTGGCAAATGTGATGGCGATGTTGGTGTTGCCCGGGAGTATGGCCAGTAGTTGTGGGACCTATGGCCATTCAAGTTCGAGTTCAAGTTGTGAGTCATCAGAGTTTTGTCATCCAGTCCGAGTCACATGCCTGCCGGCCGTCATGCGTAGGTGAACCAAACGTGAACCGCCATTGTGAATCGTCAGAGCTTTGTCATTTAGCCATGGCGGCACCTGCCGCCGGCACGCGAAGCTTGCGCGTACATAGGCCAGTTGTTGCAGTTGGCATTTGCTTCTTGCCAGTGATACAAGTTTCCTGGACCGTCGGTTTCTCCGTCACTAAATGACAGAGCTTTTTCCAATATCGTCCCTTCGACTAGAAGCGGGACCGGAAGGAGCTCAACCAGAACGTCAGTCGCAGATCTACAATGTCCTAGCAAGAAACAAACTGATACTTTTTTCAGTAGGCTTGTGCGTAGAACCTGTTGAAGGCAAGAGCCAAGTACAAATTATGAGCAGAATGACCCCAAGGCCCGCTCCTTTACCGATTCGGCGTGCTCTCTATGGCGAAACCCCATCCGCCAACACTCAATCTCACCCCTTGCGGCATCGATGGTTCAAATTGGACTATAATCTGGGAACTCTACCCGCGGGTAAATGGATTTTTGTTGAAGATGGTAAATTTTTCATTGCCGAAGAATTTGGCTCGGTTCTCCGCAGATTCAAATGCTCTCCGTCTTGTGCTATTGAAGACTGTGTAACGGACACCGGCAAGCCTAACGCACCACCACAAACCGTAATCAGAGCATGGGAGCTGTTAGACACCCGTGTGGGTTTACTGGATAACATATTCATGAACGACATTGGCATGGCCTTTTCATACGGTACTCGTGTTGTTTTTCATGTCGCAGCAAGTGGAATTTTCGGCCGAGGATACGTTGTGGATGCAAATGAAAGACGAGCGCTCATAAGAGTCGCTGTGGCGGGAAGGAGTATCGATGGACAAGCAAAGGACTTGGTACGACTCCTCATGACACCAGCAAACGTTGGCGATATTGTGGAGGTTCCCATCGCACAGATTCGACGACATATCTTCGCTCGTGATTGCCAACCGACTGCGGGGGAATGCGTAGAGATGAAGGGGGGAATACTGGCCCAAGTTGAAAAGGTGGAAGACAATAACCAAAACCCTCTGGTGCATGTCCGTCAAAAAATGAACGAGAGACCATGGGTGGTCGGGATTTCTTCCATACGGAGACATTTCGAAGAAGGGGACGAAATCTATGTTGGTGGTGGTGCATATTGGAATCGAAGTGGTATCGTGACGCGAACAATCTTTTTGAACGGGGATGTGAAGAATGTCGGCGCATTAGAAGTGCAAATGGTAAGCGGAAAGTGCGCGTGCAAAGGAATGGTTGATCAGGCTCACACAGATAGAGGAAGGAGGCAAAGAAATTTCCGTATGGGCTTGCGTTCTGATCAGGTTCAAGTTGTCGTTAACTAGGTCAGGTCATGGTGTTAAGTGCAGATGCCATGGTTTTGAAGCCCTCAGCATTGCGAGACAGCTCATTTGACGAAGAATGCGAGCAGAGAGTAGTTGGACCAGATGCCATGGTTTTGATGCCCTCAGCATTGCGAGTTGACGAAGAATGCGAGCAGAGAGTAGTTGGACCAGATGCCATGGTTTTGATGCCCTCAGCATTGCAAGACGGCTCATTTGACGAAGAACGCGAGCAGAGAGTAGTTGGACCAGATGCCATGGTTTTGAAGCCCTCAACATTGCAAGACAGCTCATTTGACGAAGAACGCGAGCAGAGAGTAGTTGGACCAGATGCCATGGTTTCAGTGATGCCCTCAGCATTGCAAGACAGCTCATTTGACGAAGAACGCGAGCAGAGAGTAGTCGTGATCGGACCAGATGTCCATGGTAATCTTGACAGCGTTAGTCAGCCTGGCGTTGTCTTGCCAAGGAACAGCGTAAAAGGGAGCGTTGCTGTGTTTTTGGACCAGCGAAGGGGATGTCAGCTTTCCCATGCACGTTACTTTCCAGAGCAGAGTTTGTATCGCTTTCCGGGCAACAACAATTGACAATCAATTTTGCTTTGAATACTCACTAGTAATATAATGTGCGACGCGAACTCTGAGTTGGAAGTTGAGTTTTAGCTTGCCTTGAAGTACCAGTAGTCGGTGGCCACAGTAGGTCATGTTTTGTGATCGAATTACTTGGTAGTAGTTCTTGAACCTTTTATTTAATGTTCTACCCTATATAGTTCATATATGCATGCATAAACTGACCTTGTTATATGTCGAGACAAAACTCCCCGCCAAAAGCGTCCTCCCATAGGTCCACTTCCTTGAATCCTTTGACACCAATATCCCATCCATTGGCGAGTCGAAGTTGTGTCAGTACGCTGAAGGCGGCTTGAAGATCGGGAGGGGCAACAAGCATAAAGGATCGCAGCGGAGCGAATACCGCGCCTGGCAGTCCTCCAAAACGAAGAGAAACCATCGTGACGAGTAGTGTAAGGTGGTGGTGCGGGTACATCGAGATTCGGAGATGCTCCATTTGTGGAAGACGCACAACACCAGCTTGTGGCGTGAGCAGCTCTACCACATTGTCGACCATGGCGGTCGACCGCAGAAGGTCCAGTGTTAAGTCTGTCAGCTGAGCAAGGACATTGAACATGTTCTGGAGCGTTGGACGGTCGATGTAGACATCGCCACAAATTCTGAGCACACGGAGATTTGGGAAATAGCCGGGGAGATTCATATTTGGCAGTCGGGCAAAGAGGTTCGGCCTTGCGAAGGGATTGACGACACGAAGGTTGAGGCCACGGAGGTTGGGAAAGTCGAAATGATGCAAGAAGCCTTGTCCATGGGTTCGCAGGATGTCGGATTCTACGCGGAGACTGGCATACTCGAGCCGGTCGTAGGCAAACTCCCACGGTTGGGGACCGATATTTGGATCGGTGAAAACATCGGCGATGTCATCTTGGAAGCAGTATCGAAGGCGAACAACGGAATCCAACAGGTAAACCAGTTCATCCTCCTCCACGTCGTTTGAACAGTAGTTGTAATACCGCTGCAGGTTGCTCGTTTGGAATATGTCCATCAGAGGCCGATAATTTTCGCCGTGGTTGAATGACTCAACTTGCTGGCCCGAGTCAAATTTCACGACATTCTTTAGCAGCGGAAACTTGATTTGCGACCACTCGATGCTAGGGCCGACGGAAGTGGGAGATGCCATATGTAGACAGTATGCGTCAAAATAGATGGTGACCCAGCGACTCGATTGTTGTAGTAGTTGGGCGAGAAGCACGTGTCGCGTCGAATACTCGTAGGTGAGCACGATTGTAAGTTGACAAAGACCTGAGCGTTGGAGGTAGGTTGCGATGAGTTGCAGGGCCCGAGATTCTGCTGACTGGTCTGCGGACTGGACTAGATCTAGAAACGACCATAGCCTGGAGTACCCGATTGCTGCTTGCCTCCATTGTCGACAAACATGGCTTATTCCCAAAGAAAACATAGCAGGGATAGTTGGTCCATTGGATGGCCGGGCGAATCGTTTTTCCTCAGGGAACGGAATTGAGTGAAGAAATATCTCGCTCAAGATTTCGGGTGCGAGTGTCATCCACTGGGACAAGGCGCTTTTAGGACATTAAGCGTGATTTTATGTGGGTGGGAGGAAGCTTACCCTGTGGAAATGCTTGCCATGGTGAAAAAACCTCAAAATGCCACCTCACAACTGATAACCGCCCTACAGTGTTCAATATGACTTAATTCGCCCCTTGGGCGCAGTACTCTGCAACTTGGTCAGCGTACAATGCTGAGGGAACCTGAGGCGAGTCAGCAAGAAGTGGAGGAGGTCAAGATGTCGCCATCAGATGGATGTAATTTTCAGGTTATATCGGGCCGGAGACCGTCGTTGTCATGTCGTAGCTACGAGTCACTTGGATTTGGTAGAAGGACGGCGCACGCTTGGTACTTGGTGGTTCAACATTGTGTCTCTGGTCAATGACAACGATGCTTAGTCAGCTTGGCCTCTCTTCTATCATACGGCATTTCCTTGACTCTGGATCAATTGCAGCACTTTCGATATACTCAAACTTGTGTTAAATTGCGAGCGTGGAGACAAACAACCGCCAAGATCGCAAAAAGGAAAGTGGTTCTAAGCGCAAGTGCAACAGAATGTCTATTTTCTAGGCCTCTATCAACAACCACCGTTCAGCTTGCTCTTGGGGACAGGCTGCTTGTAGTCGTCATGCCACGTGGTGAGGTTGGGGTTTGTGTACGCCTCCAGGTACCTGACACTGATTCAGCAAGGGCTGCTACAGAATTCATAAACAGACGTGTTGATATATGCAGCAGTGGGTCTTTCCGCTGGATCGCAACCGATGTTGATCTTGTCTTGGGGTTGGTAGACACGGATCCAGTCAACACGCATCGTTGCGGGGAAGATGAGTTTGTCGAAGTCGATCCATGAGAACGAATGCGAGAAGCCAAGATTGACAAGGATGTACTTGACAATGATGAGCACTGATGTAAGTGGACTGAAGAAAGAGCGTACCAGCGGCTCTTGTGTGATAGGACGGGCCGAGATCTCCGTTGCAGCGTCCGCACCAGCTGCTGCCGCTCTCATGGTCCAGGAAACCTGATCACAAGTAAGGTTATTAAGGAATCAAATTGGCAGCAGATAGCATGCCTTGTTGTCCGAAACCCACGTAACATACTGCGGCAGAGTTGGTACGAAAAGCGTAAGATAAGATAGAAGGAAGACATACTGCTTGATCATATCCAGGAATGTACTCGAACCCTTGAACGGCATAACATTGCTTCTTGAGTTGGTAACAATCCTGGTCTACAACTCACATCAGTGGAGGGGAAATATTCGACAACGAAACATACTTGTGGTGGTTACTACCGATGTCGCCTGCTGGTACATCGACCCAGCGTAGGTGTTCTGCGACGACAAGGTCAAATCGCGGATCTCAAGGTTTGCGGAAGAGTTGTCCCAATTGTATCCTGCGTTGAACGGTGCCCATTGGGCAGTTTGGCTAATCCAAGTTGAATCAGAGGAACTTGAATGGGCAGGGAAGAGAAGCTGACCTAACTTGCCCAACATGAGCATCATCGGGGCCGCCAATTTGTGCTTCAAACATGTCGATTTCTGGCGCTGATCTGCCCACGTACGTCCCATCTTCATGGACGGGACCCGGATGAGACTCGCCTGGGCAGACACATCGGGAAAGGCGTTGGCCAGTCAGAAAAGACAGCGCAGTACCATCCTTCCCCGTGTTCAGGGCCGCCGGTGGGCCGCCATTTGATGTTTGATTTGGCATTGTTCCAACATCGCATGCATCATAGCTAACCTGGAATGAGTCGCTTTATACAACGGGCGACAATTCCGCTGACCTGTAGGGCCACTGCGAGATAGGTCAGATTGTAAACAAGAACGCGCCAAGTCACTCACTGTACCCTCTAATGTCGCTCCACTTCTATCGTTAGCATCACAAAAACAGCTAGTAAATGACTCACTATCCTGCGCGGCCTAAATTCCCCATGGTCCATATCGCCGGCCAGAGCCCTGTCGATGCGTGTGAATTTCTTCCCAAGATAACAGCAAGTGTACCAACCGAAAACGTTCGTTGTCCCGGGCAGCATAACATTGGCAAGACTGAATCAATTTCAACTGCCAGGTCACAGATTTTGTTTTGCAACTCACATTAACCCGCCAGTGAAGCAGAACTTGTTCCAGGTAGACATCATGCCGCTACGATATTCGAGATTGTGGTTGAGGCTGATGTCGTCAAAGTGTGTGAGGTTGATTTCGAGCGCGCCTCCGCGTGTGGTAACAGCTGCGGGATCATACCTGCGAATGCCGTGAGCTATGACATGCATTGTAATGACCGTGAGAAAAACCATTCAAGGTCCCCAGTGGACCAATAGTGCATATCGACGGCCTCCCAATACGGGTCGTCTCCTAGGTATTATACTATCAGTCCATGCACACGAAGATGGGTCTGCCTACAATCACCTGGGTAAAAAGTGCGACCTTCTTCCTCAAACTCGTCGCTGAAAACGAGCTGCATCTCTTTCGATGGGTCATGATATGAGGCGATTTTATAGAATTCCTGGATACGAGCGTTTGAGTTTGAGTTTGAGCGCAAGTCCCGTTCCAAACCCTACCTTCGGAGTGTTCAGGTCGATGAGACCAAAGTTGCCCATGCTTGCAACTTGACCAGAAGAATTAACAAGCGCTGAGCTCGTGGCAGTTGAGTTGTTGTGCGTTAAGTGGTAAGCTATGGGGTATCCAAGACTGAAATGAGAGAGGTGAGATTTTTTATGGATCAACTTGGTGTCGACGCACAAGAGGCCGAGAAGAATGGCAGCTAAAAGAGCGATACAGCCAACATTCAATATCCCACGTCGAGTAAAAACATTGTGCGACTTCTTGTCGCGGCGGGGGTCATGTAAAGTATCGTCCGGCTCTGGTCGGGATATGTCGACACCCCATTCGGTCGGGTCAGCGGTAAGATGATACTGAAGACGAGGTTAGCCTAGGGCAAAGCGTATGAGCTGCATACTACCTTTCCCGACAGAGACGCGGTCAGAGAGGACGGGCGGTTTGGGGAATGTCCAGGGTCGCCTGTAGGGGTTGACTGAAATGGAGACGGTGTAGCATTTGGCGACGATGCGAGCGAGGCAGCAGATGAGTTTGAGACCGCAAAGTAGCCTTGCTGTGGGCTAGCTTGGCCAGCCATTGAGGTGATTATTCGAGGGAAGGAGAGTCAAAAGGGAGAGTTATTGAGGCTTAGCAAGCGTGGAGTCGAATGGAAGTATGGCCGAATCTTCCGCATCAGAAGGGTAACCTCATCCAGTGTATCTGTTGTCAGACAGGTTGTCTCGCCTCTATCTCTCGAATGCAACTTGCAGAGGTATAAAAATGCGAGGACCTCCGGTAAGTCGTCCAGAGAGAGTATTGTGCAGCCAAACAGTTTAAAGCCCATAGACATCTTGTAGCTTGCCAAACTTCGAGTGGGCTCGATACCAGCCCCCAGCGTTTCGGTCAAATTAAGCCGTGAAAGACAAATGGGACATCGGAAGAATGGCCCAACGAGAATCAATGGAAAAGCTGTTAATTGACTGGTTCGGAATGCTAGACGTGGGCGTTGTTTTCTTCGACTGTCGTGGAGCCTGGAATGCTACAACGGCGACATCCGCGCGAGTATCCTAGCTCCGCGTAAACACCACAAGAAAAAAAATCTGGGTTAAACATCTTCGCTAGAGAGGACGAGCAGGTTGCTCAGAGTTCGCGATGCGGTCGCCATCGAAGCAAACTGGAGAAACATCGAAGCATCCGTCGCTCAGAGAGGTGTGCCTTATGGAGAGTCGCCCGCTACCAACCCGCTACACATAGTCAGTGACTCTGGATACGATTTATGGAAATACTAACAAAAACGGGAAGCCGAAGGTTTTCCTTGTGGAACATCTTACCACCTATAGCAGCAAGGGAAAGAGAGCGTCGAGTCTCGACAACATTTGGACGGATAAAAGGTCGTTGCGGTGATAAGGGGAATGAGTAGGCAAGCTCGCTGGCCTTTTACTCCAAACCCCGAGAATAACACTCAAGAGCCCATTAGTCGTTCCCGTCCAGACTGCAAGCAATAAAGTAATCGACGGCCTACAAAATGATCAGAAGAGCAAGAATGGCAGAACCAAAACACCAACCAAGCTGAACGAACCAACATCACTGTCGCGGATAATGGGATGGAGGGCTTTATCTCAGATGGGAAGACGATTGGGAGTGAGGCACGAAGAATTATCGCGAATAATGCAAAGCTTCTGGTGGAGGTGGCGGCTTGAAGTTCGCGCGGGTTTCAGGCAATTTCAGGGTTGGCAGCCACTGGAACAACGGTGAGACTGTGTGGGGTGCAAGGCTGCAGACTCACCGAAATGATGGGGTACACCCTGACAAGATGGGACTTCCGAGGGTAGGGGGAAGTCTGGAATCCAGTGAATGAGGAAGAAAGAGGCGGGCCAAGAAATCATACGGTTGCACCGCGCAGCCATGTGCTGAAGTGGTGAAGAAACACTCCCATCCTGGCATCTGAATCGGCTTGGAATCATCCATCGGCAAGACCCTCTTCTGTCGAACTGGATGGCGTTGAGGAAACTTGTGATGATGGTTTGTGACCAAGAGACGAAGAGCTACGAAGAGAGGCTCACATTGGGCTCACACAAGCCATGCACAAGGTGCCAGCACTGGTGAGCATTTATTTGAGTGGCTTTGTGCTTTCTTATGTAGGCTTGGTTGCAATCCCAAGGCTGACCAGTCGGCGGCTCGGACTCCGAGCCGGACTCGCCCTCGGAGGCCCGCATCAGGCACACCAACGAAAATTCACCCTTACAACTTCAAGTGCTCGTTCCTTGTTACCCACTTCCACCGTCTCATACCAAAATCGCAGTTTGACGCTGAAGATTTAGATCTTCTCAGCTCCAACTATCAGCAACCCGCCCCATCGCCGATCTCTTGCAACTCCCCGCTAATTTTGGTCTCAGAGCAGCGCCGCCCACCAGACAAGGAAGGTTCGGCGCTCTCCGTTTTACCGCATGTCGAATAGGCAACCCTGCTCTCCGTTTTCCCGCTCAAGAAACGGGGTATAAAAGGAACACCTTCCTGCTCAACCCAACAATCCAGTTCTCTCATGTCCACCGCCCAACTCCCTGACATTAGACTCGTCACAACCGGCCATACGCCTGACGGGACATCGGTGTTTACCTTCGACAACACGCTCGCGCCGTTCGCGCCATTTGGTCCCGCGGGCAGTCGTTTCACCAGCTTCCACGTGACCACCACCGTCCCTGCATCCAACACTGCGCGGTTTCCCGAGCTCTCTAAGAGCCTCCCCCCGCTGCCCACCAGGCGGAGCCATCTTCTGCACAACCGACATCATGCCGGGGGGCAGTGCCCCGATGCATAGGACAATCAGCCTCGACTACGCTGTTGTGCTATCAGGAGAGATCGTGCTGGCGCTCGATAATGGCGACGAAAAGACGGTTAAGGCGGGAGACGTAATGGTCCAGCGTGGCGCGCATCACGCGTGGCACAATCGGACTAACGAGGTCTGCCGGATTTTGGTGGTTATGGTCGCCGCAGAGAAGATTGTTTTGGAAGACGGGACATCTCTTGAAGAAACGGTGTTTGGCAAGAAGCCTTAGTCTCTCATTTCCCACTCGTAAATCTTATGTCCCGGGGAAAGAATACATGTTTTACTCGTAATCGTAACGACCACCCAGCCAATCATCTCCCAAACTCGCTTTCTGAGGCAAAGCCCCTTCAAACGGCCAGTATCTTATCCTCATCACTGGCGGGGGGTCGTAGTACACTCCCAATTCAAAGCCGCTAGCCAACTCATCAGCCAACTGGGTGCGCATGTCTCGTCCCATAGCCTCTCGGTGAATAGAGCAGTTGAAGCGGACAAGCTGGGTCGGGACCACAGCGGATCTGCGGGCAAGAATAAAGCGCACAATGAGCTCTTCGCTGAGCGCGTGTATGTTAGCAAACTCGAGGCATTGGAGGGCAGGACAAAGGATGTCTGTGGAGTTTGAAACAGGAATAAAATATTCGAGGAAATTGGGGTCGGAATTCTGGCCTGGAGTTGGAATGTCGGCGCCCGGAATTTTTGGCTCGCCATGTATACGGAGGTGTTGTAGGGCGGACAATATGGAAAGGGCTGAAGCCAGCACATCGGAAGCCAATGCCCCAGGTCGAATAGTGAGATGGGTAATATACGGGATGGAGCGCAGAGCTCCGGAAAGCTCTTCACACAGCTTTCGGGACAACTGGACTTTTCGGAGTGTGGGAAGGGAGAAACAGTCAAGTGCTCGATTCAAGTCTACGCTTGGCTGCCTGCGACTGGAAAGCTTAAGGCTAAGGGACCGTAGGACAGGAAGCTGAATGTGGTCAGAGCGATCCGGGGAGTAGAGAATGTCATAGTGCATGACTTCGAGGTGCAGTTTCTCAAGCGAAGGGCAATGACACAAGAATGGTAGCGGGTATTCGATGGTGGTTTGCTGATTTGAGAGATTAAAGCGGAGTTCCAGATGTCGAAGACTATGCCAAGACGTTGTCAGCGGAAGACTAGCATGTGTTCCCCTAAACGCAAAACTTTGAAGTTGATTTGTTGCGAGGAACGAGAGCTGATCTCTGAGAGTCGGTGTGAGTGCGAGCTGGTCAGTGGATTCATAGTCCGAAAGCCGGCGGTCAACCGAAAGATCGATTTTTCGGAGAAGGGGAACGTCTTCTTTGGTCAGAGATTGTAGCGTTTCAATGTCAGCGGTATGAGAGAGCCATATCTTCATGTCCCGCCATCGGGAAGCATGTGGCAGTAGGAGCGGCAAGAGGGGATCTGGGCGAGTGTTCTCATATCCCCAACCGCTGGCCAGCTGCATAGTAATGGACAATGGTACACTGCCCGAGCGAGCAAGCCAAGTATTCAACAAGCGCTTCACTTGACTGACGGTTTCTGGGTGAGCATCAAAGTGCGGAACGACAATATGCATTGAAGACCACAGCCGAGGAGTGGATTCGGCAATACGTTTCCAGTCTCTGCAGACGCGAGAAAGTAGCAGAGGACCCTCAGTGTCACTGAAGGCGGCATTGCGCTTGTCAGGGAGGGTATGTTCGAAAATGAGCCTGAGGACGTCAAGTGGAACCCGTTTGATAGGCGACAAAAGACTTTCGTGATCAGAAATGACTTTCTCGAGCTCATCGCGCTTCCGGATGGTAGTTGATAGTAGGTTAGACAACCTGTCCACCTCGGTATTAAGCGTGGCAAGCTGCTGATATGGCTGCTTTAGATATTGACGGATGTCGTCGAGTTGAGGCAATGAAGGGGCAGTGTTGGTGTGCAGTATGCCGTGGAATGGCGAATCGTTCATCGTGAAGGAACGCTGTCAACGTCATATAAGCACGTGACCTTTAACTTGAGCACTGCACCAAGAGGTGTCAAATTCGGGCGTCCAGCCTACCCGAAATCAAACGTAAATTTGATGGCGGCCGGGGCCGGCAGGCTCGATTTGGGGCCACCGGTCCACCGGAGCTCAACAAGAAATGACATTGTTTGGATTACCCATTGGAGGAGACAAAAACAAGGCACTAATGGTTGAACAGTCAACAAGTCCATAATTTAGACCAACTCACATATTTTTGGTTGCTTCAATAGGTTAACTGGTGTGGTGAGCCGGCGATGGATGGCAGTGCGCCGGAGCTGCCAATCAAATTTACGTTTGATCTCGGGTAGGCTGGACGCCCGAATTTGACACCTCTTGCACTGCACCTAATACTAGCTCAATCATTACTCTGATGATACATTCTCTCTTCTTTGAAGTTCATGCACCACAATATATGGAAATATTTTGATACTTACTCACTGTAACGTTCCACAGAAATACTAGTAGAGCAGTTATGCTTCAAGTAATGGGTTGGGCAGAAGCATCGAGCAGGTACTTGACACTCATCGGAGGAAAATGGTTTGAAACAATTTCATTGCATTTTGGGAAAACGGAGGTAACACGGAACTGGTATGTGGACTTCTCGAGCAAAGTAAAATAAAAAGAGAAATCCGAAGTGGCGGGTACGAATTTATGATTGTCGGCCACACCCTGAACACACGACGGCTGGTGCGGGGTGCGCTGCCTCAGGCTGCTGCTGTTGTTTTCGCAGCTTGCGTGTGGAGAGGAATTTCGAGACAATGGCCATGTGGCGTCTCCACTGGCAAGCGGGCAGCTTGATGTGACGCCTCCACGCAGTGAACACCGCAGGGGCTTGTCGCTTGGCTGGCGAGGAAGCGGGGTGAGCGGGGGCTTCAACCGCCTTGGAGGATGTGATGGGTTTGAACGACCCCTTGCATTTTTGCAACAGTCGCTTGAACAGCGAAGGGCGGCGGTCGTCTCCACTCTGGTTGGCAGCAGCAACCCGCGCAGGCTTTGGCCGCGGGGGAGGTGCTTGGTAGTTTGGTGCGGGTTTGACAAGGGACAGGCCGATGAAGGCCGCGATGAGACAAACGAAACTCTGTAACATTTGTCAGCACAACGAGCAGAGTCGAAGGAGAAATACGCACCGAGAAGAAACCCGAGATCGTTGAAGGGAAGGCCTTAACCTTCATCACAAACGTCACCTTCTCCTCGTTGGAGGAGAACGACTCGGCGACGCTGGTCACGGATGATCGCCGCCTGCGAGGTAGCGTTGAGCTCGCTTCGGAAGAGACACTCGAAGCAACTGATGACTTGCGAGAGCGTTTGGGCTTTGGCATGGAGCCCTCGACAGCGAGTGGTGAAACTTCCTCGACCGGAGTCTGAGTTGTTGACTCCTCGTAGTCAGGAATAGTGAACTCGGGCGGCGCCGCAAAGTCCTCTGGCTCCTGACCAGATTGCTTGCGACGACGGATATGGTCGATGCCAGCATGTGACAGGCGCCGAATGCGCTTGGGAGTATGGCGAATGGTAGCCAACATCTCGGGGACAAACGGTGCAGGAGTCGGAACGGAAGGCAAAGACGTTTTAAAGTCACAGTGCTTCGCAGCGAGACGGGCGGTCTCGACAGGTGAGCGGGTTTCGAATGAGAACGACATAGTGGGTGGATGTTTGTGAGTGTGGTTGTCGTTGTGGTTTGTAGTTGAGAATGGTTAGCGGAAGGGCCAGGCTTTTATAATCGAGTGCCGTTGGATGTCTTAGACCACCCGCTGTCTTACCCAACGGAGCGGAATTGGCGGTGCCCCACGCTACTCCAGATCGTCCCGCGTGCCAGAGGTCTCATGCTTCCGGTCGGGCGCGGATGAGACTGGGTAACTAAGAGTTCGGAGTTGTCTTTTTGTGGGAGATCTGGTGTGGCGGTCGTTGAAAACTAACTCGTGTTGATCACAGGTCACAAGAGGAAAGCCAACCACGGTTGACGGGTCCCTTTTCTTCCCAACGACCCAGTCCGGGAATGGGCCGAGGTGCGCGACGGAGGTGCTAGACATGACGTCAACTTGAATCTGCGGCACGACGGATGCAACTCAGACCTGTGCAGCAGAAGCAAAAGTGTCTCGCTTCCTTGCTGGGGAGACAAGACAGGTGTGGGGTCTCTTTTGCGGAGTATTAGTTGACTTGGAGGAGAGCAACCCATCCACCATGATAGTTGAAAACCGAGCTTGATGTTATCAGTCACGAGTGTCTGCCGCCTTTTCTTCCCAACTGCGACGGCGACTTGCAAATTTTCGCGTCGTGGACTGTATGCGCGACTCCAACTCGTGGGCCGAGGTGCCCGATGGCGGGATACGAAACATGACGTCAAGGCAAGACTTCTGCGACGGAAGCAAGTCAAACCAGTGTAGCGGAAGTAAAATGTCTCACTTTGCTTGGGTATAAAACCCTCTCTGGCTCGTTGGACTCTCCAGCTAAATCGCTCTTGCATTCGCACCACTACCATCTACCAAACCACTCTCAACCTCTACTTTGACCAACCAACCATGTCGAGCATCACCATTCCCGCTGCTTTCGACAACAGCTCCGTCTCCTGTTCATCGAGCGAGCAAACAACCACCCTTTACTCTGCGGGAGCGCAGGGGCTTCAACCTCTACCTCTCATTCGCCCCCGCGTTCCCCAAGATCGAGCCAAAAGGCCAGCTTGGACCCACCCACGCCAACCTCCCTCGTCGTCGCAAGCGGAGCAGCGTTGTCTCAGTCGAGATGCCCTCATCAAAGACCGCTGCTCCCGCCACTGAAAACACAGCATACTTCTCGTAGACGGCAGGAGCTCGGTGGGGTGGAGAAAGTTATCACGTTAGCATTTGGCGTGATTGTGCAATTGAGGGACGTTGTGCCCTTTGCGCTAAAGGGGCAGGACATGCAACTTTAAACGGGCTACCATAACTATAAACACCAACGTTGTATGCTACTAGTCCTGCCCGAAGTTTTTTGTTGCTTGTTGCTCTCTGGAATGCTTGTGACCTGAAATGTTCCAATTAAATCCCTTGTCAGAGTTACGAGTACTTGGGTAATTGTCTATCTGTCGTCTGCGTTTTGGGACCTCGATTTTGTAATGAAATTTGTTGACCTAACCCTAACCCCACGATGAAAATTGTGATCTGAGAATGAAGGCTTTTTGGACTTGATTGTTTCTGCCTTCACTTCTGTTTGTACTTCCAATCCAATACTCACGATAAGGTCAGCGCAGCCGATACAGCGCCACCCGGACCGTCGCTGGGCTTTCTAGGAGCTTCGGACCCCAATCCAAATTGTGCCCAAACCTACTCCAAGCCTGATCCCATCGCCTTCTCCACTCTCCTCCGCCTCACGACAACGCCTTCACGACGAAGGCTAAATTATGCCACCCCAGCAACTCCTTTCCTTCCCGCTCGAGTATAGCGACGTACACTATCCGCCTCAGTCACGCCTCAGCTGTGGGCTCATTGAAAAAATCTCTGCAGATTTACGCCGCGGTCATTGAACTCGGCACGTCTCTCGAACTCCCCGAGCGTTTGGACCTAGTCGGGGTTCGCTGCGCTGATTGTCGGCTCGGTTGGCCTATGCAAGATGCTCAATTCAAGCGGATGGTGGACTGGGCGATGGAAAACACCGGTAGAGTGACCAACAACGATGGTACTATCAACGTCCGAGCCACTGGTTATAATGTTGGTGCCGCTTTTGCGGACTCGTTGGGCATCATTGGTGGCGTCACAGCAGTCTACGTGCCGTCGCAAAAGAAACCCAACTTGCTGACCACTCTTGCGTTATTCTGGATTGAGACTAATGGGACTATCATCGAAGACCGATATAATAAGGTGCAACACGAAGAATTCGCAGAGAAGCTAGGCTTCGAGGGTCCACCAAAGTGGTATATAAGTGCGGACTTCATCGAGTGCGTTTTCTCAGGCCTTGGCTGTTCCATCCGGTTATTGATGATCTTCCAGCCAGCATTATCTCTGATTCAAAGCGCTCTGGACTAAGACTACTTCTGCTACTATGCACTGACAGATTTATGGAGGGAACAACTGTCTTCCCCAGGCAATGGGAGTTGAATTGGAGTCTGGTTTACTGGTTTCCACTACTTCGACTTCCTTTTATTGAAAATTGAATCTGGTCCTTGACCGATACCCAATGTACTCGTTTAAACGTTTGTGGAATAGACAGTGAACATTGCTCCATGAGAAGCAGTAGTTGGAAGGGAACGCAAGTCTCGTATGCTACAACTCGCGAAGCAGAAATGTAGCTCAATCCGAAAGGTCCATTTCTTCTTCTCCGTCATTATTGCTGTTGATCCATTCAGGGAGTGATGGAGGCAATGGCGGGGGAGACGAAGATGGCGGTGGCGGTGCGGTATTTCTTGGAGTCGGCAGAATGGAGGGCACAACACGGTCCGCGTCAGCGTCGCGCTGGCTAAGAAGAACGCCGTTGTAGATGGTCAAGCACTCCCAAGCGAAATACGCCCGTGGATAATGAGCCCAACGTCTGGGGTGAGAAAATTGAGTTTCCGGCTCTTTAGTATTCGAAGACAACCCCGCATCCACTGTTGGCATGGCCAAAACAACGTCCTCTTCCCCATTTTCGCCCCAAATCTTGATCATATCTTCTGACTCATCATCTGCGTCCTCAGTCGGGGTTTCTGGCTCCCGCATAATGCGAGCACGCATCTTTTCTCGCGGGTCTTTTGTAGAAACCCAACCCGGAGGATAACCCCATAGCGCCATATGCGATAGCCATTCATAGCCATAGCCATCGTCGTCGCCCGAATCTTCTTGATTCCGGTCACCCCATCTCAGCGCCTTTCGTAATTCGGACCCGACTGTCCCCGGCGCAAATATCGAGGACCACGAAACACGCTCAAGTCTTTCCGCAAGTTCCCGCAGGCTACGTGGGGAGTCGCTATCTCCATTCTGTTGGCGTTGGAATTCGTGTATTTGTCGAGAGAGAGCGATGAGTGGTTTGTCGAGGGGGTATGGGCAGGTTGAGATGACATGACTAGTTTCTGAGCAGTTGAAGCAGCGGGGGCCGGTTCGCTTCATATGGGTCCAATGTTGGCGGTGGAGGGGCACCAAGTGGGTGAATGTCGTCCGACATCAAGTCGGATATAGCTTCGTAGCGCTCATAGATTCCAGAAGGCTCCCATAGTCCAGAGAAGATGGGTTGAGCCTCGCTGAAGTAAGGAAGAATCTGATCCTGTTTGGGTTTAGTTTTCGTATACAGCCGCGCAGTCATGCTACCTACCTGCTGCAGTGACTCTTCACTGTGTCTCTCTACTGCTCCGAACTGTCTGTCTTCTGCGTCTTCTCCCATTCTTCGAGTGCTTTGATCACGTCTTTCCCGTCCCAGCGCCCTTTCGCTATCTCTTGCCCGTCCAAGTGTAGTGCAGGTATCCAATAAACATACTTCTTCTTCCTATGAGAGCTCAGTAAGACCGTGAATGAAAGTATGGGCTCATACCAAGAAGCGTTCTCCGGCGCGTTGATGTTGACCTGGGTCAACTCGAATTGACGGGTTTGACGAACTCTGTTGAGCTCGATCTTGGCTAACTGAAGAGCGGGTCAGGACAGTTTCGTTTGACGCTGATAGGGTATTCACATCGCAAAGCGGGCAGTTAGAGCCTGTGAAGAGGGTCAGTCGGGGAATGAGTCGAAGGGACATAGTCACACGTGACTCAAAAAATTATTATTCATCACGACGGCGGACCATTGTGTGTCCACAAAGGTGGCAATATTACAGCCGTTTGAAAATTGTATATTTAGTTGCTCTAGGGTACCATTCAGTAGACTAAGTAAGATCCAATAAATTATCAACAGCGGATGTTTATTGGCGAAGTCGAAAGGATTTGTATCGTATCGGACGGAAGCAAAACCGCAATAGGAATAACATACTGAGTCGGAGCCTTTATTTACTCGGGGCGCACGGGAAGCAAGCCGACGAAACGATTTTTCTTGACCTCGTCGCCTTTTTTAGCGAAGTAACGCTCGGTCATAAAGCTCCAGTGGAGCGAGCTGAAAGAGCTCAGACAGAGACAACACAGAAGGTAGAAGAACATACCCAACAATCCAGGCTTCGAGCCCACCAATGTACTTTTGCACCATCTCATCGATCTCCGGGCCCCATGAGGGCACTTCGAAGCGGTCGCGTTGGAAGGCGTCAATGGTAAGACGACAAAGCTCGCCAACATAGTCGACGGCACTCTGAAGAGTGTGACCGTGGTACTTCATGAGGATGACGATCATGTTGTGGGTGTCGCCGCGGGATTGTTCAACATTATACGAAAATATATCCTGAGGACGGTTGTCAACCATAGTTTTCCGCAGAGTAAGAAACGAACATTAGACCAAGTAACAAGGTCGTTGGTCGACTGGTTCAGTGACATAATCACGGGGTTCTCCGCAACGAAGTCGGGGAGATCAATGTCTAGGCCGTATCTGCGGCACAGATTGAGAAAACGATTCAGCGAAAGGAAGAAGAAACATACTCGACCAGAGCCCAGCAAGGTTTGCATCCTGAGGAAAGATATCAGGTCTTAGCAAAGTTGGTCAATAACCAAAACTCACCAGAGGTGTCGCGGCGGATCGCAATGTAGGTTTCCAAATCAGGAACGATATCAGAGTCGCGCCATTTGGCTTGAACGTTGACTGCCTCGAAGAACATCTCGAAGGTCTCTTTGAAACGTCCCTGCCAGCCAGGGCCGTGGGTCTCGATGGCACGAGCCCAGAAGCTAGCAAAGGGTGAGTCAAAGAAGACCAGCGTGAAAATGAACGCACTCTCGAGCAAGTTTTCCGGCATTCAATTCGTCTGCGGGCTGCTCTTTGCCGCGGAAAGAGGTAGGGCGATAGAAGTGGGGAAATTCGAGGGCATTCATGACCGCATCCGACAGAACTTCGGTGTCGGTGGTCATCATCCCGTCACTGATGTTATCACTGTAAACGGATCAGAGGAAATCCGAGTAGATGAAAGAGAAAGAGTCAAAGACGTACAGATGGAAGAGGTAGTTCATGAAGTCCGAAATTACACGAAGGCGGTCGGGGGGCGCCGTATAGTAGCAATGGGCCGTAAGTTCGCCAGCTTTGAGACCCTTCAAAGCAACTCGCTGCTTCGTGTTGAGGATGGGACAGTTTGAGTCGAGCCAGTTAACAGATTGGGCAGCGACTGGATCGCCCTCGGGGTTATAAAATAGCTCGTAGTTGCAATGCCCAACGAGGTCGGGGAGGTCGAAGGATGTTGGCTTGCTGTCCTCGACAGGCTTGGTCGAAGCGACCGTGGGTTCGGGGGCAGTGAAAGTGGGAGAGATGCCAGTGGTGGTCATTTTGCGGCGAAGTGTGGGTCGGCAAGCGAAAAACCGACGACAAACCCATCTTCTTATGAGGCGCGCGCGGCTCTGGAGATATTGAATCAGATCTCCATCGGTTTTGTTGCGTTCACGATCGATCCGTAGACATGACCGGCTGCCCATTTTGTGTCCAGTGGAGTCGGACCGCGCGGGGATATAAACAAAAACAAAAGAATAATGGCGGCCAAGTCGCAACAAGGCGTGATTCCAGTGTGATTCAGGGCCGGCGGTTTTGAGTCTTCCGTTCAGAGAGCATGCGAGGTCGGCAAGGCTGGGAGTTGCAATGCCAATGTTACAGTTGCATTGTTTTGACACCGTACAAGGTTTCATAGAACATTTATGTGCCTGTACACGCAGCTATTTGCATGGCTGGTTTGCGTAAGGAAACGAGCACGACTTTGAGAACGTTTTCTTCTTTTTTTTCAGAGAGAAACTGGCCATGGGGAGTGGGATTAAACCCCTGGGGATCGCTCGGCAGACGATTGTTTCAGGTCCACTGTTAATTCCGCTCGGCAATGAGGCGGGGTGTACGGAGGGGAAGGTGAGCCAGTGGGTGAAGAACAAAAGAAATTGGCCGATCAGCGTGACAGCCTGGGAAAATGTTGTCCGCCCATACACAATGATGCCGACACTCACCTTCCAAGCGACAACCTCATGGCGCAACATAAGCACCCGCTCTTCACATCCCAAGACGACCAGGTCGTAATTTTACAAAAAAAAATCATATGAAAACGACATGTGTTTGAATGAGTCATACCCATTGAAGCGCTTCACCGATTCAGACCGACTCAAGCTTGTGAAGGGACAATTTCTGCGCTCGAACAGCAACAAGAGCAGAGAAGAGCGATTCGCGAAGCTGAGCGATCAAAAAGACAAGACAAGCCGTGCTGTGTGGGTGCCTCCTTTGATCGCCGGCGGAGAAGCGCCTCCTGGTTATCGACAACTATCGATAACAGCAAAGACAGCTTATCGCAACATGTCTTCGCGGTGCACCACCAGTCTTGTCCTGATATTAGGTCCAACTTTATAGCAACTGCAACTAGCAGTGTTTGGGTTTTAGCCTTTTACTGATTCGAACTTGAAGTCTATCAATTCGAAGTCTCGAGCCCAGTCTAAACCTCGATAGGATCGACGATGTTTGACACAAGCGATTGCGACCGCGGGAACGGGCGGGACCCTTGGGAAGGAAGAAAAAAAGACAACCTTAAGTCCAGGAATCGACCCTATCCCAAGCAATTCAGGTACCAGCTCGCACCGACGAATAGATAGATAGCAGTATAAGCTTGAACTGTGGTGCCTTCATCAGTACCCAACTTCTCTTCGATCTGCAAGAATTCGCCACTAGATGTTGGCGTTCAATGTTTAGCCACCTGCCGCAGTTGTTAGAGCAAGCAAACAGTGCGATCGCCATGATTCTTGTACGCTGTCTTCTCGCCGGTAATCTGCGTATCCATGCAAATGAGGGAAAGATATGACAACTCCAACCAATAAGATTCCGAAACGACGAGACGTTTGTCGATTTCATTGACGAGAGCCTATCGGGGCCTTTAGGACAACTCTGACTAAACCTTTTCCTCTCCATCCACAACCTCGGGAATCGGAAGGTGAGCCGGGTCTTTCTGCATATCGTCCACAGAAGGTTCGGGGTCCTCGTCCAGAACTTCTTCCACGCTCTTGGTATCGTCCAAAAGCTTCTTGTCCAACACAGGGTTGTAGTCGATGTCCAGGAATATGCTCAACAGTTTAATCATCTATAGACCATTCAGCACGGCAACAGTATGCAAGAGAAACAACACACAATCTTGGCGCCTTTATCTGGCGTCATAGCGAGCGGGTTTGCCATTCCGAGAATACCCGACAGGAATTTTGCGAGCTCCAATGGCCCGCGTCTGCATCCCATGTCGCGCCACTTGACGACAAGCCACTTCACATTAGACGCAAAGTTGTTCATCTCCTTTCGGCGAGTGAGAATCTGGTCGAAGATGTAATGGCGCGTGAAGTGGATGCAGTTGTTGGCGAGGGCGTTGTACTTGCCACGGAAGATGTTGTGTTCCGCAAGTGGCGAGGAGAGATATCGACCCTTCATATGGTAGCGCTCCCGATCGGCCGGAGCAGTGACCAAAGCACCTTTCTCATCGGTAATCTCGACTTCATCCTCGGTCTTAAACCTCCCCATAGACTTGATGATTCCGACCGCTTGAAATACTCAAGTTAGACCTTATGCTCACGTAAGCTGGATTGAACCAACCAACACCGACGCGCTGTTCGTGGGTCAGTCGCGTTCGCCAGATGGGAAACTTGATAGTATGACGCTCGTGTTCTGCAACAAACGGCACCATCGACACAGAAATATTCTTCGTTGCATCGTCTATATGCAGGTGGTAGTATCGCTCTCCGATGAGGACGCCCCAGTGTTGTAGCGCTAGATAGTTTTCGAACTCGATGGCCTTGACGATCTTCCCCAGACGTTTCAGATACGCCGATGGGGCTTCGGTGAGCTTGAGTGGTCGGAGAACGATGTAGACAGGCTCCAGAGGCGGCTCTTCCTTTGCTTCTTCAAGCCTGTTACACTTATCATTACGATGGAGTGAGGGGACGAAATTAACAGACTCTTGAGATTCTTCCTCGGATGGGCTAACAAGGGTTGACATACTGCGGACAACCTTGGCGCGCGCATCGATAACAGCGTTGGTAATCGAGTCAGTGGAAGGAAGACTGGGTAAAGTGGGCGTTGAAGGCAGTGTGAATTTGGGTGTAGGCAGAGAGGGAATCTTGGGGACGCTGGGGAGCGACGGGGCCTTGGGGAGAGTAGGAGCCTTGAAACCGATTGGCATAGCGGTAATCGATTGAACGCAAAGTTGGCTCACAGCACGTTGTTTATCTGCCTTTTAACATTCAAACAGAAGCGCCGAACGGAAATATGCAAGTCGGCATCATGTTCTGTGGAAGAGAGACAGGGAGACTGACAGATTGCGGCTTATTTCGTGGAATGCAAGGGCACGAGCGTTAAGTGTTGCCAACTGTTGCTCGTGCTGGGAGGATTCAAAAAGGCTTATATGCACGTGATCCAGCGTCCCTCCAAGTGATCTGTGCGGCACAACTGCATCTTCTGTGGTAATCGCACCAAAATACCTGGATTCACCACTCTAATCCTCTCTCAGTTGAGCTTTCGACACTTGGGCGCCAATGGATCGTCCCTGACATTGTAACATTCCTCCTGCCATCCGCTTGCCTGCCAGCGCTAGCCATGACATTCCCTGTCATATAAGTTATACTCATCCTCTTTCTCATGCGTAAGCCCGCAACTTCTCAACGCCATGCAGAAGCAAGACCCCGAGCGGTGGTATCTTCCCATCCAGCGCGTTGAAGTCCCGCGGACCCATTTCCACGACCTGAGTTGGGCACAAGCAAGTAAGCGCAACACTGGGAGTTCTAGTCCAACCTCTGACGGAGAAAAATAGTCAAGCAGCGCATTTTACGATTTTTAGCGCCAACGAGGTCACTTGCGTTCACAGACAAACACGTGGGTTCACACTGGCCTCCAGCCCCGTTCGTTGACCAGTCAGGCAGGAGTACTTCACGACCCGCTTTGTCGACCAAGTGAAAGAGTACAGCTATGTTCGGAAGCAAGTAAAGCAGCTAGTTCGTGTTTATTTCCTGTTTTCTGCTCGCTGTCATCATTGATTGTCGCTTAGTTTCTTGTGAACCGCTCTCATCGTATAGCACAACTCAAGGAGCTGTGCGCTAGTCTCAATCTAAGCGAACCACCGGAGCAATGGGACGACGAGGTGGACAATGTGCAGGACCTTCTTCAACTTGTCGGTGTTTTATTCCTTACTTACATCGTGTGTTGTCATTGACATGCTGTTGCAGTCAGGCAAAACGCTCTCGTCTAATCTGGGAATACCGACTGGACTTATGAACAATACGCGCGTGTATGATGTCTTGGACGCTGTACCGAGTCCAGAGGTGTTAACAGAGGAGAGGAATCAGCTCAGCCAGCAAGAAATCGAGCTGCTCGACCAGTATTGCTCAAGCATCAAGCGCACGCGTGTTCTGAGGTCTCACGTATGCACACTTTCACCCTCTTTTTTTCTTCGAAATCTCACTTGGAAACACGGTCAGTTACAAGAGGTAGACGAAGACCTCGCCAACTACGCCCACCTGCTGAAGACACAAGCTACCGTCGAGTTGACATATTTCCGCGGTTTCCGTGACTGGTGTCAGGTCATGCTGCAGCTCACAAGTAACCTTTCGAACTCGCTCATTGCGGTTTCGACTCTTGGCGCGGGTTTGATATACTCGACTGTGTTTGGGCACGTCTTCCTCTCTTTTCAATCTATCGTGTTTCAATTGACCTTGGCTCCAGAGCAACACGAGGCGATGTCGGACTGATGTGTTACTGCTTCCCCTTCTTTAGCTGTGGCTTCCTGCTGCCTGTTATCATCCAGATCATGCTCAGCTGGGGCGCTAACCTGCAACGCGAAGCGATGTTTGCCAGTCAACGATTTTGGACCATCGTCATTGGGTGTGTCGTCTCTGCCCTTTTTATCATTTTACTCAATACCACGTCTGGTAGAATTTTCATGTCAATATCCAGTCTGGCGGTCATGGCCTCGCTCACTATTCTTAACCTCACCGTGTTCCTCCTCAAGCCCGATCCGACCTCTGACCCTGGCCTCGACGCGCCGACGACCATGGCTCCCGGCATCATTGCCTTCAGCATCACTGGGTCGGTCTTTCTGCTCGTGCTGATGGGAGCGTTGCTTAGCGCGATTGCGGCGAGAGCATTCACGACTATCCGTGGAATCCGGGCGGTGTTGAGCGCAGTATATGGCACAAACGGCCAAGGACAGGACGCGTTGAAATTGTGGTTGCCTGTTTAGAGTCAAGTACTTCGTCACTTCCAATCTCGCTTGATTTCCTTAACAAGCAAAGAGCCTTCAACACTATTATTGCCGAAATACCGTCTAGACTGAGTCCCTAGCCACCATTTCTCGAGCCATGTCCCGCATACGGATATGCATTCGCCACATGTTGTCCTGTTCCATCGCAGCCCATTCCGACTCCTCTGGGAGGTCATGGCTATCGATGAGCATTAGGTCATGGGTGCGATTTGGAATAAAGATGAGGATGATTCGCTTTCCAGCGCCAACGAGCTGCAAGAATGGCAAATTGAGTTCAAGACGGTCAGGGCGTGCGAGATCTGTGAAGGAAGTCGCTGATGCGTCTGAGAAGTCTAGGTCGTCAGCAGCAACGTCGGTGCCCTCTTTACCGCCTTTGAGCGAAAACAAAACTGCATGGGTCCGCCAGAGGGAGTTAGCGTCACCTTTGTAGAGCTGTAGGAGCTGGACAATCTGTTTTCGTATGAGCGATAAGACGGGAATATGAAGGAGGACTGTACAGCGTAGTCGACAATATCAACATTGTCGTAGTACCATTTGCGAAGGGCTGTTTGGGACACAAAGGTACCCTCAGCGCGGAAGTCGGGGGCTTCCTTCAGCTGTGCCTGCGCGTGTTGTACACGAACACGACAAAGCGGTTTGTGTTCCTTCCAATGACTTGTCTGGCAGTCGCGGCTAAGAATGCAACTCGACCTTGGCGTGACTCAAAAAAAAAAGCGGCCGCGTACCTGCAGTACCTCGAGACCTTACACGAGGCGCAGGCAGCATAAGGGGTTCCGTCCTGGTCCGGTTTCTTCCAGCATTTATCGCAGGATTTTTTCAAAGACGGTTTGGAGGGAATCTTTGTGGCGATAGCACCGAAAGTTGTCGCATGAGGGTCGTAGCCGTCGCCGCCCGAGTTTAGCCATTGCATATTCGCCCACAATGGTCTTTCACCCGGCTGTGCTTCGTTCGAGTCGTCGTCACCCGGGTTGATCTTTGAGGCAGCATTAAAAATTGTGGACTGGGCAAGGTTGAACGCGACTTACAGTCCAGGTAGTGACATGGGTGTCGAGTTTGGCGTTATATTCACTAGTACCTGTTGGGAGGCGCATGGTTGTTCCTGGTTAGTTGAGGTGCCCAAGTCCGAGTCACACGTCACGTTTTATGGACGCGATCCCGTGATACCTCCGTCACACAATGCAGAAATGAAGCTTAAACAAAAAAAACTTTATGGTGTGTTAATGCATATTAAGAGAGCTCTCTAACAAACATATCTATCTCCCAGATTCAGTCTTTCGGGATGACAATTCCAACCTAATTGGGACTATCTTGGACCCAATACTCTTCCGTCCGCCAATGCTCGGTATGGGAGCATCCCTCAGACTTTAATCTCTCGTTGCGTATTGTTGCAATAGCGGGGAACGCGCTACGACACTGCGCCTCCAGTCCTATCTCTTCGTTCTGGATGCACGTGATGCGCAAGTGCTCTAAATGACAGTTGGAGCGGGCCATGAAGGCTCGCAGGCAGCTCACACCAAGGGGCCCAAGTCGATGTTCCGAGATTTCGAGGTTCCGAAGAGCCGGCAGTGTCAAACTTGGTAGCCACTTGCAGGACTCTGCGCTGGTGCTCACTGGCGGGAGGTTCCCTGCAAGAACGATTGTTTCCAGGTGAGGGAGTGTTATTTGAACATCATTCTGCAACAAGCGGTCGCTGCAGTACAGTCGAAATTGGAGTAGATTGATGGCCGCCGCCAAAACTGGGATGCACTCGGTTGCTTGTACATTGAGAAGGGATAGTGATGTTAATCGTGCCCATTCAAAGGAGTCGGGTCCAAATGAAACGTTCCAGAAGCAGACAGAGCGTAGGAGAGTCGCGTTGTCGAATGAAATTACATGTCGCTCTGTCTTCCAGTTGGTGATAACTGTGCTCTTGACAAGTGCGGGAACGGGGCCAGAGAGCAGCTGAACCTGCACAGGCGGTATATAAATGAAAAGATATTCCCAGCGGTGGCGTTCAGAAGCGACAACATTGAACAGGGCCTTATATACGTCCGTCGAGGAGTCGTCAGCGCCAAGGAAATTTAGATGGAGGGAAAGACGGCAGCTGCCCGAGCGTTGCAGCCAACTCTTCAACACATCGATTTGTTTCAGTCCAATTGCATCTGAAAAACCTCCAAAAGGATGCCGACGATGAGCAGCCAATCGTATTCCCCGCCAAAGATTAGGGCTATGCAGCGCTATCATGCGCCAATGCCGACAAACACCAAGGAAATTTGTGGGGGATTCCGGACCCGAAATTGGAGGGCATTCTGGGTATGGAGCGAGACAGCGAACGAGGATTTCTGAGACGATCTCGTCCGGAAGAGTTGTGATAGGGTGGACGTCGGTGACCGAAGTCTTATGCATTATGGTGGGGTTCATACTCGCGGGAGAGTCACCGCCAGTGGGACTTGAGCTATTCGACTCGGAGTAGGTTGTTTCGAGATTCGGATGTATGACGGCAAGATGCAAAATCGTGGGTCGGGTGTAGGCTCGAACCTTTTTTTTGAAAGATGGGGCAAGTCACGCCGGAGTGACCGATTTTGTCACGTCCGCGATGCGGGACGCTACAGCCACATCTAGTATGGACTGCCATACACAAGCCTGAGTAAAAAGCTTCCGTCCACTATAATTCCCTTCACCTTACTTATTGAGTGGTAAAGTGAATGATTCTATGGTTGCTGTACATCCATTGTAAGTATCCAAATCATTCGTCTGGTACGACGACTTCAACCCAATTTGGGCGATCTTCTTCAACCCAGTACTCTTCTGTCTGCCAATCCTCAGCGTCAGAACACGTCTCGTACTCCGAGACACCGTTGTGAACCGTTGCGATGGTGGGGAGGGCAATACGACATTGCGCTGCCAACCCTAGCTCCTCATTCTCGATGCATGTGATGCGCAAGTGCTCCAAACGACAGTTTGAGCGTTCTATAAAGGATTGGATGCAGCTCACGCCGGAGATCCCGACTTGACGTTCGGAAACTTGAAGGTTCCGCAGAGCCGGTAATGTCAAACTTGAAAGCCACTGGCAAGGCTCGGAATCTAAGGTCACTGGTATATGTCCAGCGAGAACGAGGGTTTCCAGACAAGGGAGCGTGATATGGACATCATTTTGCAACATGCGGCTATTGCAATATAGTAGGCATCGGAGCAGATTGGTGGCCGCGGCCAAAGCTGGGATGCATTCTGCGGGCCGTACGTTGAGGAAAGAAAGGGTGGTCAACTGGGCCCAGTCGAGGGAGTTGGGTCCAAATGCAACGTTCCAGAAACAGACGGAGCGGAGGAGATTGGCGTTGTCGAATGAAATTACATGCCTCTCACTCCTCCAATTGGTAACAAGTGTGCTCTTCACAAGTGCAGGCGCTGGGCCGGAAAGGAGATAGACATGCTCTGGCGGAATGTAGAAGATCACATACTCCCAGCGCTGGCGCTCAGAAACAACTGCACTGAACATGGCTTGGTGTAGTTCCGTCAAGGAGTTAATAGGTCGCGCCCCGCCGCGAAGGAAGTTCAGGTTAAGCGAAAGACGACAACTTCCAGACCGTTGCAACCAACTCTTCATGGTATCAAGTTGCTTGTACCCAATTTCGGTGGAGGAGCCATCATCGCCTCGATGAGCGCTCAGTCGTATCCCCCGCCATAGATCAGGGCTATGGAGCGCTATGGCATGCCAATGTCTACAGACCCCAAGAAAATTGGTAGGAGATTCGGGACCCGAGATTGGAGGACAGTCTGGATATGAAGGAAGACAGCGGATAAGGATTTCGGTGATAATTTCATCGGGAAGAGTTGTGATGGGATGCAAGGTAGCTGGCAGCTCATGAGAGTTCATGGCGGTAGGTAGGAAAACCACTAGCAACGTTCGCGGTCACCGACGCGGTGGATGACGGGAGCTCAGTCGCCGCGATGAGTCAGCATCACAGCCACGGCTAAGTAATCAGCTTATAAGGATCGCCTCATCATTCCTCTTCTGCGACGAATCTGCATCAAGACTCTGAATCTAAGCCCTCCCCTGGCGAAACAAGAACGTCCATACTAGTTTTCACCCAATAGTTACCGTCTACTGCCTCCCAATCTTCGGTAACGTTAATAGTGCATCCATAGGGGCTCGAAACCTCCTTGCGAACTGCTGAGATGGCACTAGTAGGGAAGGCAATACGGCATTGCAGCGGCAGCCCCAACTCTTCACCCTTGATATATTTGATGTATAAAAACTCCAAGTGGCAATTTGAGCGCGCCATGAAGGACTGAAGGTGGGCTAAGCCAAGCACCCCGAGTCGACGTTCAGATATTTCCAGTCTCCGAAGCGCTGGTAGTGTCAAACTCGGTAGCCATTGGCACTGGGAGTCGGAGCTCCTCTCGAGATCTCCGGTAAGGACCAGTGTTTCCAACCGGGGGAGCGTTATCCGAATATCATTCTCCAGCAAGCGCCCTTGACAATAGAGGTGACAGTGGACTAAGTTGGTGGCCGCCGCCAAAACCAAGGTGCATTGAATGAATTCGGTGGCACGTATGTTCAGAAGCAGAAGGGATGTCAATTGTGCCCAGTTGAACGAGCCGGGCCCGAATACAACATTGAAAAAGTAGACAGAGCGCAACAGAGGGGCATGGTCGAACGAGAAGACCTGTCGCTTCTTATGCCAGTTGGTGAGGACGCTGAAGATACCAATTTTTACAAGTGCGGGGGAAAAGCCAGAGAACAAAGGCACCTGATCAGATGGGATGAAGAGTTCAAGAAATTCCCAACGTTGGCGCTGGGAAATGACAGCATCGAGCAGGGCTTGGTCTTGTCCCGTCCAGCATTCCCTGTTGCAAAGGTCTATGCGGATGGAAAGAAGGCAACTGCCAGACCGCTGGATCCACGTTTTTAGGTGTAAGATACCAGTCGGACTTGAAGCTTCAGGCCAGTCCAACTTTATCCCCCGCCAAATATTGGGACTATTGAGTGCTATGTTGCGCCACTCTCTACAGATACCCAGGAGATTGGTGGGAGAGTCCGGGCCGCGGATTGGAGGGCAGTTTGGATATGGAGGAAGACAGAAAATGAAGATGTTCGTGACGAGCTCGTGAGGGAGGCTCATAATGGGGTGTATGGGGCTGTGGTTCGAAACCAGAAGGTCACGCGAGGGATGGTTGTTCTGAGTCTGAATCGTGGGAGCTACAGATGACGAGTCCATAGCTTGTCGGCACGGGTAAGAGGGCAAAACGAAAGATGTTAGGTTGCGAAAAGTGGAAGCTGAATTGGAGCTGAATCGCGCGAACAACTTGAATGTGGTAGTAACGGCGTTACATGCTGAGTAAGCAGACAGGGAAGTATAATTTATATGGTCAGAAATTAGAATCGATAGATCTTCACGCAGTTTTCCTCCAATATTCCTCCGTCTTCCATCGCTCGTCATCATAGCGAAGCCGTACAGTCTGGATGAAGTCTATTTCAATATTTGGGAAAGCAGGTTGGAGCAGCGAAGCTTCAGAGCTGCCTGGAATGCGCACTCGGCGTAGAGGGCATTCAGAACGGGAAATGAGTGATTGGAGTTGTTCAATCGGCTGAGAGAGCAGTCCTGGATGAATCTCCAGGTTACGCAAAGCAGGCAATGTAAAATGCGCCAAACAAGACTCGACTGGACCTCTGACGCCATCATCCACTTGGAGCACCATTGCCTCTAATTCCGGAAGGTTGACGTGGACTGCTTGGCGATGATCCATGGTAAGAACGAGTTTGCATCGACACAAATTTGGGCTTGCGGCCAAAATAGGTGCGCATTGGGAGAAGACGATGTCAAATAACGTCAGACAAGTCAGCTGGGCCCAAGGAAGCGATTCAACATCATGACCAACGTCCCACAAGGAGAGTGATCGCAAGGATGGGGTGTCTTGGGCTGTTATGGACCCGAATTTAGTGTCGTCGTCGTCGTCGTACCATTTATCCCAACAGAGCAAGGAAAGATGAATCAGGAAAGGTGCCGATCCAAAAAGAGGGGCGATTTGAGGGCGGATTACTCGTAGATCTACGTATTCCCAGCGAGAGCGATGCTGTAGGAGTATTTTGAGCAGTTGATCATCACAAGTGGGTCCCATCGAAGTCTTCAAGTCAAAATGGAGGGAAAGCGGCAGGTCGCGAGAGCGATGGAGCCAGGTTTCGACGGTTTGAATGCTTTCGCGCCGAGCCAAACGCGATAGATGGATCGCGCGCCAAAGTGAAGGAGAATGCAATGCGATACTCCTCCATAGCCGACAAATTCCAAGAAGACACGTTGGTGAGCCCGGACCAGCGATAGGTGGGTGCTCTGGATATGGAGGAATGTATGACATGAAAATCTGGATGATGAGCTCATCCGGTAGAGTTAGCACTGGGTAGAATTTTTCGCCAATTCTTCCGCTGTTCAAGTTTATTACAAGCCGCGTAGAAGGAGGCAGGCTAGAACCCATCCGGTTGAGAGAGAGGGTAACACAATAGAATTTGGGGCTTCAACTAAGCTCAAGATATAGGACAACAAAATAGCAATTATACCTGTGGATGGTTTGTCAGCGAGAAAGAGCGTTTCTGTGGAAGATGTAAAGACATTCATTACCTTGCGGCTCGATGACAGAAGCGAGATGCTGAGGCTGGTTGCTGGCGTAAGATTGAGAGTAATGGACTTGTGGAGCAGTGCTACCTTTGAATGACTATGAGGATTGTGGTGGTCGGCAACAGAGTCTGTGACATGGCGTCACTGCGTGCATGTCACACTCGTTCTTGTCCAAGAACGGGCTCCTTGCTCGCGCCAGAGTAGTCTTGTTGCCTACTCTGGAACCACGCTCCTATCACCGTTTCCATTGCTGGCTATCATACTAGCGTGCGGTCTTTGTCGGTATCACTGCCCAAGACGATGACGTTTTCTTCCGCAGCCTCAAGCACCACCTAGCACTTCTCTTCCACTAAGCATATAGGTACGTTGAAACCCTTCCTACCAGCTTCTTGAAAGCGAGTTCATCTACTCATACTTTCTGAGAAAACAGGTCGTGCAAGATGGTCGTTACACTCGCAGAAGGTGCAGGCAATCGGCTTCCTACAGTCGTTCTCACCGTCGCGGGTATATGCACACTGGTTGCGGTCATTGCCTCAGGCATGTCTATCCACTTTCATCTCCGCAACTATCGGAAACCGGCTCTCCAAAGGTGTGTTATTCTCCAGCGACTTCAGCCTGTTTTCACCTGCATAGGATGGTCATTCGTATCATGATTATGGTCCCTCTCTACGCCATCTCATCGCTTATATCACTCTTCTCGCTCGATGGTATGGCTACAACAAGCCTCGAAACACCACTTCTTTGACCCGTTTTTTCAGCGGCATTCTTCATTGACGCAATTCGGGACATCTACGAGGTTACCCTCTTCTTCTCGTCTCTACCAAAGCTAACCATCTCTAGGCTTTCGTCATCTATTGCTTTTTTGTCCTTCTGTTATCCTATCTTGGTGGAGAGCGCTCCCTATTGATCATGCTTCATGGTCGCCCTCCCAAAGATCCAGTATTTCCGGTCAGCCTCTTCAAACGCGAAATAGACGTCAGCGATCCCTATATGTTTCTATTCCTCAAACGTGGCATTCTTCGTAAGTAATAACATCAGACTCCAAGTAGAACATTTCTCACTTGTCTGCTCCAGAATACGTTCAAGTCAAACCTATCCTGGCTATAGCGACCTTGATTCTCAAAGCTTTGGGAAAGTACAACGAAGGCACCCTTCGTTCCGACTCCGGATACCTCTACATCAGCATTGTCTATAACATCAGCATCTGTTTAAGCCTATACTGCTTAGCCGTCTTCTGGATGTGCGTCAACGACGATTTGAAGCCTTTTCGGTGAGTTTCCCGGGGTGTAATGCTACAGTCAAACTGATGACTACTAGACCAGTCCCCAAATTTCTTTGTGTCAAAGGAATCCTATTCTTCTCATTCTGGCAGGCGCTGTTCATCTCCATTCTCGTCTCAGCTGGAGCAATCTCACATCTCGGACCATATACTCGCGACGAGGACAAAGACACCATTGCCTTGGCATTAACGGACCTTCTCATTTGCATCGAGATGCCTATGTTTGCGATCGCCCACGCCTACGCGTTTTCCTACACCGACTTTGTTGACTCAACCACGATTTACGCTGCTCGGATGCCAATGTATTATGCCCTGCGTGACGCCTTTGGGCTCAAGGATGTTGTTGCTGACAGTCGGGCAACATTGCGCGGAGAAGGAATGGATTACCGCGAGTTTGAGCCGAGCGAGGGGTATATGCACCAAGGGGAAGGCCGCGACCGAAGAATTCGTGCTGGTCTGCGATATGCTGATGGTGGGAGGAGGAAATATTGGCTCCCGCAACCAGCGGAACGGACCCACGTTGGAGGGGAAACTGGTGGGCGGGTGCGTAATGCGTTGGGCAATGCGTTGGGGCACGATGATGGTTTGGAGGATGTCCATGCGCCGTTATTGGCCTCACAAGAAGAAGATGTGGTACATCTGGCGCCTGATCTGGTGCGACACGAGGAGAACAATTCAATCTGGGTGGGGACAGTTACAAATGAAGAGGGCTATCGGCTACCGTTCGGCGATCCCGATGCGTTGGGCGATGAGGAGTTGTTTTCGCAGAGCAGGAAGTTCATGTTTGGGGACTACAACTATCCCGTTCTCGATGTCAGTTCGGAAACTGCGCGAACCAGGATATGGGACGAAGAAGAAAGGGTGTTGCGAGACGAACGGAGTGCATGGTTTTCGCCGGTCGGTGGGAGACCGACGCTGGAGGCGAGGGAGAGACAGAAGCCCAGATGGGAGGGGTATGGTGCGGTTGGAGAGACAACAACAAATGCACCAAGTCGAACGAGATCCTTTGGCCCGACGGATCAAAGGCTGGTCGATCACAACGACAACTTTGGTCCCAGTCACGAGGCGGATGTGAAACTACGATGGACCCGTTCAGCAGCATCCTCAAGGACGAATTCCAACACATCGACGAGCAACGCCGCTGCGGCCAGAGCTCGCCTTGCGCAAGCTAACCGAATTTCCCACCGAGGTTCATTCGGTCCTAATGAAAGCGCTGCAAGCAGTCCTCGGAGTCCGCCATCATTAGGCAACTCACGACAGAGTTCGGTACTGCCTCCTGATGCTGTCGACCTTGTTGTGGAGGAGGACAGTGGCAGTACTTCGCCCGGGTTGAAACGGGTTTACCGACGAGGGTTTGTAGATCCAGAAGATGGTATTGAAGGTGAGGTGGAAGTTCAGAGCCCTCGTTCAGTGGAACAGGGCGAAGAGGTAGCTGAGGCAGTTATTGAGGAACTACCTGGCGAAGGGAGGGAAGATATTGTAGTTCGTGTGCGGACACCGCCTGTGTATGCTCAAGTTCACGAGGAGAATAATCCATGGGCTAGCTGATATTAATAAGCTGGAAATTTGTTCATCTGTAGCTGTACTTCATGATTCTTAATCTTCATTGGTCTTCTACATAGCACTCTACATTTCTTTAGCTTACAGTTTCGCCAGGACAGCCTCGGCGCCAGAAACAGTTACACCCGGACCGGCTTCTACCTGGTGTAGCCTTTAGCATCGGCCAGGTAACTTGAACAAGATAAACATACCTCGACGTATTTGACGACCAGATCGTCGATGATCAGGGCATAGCGAGCGGTGCGGGTACCGAGACCATGGCCAGAGAGGTCAAGGGACAGGCCAAGCGAGGCAGACCAAGTAGCATCAGTGTCAGAAAGAGTGAGAATCTGGTTCTGAGCATCAGAAAACGATACTAAATGAAGCCATGGTAATAGAGCCTCACCTTATCTTCAAGACCCTCGAAGCGTCCCCAGCCACTCATGACGAACAGGTCGTTGGCAGCGACAACAGCGATGACATCGACGCCTTTGGCCTTGAACTCGTCGTACTTCTGGAGGTACGGGGGTAGATGGTTGGTGTGGCAGGTGGGCTGAGCGAATAAGTGGAATGCCAGGATAGCCGACAAAGCTTACCGTGAATGCGCCGGGAACGGAGAAGAGGACGACCTTCTTGCCCTTCCACTCATCAGTGTTGAGTTTGCTGGCTGCCGGTGCGAAATGTTTGGCTTGAATCGGGGGTTTAGAGTTGGATAGGAATACGCACGGACTCCGCAAGCTAGCTAAACAGATGTTGAGCGCTTAATCTTTCAACTTGCGAGGACATACGTTGTCTTTGAGCGCATCGCTCCATGGGATGTAGCCGAAAGTGCCTTGGGGGAGGGTGTCGCCGACCTTGATCGATGGTGCCATTTTGGTAAGAAGCAAGTTGGGGAATGATGAGAAAGGGTAACTGGTGCTGTGCTTATAAGCAAATCCCGGCCCAACTCCGGATGAGCGAAAGCCGGAAAGGTTCTCAAGTCAAGAGCTCGCCATCGAGTCGCGATTTCATTTTTCGAAGCAGCATGACTTGACAAAGCAGCATGCAAACGGATTACTTTCGGCGATTCGCAACTACAGCTCCATGTGGGGCCAGCCCAGTGTTGAAGGTCGCACATATATTCTGAGATGGTTGACCACCTAATGTCCACTCACGTCCAATCAGAGCCACTTGGAAAATATATTCAAATCGGGGCAAGCATCTTAATCAGCCACTGGCACGACGGGCGTCTCGAGAGATTTTTCCCAAGTCCCTCACAGGGATCTACACCTTCAGTCAGCGTCGACGCGCCCGGCGCGAGAGTCCGAGGTGTGCCAGCCGATGATCAGTCTCGATCATGTGATCGTGGAATGTCAGTGATGGTTGACGGTGAGGATCTTGGTTGATTCGTTGACTGCAACGGTGGCCTCGGACTGAAGCTCTCAAGCTTCTGCAACCCAGACTGGCATCTGCAGAGTAGGTTATGTGCGTGACTTCTACGACTGTGTGCCATACCTGACGGACCCTTCTCCCTATTCTAGAACCCCTACATGCAACTTTTGCGACGAGGTAGTCCGAAACTACGCGTCGCTTTGCTATCATCTCTTCAGCATCGTCCACTTGGTGCCGGCGTCTAAGGACGAGATATTGACTTCGAGAGACGTAATTGGTGCGTGCTTGCGTTGTGGCAACGAAACGGGGTTTTGAAGACGAGTCTGTAGAACTCGAATGACCACGATAGACGCTCCCTGGCGTATCAAAAGTGGGTGTTTCTACCCCACTAGATAGCACACTGAATAGGTTTAGCACGCCCATGCCCTTTTTACCAGCAAGGCCGTTGTGTCTTCGACCAATCCTGCAACTTTATTCATGACCCCTCCGTGCAGCCTTCCAACAACCTGCCAGAGCTGCTCGATGTTCTCCGCGATGTATTGGAGCCTCAGGAAGACACTATATCCATGGCGCAAGAACATGGAGTATCGCCACACATTTCAGGCGAAGGTTGGACCCTTGTCAACGACGATGCCAAGGACACCAATCCAGGCCTTCTTTCGCCAGTCTCACTTGACCTCAACCTCGCACGTATCTCGACCATAAAGAATCCCACCAACCACGACTCCTTTGACTCTGGATATGGTTCCGACCTTTCCTTCGTTTCCCCCCAACCACTCCCATCGACATTGAACCTCATATCATCGCCGTTTGGCTCACCAACCTCGAGGATGAGCGCCAGTGTATCTGGTATTGGGCTGGGGGCTAGCCGCCTCTTTTCCCATTCGCCGTTTAGTCCTGGACTTGCTTCACCATATAGCGGTGTCTCGAGAAATGACACTCCAGATCTTGATTCTCCTTCCACAGTTCGGCGGTCTGCATCAACCATAACGCCTGACGACGAGGTTGAAGAAGACGAGGATTCCGATGGACAGTATGCAACTGCTCAATGGGACATATCCAATAGCTTCTCTTCAAACGAGCCTCCCAGTCGCTTCTCGTCATCTACAATTGATGACACCCCTGACGAACTGCTCCAGCCTGGTAGTCGGTTCTCTTCAACCACATTGGCTTGTTCCGAGGATGGATCTGATTCAGACTCCGATGACCCTCCAGAAGACGCAACTGCCCAGCTTGCCTACCTCGTTCCGGGGGAGAACGATACCATAAACACACTTTATGATGTCTATATGTCGCCCCGAGAAACCCTCATGGCTCTATCGGACTCAGAGCAACAGGACGAAGAACGTGGCCGCACTCTTCGAGCCCGTGTCTTTACTCCTCCACCACGTGAGCCTAGGCCTAAATCATTCAATCCGCAGCATGAAGCGTCTTCATCGACGCCTTCAGACCGCTCGCAGTCTCGTCGGGGCCATGTAATTCTGCTTTGATTTTGCATTCCAAAGACTGATCAGTAAATTTTCAGAGTCGGACTAGGAGCGGGTTTCCCACAACAGGCCCTCGATCAGTATTTTCTGTTTCGCCAGACACGCCTCCACGGCCGCTCTCGTCGATGTCTATCCGAAACAAAATTCCGTTCAGTTTCAGGTCTGCGCCACCGCCCGAGATGGAAATGACAACTGCCTCACCCGAGTCCATCGGTTCATCACAACCATTACCATTGGCGCAGGGAAAAGTGCCTTTCGGGTTCCGGAGTCAAAGTCGGAATTCGTATCGGGACTCGACTTTTCAACCTGTTCCCGCCTCGGCTTCGGCAACCCGAACCACCTTTGCAAACGAATCCCCCAAGCCCTATGTTCGCAAGCGGAGAATATCCAGGAGTGTTGCTCCGCCTGCATCAGCGCCAATGCGCGATTCCTCTGCATCTTCGTTCTTCGGGGAAGAACCTCAGACTGTTATGGTTAAAGGACTCAAGTCCCTTCGTTTAGTGAGTTTTAATCGGTTATTTTCGAATTTTTCATTTATGTAGCTTTTATTAGTCGACGGTGTTGACCGCCCCGCCATCTTCATTCTCATTTCCAGATTCCCCTCAAAGGAAAGCAACTCACTCTGCATCTCAGTCTATTTCTATGCAATCATCTGTGGGTTGCTTTGCGATGTTGGATTTTCTTCTTCTTCTTCTTCTAATGATGTCGTTAGCGCTCTGCACCCGTAAGGGCTCACACAACATCTTCATCTATTTCTGCACGATCTGCATCTTCTGTGAGCCACAGAGTACCATTATGATCGCCATTGACACGGTTTAAGCGCTCTGGACATTCTCAAATACCAAAAGATACCCCTCATGCTTTCGTTGCTACTGTCGATACTTTCCCCTCTAACGACCACCATAAAACGACCCTTCCACGACCGCAATCACGAATAATAGAGCCTCCTCTGCGATCCGCGCCACTCCAATGGCAGCATACTGCAGACCAGGAAGAAGAGGATGATACAGCGGACAATACGATTCGACGAAGAGTCGCCCCCATCCAGATCCCGCAAACGCGTCCAACTTCACCGTCGCGGGCAGCCTCGGCATTAGGGTTTACCCATCCGACAACAAGTACACCTCTGCCGACTCGGTTGTTGTTTGCAATTGCATCAGATGACCCAGAGGCGGTCAGGCATGTTCTGGAGTCGGGAGAGGTTGGCGCGGAAGAGATGGAGGCTGTTGGGCCTGAGGGAAAGAGCGCTGTCAAGTTTGCGTTGGAGAACACGCAGCTGGGCAGGCGAATGGAAATTGCCAAGGTCTTGGCGTCCTTTGGAGCCAAAGTGGACGAGGAAGAGCTTGAGATAGCTGGTCCCGCAATCAGGTGGGTTTTCTCTCTTCATGGCGATCATGGCCCAACCTCTTTTAGGTACTTCATCAAACGGGCTGGCGAGGAACACGCCAAACGGTCATCAGCACTGATCCATCGCTCATTTTTCCGGCCATTAGCGCGGGTTCGCTACGAGCTCGTCGGGCAGGATCGGGCACTGGAGCAACTCTTCAGAGTGCTTAGTATGCATTCCCAGAAACTCGCTGTTTCACCCGTTGTCGTCCTGCTTTGTGGTTTGTGTGCAGTGATGTTTGGGGATCCTCGCTGATCGTCGATTCCAGGACCTAGTGGTCATGGAAAGAGTCTCCTTGCTCGGCGATGTCGGTCGCTTTCGCTCCTTTTCTTCCATTATTGACTGATTGTAGTTGGCGCACTGTTGGATGTTCCAACTCACACGGTGAACATGACGACGCTCCGGAACGCACATGATCTGTGGACGGCATTATCGATGGGTCCTGACGAGGTTCGGGCTAGCGCGCCGTTGTGCCAATCTAACTGTTTTGTCAGGAACCCAGCTCGTGTACATTAGCGGAATTCCTCATCAACAACGAGGGAAAGCGATGTGTGGTCATTCTCGACGTCAGTTTGGGTCTACCTTGCTGCTTAGTTATTGAGCCATCGCTAGGAAATCGAAAAGGTGGAGGAGAAGACGCTGTGGTCATTGTTAATGCCATGGGAGTCAGGTTTGGCCTACCATCTGTTCCGCTTGTCTACCTCCTGACGCTATTTTTGTCAGGCCGCTGCTCGTTTGAGGCTAACAGTCGGCATGTTGACACACGGAATGTGCTGTGGCTAGGCACTTCAAACGTGGGTCAAGCTGTGATTGCGGAGCACCATGCCAAACGCGCAAGACCTGATGAGCTCATGTCGCGAGAAGAGTATGTCCAACTTATGAAGCTTGTTCGGGAACCAGTGTCGCGACATATGGGGGTAAGTGCGGGAGTTGCTGCTGCTATTGGTACTTGGGATTCGCGGCTGATCGGTTACTTCCAGACGTCTATTCTATCCCGAGTAACAACCGTCCTCCCATTCGTCCCATTCACCATTGCGGAACAATCGGCGATCTGTGCGGAAGCTTTCTATTCATTGGGTGGGGAGATGGTGTCACAGATGCCTGCTGCCGAGTTGGATGGTCTTATTCGTGGTGCATTGGGAGGGTATGTTGAAGAAGAAGGTGCCCGTTCATTGTACAGAGCTGTATCTAACCAACTTCTCGACATTTGACGCAAGACAGCTTTCGTCGTCGGGAGACTCTTCCTGACTAAGTCAAATTTGCCACGGCCGGTATTTGATTGATGGTGTTTATCGCTGCCGAAACAGATGGCGCCCTTACTGATATGGATGGTTTGCGTGTGAGGATTTCCCATTTTTCTTCTCTTTCCCCCTCTTGTCTCTCTTTCTCTCTTTTCGTTCGTTCTCTTTCCTGCAACGACGACGACTGTAGAGCAATGGCCATCCACAATCACGCTCGTATGATGCGCGTTCGCCGCGCTACCGCCTCTACTACGAGCTCTGGCACTGCTGTCGTGGATTCTGCCGCGCCCGCCTCAACTATGTCGGTCGTCAACTTCCAAACTCCTGCGGTCACCAAGACTTTGGAAGTTGTCGTTGCTATCCTTGCCGCTGTAATCCTTCTCGGTGCGCGATCGTGAATTTAGGTTGTTTGTCCCTGACCCCTTTCAGGCGTTGGGTTCTGCTTTTTCCGGCACTGGAAACGGCGACACTCGAAGAAAGAAAGTGCTCTTCCCCAAGTCATCGACTTCACGTCTGAAAAGGCGCGGCCGTATGATGTGGAGCAGAAGCTCGACTTGCATGCCTCTGCCTATATTCTGGAGAAGCCCAGCTCGGTTTACATGCCTGGCGCCTCGGCAGCCGACATGAATCCGAACTGGGTTCCGCAAATACCTCAGAACAACGGCAAGCTTGCACCAGCGAGCTCCAAGAAGTCCAAAGGGTCGAAGAAATCGCTGCGGTCATCTCGTGGGTGGGATAAGACCTTCTCCAAATTTGCACCCAGCGAAAGATCCCCTCCCCCGTCATATATGTCTGACAACAAGGCTGCCATGTTGGCGTCGCAAGTCCCATTGCCGCCCTCACCGCCCCACCAATCTCACATCCCACCCACACCCCCAACACCCCCTGCGAAGAAGACCAAACTCAGCCCAATTTCTCCAACCGCTATGCTTGAGCCTGCGCTCCCACCGCTTCCTGTCGTCAGCCCCACCCGCTCTGAATCATTTGCGGCACACCAGTCCATGGCCTTTGCCCAGATGGCCGTTTCTGACGCTGACACCTCCAAGCTGATGAACGTTGTCAATCCGTTTACCCCCACAATGGACGACGAGCTCCCCATCCAGGTTGGCGAAACTGTCCGAGTGTTGGAGGAATTCCAGGATGGCTGGGCCCTTGTTCAGCGACTAGGACGAATGGATGCGCCAAAGGGCGTTGTTCCGGTTACCTGCTTGCGTGAGCGCCCAGTCTTTTCGCCTAATCGCAGGCTATAACACACCCATCGAACCTCCTCTTCACTGACGACGACTTCGATGCCCTCTCCACTTGCAGCTTCTTCGCTGTTCACCTCCCACCTCTGCTTGTCGACAGACACTTCGACAACTGCCGCTCTTTTGTAACTGTACACTCATTCTCTCTCCGGGTCCCGGGTCAGCTTTATTTATCTGCACGACACGCTTCGCGCTGCTCTTCCGTTTATTTATCACACGGAGGACGCGTTCAAGCGCCCACACACTCGCTGGATGGGCTGCCCGCGTCAATTACACCTTCCTCCGTAGTCTTGCTTCCCACTTTTTCACTCGTTTCTGCTCTTCCGTTTCGGCCATACCCTGACCGTGCACGTGGGCTGCACGGTCAATATTATCCCGCTCACACTTTTATTGACCTGCTAGCCAGGTCAGGCAGCTCCTCTGCCGCGGACTTGCTCTGCTTTTGAAAAAAGCACACTTTCTACAGCATGACTACTTGCGTCCGTTCAGACACAACCAACATTGCTCTATGTAGCACTAGCTGCTACTATTTACTTGTCGCGCAAATATATACTTAACCTCTTAGCCTACAATTTGAAACCAATTTTTTGGAGAGCGGAGTCGGACCCGTGGGAATCTCCAAGTGATCTGATCTCAGACTTCTTTACTCTTTCGTTCTGCCTAGATGTTCCCGATGTCGTCCCCGATGTTGTCCTCAAAGGTGGTCGTCTACCAACCCGACGGCAGTGTTTTGTTCAAATTCTCTTAACCATGGGGAGTGCGAAGCTGGTCGTCAACGGTAGTCAAATCGTCCAAGAAAAACTTGCTTGGTCGAGGAAATCGCTCGGCGGACAAGAGTCTATTGACGAGCGGCCCAGTATACGGTTGCATCGTCTAGGATATGGTTCGTCGGTATTGAAGCTGGGCCGAAGCGTCGCTGGGCTAACCACAGTTTGATACAGGCACATTTTCGAATCTTTTGTTGACTGAAACAACGATACCGTGAGGAATATGCAACCCTTGTGCCGGACATTGTTAGGTGACCTCGAAGGGGAAAGTCGGGGCCTCCTGAAGGATGGGTTATTTCCTTTTCCTATGTGAAGAGAAGGAAAGTGCTGACCTTGTGAAAAGATTTTGAATATTTGGAGAAGACGAATTCCCGTCAGTCAGAGCGGCAAAATTTTCTCGTGCGAAAGCAGGCAGGGAAGAGCACTGCTATTTCGCGATTGGGGTGTACTGGTGAGGTGTCGGCCAGTCTAAGGATTAAGGCTAATAAGAGCTCGTAGATGAAGCCGAATGACCTCGCAGAACTGCAATACCACCGATCCCTTTGCGATAGATGGTTAGAAGAAAACTGCCGACATGCAGGGACACTTCCTTACGGGCTGACTCGGTGTTACGATCCACTGATAAACTCTCCACAGTCTCACCGAAAACTTGTTGGTTGATAACAAGAAGACTATACCAGCAAAGCCACTTTTTTCTGCGCACATATACTTCGCCATCGAACAGCCTCGATGCGATACCAAGACTAGATGGATTATTCGCCGGTGCTGCTCAAATCAAGGGCACGTTTTGAACTTGTCTCCTCCAAAAAGAATAACTCGCCATTTGACAACATCAACCCCAACGCCCGCGTAGGCTCTCCCTGAATATTCTGGTCGAAATCTTATGGCGATGAGTTGAAAGCCATCTGTGTCAACTTGTCGCCCGTAAAGAACAACTCGCCATTTGTTAACATCAAGGACGCTTGCATGGCCTGCTTTGATATACTGTCGAACGGGAGAAAGTGCCAGTGAGGTAGATGAACGAGTGGCGAGCAATTTCATTGACATCCGCCTTCAAACAAGCGAATGGCATTGTCCGCTGTCGCCAGACTCCTGGCAGCTATGCTCCTGAATGCTCCCCACTCTGGAGCGCGCCATTTCACGAGCTTCGCGTCGCTGCTGCGTCCTCTGCACCGCCTGGTGAGCCACTATAAAATGCTGGTGACGGGAGCCGTGACAGTCCATTCTCTTCTGAATCTGAACTACGATGTTCCTCAGAAAGCTTACACTTGCGTTTGCCTCTCTTGTATCTATTTTCAGCAGCGTCGACACTCCTGGTGTCGATGTCAGCTCCGCCCTCCTTCCCTTCCTCCCCACCCTCGTCATCATTCCCGAAGTTGTGCGCACGTTCCCCATCTGTCTATTCAACGAGGAACCAATTTCGATTGGTTTCTCTCGCGCGAATTGGACCACACCCTCAGTCATCGGTATTCCTACCCTCGACTGGGGAGCGAGCCACCTCGCTCATGTCCAGGACCATAATGTCTCAGTCACTGACTGGGAAAAGTGGCTCATCGTCGCTGGCGAGGTCTTTCAAGAAGGAAACGTCGATTATCTGGTCTACGTTCTGCACGAGGTACTCTCCGTCTCAGCCTTGTTGTGCACATTCTCATCGTCGTCGTATAGGCCCAACAGTATCTGGTATCCGTGCAGTTTAACATAAGCGACCTCGAATGTCTCGTGTTCTTGGTGTGTCGCTCGTTTGTCCAGTTTAATCAATGACTAATATAATCTCAGCTCGACGTCTCCTTCGTCGAACTCGTCACTGTCCTCGCCCTTCTCATTCTCATGGAGTCTTCGCCGTTTTTCGAATGCGCGTTCCGCAAGGTGCTGTCGATGCGTCGTCAAATTTTATATGTCGTCGACGAGAGCATGATCCTCGCTGGTGTCTTACTCGCTGTTTGTTTCTTCTTGTTTTCCCTCTTTCACTTGCTTATTTATTGTCCAGACTTGGCCTCGTATCCTCTGCCAAACACTTGGGTCTCTCATTCCCATAGTCGCGTCGCAAGTTTTATACCTTTTGATCAAATTTGACCGATTCCTTACCTTGGGAATTGACGCCTTAACCATACGGCCCATCCTGGTCCTCAGCAGCAATGCAGTGATTGTAGGATCAAAACTTGGTATCATCATTCGAGGCATTGCCCTTCAGAATCTCCACGTGACCAAGTCAATTCGGTCGAGTCTATCAACCACATTTCGGGCAATCATCCACGAACTTTCATCCAAATCGTACTGTTTGTTCAGCATGGTCCGGACTGCGCTTGTATTATCCATTTTCATCATCGTCTGGCTGTCATATAAAACTGCCATGTCCATAACGGACAAAGTCCACCCACTTGCAATTAAATTGCACCATTTCCTCGGCTTGACTGCAATCCGTGTCTTCACCGTTACCTGGATCACCAACAAGACCAGTACTCTCGGAATCACTACGGCACGGCCTCTCGCCAACCACACTCGCCGATTCAAGGCAACCATTTCAGCCCTAATTAAGAATCGGATTAAAGCATTTCTCTTCACGGTGCGTTACTTCGAAACCCTCGAGTTGCTTGTGCTGATTACCATAGATTACGTTCGAAGGAGCCACTCTTCTCTTCGAAGTCGCCAATCATGAATTTGTCGAAAAACTCACCTGCTCTGGTCTCGCCAAGGTTTTTAGCATTTTTTTCCTTTGGCCATCTGCTAATAATGTTCAGGTCGAATCAACCCACCAGCCCAACACCGACACCGACGCTGAGCTTCCTGCGCCAACCCCATACATCCGCCAAAGCACACGGACTCGCGAAAAGAAGCGGTACCGGAGAGGCAAACAGGTGAAGATTGACCTTGGCGAGAAGAAGAAGCACGGCCGCAAGAGGGCCTAAATCGACGAACTGCTGCTGCCAACCCTACCTCCCCTCGCTCTTCGCCTCAATCGACAAAGGACCTTGACCCGACCATGATCAGCAAGAAGGGGGAAAGCGTGATGTATTCCACACGCTTTTTCTGCCGACAAAGAAGCAACAGCGACACGCCCACGGCGAGGGCAGACGTGTTTTAGTCTCAAGTGTGTCAACGCTGTGCTTACGGCTTCCTTCAAAAGTGCGAGTATCTGGGAACGTCAAGGATCGGTTTTGGCAAAGTTAGAAGAGCAACAAGGGTTGACCAAGGGTAAGCAGCAGCGGTATCTTCGTCATTATTCGGTCTCTTTCCGGTATATGGCTCTTCGTATTGGACACACTGCCGCAGTATTGGATGGATTGCTTATTGTTTCTTTCTTTCCTTCTTACTCTCTCTCTCTCTCTCATCTCTTTTTCCGATTCGTAGTTGGTATACCCGCCGACTTTGGGGCACACCGTAGGGTGTTCCAAAGCGCCTAGATAGAACCTTGAATGGATTTCATTTTGCCAAATAACAATCGTGACGACCTGCTCAAGAGACTGACAGCCTACTCACTTCATCCGACTGTTACTGTCATCATCCAGGTGATGCAACAAAATGTAATCTAATAAGTATGCTGGGAAGACGATAGTACATGCGCTACTTCTAGAAAATTAAAAGAACCGCGTAGCCTTGGTCTTGATGCCGTCCGCATTCGAAGATCGGCAAAGACTCCCGAGAGGAAAATAGTTTGTGCAGAAGCTGGTGACATCGCTCAAATCGACATTTTGCAACTTGACGGCAACTCTGCTGTCCACACTGTGCTCGGGGAGAACAAGTCCATATAACCCAAGGTCGTTCCACCTTCCGCGGAAATCAGGCCCGATGACAACAATGCGAACCCCTACTTGGGTAATTTTGCAGATAAGACCAGTCTTTGGATTCAAACAAGTGTCCACTGGCCGTAGATCCCTGGCTGGTACACCGCGGGCACGCCTTCCACCGGTGTCTGGATATACCGTGATGAGCTTTGCCAAACGATTTGGATGCGGCAGAGAGTCAAGTTCGATGTAGCCTGCTGAAAGACTGTGAATGGCTTCGTAGCCATAATTGCTCCGAGCGAAGTTCTTCTTGGCGCAAATTATGACGTCGAGCCGGCGGTTCATCAACTTTTCATGACAGAGCCATCTCGGTCCTGCATCGTATTGAAGAGCCCAATTGAGTCCGACGTCAGTGAAGGGGGTTTCAACAAGGGTAATGTCCGTGGTCAGAATGGTGAACTATCGTGCATGACTATTGTCTCTATCAGGCGTTATAAAAGATGTGCTCGTACTGTGTTGGAGTGATCTTGGCCCTGTTGTCGATTTATGGACTGCACATGATGATTACATTGACATACCGAACATATTTCTGCTGCTAGAACCGTCTTGAAGGTCTCATTGAGGAAGAATCTTCGTTTGATAATGCCTTGGGTATGTGCTTGCGGTCCATGCACAACCCGAACTCGATCCCCTTGAACAAAATGCCTATTAAGGCGTGACGCGTGAACGCGATGCATGGTTTCATGGTGCGCCTCCTCCTTGACCCAAGCAAATATATCCTTTCCCTCGCGATCAAGCCTCTTGATGCTCCCTATTAGAGTGCCCGAGCAAACTCTGTCTCCAATTGCAAGAGGGCTTGCATGGGAAAATAAGTGGTGATGCACCATAGCTCGAGGTACGGTGAGGAGGTCAGATGGGTAGGGAGGCTCTAACAAGGAATTGACAAGGTCGGTAGCGCGGGGATCGATAGCTGAACCATTAACTGCCACCCGGACTTCAACCGTTTCGTCGTCGGGGAAATCTACGATGTACGCGCCGTGGAAGCTAGTAGATGGAGGGGTGGTGAATGCGACGCGTGTTCCCAGTGACAATGGCAACGTTCCGGAGTGCATGATTGCATTAGCCAAAAGACCAGTGTCCAGCAGTTCCCATCTTTCGATGATACCAGGAGGTGGATGAGAGCTGTAGTTGGTAACGCAATCTTCGATAGCACAGGAGGGAGAGCATTTAAATCTTTGCAAGCCAGAGGAGGGTGTTTCCGCCACAAAGAACTGCGCGTCCTCTAGGTAAACCCATTGGCCAGTAACCAGTTCCCCAACGTTGTAACCTAATTCAAGCCAATGGTTTGTCCAAGCGTGCGATTGGCCTGTCGGTTTTTCATTTGTTTTGGCTCTTGCCACAGCCCCATGATGCGATGAGCTAGCAATTCTGTAGAGGGGTTAGTTGCACCGAATGAGCTGACGTTGAACTTACTTGTCCTCTTTGCTGAATTGTGGTCGGTCCGACCGCCAAGGTTTCACAGGAGGGCAGAAAACTATCTGGCTCTCGTCTGTGGAGGTAGGAAATGTCTCTAAGCGCAAGGAGGACATTGCGAAGTTGACTGGAGCATGAAACGCGTGTGGCATGGTGGAGGTAAGATAGTGTGATGGAATTATCATGTGACCGTTGATAAGATAATACAGATAGGTGCAAAAATTCCAAATGGAAAACTTCATTCGGTATCACAACTACTGCACGGACGACGAGTTTGAAGATGAGATCGTGTATCTTCTCTACAAAGCCGTGTCCTTACGGTATAGCTTCCTCCACGATATACCTCCCTTCCTGATTGAACTGGCCACTATGGACGAGAGTCCGGATGACCCCGATTGGGGATTTTCAGCGCCTAAGCTTCGCTATGCCATGCTGGACATCGAACGAACCGATAATCTGCGTGGCTTCCTCCACCGTTTTGCCTTTCCGGCACTTCGTGGCTTGAACCTACGGATCGGCCTTTGCGCGTGGGACATGGACCGCCTTTTACTCCAAAATAATCGGTGTTCAATTCCCGACTACTTTGCCAACCTCAGGGTGTTTCGACTCTGTGGAGACATTTCTATGAGTAGTACGACTTTCACAGCCATGATTCGAGCACTTCATCGGGTAACCGACTTGACAATGGAACTACGAGACCTATCGCGCGTGCATGTTCCCACTCTGGCTGACCTACTCACAACACAACCTCATCTCACGCTAGTTCCACGATTGGAACATCTGCGGTTGTGCCTGGACTCTTATATCCATCCTACGGTTGCCGATGCATTTGTCGCCATGCTCTCTCTCCGCTTCAAGGGGCTGCCGGGCTCACCACCCCAGGCAGCCCGACCGCTGCAGTCATTCGTGCTATTCGCCGCCACTTTCATTAACAGCTCACCTCAGATTCTAGTCGACAAACTGACGGAGCTGCAAGCCCGAAACCACAATGGATGGGATATTCGGATCGAAAAGGGTGGTCGTATTGACATGTGGAGAAAACGGCTCGGAGGAGAGTTCCTCCTTGATATATAGTGTGCATTTAGACATGGGTTCAACTCGCCGCATATCCTCGAGTTGGATATGTAGAGCCGGCCTCCGTTTGAGCTGCTCTTTTGTGAAGACGACCCTGATAGGTTTCTCGTTGAGCGAAGAGCTGTCAATGGATTGGACAATCCAGTTTATTTAGGAAGATGCCAAGCGTAGCAAGCTGGAGCTTTCTTTTCTCAAAGCTCTATACTTATATGTACTCGTAGTTTGTTACGACTGTATGTCCGGAGGAAGGAATCCGGCATGATCTGCCGAAAATTCACGAACTGACATGTTGTCCTTGACCTTCATCGTCTACTTCAACAACTTCTTTACGCTCAAGGTTCTTGCCACTGACTGTCAGACGAAATGACTATTCGCACTTTGCTGTCATGATTCACCTCTTCCATTGTTCCCCACATCATTGTTTCCGAGCGCGTCTCAAAAGCGTACACCTCTATCATTGACCATGGTGGTCAATCCAGCTATGTTCGCAAGGTTTCATTTTCTCGTTCCACCTCGGCTGACTTCGGTCCAGACAGTCGCGGTGGGCACAAATACCTCAAGATGTGTTGGGGGAAATTTTCTTCGAGACGATCCCATACCCCGAGGAAGAACGCTTTGCGTCAGCGCAAAACTTATACGAAGACCCAACAACTCCAGCTATGCTTTCTTTGGGCATCAGCCATGTTTGTCGTCAATGGCGGCAAGCTGCGATTAGCTTCCCCAAGTTGTGGTCTTTTTTGGACGTGGTACAAGTAGAGTGCGAGACAAAAGAATCTCGGGTGGTGAAGCTCATGGACACCTACCTGCAACGTTCCGGTAGCTATCAACTGACAATTGTACTTGGCTACAACCATTCCACGCGCCATACGCTCCTCAAACGACTCCTTCAAGCGTCAAAGCGCTGGGTCACGGTCTGTATCGACGCATATGGCTTGTACGAGTCATCTCCTACGTCCACCAATCTTACGAGTGAACAATGGAATGCTATCGAGTTCCCGGCACTTAAAAACTTAGTCGTCTTTGACTTTACCCAGACCTACACGGGATCCTGCTGCTCCGAGGCGGGAAGCCAACCCAAAGGGACTCTAGTTCAAAAACTTCAAACTTGCGACATCATTCGGTATTACAACTACTGCTCACATCCCGACTTGGAGTTCCAAGACGACATCCTGCACTTCGCCGACAAAGCAACGCTCTTGCGGTACGACTTCCGAAATATACCTCCCTCCCTGCATGAATTGGCCACTGCCACTCTTGACAACCCGGACGGCGCGCGTCAGTGCGGGTTTTCATGGCCCAAACTCCGGTATGCGATGTTGAACATCGAGTCCGACGACAATATTGGGGGTTTTCTGCATTGGTTTACCTTTCCGGAGATTCGCGGCTTAAACCTGCGCTTCGGAAGACGCGTGTGGACCACGGACACTGCGCTCGTCGACATCAAAACAATTCAGTTTTTGATTCCCAACTACTTCGCCAACCTGAGGGTACTTCGACTTTGCGGATATATGGACATGTCCAGCAGAACTTTCACCATGCTGATTCCTACTCTTCATCGAGTCACCGACTTGACAATAGAGCTGGGACACCGGTCTTCCCACAATGTCCTCCAACTCGCCAAACTCCTCACTGACACACCGCATATACTGGTCCCACGATTGAAGCATTTGCGGTTATTCGCCCACTCCGAGATCCCTCGTGCTCACGCCGACGCATTTGCCGACATGCTCTCTCTCCGTTTCGGAGGCCTCGCTTTGGCCGTTAAATTGCGGTCATTCGTCTTGTTTGAATTCGCTGACAATCCCACTGCGCCGACCTCACCTCGGACGCTGCTTAACAGACTGACGGAGTTGCAAGCCCAGAACCACGATAAATGGGACGTTCGGATTGAAGTAGCCGAACTCATTGATCTATGGCAAGCACCATTTGGAGGGGAGTTTCTTCTCGATATTTGACAGCCTGAGCTCCTTGCTTGACTTGAGCGATTTTTCTATCCTTATTCAAGTATTTAGATCATAAGATTTGAATATACCCCCATTTTCCTGTCCCATGATGTACGAGCAGCTTCCTCAGAAGATAGGCCGTGCAACCAAGTTACTCGACTGCGCCGCGTGTGGATCCCGATGAATCCTGACTAGCTCCCATCCAGCACCACGCAAAAGCGCAACGAACCCATCTACCGTGCGCTCAGTCGCTCCCAGCAAATTATGCATCTGAAAATCACGTTAACCACGGACAAAAGGAGAGGAAAACACGGACAGTTAGATCATAATGGTACATCATCTGGCCAGCCACACCCCAATTCGGCAGCAGGGGGGCCGGCGCGGGGGCGAGTTTTGCGCCGGGAATGCTTTCGACGATCTCGGGGTGGGCAGACTCGACAAGGGACGCGGGCCGGACGACCCGGTCAATGATGAGCAGCTGTGTTTCTGCTGACGCGGCATCCCGCAGGCGGCGGAGGATCTGGGTGGCTTTGGCGTTTGGCCAATTATGGAGGATGTGACGCAGGACAAAGACCGACACGGGTGCTGATCGCGACGGTTGTGCATTAAAGAAGTCTTGCGCTGGAGTCAAAGTTGTGAGGAATGTGACCAGAGAGAGAAAAACACACTCACGTTCGAACTTGACCAGGCCTTTCGTGACGACCTCAGGCAGATGCTCTTCCCAGTTCTGCATTCAGTCAGTCTACAGCCCCAATAACACGGGCTAAAAACAGACCTTGCGAGCCTTCACGACCGTCTTCTCCCGATCTTGAATCACAAACTCGATCTTGTCGCTGGACCCGAGCTGGCGGGCGACCCCCATGATGTACCCTCCCATTCCCGCTCCAACATCGACGACGAGCTTCTTATCGCCTGTGGCGAGCTTTACCCATGGGTACCCATCCGCCAGCTGGTTCGTAGTCATGGTCACGTCCATCGCAATGGAAAAGCGCCCCAGACGGGCGGGGGAGGTTTCCAGGAAGGAAAACAGATTCGCGGTGGGGGGCTGGTTGAAGGCCTGAAGCAGGGGAGCGGAGGCTTTGGGATCGCGCATGGTGTCAGCAAGCACTGATGCGCTTCTGAAGCACTCGTCTGCTCTGTTGAAGGTTGGAAAATGAGTATCGGTGGCAATAAAGACATACAGGAATTCGACATGAGCCGCTCGTCCAGACTGTGGCTCGCTGAAACGTTCACTAGGTCTTGGGCTCTGATTAGAATGGGATAGACCGTCAATTAATAACCACATACCGCTCCAATAAGTCTTTGACACTCTTTCCCTTGTCCATTGCAGACGACACACGGTTGTTGGTGAAAATTCCGGGGCCAATTTCGCGGAAAATATGATGCGTTGCAAGGAGTCGAAGGACGCGTTCTAGATTGCCCAGTCAGCAAAAGAAGGTTGGGGACTATAAGACATACCCAAAAGTCCAGCATCTACTCCACTATAAGACGCAATTTTCTCCGCGGAAGCACCCTGGAGTAGTTGAGGGTTTCTTCTGCAAAAGAAAGATGTTGCTTGCCTGCTCTCCCGCCTCCCTCAGAATTTCCGGGACATTCAGCTCTGACGCGACGCGCAGACACGCCGGTACATTAAACTTCCCAAAAAGGACTGAGCAATGAGAAAGAACCAGATTTGTTCACTCACCGAATGCGCGCTCAGGAAAAGCCCTACAACTGGGTCACGGACAGCCACAATAATCTGGCTTGCGGCCGCTATTATTTCCTTCGTCGCGTCGACGACGGCTGTGTTTCCTAAGCGGAATGTCTCCGCTGGGCTCTTTGGATCATATGGGGTGTCTAGTGATGGAAGGGCATGGCCAGCTGAGGCGTATTGCGAGGTCAGGTTGTTTATCGAGGTGGTCAAGAGGGCGAGGAGGTCAGGGAGGGACATGGCGAAGAGAAGAAGGAGGTGGTGGTGAATTCGGAGTGGAAAGTCTGCATCTCGAATAATGGCCAAGGTAAGCCAATAACCAAGTGTTTCTATTCCCCTTCTGCCACAGGGAGCAGTGGTTCACTGCACAAATCTTGTTTCATGCACTGCTGCACAACGACACAAACTGTGCTGACTGAAGCCAATGTGTTGGCACTTGGCAGTAGGACTGCCAGTGACAGCACCGTCCATCGCGGTCGAAGGGTCAAAAAGGTGTGTCTTATCACCAAAGGTAAATCCGAATAAAACCAGCGCGAAAGAAAAACAACAATTCTCAAGGTCGTAATTGCATAAATGCTGTTTTGTCAAAGTTCAAGCACAAATGAAAAAGCTTAGGATCGGCCACAAGCTGCGTAGCATAGTATCATTGTTACAGTCCATTCTTTACAAAGGATTAAGCGCTAGACTTGAAAAACACTTCAATTTGAATCAGAGATAATGCTGGCTGGAGGATCATCAACAACCGGCCCGATTGAACAGCCAAGGCCGAAAACGCACTCGATGAAGTCCGCACTTATATACCACTTTGGTGGACCTTCGAAGCCTAGCTTCTCTGCGAATTCTTCTTGTTGCACCTTATTATATCGGTCTTCGATGATAGTCCCATTAGTCTCAATCCAGAATAACGCAAGCGTGGTCAGCAAGTTGGGTTTCTTTTGCGACGGCACGTAGACTGCTGTGACGCCACCAATGATGCCCAAGGAGTCCGCAAACGCGGCCCCAACATTATAACCAGTGGCTCGGACGTTGATAGTACCATCGTTGTTGGTTACTCTACCAGTGTTTTCCATCGCCCAGTCCACCATCCGCTTGAATTGAGCATCTTGCATAGGCCAACCGAGCCGACAATCAGCGCAGCGAACCCCGACTAGGTCAAAACGCTCGGGGAGTTCGAGAGACTTGCCGAGTTCGATGACCGCGGCGTAAATCTGTAGGGTTTTCAATGAGAGTAAAACATAAATGAAGCGAATAGTGTACGTCGCTATACTCGAGCGGGAAGGAAAGGAGTCTCTGAGGTGGCATGGTCGGGGTGTGCTCAAGTTGAGAGGTCACATTGAGTGGCTTTATAACGAATAATCAACGTGTGACAATGGGGCCCACACACAGCCTGAAACAGCATTTCGTTTGTGAGGTCCTTTTTCTTTCTTTGGAGCGTCTTGTATCCGAAAGAGGGTTTTCCTTTATCATGAAGCATATAAAGGTTCACATTCAATGGCTGCTTCGCTCAAGCTCAGGCTCCCAAGTTCTTCGAGACTGATATTCCTCTGACTCTGTCGACGTCTCCCTCACATGTCGCACATCCATTCAACCCGTCAGGTCGACGATGATGATAAGGGCGAATTAATCCCAGGCCAGCACCGTCGTCCCGAGCCAGTCGTAAGCTTGTTGTTATTTTACGAAATTTGTACCAACGGCTGACTATGACTCACAGCAAGAGAGCTCTGGGCATTTGAATGTGGAATACGACAAACGGCTTCCTCTCATTCTCCACTATGATAAGTTTTGCACTGATCTCGTGAGCACGGTGGACGATGCTCTCCGGTACTCCTCATTCGAGTGCTACATCTACGGTATTTGTCAAGTCATCTTCAACACCTTCACGCTGCGCTACGACGACAAGTCGCCAAATCGTGAAACCTCCGTTCGTTGTGAACAACAGTACTCTTTCATCAAGAAGTACACACAATTGCCGAACGACCTCGTGAGGCGAAAATACTGTACTCCCGACTTCGCTTGTGTGCGAACGGATGCAACACCACAGCGTCGTCTCATCTTCTTCGCCGAAATCAAAGCCCTTGCAGCATCCACAGAGCAGGAGGCAGTGGATGCATGGTTCATCAATCCGGACATGGAGGCCATCCAGGACAAGATGCAGGCGACCCTCTCGCAAGTTGCCAACCAACTTCATTTCGCTAAACATTTCTTTGGCGATGTAGCCGCAAGTGAAGGGTGGCACATTTTCGTTGTGTGTGGCGTGTTTTGGTCCCTCCACTACATCGATTCGGGAACGCTTCTGCGTTCAGGCTATCGTGCAGGAGAGGCCGCCGGACCGTCCACGCGGAGCGCCAATGGCCAGGCCAATGCAAAACGGTCAAAGCCTGACACCACTGCCACGACAGTCGACCTTGACACATTCGACCCAGCTCTCGTTACCCCTATCAGTACCAACATCATTGAACCAGCACAGTCCTTTTTCGATATGACAATCCTTCAAGGCAGACCAACCCATGGAAATTGCCCCTTGAATCCCAATCTTGACGCCGCTTTCACAAGAATCATCAACCACTATCGGTTTGCATCATGGAGTGATCATTTTACTCCCTGCAACTGGTTCCACCCGCGAGCTGCTAGTGAGGAGTAATGTTCTGGTTACATCAGGACACTAGCGTTGGCTTTCCGGGCCTACAATCCCAAATGTTGCGTGTTCTATAACTTCTTCCGAGCCCTTACTTGTACGACGGAGCTGTCACTTTCAAGTCATCTATCACGAGTGTTCATTCGATGTTGTAGCCTGTTGTAGCTTGTGAAAATATTTAGGTTTATGCCATAAGTACCAGACACATTGAGAGGATGCCCTTGTCAGTGTTACCGCATGAGAAATGGTACCATTTCCTAATATCCAAAACCTTTTCATAAGGTCAGCGCTTTGCTTTTGCCAATCCCCGGAAACCGGCGTTCCTCAGTGGGACCGTGCCGCGTAATGCTATCCTATCCTATCCTTCAATTAGGAAAAGGAAACAGCCCTTCAGGATAGAGGCCAGACTTTCCCCTTGTCTAGCCAGCACAAACCATTTCATAGGTGAGATTATCGCGTGCCGTCACACGAATCGTGACTTGTCCTTCGACCACGACTGTCCTTGGACCAGCCTTGGACGGTCAGTCAGTCTCCCAGCTTCACGTTGACCCCTGCATGCTAACCTTGTCGTAGTTCGGCCCTCATACTTCAAGTGCAATGACGTCGCCAATCAACCACCACGTTTCAAGTTGATGGAGTTGGGAACGGCGAGCGGCAGGAGACTGGAGCTATGCCTTGGGTTTGAGGGCAGGCTATGACTAACGCGCGAGCGAAGGAAGGGTTGTTGGGCTCATGCAGTTGGGAGAGCAGGACAAAACGTGCGTTTCTTTGGCACGAACCCTGCAACAAGTTAGTCAATCATCTCAGCACACAACAAACTCGCCCCGCCATGCTACACCTATCCCCGTTGTCACTAACGCGCCAGCGAAGGAAGTTTTGTTGCGGTCAGGAGATCTCCGCAAAAGGTGCGTTTCTTCCTGATGCTTTTACACATACCTCAAGTCAACTCGGGACAGCCTACCCACGTTCCATTGTAAGGACAACCCCGCCCGCTACACCTACACCCGTTGTCGGCTTCGAAAACCTTCTGCGACGCCAAGGCTGGTGTCCGCCTGGATTTTATCACACATTGGGCCCATTTCCCGCCCACAGACATGCCCAATTGCGCGAAAACGAGGGAGAATTTGTGTGTGTGTCCATCTATGCTTACGTAAGCTATTTTTCTGCGATCTTTTTGCCCTTCAAAACTCACTTTTTCGCAAGATTTTGCCGCCGGAGCATAACGCCCTGGACTTCAACTTTACGCCCTCCAAATTCTCTGCCGGCGTCGTTATTTGCGAACGCGAGCCATGCTTAAGTACCTGGAGGCAACCTTGATCTGGGTGCATGCGGGCCTTGTGGCCAACCCTGTTGGGCAAAAGGTGCGCCGTCAGGCGCACAGAATCGATGTGGCTGCCACCAACCCCGTTTGTTAATGCCATTTCTAATCCTTGGCTGTGTGCTGACCATCGTCTCATCAGGCATTCGTTTGTGCCATGCCCGCTACACCTAACGAGCCCACCCCGTCCATACGCCCACTCCCGTTTTCGAAGAAAGAACTTCCTTCTGAAACACCAAGGTCGGTTTCCGCGTCGATTTTGGCACGCTTCTGGCTCATTCACCGTTGCAGATGACAACAAAACCAGGGCGAATTTGCCTGTATGGCTACGCGTACGTAAGCGTTTTTCTGCTCAATTTCTGGCCTTTCGAAACTCACTTTTTCGCAGGATTTTGCCGCCGGAGGCGTGCCTAACGCCCTGGACTTGAACGTGGCGTATTCGCAGCAACAGCTCTTGTCCTGTCGCGTTTTGCGAACGCGTCGCAGCGCCAGCGGGATGGATGCGCCGTCAGGCGCATCAGAGAATGGTGGACTGAGCCTTCGAGGTCTAGATTCTGTGAGTTTTTCTATCTTTGATCTTGTTGGATACTGACATTCTGTAGGTTACTCGGTCTCCCATGCAAGAGGTTTTTAACTCAGCACGTTCACTTTCTTGCTTACCCGCATTTCAGAATGGCGAGTACGGGATCCCATCCGACAAATGCATTTGGTTCTTTGCGGGTGTCCAAAATCGCCCTCAAGCGGTTGGTTTATGTGTCGCCGCCTGGTTTAGCTGCTCACAATTACCAGATTTCGAGCGCTGGTTCCTTTTCCCTGGCTTGGAACCTTCTTGGTTCGAAAGACTGTAATTAATTCGAGCGAGCGAGCGCGGAGAGTGGCTTCGGCGTTGTGAGTGAGGGGCCTGCATGTGGTTTTCTATACCGAGGACCCGCAAATTTCCGTTGTTGACGACAACCCCGCCCCGCGTCGTGGCTTTAAAGCTCGCCAAAGGTCAGTGCCCCATCTGGATTTTGCGCCCCATCCGGCTGATTTTCCGCCGACAGACACACGAAATTGCGCGAAAACAAGGGAGAATTCGCGTGTCTGCCTGCACTTACGTAAGCTATTTTCCGCTGTTTTTTCGTCCTTCAAAACTCACTTTTTCGCAGGTTTTTGCCGCCGGAGGCGTGCGTGACGCCCTGGAATCAAACGCAACATACTCGCAGCAACCTCCGTTGCTCTCTGGACGCTGACATTGGTTGCGAACGCGAGGAAGCGGGTGGAGGGTCAGTTCGAGATGCGCCGTTAGGCGCATCAGAGAAGGGACAAGACGAGTAGGTCAGTTCTTGTCATTTGTCCAGCACTTGCTTGTTTGACCCCGATTCAGAACCGACAAATGGCTTGGATAATGGGTCAACCTTGACTTGACGCGGACTGGACAGGATACGGGAAATATACGCCAGTTGTTGCGGGGATGGCCGGTGGACTGGTCGCAAATCTGAGTTCCGACGCGTGGAGCAGGATTAGACCATTTTTATTCAAGTATTTAGATGATAAGTCCCATTGTGCTCCTCACAAGAGAGGCCGTGCAACCAAGTTGCTCGACTGCGACGCGTGTGGATCCCGATGAATCCTGACTAGCTCCCATCCAGCACCACGCAAAAGCGCAACGAACCCATCTACCGTGCGCTCAGTCGCTCCCAGCAAATTATGCATCTGAAAATCACGTTAACCACGGACAAAAGGAGAGGAAAACACGGACAGTTAAATCATAATGGTACATCATCTGGCCAGCCACACCCCAATTCGGCAGCAGGGGGGCCGGCGCGGGGGCGAGTTTTGCGCCGGGAATGCTTTCGACGATCTCGGGGTGGGCAGACTCGACAAGGGACGCGGGCCGGACGACCCGGTCAATGATGAGCAGCTGTGTTTCTGCTGACGCGGCATCCCGCAGGCGGCGGAGGATCTGGGTGGCTTTGGCGTTTGGCCAATTATGGAGGATGTGACGCAGGACAAAGACCGACACGGGTGCTGATCGCGACGGTTGTGCATTAAAGAAGTCTTGCGCTGGAGTCAAAGTTGTGAGGAATGTGACCAGAGAGAGAAAAACACACTCACGTTCGAACTTGACCAGGCCTTTCGTGACGACCTCAGGCAGATGCTCTTCCCAGTTCTGCATTCAGTCAGTCTACAGCCCCAATAACACGGGCTAAAAACAGACCTTGCGAGCCTTCACGACCGTCTTCTCCCGATCTTGAATCACAAACTCGATCTTGTCGCTGGACCCGAGCTGGCGGGCGACCCCCATGATGTACCCTCCCATTCCCGCTCCAACATCGACGACGAGCTTCTTATCGCCTGTGGCGAGATTTACCCATGGGTACCCATCCGCCAGCTGGTTCGTAGTCATGGTCACGTCCATCGCAATGGAAAAGCGCCCCAGACGGGCGGGGGAGGTTTCCAGGAAGGAAAACAAATTCGCGGTGGGGGGCTGGTTGAAGGCCTGAAGCAGGGGAGTGGAGGCTTTGGGATCGCGCATGGTGTCAGCAAGCACCGATGCGCTTCTGAAGCACTCGTCTGCCCTATTGGATGTTGGCAAATATGTATCGGTGGTGATGAAGACATACAGGAATTCGACATGAGCCGCTCGTCCAGACTGTGGCTCGCTGAATCGTTCACCAGGTCTTGGGCTCTGATTAGAATGGGAATGAACGGTCAATTAATAACCACAAACCGCTCCAATAAGTCTTTGACACTCTTTCCCTTGTCCATTGCAGACGACACACGGTTGTTGGTGAAGATTCCGGGGCCAATTTCGCGGAAAATATGATGCGTTGCAAGGAGTCGAAGGACGCGTTCTAAATTGCCTAGTCAGCAAAAGAAAGGTTGGGGACTATGAGACATACCCAACAGTCCAGCATCTACTCCACTATAAGACGCAATTTTCTCCGCGGAGGCACCCTGGAGTAGTTGAGGGTTTCTTCTGCAAAAGAAAGATGTTGCTTGCCTGCTCTCTCGCCTCCCTCAGAATTTCCGGGACATTCAGCTCTGACGCGACACGCAGACACGCCGGTACATTGAACTTGCCAAAAAGGACTGAGCAATGAGAAAGAACCAGATTTGCTCACTCACCGAATGTGCGCTCAAGAAAAGTCCTACAACTGGGTCGCGAACAGCCACAATAATCTGGCTTGCGGCCGCTATTATTTCCTTTGTCGCGTCGACGACGGCTGGGTTTCCCAAGCGGAATGTCTCCGCTGGACTCTTTGAATCGTATGGGGTGTCCAGTGATGGAAGGGCATGGCCAGCTGAGGCGTATTGCGCGGTCAGGTTGTTTATTGAGGTGGTCAAGAGGGCGAGGAGGTCAGGGAGGGACATGGCGAAGGGAAGAAGGTGGTGGTGGTGGTGAATTCGGAGTGGAAAGTCTGCATCTCGACGCCTTTATATCGTCTTCGAATTGTAACGATCCGATGAGATAGAGAACTTCGTGTATGGCCTGGACGAGCGCATCAGCTCATCCATGGGTAAACAGCGGGTAAGGAAAGGCCTGACGACGATAAGCGTGTCAATTGGTTGGCTATTGGTTGTTATCGAGGTGTCCAGGAAGACCCATATAAAGTAGTGCAACGAGCTCGGGTAAAATATTCCGAAGAGCCTCGTGGATGAAAAAATTGAGTCCGAACCCTCAAAAATGCAAATCAATGGAAGCGTCGTGGTTGGAACTTGGAGGAGTTGAAAAGAGTGATCTACTGAGCCTGATTTCTATCCTAATGAATTCGAACTTGACCATTCAAAGTTTGGATATCACTTGCCTCCCACAATCAGATTCAGACTGTAAAAAATCAGCCTATGAGGGGGGTGGTTGGACGGCCGATATAACAGGAAATCACAGTCCAGATTCATCAGAACCTGAAGCAGAAATCTTAAGACAGGAAAAAGTAGCAAACACAGTCCACCACGTCGTTTACGCGTTGCTGATCCGGTTAAGATGTCTGCATTAAGTATCTTGAATAAAGTAAATACTACTCTATTTTCGGTACGCCCTTCTTCAACAACGCATCGAGTTTGTTGAGTGCGGCCGTGTTGGCAGCAGGCTGAGTTTTGTAGAGAACCTTTGGGAGGGTGGCCGTCGTGCCTGCCGTTTGCAACTGCGAATTTGTTGTTGAGCGCAATTTCTCGTACTCCGAGCGCTTGTCTACCGGGCCACGAGCGGCAGCGTGTGCTGCTCGCTTGCCGTCCTCTACAGCCTGCGTAACATCAAGCATTCCACTGTACTCCCGTGAACCAGGTGGATAGGGGTTTAGACGGCTGGGTTCACGAGCGCCAGCATCAGCACTCACGATCAGGTTAATATTCACACCGTCCAAGCCTTCATCGGGTTCACGGCCACGACCAACAACGCGAGGTACATCTTCAAGCATCAGCCCATCGTGCGTAGCGGGACGCAACAGTGTGACAGCATTTGGCCAGTCGTCAGCATGGGCGCCATGCTCCATATCCATGAGCGGAGTGCGACCTTTTGCGTGCTCAGAAGGTAGAATAGCAGCAACGCCAGCAAATGAGGCCAGATAAATTGGGTTCTCGTCATCAGGCGCCTGCACTTCCTCGTCAAACCGACCGTTGTCGAGGTCTTCGATAACGAAGCCAGGCTTTGGCTGTGAGCGCAGAAGCGTGTCGAGCTTGGACGGATGGCTGTAGGTCAGAGCGGCATGACGGTGAGGCACTGGTTGAATTTTGCCTTCTGTGGAACGATATTCAGAGGCGGTGTGTTGAGCAAGGAATAGTCGGTGGTGATCAGATACTTGAGCTTGAGCACCCAGCTCCAGCAACGATTTTCCTTCTATCTTGGGTACGTATTGGAACGTTTTGTTGGGGTTTTCCTCAACCATTCGGTCAAAGCTCTCGCGCTCCTCTTCGCCCTTCTGCTTCATATACTCCTTGAAAGCGGGTCGAAGTTTTCGTAGACGCGCTATATAATGCTTGAATTCGGCTGGAGACATTGCGTGAACATTAGGAATGACTGTGGTGGACTCTCGAAATGGAGGTTCGCGTGTCGCACGAGCACCATATTGGCCTTCCCCTCGTTTTCCGAGCGTGTCGATTTCAATGGGGTCTGTCGTTGGCTCATGTTCGCCTGGCGCGGTCTCCTCTACGGGTTCCCAATTTCTTGGCGAAAATTCCGAGTCGATGAGCCATTCCTGCCGCGCCGCTGACCCAATGGACGACATCCAAGAGCTCTCCGAGTTGGCGCCAGGTTTGACACCCAGCTCGTCCATCCGCCTTATGAACCTCACTTGGTCTTCGGCGTTGTCCCACGCGACATAGTGTTGCCGCGCTTCCCAGGTCTGGATGGTGATGAAGGACGAGGTTTTCTTGCGTGCAGCAATGGGTCTCTTGAGGCCCCAGTACCCCCGAGTGACGAATTGCTTGGGAGAGTAGTACGTTTGGCGGATGGTGGGGTCAAAGGTTGCGAAGCGGGAGTTACGGAGAAGATGAACAAATGGAGAGGAGGGGTGGGAGGTAGACGCAGCGGAGGAAGCAGTACTCAGCGCCGACGTCGACGCAGCCGCCAGTGCGCGTACCATGCCGTCCTGAGCAACGAGAAACTGAAGGCGACCCGAATTTTCGCGTCAGAGTGTGACGATCAGTCACCTGACTTGGCTTCTATATAAGGCACATTTGTCACGAATTTTTTCTTTACAAAACCACCGGCGTCAAATTGCTGTCCTTCCGCCCCGTTGCAGGGTGCTCACGGATGGACAGTCCAGACAAACGTCGAAGACCGTCACGGAACCTCAAAAACAATCTACGCGGACGCTTCTCCCACTGGTTGAGGGGCAAGGATGCGGGATCACCTGGAGGGTCCGACATGTCGATTGCAGTAGTAGCTATTCATGTTCAGCTAGCTTTATGAATGTGAGTGTTGGTCCCACATCCAATTCTGCCGATGACGAAGAATCTGGTAAATGCACTTGCCCCGACGAGTTACTCGTTCCAGTGATTTCGCAGCAGACCTTGGTCGAGCAGCGAAAAGTGCTAGCTGGTGTCGTTGTTCTTCGGAGCCGACAGTGGGCGAGGATGGAGAGCCTAAGGCGAGGCTGAGGCGTTCTTCTTTGTCTTGCCTTATTTCTCGCACTTCGCTCACAGGTCTTTTCAGTTCTAGGGTTGGCTTGGGTTTTCATTCTCGACGCTGTAATACATTTTCATTGTAACAATACTAAAGCCCCACCAATGCTCTCAACGCGTCTTGTAGATTGCCTTTGTGCTCAACGAGCACGCGTTCAGCCTGAGCTTTGGGAATCTCGAATTCGGAGACCTGCAATGAGTCAGTTGAGATTATTAAATCAAGGCGCTTGCGTACGATAACGTCGACATCTTCCCTCTTAATGAGCTCCCGTTGTGCTTTTGTGAGCGGCGGATGCGCGTGTAGGACGGCAGGTGGTCGGTCAAGCAGGCCACCAGCACGGAAAGCCTCTCCCATCGCTTGTTTACTGTAGGCAAATCCATCACCGAACTTGCTGGATTAGTGAGCATGGGGGGTAAGAGTATATGCAAATATATACATTGACGATGACCTCTGGCTCTGGACGGCCATTGGCCGTTGAGCGCGACATGACCGCAAGTTTTTGGAGTGAGGGTTGAGGCTTATCCCGATCAGGCGGTAATTCGCACAGAAATCTGTTTTTGCTCCAGAGAGTATATCCTAATTAGGGAGGAAAACGAGGCGAAAGGCTAACAGGGCGAAAATAAGCGTCGCCTCGTTCGACTCTTCCCCTCACCTCCCCCTCCCTAAACCTTCCACCCTCCACGTCCAGGCCGTTGGCGCTCCCCATTCCGAACGAACTCATGGCAACAGAGGAAATCCGTGCGCAGAGCTATGTCGGTTTCGACTCGATAACGCAGCAAATTGAGCACAAGCTGCTCAAGCGTGGCTTCCAGTTCAACGTCATTCTTGTTGGTGAGTACTTTTACAATACCGGTGCCAGAGACGCCACGAGACGGGGAGAAGGAGACATGTCCGCTCTCATTGCGCTCTGTGTTGTCAACGACCAAAGAACGAGCCAACTAATACCCCTACCAGGACAAACTGGCCTCGGAAAGTCGACACTCATCAACACCATCTTCGCCTCCCACCTTATTGACTCCAAGGGACGATTTGCCTCAGACGAGCCAGTCAGACAAACAACGGAAATTCAGGGCGTCTCTCATGGTATGTCTGCTTGACTTTTTTGTATAATTTCCAACCTCCACCGCAGTCATTGTCGAGAATGGCGTCAAGCTGAGGCTCAACATCGTCGACACGCCCGGGTACGGTGACCAGGTCAACAACGAGAACTGGTAACTCCCTTTTTTCTTCGCGTCTTTTTCCTCCTCTCATGGTCATTCCAGCTGGGACCCAATCATCAAGTATATCAAGGACCAGCACAGCGCGTATCTCCGCAAAGAGCTCACTGCCATGCGAGACCGCTACATCCAAGATACCCGCATTCACTGCTGCCTCTTCTTCATCAACCCCACTGGTCACTCCCTCCGCCCTATTGACGTTATCGTCATGAAAAAGCTCTCGGAAGTCGTCAATGTTGTTCCCGTCATTGCCAAGTCGGACAGCTTGACAGTCGAGGAGAAGGCCAACTTCAAGGCCAAGGTGTGTTTCTTTCTACTTTATGTTGGACAATTCCTTACACTTTATACTAGATTCGGGAAGAGCTCGTTTTCCACAACATTCGGCTGTACCCCTTTGACACCGACGAGGATGACGACGAGGAAGTCGCTCTGAACGAGAGCATCAGGGTATGTCATCTCCTATCCAGCTTAAAATTAGCTGAGTGACATTACTCTGCAGCAAAAAATCCCCTTCGCCATCGTCGGCTCAGAGACCAACGTGATCATTGATGGCAAGTCCGTTCGCGGACGCAAAAACCGCTGGGGTGTTGTCAACGTCGAGAACAAGGAGCACTGCGAGTTTGTCGACCTGCGTGACTTCCTCACACGCACACATCTCCAGGACCTCATCGAGACAACCGCGCAAATTCACTACGAGGTCTTCCGCTCCAAGCAACTCCTCGCACTCAAGGAGGGTGTCAACCAACGACCAGCAGAGCAGCGTTGATCACTTTGGAGTGTACACAAAAATGGCCTTGCAGCGGTTATACCCACCTTCTTGTCTAAATGGATTCCGGACCCTCCCTCATGTTTGTCGTCGTAGCCAACAAGCCGCACGCTCGTTTCATTGTTCATTGAATATTATCCTTCTTAATCCACCCGTTGTTGAAAGGAAATTGTCATTAGTGTGTGTGTGACTAGGAATACATGCTGCGAGGGAAAGAAAAGTCTACAAGAAAGCGAAAAAGTCGTTTCATGCCAATCGTTATTGTTCGCCCTTCTTCTTGCGCGAAAAGAAACTTCGTCGTTCCTTGCCGCCCGGTAAGCTAACTCGACTCTGCCTTGCTTCCGACAGCCCAGTCTGTATCCTCCTCATGGCCACCCCGCCCTCCTCTGCTGAGAAATCGAAGCCCCGATGCAGACTCCGCAACCCTGTCGCCATGTCTGTCCTGCTGCCCAGATGCCATTCACCACTGCGACGCGGGGCCGAAGTCGCTGTTTCTGATGAACGTGCCCGTTTTAGGGCAGCCAGCGAGGGTTGGACTTTGCCTTTGCCTGCCTCGGCGGCAGCAGCGGCAATGTCCACATGGGGCTCGATCTTGCGGACCGCACGGAGAAGATCGATGTCGTTGGGGTCAAAGCCCATAGCCCACGCCCGGGAGATGTATCGAGGAAGTAGTGCAACAGGTACACAGAAGAGGATGCACAGCCAGTAGTAGGCAGAGTGGAAGAGGTAGTGGACGTTTCCGAACACGGGAGTTGAGATCCAGCCAGGAGAGATGATCGAATAAATGGACTACAGGTAGATTGGTGAGTTTATTCATCAGCTTCAATCCAATAAGCTCACGGTATAGCCCCAGGAGAGGACGATGCCAAGGAAGACGGCAAAGAAGACCCATCCGGTCCAAAAGTTGGTATTCAGCCCATTAAATAAGTTAGCGCATAAGATGGCGGTCATGGCCATGGTCTAAAGGCTGGTCAACAATGCATAGGAAGAACAGACAAACGACCAACCGTGGCGAATTCGTACTGGTAGACATTATAACCATCAGAACGGGCTGTGGTTGTAGCATAGGTATAACGAATGATGAAGAATATTATAGCAGACTAGTCAAGGTGAATGCGAGGAATCATTTGAAAGCAAGACCACTTACTTGGACGACTCCATCCAGCATATATACGATGAAAAGTTTGAACCCAAACCACCTGCCCTCCCGGCCGAAGTGATATAGCTCTGGTAGCGCCATAAGAGTGTCGGCGTCTGCAACGAACCAAGCTCAACAGGCGCATGGAGTCAAACCCATCCACATACCAATCAAACGGTCGAAAACTCCAATAGCAATAACAGGCGCGATCGTCCAGAAGGCATTCCACCATAGCAGATACGTGTATTCAAATACGCTGACAGCAAGTCAGTTTGTGCGAGTAGCCAAAGAAACGGAAAACAAACTAGGAGGAACTCCAACCGTTATAGATCTGGAACCACCACAACACGCCGATGCAGACAATATTTTTGAAGAAGAAGTTGAGGATCATGTTGCCATTGCGGGCATATGACCAGTGGCCGTGAACGAGAACCAGTCTTTTCAGGAAGCGGAACTGAGCGAGTCTGAGTACCATGGACCTATCAGAGGTGCAAGCGTTACCTGTGCAATCGCATAGTCTGATGAATTGACCGCCTGTAAACCCTCTTCACCAGAAATGCCGACACCAACATCAGCAGCCTATGGACATTTTTAACGAAAGCGCAACAGGCAGAAGACTTGACATACTTGGATCATGCTGACATCATTAGCACCGTCGCCAATTGCCAGTGTCATTGCGCCAATACCATCCTTGACCAGATGAACGACAAGAGCTTTTTGAAGAGGCGACACGCGACAACATATAACGCCCTCGCACAGCATAGCAAGATCGAGCAAGGTTTCCTTATTCCGGTCATCGCTAAATGCCTATTGGAAGATTGGCTTGAGAAACACGGTGATAGAAAGAGCTCACATGTCCAAGTGCTGTTCCGTCAATGACCAAAATAAAACCGCCAGGTCGGTCACCATTATCAGCGCCAACAATGGAGGAGACACCAGTATTGACGCGACCGAGAGGGATGCTCCTTTGAGAACCCGAAGCACGTCGTCTACTTCTAGCACTGGATGAAGACGCTCGTCGGTGATGGGTCGGTCGCGAGTTGGTTTCTTCAGACTTGGGAAGGAGGCCACTTTCGGGGAAGAACTCTTCAATAGCGCGAGTAAGTTGATCGTATACAGGACGCGAGCCCTCGTCGCCGTCACGAATGACAATGATGTTGGAGTCCTTGCCAATCAGGTTCGTACTATGACCAATCGCAATCGCAGTCTCGAGCTTGTCACCAGTAGCAACCCAAACCTTGATACCAGCCCGTTTCAGGTCAGCGATGGTCTCTGGGACACCATCTTGTAGTCGGTCCTCAATTGCGGTAGCACCCAATAGCCGTAAATCGTGCTCGATTTCGTCTGAGACATCTTCAATGATCTGCTCATCCAAAGTGACTGTTGCGTCGTGATAGCGCTGATTCCAGGCTTCATATTCGTTGTCTGTTCAGTTAATCAGAATAAATTCACAGGCTCGAACGCATAACATACCTGACAAAACCTTATATGCCAAGGTCAAGGTCCGTAAACCATTACTTGCGAATTCATCCAGATGATCTTCAGTTTGGGCTTTGAGATCCTCTGCGACTCCCTTCTTTAACCGATCGAAAATAACGTTGTCGGCGCCTTTGCTTAATAAGAGCAGTTTCCCGTCCGTCTCCTCATCCGCTCCGCTGCCAAGCTTCTTGACAATGACACTCATCCTCTTTCGGGCACTCGTGAATTCCAGCACGTTCAGCAATTCGTATCGTTCCTCTCCACCAAACGGAGTTTTCAAGGTGAGAATCAAGACACCGTTACGCTGCTCTCGTCCACGAAACTCGTACCCGGCATCGGCAGCGGCCTGGACCAGCGCCGCTTCATCAGGACTCTGCGCTTTGTAATTGACTTCTTCACGGCCGTTTTCGGTGCGGATATCGGCGAGAACGGTGTGGCAGAGGGCCAACACGATGAAAAACCCGTTTAGTGACCTCGCGTGAGCTGCATCAGGGGTATTAGGGCCGGCATGTTGCGCAGCTGAAAGGTCGGCAGTGAGAACGGAATCGGAGAATCGGGGTTTTCGAGCATTTTTGCCTGTCGGAGATGTGGCTCGGGGAGGCGTTCCCTGATCGGTCGCTGGTGCGGAGCCAACGGCAGTGGACGAATCACCCGTTGAAGGGCGGTCCCCGGCATTAGCAGGCGGAGCAGGTGGGATTTCAGATTCTTGTGTTTCGCCCGTATAACGTTTCCCCCCAATGGAGCACTCCCGAAACACCATCGAGTTTTGCGTCAAAGTCCCAGTTTTGTCCGAGAAAATGTACTCGATCTGGCCTAGATCGTCTGCCAGATTCCACGATCGCGCAAGCGTTGCCTGATTCGTCTTGGCGTAGTATATCTCGGAGTCGAAGTAGATGAACAACGCTTGACATGTCCGCACAAACTCTATGGAAATATAGAGTGATATTGGGACAATGTTTTGAAACCTGCGCAAGTCTAAATGAGAGAATGAGTAAAGGGCGGAGATAGACTCACGTGATCAAAGCAAAAGCCCAAGTAACAAGACCGTTGTAGCTTGGGTTATCGGAGCTTGTGTTATCGCCGTATAACCAAAGAGCGCCTTGAGGATAGTACCGTTTTTCGAGAACTGAGTCGCTAATACCACATGCAACAGCCATGGCAGCCAGGATCAAGAGATTAGATGCGACTTGAGGATTCATCTGTCTTTCGACCTTGCTTCGTTTACTGGGTGTGCCGCCGGAATTGAGAATAATTTTAGTGTCTTCTCCCGTGTACAAAACGACACCGATGACCCAATCAGTATTACGGAGAACGGTACCGCGGAGGAGGGTCATGGTTAAATCGAACGGAGCGCTGGTGTTGTCATTCCCAACGAAAACGGCGCCGTTGAGCCTGTACATGTTGGTGTCGGGCCGCTCACAGTCAACATGGAATGAAGCCTTCTCGGCATCTGCGAATGCGGCAGCACTGTTGAGGTGGGTTAACGAAGGAGAGGCATGTCTTGATTTGAGGTTGGTTTCTCCATCGAGATTTTTCGTCTCGACGAAAGCAACGTTGTCGTCCTCTGAAGTCGCGCAGATGAGAATATCGGCAGGGAGGGGTTCGTTGTCGACAATCTTGACGATGTCGCCAACCCGCACATCCTCCCACGGTCTAGACTGCCATCCGTCCTCTTCCCCTTCCTTTGCCTCGCCCCTGCCCTTTCTCCAAACCAGATTTTTCACCCCCCTAACAAATGTCCGACTTTTGGCTTTCATGGGGTTTGTGTTATGGAGCGGAAGGATGCGGACCGAGCTGTGGTTGACCTTTCGGTCGGATTGGTGGCGCTTGGTGTCCTCATATGCATCTTTGCCCGCAGTAAACCCAATGACAACGAGCAGTGGAAATATCACGAGACCAGGGGAAATGGTCGAAAACTTTGGGAAGAACTGAAGGATCGCAATGACCAGGAAGAAGCTAGTTGAAGTTAGTCAACGTAAACCAGACTTGCAAGCCACATACACATTGGCAACACGGCGGAACTGCTCGAGCAGGTTGCGGGGGAGGAAAGTGACAAGGGTGTACTTGCTGGTGATGACTTGGTTTGATACGTAGAAGTGCTCGGCCTTAACCTTCCCCTTCGGATCCAGATAACTTGGAGGCAGTGGCTGGTTAACGCACACTGTGCGTTTGGGACCGGGTTGTCGTCGGCGGGAGAAAAGAGTCCCAACGTTGAAGGAGACGACTTTTTCGTACACCCGGACGAAAGCCGACTTCTTGCGGGGCATTGTGGCGGTCTCAATTGAGCGTTAGAGGCATGCTCTTTCCGGACTCCTTGAAGTCCTTGGGCAAGGATATGAGGTCACGAGCTTCGTAAGCATCCTTGGCTCATCACCCGCTCCGCCGACTGTCTGAACCGTCAGAAGAGGAAAATTCTAAACGAAATTCTTATACGCATCCAGCCAATCATGCTGCCAATAGCTACCATGCACGACTCTAATGAATATTCTCCTTCCTGAGACGAGCAAGGGAATGGGCTCCGTTTATGCCCGAAGCGAGAGGTAACCGAATCCGACTCCGATTTGTCCGTCGTTGTCCGCGTGTGAAATCAGGATCCAAGTTGTCAATGGCCACACCGGTGCAATTTACTCGAAACATGACAGGAAGGACTGGCTTGTATTGACTCGATCCGGATCGATTACAAGCAACCGTCCGTTCAACTCCTCAAGCTCAAAGCAAACATCATCGTAGAATGGCTGCAACGGTCGCGAACGAGTCCCCTCGCAATTAGTTTCGAATCCCACTGCCAACACCCCAGTTTCAGAGTTCAAACTACTCGCCGATCTCGTTAGCAATACGCATCCTCCCGGTGGGATGTTGCACTGTCTGCTCCTCAGCTGATTCGAATATCATCAACGGACGATTCCAAAGTTTTTCCCCTTGAATCCGCTGCTTTCTTCTGCGGTGCCAGTGCCCCCCTGCAAACCTTCGCATCCAGTTTTGGGAAGACAACCTCCACATGATTCTCACTCAACGGCCTCCTGCTTTGCGTCTCGCATTTCCTGATATCAATGCCAGCCAGCGGGTGATCTCGTTGGATGATTTGAGAGGCAAGAATAGTTGAGGCATTGGATTACTGGGAATTTTCTTATAGGAATCATCTTCTGAACATGATTTTTGCAGTATTCAACCCGAAATAATCATATATTGAGAAGAAACTCTCCTCCAAACCGCTTTTGCCATATATCAAAATGACGCCCCGTTTCAATTTGAATATCCCATCGATCATGGTTTTTTGCTTGCAGCTCTGTTAGTCTGTCGACGAGGACAAAACTTGAAGACGAAGTCCAGTGGTCAGTGATGGCAAATAACATGAAAGACTGCAGCAGTGTGGTCCTGGAGGCTTGTTCTGAAGCTGGGAGCCCCTCAAAACGGAGGGAGAGCATGGCGATCAAGGTATCGACAACGGTAGCATGGATCTTGAAGTCGAGACACAACCGCAGATGCTCCAGTCGTGGAACTAGTGTGAGCTGGGGTTGCGGTGTGAGGAGTTTAACTAGATGGAAAGCTAGCCCGCGCGACCGGTCTCGCATTTCTAACGTCAAGTCGGTCAGCTGATCCAGAGCTTTGACCATCTTTGTCAAGGTGGCGTTGCTCAAGGAAACATCTCCACACAGTCGAAGAACCCTGAGGTTGGCAAAATAGCTGGGAACAATGAACTGATTGTTCTTGAGCAACAGTCGTTCTGTGTCCCACACCCGACGTCCAGCCCGTAGATTCAAGCCACGGAGCGCTGGAAAGGCGAATCGATGCAGAAAGCCATCGAGATTGTCGGTTTCTTCGATATTCAGCATGGCATACTGCAAGTCATACCACCAAATTTCCCAGTCGCGCTTGCCAGCGGTATCAGCCACTTGGTCGTACAAAGTGGTCAGTGTAATGATGTACTCGGGTATGGCGTGGAGGAAGGTATGCCGCAACGACACTGCGTCACTGGTATAATACACAATGTCGTTTTCGAACTCGTTATGGGAGCAATAGTTGTAATGCCGAATCAAGCTGCAATGTTGAAACTTGTCGTCCAGAGTCTCCCGGTCAGGGTCGCCCTCCTCTTCTGAGTCAGAGTCCCAATCAAAGTCAAATTCGTCGTCGGATTCCGATTCAGAGTTGTCGGATTCATCATCAGACTCGCGATCGTTCCTCATGAGGAAGCGACCTTCAGTGCGCCAGAATTCCTTGTCGGTCATGGATTGCTGGTCTGAGTTGAAGATGACCAGGTTTCTCAACGCCGGGAACTTGAGAGCATCCCATTCCTCAGTCGTGAGATTGGTGGACGTGGGAGATGATTTGTGGAGGCCAAATGCGTCAATACAGAATGTGACCCAACGCTCGGACTCTTGGAGGAGTCGTCCGAGAAGCGTGTGGCTTGTGGAGTACTCGTAGGTGAGAAGAATCGTGAGTTGATATTTGCCAGAGCGTTCGAGGTAAGTCTCGGTGCGCTTCAGCATCTTGAGCTGCATCTTGGACTCCCTCTCTGTGTCCTCCCCATGCTGAACCACGTCCAAAAAGGACCACAACTTGGGGAAACCGATTGCGGCCTGCCGCCATTGACGACAAACGTGGCTGATTCCCAAGGAAAACATAGCGAGAGTAGTTGGGTGCTTGTATGCGGTTTGGGTAAAGCGTTCGTCTTCGGCGTATGGAATCGACTCAAGGAAGATTTCTCCCAACACATCATAGGGTACTTTCGCCCACCGCGACTGCCTGCACCAAAGTCAGAGGTGAAAAGAGGGACCAAAATAATGCAGACATAGCGGAATTGACCATTATGGCCAAGTATAAAGCTAGTTGCAGCGTAGGTTGTCCTGGCGGTACCTTTTCGTAGAGAATGAATGTTTGGGGAGAGAGAGGGAGTGATCCGAGTCGAAACGCGTGGATCTACATGATGGGTAGCGTCAAGGTATCAGTAGCATTAGAGTCTAAGAGCTTGCTCCAGTAGAGCCATTCCACAAACAACTCGGGCCAGGCTGATCAGAGCACCTTTCGTAGTCGTCTTCACTCAACGCCTCCACTCTGCATTTTCCGGATCACGGTGGTCTTACATCCAAGTTGCCTGTCGGGGTCGAGGTCGGTTTCAAAAAAAAATGATGGCCATCATTGATGACAGGACAGTCGATAAAATATTCGAGAAAGCAAACGCTACAACCATTGTCTACGAGATACACACAGACCGAGCTCGAAGACACGGAAAAAAGATATCAAGCTTGTCCACATAACAATCTAGGACAGGTTTCGAATGGGTGTGATTCAAGTGAAAGATAAGGACTCTGGCTCTGGAGTTGCTCATCTTGGTGATTTAATATCGGTCTCTTCAAGCTGCTGGACGTTATATGGCAACCAGAGGAATTGGGCCAGGATCGGGAGGAAGCTCGGCAAGCGCACGTCGGGCGATGTCCACAAAAGCAGCATATTGCCCTTGAGCCAATTCTGTCGTGTATCGGGGAATTTCTTCAACTGGCTCGTCATCGCTATCGATCCAGTTACGAGGAGTATGAAGGCGTGAAAGCAGCTTGATTCGTTCGGCAAATAATTGTCGATATGAGTCCAGCATCTTCCAAAGAAACTTAGAAAGAGGCACAGGTGAGGCGAGGGGGTAATACATCAAGTCTCGTTTGCACATGAGCAACATTCCGTCGTCATTTGTGCATGGGCTCAAAAGGGTGCGCATGTGGAAGGGCATGAGCTCTTCGCTGAGAAGCCGTTTATCAGGGTCGAAGGCGAGGAGAGCGATGTAGACGATGTAAAAGAGTGACTCGAGATCGTCCATATGGTCTTGATGCTTGATGCCAGTAGAGTCCATGGTTCCGAAGGACTGATAACGGGGATTGCGCTGGAAAACATTAGCAACGAAACCCAGCAATAATAGAGAATTTCCATACCGTCCGGGCCTTGAAATTGACGACGTCTTCCATTCGTTTCGCCATATCCCAGTCGATGATAATGGCAGCGGAGCCAGGGTAGGGCGATAGGCGGATGCTGCTGAAATCCAGATCGCCGTGGAGAACTCCTTTCTCGAGAAACGCGACGCGATGACCTATCTCAGGATCAGTAAAGAAAGGGAGGCAAACAGAATACGACCACTCACCATCCACAATGTCGATGATTGATTGGACAAGTTGACGCGGCTCGGCGTGCTCAAGCGTTTGGCCGTATTCCACCGTGGTCACTGGTATGAACCAACACTCTTCGTAGGTGGCATCTGCTGGGCGATTGGCACTCCGTTGCAAGCTCCAGTTATGGCTGATAGATGGGCGATTGTTCTGGAAAGTGAATATCGAGCCAACGCCTCGAACCACAATCAGGTCTTGGAGAGAGTTGGATCCACCTTCTCCACCCTGCATCTTCCAATGGTCCATCACGATGTAGTGTTGTCCATTGCAGGTAGCGTCCCAGCAGAGGGTTCCTCGTGATCGAATCGGAGACTGAACGAAGGCGTTTGTCGCATGGTAGTGGCCCTCTTCTGAACTGGACTGCGTGCTAGTTCTCGACGAGCCATTTGCTTCCGTAACTGGGGAATGCTTGTCGCTTCCGGCTTCGCTCATCTTCGGTAACTAAGAGTTGTACATGGCTATGGCCGGGAGCGAGTTGGTTTTGGCCTTGGTTTGGACCTTGATTGGTGTGGGGGGGACGATAATGAGGGTGGCGCTTTAGTCTGCACAGAATCGTCAGAAGAGAGCAATGTGTTATACGTTGTTACAAACCAGGTTCTGGTTGCAAGGACCAAGTGCAATCCGTCACGTTCACGTTTTGTCACAAGCTCGTGATCCTGACATGGACAGATTGATCGCCTCAATCTTGTCGCTGGTGGGTCAAGATTAACTAGTAAAACTAAGAGGATCTCATACGTGAATGGCTTGACAAGAATCAATAGCAAGTTGCGGTCTGTCAACCACCAGGCAAACTAGTACAATGAAAAGAATACTGGTTCAAAAGGATATCAAAAAAACTCTCCTTCAAAACGTTCCGAACCTCCTGCTCATAGATCAATGTGATTGAGTCCATCTTTCGATCCGAACTGCCCTGGAGATAGTCCAGAATCCTCCCACTAGTAGTACCCCTTTGCTGCAGGAATGGTAAGTCTTGAACAGAACCGTTGGTAGGCTGGAGACAAAGATTTGGCTCTGCCGCTGTGGAGTTGTCCTCGGGGAAATTCTGTTTTTGATGTCGCGACTCGCCAAGCTTCGACTGGACGGAGGAGGAAGCTTTATGTGAACACGGTGGACAACGTCTAGAGCTAGTTCTGGCGCAGATGCATCAGATATCAAGAAGAAACTCTCCTCCAAACTGTTCTTGCCATAAATCGACATAGCGACCGATGTCAACCCGAATATCCCATTTAGTGTCGTTTTGTGCTCGCAGCTCCGTCAGTCGGCGGCCTACTGCCCATGTCAAGTTGCCAGCGGGAGCGAATAGCACAAATGACTGCAATGGTTCAACGTCTCCCGCTTGCGGCAAACCAGGAAACCCGCTGAAGCGGAGAGAGAGCATGGCGAAAAATGTGTCGACGACAAATGGTTGAACATCAGAGTCAAGACAAAGCCGCAGATGCTCGAGCCGTGGTACTAGCGTAGGCTGGGATGCCGGTCTGAGTCCAAGTAGGACGGTCAGACCAAGAATATGCGCCTGTGATTGATTGGGAAAATTCATCGTCAAGTCGGTGACCTGATTGAGCGCTTGAATCATATCGGCCAAAATGACATCACTTATGGAAGGACTTGCGCAGAGTCGAAATACCCGCAGGTTGGCGAAGTAGCTGGGCATAATGCATTGACTGCCCTGACGGAACAGCTGTTCCATGTCCCACATCCAGTTACCAACCCGTAGGTTCAGGCCCCGGAGTGCCGGAAAGTCAAACCGATGCAGAAACCCCTCGAACTGATCAGTTCTTGAGATGTCCAGCATGGCGTATTGGAGACGGTATTGCCCAAACCAACATTCTGGCTTGTCGTCTTCATCGTCAGAGTCGTGGCCAAGAGCAATCGAATCCATGATAGCTTCAGGCATATCGTGTTGGAAGCTATAGCGCAAAGACACGACGTTTTCCAAAAGGTAAACAAGCTCATCTTCAAATTCGTCGTCAGAGCAGTAGTTGTAGTACCTCAACAAATACCACGGATTGATCTTGTTGACTAGACTCTCATGCGGCTTTTCCTCGTCAGACTGTGAGTCCGTGCCAGAGTTGAACAAAATGAGGTTCTTCAAGCAAGAGAACTGGATGGCATCCCATTGTTCACTTGTGAGATTGGTGGACGTTGGAGATGATTCGTGTAGCCCATATGCATCGATATAGAGGGTGACCCAACGCTCAGACTCTCGAAGGAGTTGTCCGAGAACCGTGTGGCGCGTGGTGTCCTCGTAAGTGAGCAAAATGCTGAGCTGATAACTTCCGGAGCGTTCAAGGTAAAGCTCGATAAGCTTCCGTATCCGAGACTCTTCGGCGTGGTCGTCTGGTTGTACCACGTCCAAAAACGACCACAACTTGGGAAACCCGATGGCAGCTTGCCGCCATTGACGACAAACATGACTCATTCCCAGCGAGAACATAGCTGGCATGGTCCTGTAGTTGTACGGGGTTTGTGTAAAGCGTTCGTCTTCGGCAAATGGGATAGACTCGAAGAAGATTTCACCCAAGACGTCATGAGGGACTTTTGCCCACCGCGACTGCCTGTACCAAAGTCAACTGAAGCGAAACGAGGAACCAAAATGATGCAGACGCGGTTGGATTGACCATGGCTATGTATAAGGCGTTTTAAAAATGTAGCAGCATCCGCTTGGAAGAGGAACAATGAAAGAAGAAGGATGACGTGTTTGGATGATGAGGTAATTCGCATCTCAGTAACAGTCGGTGAGAGCTATGAACGCATGAACGGAAGGGCATTAGATGTGCTGAAGCCTGGCGATGAAGTGAGTAGAGGCAACATGTTCGCATCTGTGATCGCAAGTTTGTTTGTTTGTTTGTAATAGTAGAAATCAGTCTCTTGAGCAGGTTTGGCAAAATGAAATCCATTCAAGGTTCTATCTAGGCGCTTTGGAACACCCTACGGTGTGCCCCAAAGTCGGCGGGTATACCAACTACGAAGAAAAAGAGACGAGAGAGCGAGAGAGAGACAGTAAGAAGAAACTTGAAACATTAAGCAATCCATCCAATATCGTGGCAGTGTGTCCAACGCCAAGAGCCGTATACCGTAAAGAGAGACCGAATAGTGACGAAGATACCGCTGCTGCTTACCCGGGGTTACATCCCTTGTTGCTCTTCTAACTTTGCCAGAACCGATCCCCGACGTTCCCAGATCTAGATACTCGCACTTTTGAAGGAAGCCAGCGTTGACACACTCGGGACCAAAACACGTCTGACCTCGCCGTGGGCACGTCACTGTTGCTTCTTTGTCTGAATCGGCAGAGAAAGTGTGGAATACAGCCGCACGCTTTCCCCCTTCTTGCTAATCATGGTCCTTTGTCGGTTGAGGGGAAAAACAAGGTCGGGTTGGCAGTTCGGGTTGGCAGTTCGTCGATTTACGCCCTCTTCCGGCCGTGCTTCTTCTTCTTGTCCATGTTCTCACCAATGTCAATCTTCACCTGTTTGCCCCTCCGGCGAGTCCGTGTGCTTTGGCGAATGTATGGGGTTGGCACAGGAGGCTCAGTACTAGTAGTGGTGTCGGTAGTGGGCTGGTGGGTTGTTTCGACCTGAACATTATTAGCCGATGGCAAAAGGAAGGGAAAGCGAAAAACCTTGGCGAGACCAGAACAAGTGGGTTTTTCGACGAATTCATGATTGGCGACTTCCAAGAGAAGAGTGGCTCCTTCGAATGTAACACTATTTCGAAGTAAGGCACCGTGAAGAGAAAAGCTCTAATCCAATTCTCAATTGCGGCCGAAATGGTTGCCTTGAATCGGCGGGTGTTGTTTTCGATAGGCCGTGCCGTAGTGTTTCCGAGAGTGCTGGCCTTGTCAGTAGTCCAGTTGGCTGGAGAGAAACTAGCCGAAATCGGCTCTCCTTTGAAGAGGCATATGCCATCCAAGCCACCCATGGCAGTCTCGATCCACGAAAGCGCAAGCATAGGACCTGATTCAGCCTGCGGCAAGTTCAAGCACAGGACTCAATGTGCAGCTCGCATATCGTGGGGTTTGTGCATCGGATCTTGTCCACGGAGTGGTTTTCTCAACCAAGTTTTGCTAGTACTTTGAGCCTTCACGACAGAAAGAGAGTGCGGTTCTGTCAGGTGAAGGACGACATTGCGGAGACGAATGAGAGCCAAAGGCAAGTGATGGTTTTGCTTCCCACGACAATTCCACAAGTTCGACTCCCCCCTCAGGCTTGCACTTTTGATAGAGTCTTGCAAAAACTAGTCAGTACAACATTTTACTCATATACGGCCCATCCAGCTCATATCCCAGCTTCCTGTAATAGTCCCTTGTGCCAACACCCGAAATCACCGCAAGCTTGACGCTCCCATGCTCCTCCCTCGCAATCCTTTCCGCCTCCTCCATCAACAACGTCCCGAACCCCTGGTGCTGGAACTTGGTCGGGTCACGGCCGTGGACAGGGACAGCCGTGCCATAGACATGCAGCTCGCGGACGATGCTGCAGCCGCCGTCGACCACCAGTTCCGGCCGGAACGTCCCGTCTTCCGAGCATTTGCGCAGCCTGAGCAGACCGACAAGGATGTCGCGTTCTGGGTCTTCGTACGACAAGAAAGTCTCCCAGCCGCCATTGGCGGTATAGTCGCGACGCAACAGCTCGACTGACTCTGGTCGCACTTTGTGGTGAATCTCGTGGATGCCCACTTCGCGATACCGCACGTCTCGGCATTCGGCGCCAAAGTCCTTCATTCGATTCAGCGCAAGCTCGCGAAGGTTGCCCGAGTTTTCGCAACCGCTGGTGACCAGCGGCAATGGGATGTCTCTGCGAGAAAGTTAGTTTGTAGTATCGAAGGAGTTGGTCTTACCGTTGAACTCGATAAACACGCGTCCAAGGAGGCACCAGTGCCAATATTCTGGCAACCACATCCACCAAGACATTCGGGGTATAATTCTTGTACCTCCCGGTCCTCCATAGCTCGTATAACCCAGTCCCACGAATAACCAGTGTCGGATAGATCTTGAGCCCGTCGCTTCTGAACGCTGGATTCTCAAAGTATTCCTTAAATTGGGCCAAGTCGCGTTCAACACCAATGTTGGGCAGATCAGGCATCATATGCGCAACTACCTTGAAGCCAGCATCTTTTGCCAAATGGAACGATTCGGAAACCGCGCGGACCGTGTGGCCGCGGTTGGTGTCGCGGGCGACATCCTCGTAGACAGACTGCACCCCGATTTCGAGGCGAGTGCAGCCATAACGCAGCATCTGACTAAGATGTGGCCGTAGACAGTAGTCGGGTCGTGTCTCGATGGTGATTCCAATGGCTTTTGACTTGCTGCGCTCCGAGTAGCGAACGGCCTCGTCCACATCTGTCCCCGTGAACCCAGACAGAGCATTGTGCAACTGAGCGACAAATTTATGCCGGTAGTCTTCAGGCATGCTCATGAACGTTCCCCCCATGATGATAAATTCCACCTATCAACGGTGAATGGGAGAATGGGACGAGACGAGCGCACCTTGTCGACACTATGTCCTAGTGACTTGAGCTGCTCAACTCGGCCTCTGGTCTGCTCGTAGGGGTCGTATCTTGCCCGAATAGCCCGCATACTCGTTGGCTCGTAGCCAGTGTAACTTTGGGTGCTGTAGTCGAAATCGGAGTCGGGCCCGCCAGGACAGTACACACAGATGTTGCCCGTCATCGCGATATGAGGACACCTGTGAGGCTTGCACATGACAGCGACGACCGCAATCTAGCGTTGAGTGAGATTCGAGAAGAAAGAAAGAGGGAGATGATTCACCCCACTGGCGGTCCTGACTGGCCTGGCCTTCAAACTGGGCAGCAAGGCGCCTTTGTACTCCTCTGGAATGGCGCTGATAATATCCACCAGTCGCGGGACCCCTCCGTACCCAAACTTCTTGCTGATCTTGGCGCGAATCTCGTTTAGCGACACACTTTCGCCAGCATCGTGAGCGGCAATTAGCGCAGCAGCAATGCCAGAGGTTACGCGCAACAGTTGTTCGGCTTGAGAGGGCCCATCGGGGCGCGTCTTTTGTACCATTCAGGAAGCAGAGTAAAAGTGATAACCAAGATCTTTCGAGTCAGGTGACCTCTTCCAATCATCGTCGTAAATTACACGGAAGGACTGCCCTAAAGACCGCCATCGACAGCCCTCCTCTGTAGCTAACCAGAAAGACATTGTATGTATGTAGGTAGGTAGGTATTCTATTGAAGACGCAGAGCAATTCAACAGTCCCGGATAGCTAGCTAGCGACAAAAATCCGAAAAATCGTCATTCAGAGAGGGAGTATAAGTTAAAGTGTGCGGTTGCGTAGGTGGGTGAACGAGGTCGTTGCAGGAGTGCGTAACTGCGTGCTAGCGCGTGGGTGTGATCTATGCGGGGGGGTAACTGGTTGGTGAAGAAGAAAGGAAAAGAGTCAAATCCAAATCGAGAGGAAATCATCGTCAATCGTTTTGTCATGTGCTCGACTGGGAAAGTCGTGGACTTGGGGGTGGTTGTGGCGAGACAGGTCGTGAAGGATGTGGAGTGGGATATAACGAGGATGCACCGCTCCGCAAGTCCTCCATAGACCCCCAAGGCGAAGCATTGAGTGTTGACGAGCTTTTGCTGATCCCGAACAATCGCGGGGAGCTGTCGCGTTTGCTCTTGCTCGGGAAATGTCCGATTATTGGTTCTGACTGGTCAATCGGTGTTCCAGGAAATGGCGTCGACTTCCCAGAAGTCCCAACAACAAACAATTGCTCCTTTCCTGCTGGCTGGTTGTACATCCAGGTGGCTACAAGCACAGCGGTCGACCCGATGATGAAAGAAGGGGTGATGCGGAAGTTGAAGAGGGCCACCGACGCGAGGAACGATAAAATGATCGAAAGAGATGTTGCAAATCCCTTGAGGATATTACTCGAGGTCTGGATGACAATTGCCGTGACCAAGCCGCCGATTACTTGAATTGTCACCGTTGCCCACGCCCACGACCCAAAGTTGCGGAATATACTGTGCAAAAACCCACTCGAGACATGTGGTGGTGTAGAGGACGAGTATAGAACTGGGAGAAGGGCGGGAATGAGCGAGAAGAGCGATAGTTGCACGTTCCGGACCCAAAGGTCTGCCCGTGAGTTCTTCAAGACCATTTCGAAGTAAACTCCCGCCAGTCCGGAGGTAAAACACGCTGCCGTAACGGCGCCAAAACCCTTGAGAGGACTCATGACATGAATATGAAGTGGTGCAGAGTCGTGTGCGCTTCCAACTGCAACGTTTCGGCGGACATGGTCGATACTTGAGGTTTGTATTTGGACAATAGCAACACCGATAGCGAGGACAAAGAGCGAGAGCCACTTGGTCGATGTGAGCTTCATGCCAAGCAGAGACACGGAAAAGGCGGCCGTTGTAAGGATCTTCATCTGGTATGTGACCTGGAAAGAGGCGACGGGAAGATTGCTGATGGCGACAAATTGTAGGGAATTCTGAACGACGTAGAGGATAGCCGGAATCGAGAGCTTCCAACAGTCTGGACCCAGTATCTCGCCACACAAATACCAAAACGGCGCTGTCCACGGGTAGGGAAGTTCACGAATGATAGAGCGCATGGTCATATGTCTCCACGGTCGTTCAGCGACCTGTGGTACGCGAGCAAGTGCGATGAGGAATGAAATCGACCCTTTGAGCAACTCGTTGAGGAGAACAGCGAGGGCAGGAGAGTAGGCCTGGGATGGGGGGGTCGACACGCGCGAGTGGTGCATTACTATTGATAATGCTGCGTTTTGAACGGCAAGGGTGACGAGGCTAAACTTTGTTTAGAGAAGAAAGTGTAAGCAAGCCGACCGCGTACGAAACATATTTCAGAGGCATCCCGCAAACAGTGGGAGGTTTGTCATGAGGCGGTAAGGGCTCGTCCAGTGGAGGCACCGTCTTGGGATAGGTCATTGCGGCAGACGGTAGCAATGGTGTAATTCGAGGACTGCCAGTTTGGGCGGCATATGTTGATATAGAACTCGATGAGCGGACCGTCGGGTGTGGCCGATGATGCATGTTGAGACCGTGGCGTTGGAGGGTGCTGGGCGAGGCCGCAGGCTTCTCCTTTTGAAAGGGAGTGGAAGGGAGGGCGGAGGTGAGCGGAGAAGAATCGAATCCAGCGGATCGTTGATCCCATCATGTGACGCGTAACAGTTCGGCAGTCACGGCATTCCCGAAGGACCCGAACTCATCCGGCTTGGTCAACTGAAGTATTGGCTCTAGCACGGTTTGCAGTGCCCTACAGAATTATGCAAAAACATGGCCTGACTGAGCCTGACTGAGCGCCCATGACCTAAATCATGAAAACGCAACCTTATCTAAATTCAATAACCCGCACGTCATCGTTTCCATCCGCAAAAATTTCAAATCCCGCTGTTAGTGCTCAAGCGCTCAAGCTTTCTATGCCTCTCTGGCTTGCAGTTTGCCTTGAAATCGGACGGGGAATGTATTCATGCTTTCATTTTCTTGCATTTGCTAGAACGCCATCCCATCGAATTCCCAATGAATTTTTCGGACTAGACGGCCTCGGCTAATATTCCTTGATCAACGCGTGGGCACGTATCAAGCCATCACTTGTGCTTATGCCGACACACATGAGCTGTTTCTGCGTTCTGTACTACTTAGTGGTCTAGTTCTGCTGGTTCAGACACCCCCCGGGAAACTCGAAACGCCTACATATTGAATTGATGCTACATCCATCGCCTTTCAATTCGTATACTAATGGCAACTGTCGCGTGTAGTAACTCGATCGCCCACGAGATAACGGCCGATTGCGTTTTATCGTCAGAAGCGTTGCAGTCTCGATCGACGCGTTTTCTTGGTCTAGTCTGAGTTATAGCATGCTCTCCCGTCCCAAGTTGGCATCTATCTGCCTCTTTTCAATTCCTCTGCTGCGCAGTAAGATGCGTACGATGTCAATGAGCACAATAGTTCCTGTCTAGAAGAAAAGCCTTGCTTTTCTTCTTCGAGCCATAATTATAATAGTGATAGAGTTCTAACGCAAGGCACACCATATATAGCGTGTACAGCTGCTATCACTTAGTGCGGAGGAAAGGTGCGTGAGAAACTCAACGCCCGCTTCCGAATATGGCAATTTTCTTTGCACTGAACTGGTCTCTGTGTATTGCAATAAAATGAGGCATAAAAAGAGATGAGGTACGAGATAATGCTACAGAATATGATACACTAGGAATCCTTCTCTTTCTGGTGGAACGCAGCGTTGATGTTCATCTGCGTCAAGATGCTTGCCCCCGCTGCGGTCCCGCGAGAAGGGGTATTCTGCCCCGACTGTGCTGGCGACTGGCCAAGATGAGGCGTAATAAGTCCAGAGCCACCGGCCCCGAAGATGAAGCCTCCACTTAGTCCCTCCATTGAGTTGAAACCTAAGAATGAAAACATCAATAAGTGTTGTCTGGATTTCTGGGGATCTACTGACCTGGAACGAGCATGGTATCCCAGAATCCGTTGCTCAGGATGCTGTCCATCGTCAGCGCACCCAATGACTCGTCGTTTGGCGGTGGTGCCATTGTGGGCGGGAACGTGGACATATCCGCAACAGGACCCATCTCGCCATCAAGTTGGAACTCGTTCAACGTGAACGCAGAAGTCGCCCTATCATGCGCATTGCCAAATGAAATGAGCGGACTGCTAAACTGGGTTGTCGAGTCTGGGGCCAGGGCAGGTGAGGCACCTCTTGCTCTTCCAGACCCTCTTGAAACGGGCTTTGATTCGTGTCCTGGCGTCTGCGGTTCCAGTTTGGCCGAGATGATCGCCCTGAGGAATTTGCTATAAAGTGCAGGAGTATGGAGCGGATTGGCCGCAACGCGCTCTAGTTCATCGACGACGTCCTTCACAAGAGCAATTGTCTCTTTCTCGTGCTCAAGGAATGCCTGAAACTCTGGACGAAGGAGCTAGAACAAGTTAAATGACATGTCAATTTTGAGAGTACACTAACGAACCTTGAGCAAACTCAACACAGCATACGACGTCTGCACGAAATGGGAATCTGGAGAATACCGTAGGAATCCCCGGGGACCTAAATGGTCTCGAACGATGACCGCACATGCAGTGGCTGAGGAGTGACATCGAACGAAAAAGTGGCCGATGTTGAGAGGTTCTCGTTCTAGAGCATTTTGTAGCCCAAAAGAGTTGAGGACGAGCATGGCATAGTGGTAGTAGAATTGAGGCATGTATTTGCGATACTCGAAGTATGAGGCTTTGCCCATAGTTGCTAGTAAAATTTGAGAGCCACATCACAAATCTTTGAGATCGACCGACCTTCGTCAAAGGGGGGCAGGTTAATCCAATATTGACTTGTCGAGTTGACTTGGGCTTCAAAGGTCTTGATCATGAGGAGGGAGTCACAATTCTCAAGGAGCCCTGACCCGGAATCTGTACCGGAATAGAGCATGTCGAGACTCCGGGACACGACCCGTTGCATTTCCTAACAATGAGAATCTCGTGAGTTGAGCCCTCGGGGTACCAAGTAGCCGAACGCACGACGTAAAAAGCCAACCCCGCGTCGGGAGCAATCGCCAGTGGGGAACGCGCCCACTTCTGGGCATTCCGAATGACGAAACTGTACCCGCGTCAGTCATGCCTCCATGTGGCAGCAGAAACATAACTTACTCCTCCCTTATCGAGTAAGGCTTTCCCATCTGGGCTGCAAAGCTTCGATCAAGACAGAAGCATAAAAGCCATGTCCGCTCCCGGTTATGAACTTCATAGTCGCGTGCCCGGCCGTCCTCAGAGCCATCACTCGCAACAGCGGTTTTGCGATGCAAATTGAGGTCCGTTGCCATGCTAAACAATGAATTAAGTCGTGTGCCACTGAGAAAAGGAATACATCACGTACCGAATGCCCATCCCAAGGAGAAGCCATGTTCGATCCTGTTCATAACGTTCGACAGCGCCACAGCCGTAAAGTGCCAGCAACAGGTAGGCCTGGACAATCTCCAGAGACTTGTAGCCGCGTGCCGGAACGTTAAATGCGAGCTTCTTGGCCATCTCCGTCAACTTATTATGGAGCTCAGGATTAGGTTCATAGAATTTGCTGGCTATAGCACAAACTGCGAGTACGTTAGAAAGTAATGTGGAGTGTGAAAGAAACGCCTCACTGGTTGTTAATAGAAACGGGGACCTCGAGCAAACGAGGGAGGGGGTGTGGAAATTGCTGTCGAGAAGGTTGCAGTGCATCTGCAAGCGTTAAGCATGGATACCAAGGGTGCTCCAGAACGACCCACATTGATATGTTCAAAGTAACTGGAATCGGACCAATCAGACGAATCTTATGATGGAAATAGAACGTACATTTTGAACAAGGCCAATACTTCGTCGGTTGTGACAAACGTCAGCATTTCAGGTTGAACCTGCCGTTCTATGAACAAACGCCGCAAAGGCAGAATGGACATGGGCCCTGAACATGACATGTTTTGAGTAAACGCCAATACCTAGCGAAAGAACGGACCAGGCTTGAAGTAGTTATCACTGGCTACTCCCAGTCGATTTTCCGCCGGCTGAGCCGACCTCGCAACCATACCACTGGGGTAATGTGAATTTGCACGTCGGTTTGCCAAGCTAGCCTCCGCTAATAGACCGAGCGGATTTAGAGAATTGTCGGGCAAGGAGTGGAGCTTTGGTGAGTTTGGATGATTGGGACGGGGGGCCGGTATTGACGGTGGAGGTGAACTCGATCTTGCGAGGAGAGCAGAAGTGCCAGATGCTTGAGGAGTGGGGGACGGTGATCGAGAAATCATCCCAGAAGCTAAACTGGGGTTGCCAATAGATCTTAGCACGGTATCAAGCGTCCTTTCCATCTTTCGGATGGACCGAGTAAGCAACTCATGTTTTCTGAGTGAAAGATTAGTGGACAAGGGAGGGCAAAATTAGGGCACCTACTTAGAGGACCGCTTGCCTCGATTGGACTCCTCGAAGATACATTCGTGGTTTCCGGCAACACACCGTTTACAAGGTGGCCCTTGTTCGGCACCGACACATTTCATTTTCAGTCTCCGACAAACAGTGCAGGCGCTGAGACCAGAGTAAGAAAGGGTCATGATTGACAGGTTTGCGCGCAACGTACCGCGAGCCTCGTGTAGGCTTTGGCTTCCCTTCCTCCCGTTCTGTCGCTGGACTAGCAGCATCGTCAATGTCGTCCTTCCTGGCCTTCTTGGAAGCGCCATTGGATATTGATGATCCAGGTCGTTTACCGTTGGCATTTGACGTCGATGAATACATGGGAGGAGTTCCAACAGTGTCCGAGTCTTGAGATGACGGAGACGAGTAGCTATGTGGAGCAGAGATGTGTGTCTGTTGGTAGGAGGTGTAGTATGGAGGATAGAGTGACAGCGCAGGGTCGATGGGGACCGAAGGCGATGGCGGTGTTGGCATCGGGTGTGACAACTCTAAGTCGGGAGACGACAAGAGGATCTCCTGGTGGGTATAAGAGGGAGGTCGGTCAGCATAGTGGCCAACAGGGTATGGGGGGGAGGAGTAGTAAGGTGAATATGTGTATGGGGAGATCATCGCGTCGCGAGAATAGACCTCGACAGCCGTAGAACTCTTATACGTAGCGGAAAAAGAAAAATAGAAAGCTTAAAAGATGAAAAGGAAAGCTCACAGGAGTGCACCTTCAGTCTGGAGATTAGACGAAAGTGTGGCCTGAGAGAAAGAAGACGGAAGCCACGCAGACAAGTTCGAGGGAAAGACGCCACAAAAAGAGTGACTTTGATGAGTCCCTGATACTGTGACCGAGGCAAGACGCTGAACGACGGCGAGAGCGCTGAAAATGGGCCAACGACAGCGGATGACCGAAACGGCCAAAGTGACCCCAAGTATGTCACATATGAGCGTGACAGGCTATCCCCGCATAACCCCGCCTTTTCCTTAAGTTGGCCTTATCTCACCAGGACCGCTTGGAGTCAGCTCCTATGTTTCCCAGTTCTCTATAAACTGTTCACTCTCTTTCCCCCCACCAAATATATATCACCATATTGCCAACTAAGCTCACTCCAGCAACCCCCCACAACGGATGCAAGCGGTACTTTTCAACTACCTTGGATGGACAAGAAGGCACACGCTATTAAAATTACTCTCGTTAAGCATTCGTAGATCCCCGGAGGCTCTAAAGAACGCTTATTCCACGTGGCTCTTCTCGACGACCCTCCCAAAAGACTGGCTCTGAAACCCACTCCATTCGATTGGACATGACCTCGACGCCATCTCAAATCATTATGGCCGCTCACGGCGTATTAAAACTCAAATCTATGTGTTCTGTACTCTGCAGCGTCAACCTTTTGCTTTCCCTTCGTTCTCTTCGTTGTCCATTAGTGGTAATCGAGGCCCGATACAGCAGCCATCTCACAACATTCTATTCGACCAGTACCAACGACCCACTGGCCCTCTTATTGGCTCTCTCGCTATCTCGAGTAAATCTCAAGCACGCGTGCACTTGAGAACTTTGACGGACTGGTCTTCACAGCCTGAATCATTTTATTTCCCATGTCTCTGGAAATGATTGGACCCACTCCTTCGGCTCCGCCGATATCGAGCCACTCACAAAATCTCATCGAAGAACCTATCCGCGAAGAGATTTTCATTAGACTCATAACCACACTCTCCGACGTCGTATTTTTTTCCTTTTTCTTTTACTTGGCGAATCAGCACACCACTTGTCTGGTATGCTATTTTGAGGCCATTCATCAGCGATCGAAACAAAACAGTGGTATGCGATCCAGTCTCGTTCTTCGGTTCTTCACTGTGCTTTCTTTATACGATCAATGCTACCGGAAACATCCAGCCACCCGCAATCGCATTTGCCTCCCCAAGCTATGGTTCTCTCAATTGACGACTTACCCCTGCTCCCACCCTCGCAACAAGGCTTCTGGTATTGTGTTCCCTCATTCCCTCACACGGAGATGGTGGCCGTTCAAGTTTGTGTTCCTCATCTCTGAGTCGATGACCAACAAATTATCATCCACGTTCGGCACTCTATCCAACATGCAACCTGTCATCACTCCGCTCAGCAAAACTGGGAAACCTTCTCGATAAGCCGCAACCGCGCAGCCGAAGCTGCTTAAAGTAGACATCAGAGTGTTTATCTAGCTCTGCGCGATAACTTCTTGACTCTAGACGATTTCCACATATTTGCTACATCTCGGTCTGTCTCGATGAACTCCAGTCATGACTAGATCAATTCACGAAGAAACAGATCCCAGAACAACAACAAAAACGTCAAGCTTATTCTCCTCGAATCGCATTCAAACATTCTTGCTTCTCCTCCCCTGACTTCTTTTTTAATTTTGAACTCTCACCCACCTTTGGTCGGCTTCCAAGTCCGCGGTATCCACACCGTGGTAGACATAGCATGCGCATCGAAATGCGAGCTGTCGTTGAGTCAAAAACCGCATCCATCGCTCTGGCAGTCTGGCTTTGTCTACCACGATAAGTAAGCTCTGATCTTTCCAGAGACGGGCAGTGCAGGTTCAAGCGTGCGACACTTTGGCTTAAACGATCTTGTGTCCATATGCAAAATCACATCACTCCTACTCCAGGTCGATTACTCCAAGTCGCAGTTGAATAACGTACAATGGCGCAAGTAACGCGTACCCAGCTTGTCTTCCAGCTGCCTTTGATTTGTGACGTCGTTGTCATGAAATTCTTCTATACCCTCTACCTGTCGAAGAACTATAGTCGGGCTTTCAAGAAATTTAGATGTCCGATTGTGACCTCATGAAAAAGTGCAGCGAAGCCGAAAATCCCTTTAGACGTCCCACTGCCGTCCTTGGTTCGAATTCCCGCCGTTGATGTGCGAATGCAGCCGAGTGGCCAAGTTCGAGTTGCCGTCGCCGATAAGATAAAGTCTATCTGACAAAACCGATCAGCGGCGTGGCCTTGGCTGCTTTGTGAGACGCAGAAAATAGAATGGGCCATGCGGGCCTGAGCCTGAATACCCTGAGGATCCCACAGAACAAAAAAAAATGTGTACGGCACTGGCGTACTCGGCGATTGGATTGGTGTGTCTTTGTCAATCGTCGTCGCTAGGCCAGCATAGATAACGATAGGCTACTCAGAGCATATCGACTCGGACGCCACGCTGTGCGCGCCTCCCATAGAATTTAAGGTTGGTCCACTTGATGACCTTGTGTTGGCCGGATCTCCGCAAATGTGAGTCGCAGAAGTCGTCGTGAGGAGAATGAGCTCTAGCATGTGCAAGTCAACTTAGCAGCGTCGCAAGTTAGGTTGAGTGTGTCTAGCTTGGGGGGGCCGTTGACAAATCATGGATATGTCGGTGTGGACTTGACATTGACAAGAAGCCGTCCTCGAGGGATGATAGATGGCACCGTATTCACTACGAAGCGAATCCAGCTAGTAGTGATTGCTCATTGGACAAAGATTCGTCGCACCAGCCAACAGAATGTCTCGATCTACGGCGTCGGCCCGGTTACTGTAGCTCTTGTCCAATCAAAACATTCCGAAAGGCACACTTGTCACTGACAGTATCGCAAGCTTCAAGGGCTGCACGTTGAGCCTGTGGCTTGATGGCTGAAGTTCAGCGCTTGGTTACATAGAAAAAAACGTACCCTCGATAACAACCAAGCCAGCAAGGCGTTATCTCTGACAAGTCCTGGAAGCTCCAATCTCAGGCTGCTGGTCGATCCAGAATGAAACAAGATAACCACGGCCAAAGTGGCCGTCTTCAAGCACTGGCATGATTTTCGGTTCCGCTCGGTGCCGATGTAGCCTCCTTCTGAGGCATGGCTCGAAGAGTGCAACGACAAGCACTTTGGGAAGTACTCTGATACTTACAATGAATAACACTAAGGTCCTCACACTCAGGAGTACGAACTGGGTTGATGGACCTGAAAGTTGCTACATGCATATGCTTTCAAAACAATAGAAATGATAAGCAACTGCACGGGGAGAAGGAGATTCTTACAGTTCGGAGCTTGATACGCCTTCAGCGTCGAGGCGGCGGTCCTCAATAACCTGGGTGGACCTGAATAACTGTCAGTACCATCATGAACCAGAATAGACGAATGCATTCGTCATAAGTTCGCGTGGCTTTTGACACGCGAATGGAGCCAGATATCGCGGTAAGCAAATCCTTGGTAATCCGCCAGACACCAGCATCAATGGCCAGCGAGCACCCAATGAGAATGCCAAGATTTCAGCCACGGTCACTCCCTTGTTTGTTTGACAGACTTCGACACGACACTCGTGGGTGAACGGAGGCGCGATCCTCGTTACTGCCTTTGGATCAGCGTTGATTGCGTGAGAATTCGAAAAGTAACGGGGTTCGTCCCGTCGGGAAACGGAATGGATAGTTTCTAACCAGTCGATTTATTGGTCGCAAATACGAACGACGAAAGGAAAGGAGCCAGTGGTACCGAGCCACCCATTGAGCTCCACAATTGCCAATGTCGTCGTCATTGCTTCGACATGGGCCTCTAACTGAAGCTGCTTTATGGGAGAGATGATCCAAATGCGATGAATTCATGTAGTCTTCTGAGTTGGTAAGTACTGACGATCAGTCGTGAACAGGAGTGTGTCGAAAGGCAGTTAGAAGCACAGAGAGCTTGACTCGATGTTGGGGGCACAGCCAGTGGCGCACATTCATCGGTGACGGTGAGAGTCAGGAGAGAGTACGCGGCAGCTATATGCTTAATAAAGAATAAGCGTGGGACAAATGTATTCTCGAAGCCTGTTTCGTTATTTGGTTACCGAATCCGTACCTCTTCCACTTTGAAGACTGTTCTGCTTCCTCAACACATCAAGGTCAATGCACGCCCAATCGAACAGCGTGTATGACAGTGACCGCTCCCGTCGGACGACTTCGGAGGCGACTGGATCAGTGTCCGAGCGCCTATGACACAACAAGTCGTGACTTGTGGATTTTTACCTCCTCAAGAGGCCTAAGCGCAGTTGGAAATTGCTCGAAAAAAGAATGATAAAAAATTCACTTATCGTTATTGTCAACTGCAACAGCACCAAGGCGCTGCACAACACGCATTCCGGAGCTTACACGACCAAATATAGTGTGTTTGTTGTCTAGGTAAGGCGTCGGGGCCAGAGTGATGAAAAATTGAGAGCCTACAAATCAGAATGGTTAGTTCCCGACACAGAGAACGGTTGGAAGCGGAGTAGCCCGACGCGCACCGTTAGTATTTGGGCCAGAGTTGGCCATGGCGAGAATGCCCGCTCCTGTGAATCGAAGATCGGAGTTGATTTCGTCTTCGCTGGAAGAGGAACGTTAGTCGCATAGTCTAAAACCAAATTTGAAACTCAAAGGAACAGTCCGAGCGTACAATTTTTGGCCATAGATGCTGGTCCCACCACGACCAGTTCCAGTCGGATCGCCGCCTTGAATCATGAAGTCCTACCAAGACACAGTAGCATCTAGAGTCTTGAATGGAGCTCTTCGGTTCAACAAACCTGAATGATTCGATGAAAGACAACGCCATTGTAGTAGCCCCGCTTAGCAAGCTCGGCGAAGTTTTTACATGTCTGTGGACGATCGCTGAGTGCCAGAAGTCGAAGACAGTTGGAATGCGTGCCCGAGGAGCGTGATCCCAGTACAATTCGAACTGCACGTCACCGAGGCTCGTCTCCAGAACCACAGTTTCGGACATGGTGGTAGTGCTGATGTTGGTTCGTCACACGTGACAGCGGAAGCTTTCTGCCTTCCTAATGCGTGCGGTCATCCAGCGAGTCGCGTCGGCCTCAGTCGTTGGTAAATCCCCGCCTTTCCCGCGTACTCCCAGGCCAACCGAAACTGCGCCTTAGTTGAAGGAGAGGTCATCTCCCAGATTTCGCGGGGTCTCATGGTCCTCGTTGGTATAGGGCGAGGGAGGTTAACTTTGCTCGACAAGGCACCAACTGCAACAAGTTTCTCACAGATGACACGGAAAAAGACGTTGTTGCACTCACAAACAAAATGTGCCATTTCACGTCGGGACAAGGGAACAAGTCTTGCTAATCAAAACAAAACAGCCTCACCCTGCGTGTCTTCTCTGATCCTATGGACGACACAAAAATGTGGAAAATCAATGTCAAGGATATAGAGGGCGATGTTCTCTGTGTGTCTCAATTCACGCTTATGGCCCAGACCAAGAAAGGCAGCAAGCCCGATTTTCATAATGCTATGGTTGTGTCAAACCTGCTCTTCTCGAGTTTGCGATTCTGAGGCCCATGGTACTGGTAGGCCACCGACGACTCCCGGCTGCTTTACTCCAAGTTCTTGGATACGATGAAGAAGGCTTACAGAGCTGAGAAAATCCAAGGTGACCCGTCCGTCTTCGTCGCCCTGTTCCCGCATCCAACTCTTCTCAGACGGAAGGTTTGGCGCGATGATGAATGTCAGCCTTACTAACGAGGTATGCAGTCTCACTTGAGCTCATCTAACTCGTCATTCGAACATCCAGGGTCCCGTCACCTTCACACTGGACACACGACTTGCAGAGGCAACTCGTCCCGCTCCGGAAAATGCCTAACTAGCAACACATCAAGCTTCTTCGGCCTCTTCTGCGGGCATTGAGGGCTCGAGTACTCAGTAGAACGACGGTAAACGGGATCGCCCGACGGGAAGGTGTTACGGTCGCTTGTTCCCTGGGGTACCCGCACGTGCAATTGCGTTGTTTTCATACCAAAGAAATCCCTGCAGACCATATCCGATGAGGCTGTAAGGACAAGACATGGCGAAAACAGCTTATCCTGTCACTTGTACCAGTGCGGATCCCGACTTCGAAACTCCGAGGCTCATCAGTGCTGTGTCGACAGCCGAGGCATAAAACTCTGGTGCACTTAGCGTGCTATCTGACACTTTTTTCTTCCTTGTCCCCCACGATGAAGCCTTTCCAAGCCCTGAATGCCCTCATCCTCCTCGCAGCTAGTACGTCCAATCGAATCTCCTTAGAAGGCCATTTTGCAACACGTTCTATTAGTGGCTGATGCCGCACCGAAACAAATCAAGATTGAGGTTCCCTTTGAAGAGCTAATTCCTGCTACGGTGACGGCCCAGGCGGTTGGCGTCGATGCCCAGGGCCATACGACCTATATTTTGCACGATGTTGTGGTTGGCCTCGTGCCCACCGCTTCATCTTCGGGTGGCGCGACTTTGTCCGCTCCAGTGACGACTTACACCGTTACACGTGCGCTCCTCCGTCCTCTACATCCCCGCCAGCTTATACGACCCTTATCCAGACACCCTTGTTGCCGGGAACAATTACGTTTCTGCGACAGACGAGTTTCCCCTCGGCACAGGCAAAGCCTCGACGGGGTACCATTGCACCATAAGCGGGCCCAACGCCGTTTGTGAGGGCGTTGGCCTTGCTCCGACATCCACGATACCCGTCAAACAGCTTGCGACCCAAGTTTTGGATGTCACAAACAGTGCTTCAACACGGTTTGCCAGCAGCATGCCCGTCCTAATCGCTACCGCGATGCTTCCAGTATTGCTCGGCATGTGGGCTTGATCTAATGAAGACTCGCTTGACCTCTGTACCTGTGCTCTTGTGTCACTTCTCATTTTTTTGAATGAACGGGCTCCCGGCTGGTGGGAATATAACTTGGGAGAAAGGCCGACGCGGTGCGCGGCGGATACGAGTACTCAATTGCACAATACTATGAGTAAAGGGTGCGTACGAGCCCAACCCACACACCCAACCCTAGCTCGGCACAACAAAACAAAAGCAACTTGAAATGTCTGACGATGCGTCAGACTTGGACAGTCCAACCACTTCCAAACAAGTGTGAGTTGGACACCCACCAATGCCGCTTTACTGTTTAGCAGACAAGAACAAGCATTCCTATTTCAAAGGTTGGCTGGCGCTGGGAGCTTGAACAGCCTTGGAAAGTCGATAGTAAGTACAATTCCTCGCGATATATTGATGTACTTAGTGCCATAGTTGCTATACCTTACTTCTATCCAAGCCGCGCTTTCGTAGTAGTAGGCCGCAAACAACTGAAGCCTAACTTGAAGGTGAAAAAAGGCTCTCGACCGGCGACCACAACAGACCACAACCCAAACACGTCTGAACTCAATCTTTGGCTCCACTACGGTCACCGCGACCAAATCATGATTCAGATTCGATATTTGAGGTTGTATCCTCAGGCTTGAACATTTTGTGGAGGAATGGTCGTCACGAATGTTTGCAGATGTCTACTAGGGTTAGGGTTGAGTGTATTGAAAGACTACAAATATGATCTAATGGAATTTGAAGACGAGGGGTTTCAAATTTGTTACATTTTAGCTACGGCATTACAATTTTAGAGCGTGACAAGAGAGCTGAAATTTGCGCTGGGAGGGGTGTGATGGACGATTACTAAAGTACTCGTAACAAGAGAGATATGCAATCATTGGCGTGGAGATCAACATGGCCCTTCACGTTCATCGGCAGTGCTCTACTGCGCCAAGCCAGAGAATCGTCTGGTTGTAAGGTCCTAAAAATAGATCCCACTGCGTGCGGGGTTTAATTATTGAAGTGATGCCAAGCCCGAAGAAGGTAGAAGGCTGAAATTTGCTTTGTCAGACACACGATCATGTGCAGAGAAGATGTCAGCTGCGTTGGTTGTTTACCTTACTAAACGCCAAGCGAGGGCTTGATTCTTGTGAGAATACTTTGAAGACTCGGAACCTCCGCAATGGCCGGTGTAGTACTTATTTAAGTTGTTGGCCAAACAAACAAAACTTTAAATCAACTGCTCCGGACTCTTTGTCCAACATTACCAAGCCGATGATATCAAACTTCAAGGGATTCAAGTTCAAGCCAGATCAATGCACTTAGACTTCACAGCAATGTAAAAACAAGGACTCGATTAGACCTTTTAGAGCTACAAAAGAACAGCGAAAAATACAGCGCTAGCTAGAGTAAGTACAGCGATTAGTTGCAGGTGAGCGGGCAGATACGTATGTGACAGGCAGAAGAGCGTTGAATAGTGAGGTCCGTTCATCCGCGACAAGGTGGAGCGGGGAAAAGAGTCTGTAGGCATTATACATGACCAGCGACACGGTCGCTTTTGTTTGTCGTTTATATTCGTGATTCGTTGGCTGACGCTCTTATTCAGAACGCAGTGGGGCGGGGCCGCCCATATTTGTTGGATGGTGCCATGGTGGCGAGGAATGGCGGGGGCGTAGCAGCAACAGGGGAGTCGGGAATTTGGATGGTGTGGATTGTCTCGCGGTAAGACATCGGGGAGGCGAAGCTCGAGGAGGAGTGGTGGGAGTACTCCGAAGAGCGCGAGGATGCGGAGTCACGGGATGACGAGCGCGACGAGGCACTGCGAGGCGGCGAAGCGCGGCGGGGAACACGAGAAGGAGACGGTGCGAGATCACGTGCTGGGATCGGCATCTCATTTGATGACCGTGCAGCCGCCGCTGTGAAACTGGGCGATGGCGAGGCATAGCGGGGGAGAGTTTCTTCGGGACGTTGAAGGATGAAGCCCCGCAGTCCAGCGACTTTCTCGCCCTGACGACCGAAACCATAACCGGCTTTGTCGGTGCTTCTCCAGGAGTGGAAGGACTCGGCATCGATTGGTTTTTCCATTGGCGAGGCGTCACCCATGCCAGCACCAGGGAAGGCAGGGATGGTAAATTGGGGAGTAACATCGAGAACATGGGGGCGAATCTGGCCAGTGATGATCCCGGCTTTCGCATTCTTTTCCGCCTCACGTTTGCCCCGCAATGAGCGCTTGGCCTTGGCCCCTTCGCGGAAGATGAGACCGAGGAACATATTCAAGCAGCCGATGGAAAAGAGGAAGAAAGCCGCGACGAGAGTGAAGTCGTCGACGTGGTGGGAGAGGATCTGGGCGCCGATGAGAGCTTGGAAAATACCCAGAGCCCCGAGACCGAAGTTTGACCCGAGAACAGGGAAGAAGCGGTCGAAGAACACCATCGGCCAGGACAGTTCGGATACTGCAAGAAAGAATGAGAATTGGACAAGTGAAGAGAGAGGGCAACGCACGAAGAAGGATGATGACTTGGAAAATGATAAGAAGGGTCGCAACAACGGCCCAGAAGACACCAGCAGGTTGGTTCGGGACGGTGCTTCCTCTGTGTATTCGGTCAGAAAAGGTATGGGTAAAACTAGAGAGGCCACGCACTCGATATAGTCGCAGTCAAGCATGTCGTTTGTCGAGTTGGAGATTCGATTGGCCTGGAAGCGGTTCACGGCCTTGATGTTGGTGACCATGACCACAATGGAGCTCGAGAAAACAAGCAGCAGGCCGACAATGCTGAGCACGCGGACGGCGTTAAGACCGAGGAAGACAACTTGTAAAAATGTCAGCCGCTGTCTGGTCTGAGGAGAAGGCCACCTACGAGTTTGGGGACGAGGCATGCTGGTAAGTGAGAAAAGGTTCAATGAAGAGTGCAAGTAAAGAAGGTGGTTGAGGTTGTGTGGGGCGTTGACTTGTGTGTTAAGATCGTTTGCTTCGTTAAAAGAAAGAAAGGCGCGCCGGCACCAAAGTGGAAAGGCAAGGTGTTTGTCGTAAAGAAGGGGGGAGTCCCTGTGTGTGTGGGTTAGGGAGAGCAAGGGAAGTAGACAGGCCTTTTATTCACCAAAAGCCATTATGGAGACACGCATCAAAGCCGCATTGGGCAGACAATGACCATGGGAGAACAAGGGCTCAAGAACAATAACCTCCCGACCTCGCTTCCAGAACAAAGGTTACAGCATGGTGATGGCGCTGACAGCGGAGCGGCATGTAGCTCGCATGGTGTCTCGAGATGGTCGTATTCGGGACGAAATGGTTGTATCACGTGATACCAAAGCGATTATGATTTCCTGAACAAAATGCTGCGTCTACAAGATGTACTGTCCCAGAATTATGGAAGGTAGCTACAGTACGATATCAAATCGAGTATGCGGTGCGGCGTAATCATCAACCGGCCAGACGCAGAGCATCATGGCGGGGAGTCGCTCGACTAATAAACAAATGCAGTGATATGCCGGAAGTCAAGAGTAGAGAAATCATCGAAGAAGCATTTCGGGTGGTGCAGGACCACCGTCTGTGTGAACCAGTACTCCAGGCCCACCCGAGCCGAGCCGAACGTTTCGACCCTTGCCATCAAGCAGAGCTGGCCCTTGAGTTGGCGAAGTCTCATCGTCTAAATTCACCAAGTGAAGAGGTCCAGTCCCAAAGTCATTGACACTCGTCGGAGACCCCACACGAGCGATTGGTAGTTGCGATTCCATATGGATGGTGTCCGCGCTAGGGCTGGGTACATGGTGACCCCATTCTCGTTGTGACGGTATGTGAACCCCGGTACTGCTTCCACTGCTCGTGTTTTGATGATGTGAAGGACTGCGCAAAGGCCTCATGGAGTTTGCAGTGGATGGACGAGAAGATATCGTGGTACCCGCACTCAGGCCAGGTTGGGAAACAGTCATCGGGACATTTAGAGGCGCAAGTCGTTGTTGCGGCGGTATAGAATGGGGCAGGTTACTTGGCGAAGGGGAGGGGGAAATGGAGGCGGGAGGTGGTGATCGTGAATGGCCGGGCCATAATGGTAAGGCTTCGGGTCGCCACCAATATCTGCGTCAAGGGAGAAGCGTTTGCTTGGTCGTTGCATGTACTCCCGATCAAAAATATCGTCCCATCTCCGTCTTCGTTTACTAAGAGGTATTGTTAGTTGAGAAGAGTGAACGTAAAGAACGCCTACAGGATGAACCAGATTATGAGAACTAAACCGAGTAGTCCAAAGAACCCTGCTATGACTCCGCCGATTATGGGCGCCATACGAGGTGAGCCATCTGTGTTGTTCTGCGTTTGTTGGGTCGCACCAGGAGATGGAGGGACATAAACAATGGAAGCTGGTGGTGTTGAGGTTATGACGTCCGTTATCACTGTAACTTGCCCGTTTGAAAGTGTGCTTTCAGAGAGCGAGGTCACTTTAATTGGAGACGGAGTCGAAGTAGACAGCGTCCCAGAGGGACTTTCTGACACGGTCCTACATATTGCACTTCCAAAAAGAGTGCGTGCCTCCGTCAAAGTGACAGGTATAGTTTTGGTGATTGACACGGTGGTTGTGGAAATGGCTCCTGTGGAAAAGATGAGCAACCAAGTGAGGATTTGGATCTGAGAACGCGCCAGGAATTGTTGAAGTAATCGTCGCTGTGGTAGGAACACATGCAATATCGCTGACGGAGCCTAAAGCACATCCTGTGGTTGTAATGGTCGTTGTAATCGGTGGCAAGGTCGTCACACTCTCTGATAGAGAGACAGTTAGAGATTCCGTCGTAACTAAAGTCTATTCCATTGCTTGAGTTAAACCTTTCGGACAAGACAAGCAGAATACACGCGTACTGCGGTTGTGGCCGTGGCCGTCGACACACATGACGCCGCCATAGCAAACAAGGGCTTTTGTCGAGAAAGAGAAAGGAATGAGAGGTGGGACGGAAAGCCAGTGAAGCCTGGGTCAACAAACAAGCATCGAAGAAGAGAGCAAGTTCAGGCTGAGGCACGCAGCTGTGGCTGTGTGATCGATCATCATATTACATAAGTGTTTCCTTCGGGCCGAATACTCACTTTTCTCAAGCCACCGTTGCCCGTTTGCGCAGCTACGGTGTTTGTTACCCGCCAGGTCAATTTGCCTACGCAGCATTTTATACTACCCAATAATGTCCGATACCAGTTCTTTTTTTACGCGTCGACGTCGCTGAAAATTTGGCCCGACAGAAAGCACACTGTCAGGCTGAGGCTGTTCCCCGCAATGTCCACATGCCTTTTCATTATCGCACCACGGTATGTTTTTGCCGTGCCTTTGGGGCCTCAAGCTCAAACTGGTAAGACTACTCCAGTCGTTTTGCCACGCTACTTACATATGTGGATCCATAAAGGACTACCCCAGGCAAACCCCAGGAGAAACAGCCTGCCGAGGCATCACGTCAAACGATGGCTGCGCAAGCGGGAGAGACCGGAAAAAAGTCAAGCCCAACTTAAAGGATAACCCGAATCAAGCCGCGTCAAGGTCCCTTCCCCACAAACTCCTCTATGTCTGAAGCGCGCAGCGTACAAGTCCGATTGCTCGCATTCCTCTCGTGGACAGTCCGCGAGCTCTTAATCGACGCCCCTTCCGACTCAAACTCAGGCAGTGAAACTGTCATCGCGACTGTCCCAAGCCACATCCTGATTGGACTCCGAGATGTGGCTGAATTGTCGCTCAATATCGAGCACGCCCGCCTCGCGCGGCTGGCTTTGGATATATGGGACGAGGTAAACCACAATAACTCTGATCATCTGGTTCTAATTCGTGGTGGGCAGACAGACGACGAGCTTCTTTCAGCCGAAATCTGCACCAGCGTATACGATCTACTCGACCACAACATCAAGCATTCATCCTGCGGCCCATTGATCTCGTCCGTCTTACCGTCTTCTCGACTGAACAAGTCCTAACTCGCAGACAGACTCCTACAACAATTCTATCCGCAACCCGATGTCCTATTAGAAGCCAACATCTTTCTCTTGCGACTACGAGTCTTGACCTGCCACAGCGAGTTGGGCACAACTCCTAGTCCATATCCCGAACCTCTTCATTTGAAGCAACTTATCACCACGCTCTATCACTGCATGTTTCTCCGCCTGCCTGCCACATATGCCGCTCTCGCTCTCGACTGTTTGCAGCAATATCACTGCGAGCCGCCGGACTGCGACTCGGAGCTTGGAGACGCAACCCTGCAGGCGTGGTGTCTGTTTTCTGACACCATAGTCGGCCAATGGAAGACATTAGCTCTCTTCTCCACACTTCTGTTTGGGTATGTCGGTATATCTCGCCTGAACGCCCACTGATTGTGTTCTCAAGAGCAACCTTGACGATGTTTCAAATCCCAGCTATCACTAGCAATGCGTTGCTCCGTGTCCTGACACATGCCGCGTTGCTGCCTGTGTTCATGAGCCTCGTCTATACGGCAGTTCTGAGCATCTATTTCGGGAGCTTCGTATCGATGAGACTCTCTACAGCGACCACCTCTACACGGAGATGGGCTCAGGCGAGTGCATTGTCTCTCGCGGAAGAAAGCTAACAGGATGGTATAGGAAATGAAACATGCTTGCACGGTTCGCACGGAAAGTCGCATGTGGAGCGTGTGGTTTTTAGTGTCTTTGCCTCTGGCATCGACCTGCTGGTCAGTAACGCTAGGACCAAGATAAATGAATTCTATGCTAAACTTTGGCTCAGGGGTGTCCTATTCTTCATCACCACGATGGTATTCTTCGTCTGGCCGCCGTCCACTGTCAACGACTCTCCGAAGGAACCGATTGCAGCCCGCCTCTTCCTTTCCGGCATGGTGCTTGTTGGTATTGTCCATCTTATGCTGAGCGTTGCACACTTACGGAGGGTTGGCCGCGGCCACGGGTCTGAATCGGTGGCCATCGGCTTTGTGTAATGGCCTGCAGCGACGGCGGCCGAAGGAAGTCGAATCTAATTACGCGCAGTCGTTGGTTGAGCGACTTGTACATAAGTAAATCGGTGAATAGTACTACTTAGTGTACCTTTAGTATTGGCAGAGTACAATGTATTTTCAAATCATCTTCAATGCTGGCTGACTGTGATAATTGCCAAGTAATGACAGTTCGGTGTGTGAGACTTGAATCCATAACTCAGGCTAACCTTTTCAAAGTGCAGGTGTTTCTTCCTGGACCTATTCTAGCCTATTCTTCGCCAAAATCGCACATTTTGCAAAGCGCGATTGACTACTTACTCATAATATTTGAATAAAGCCATTCAAAACTCAGTCAAAGGTTAGCAACAAATTCGGTCGGGGGGAACAAGTGTGTTCCGGTGGACACTCGGTGGACTTGCTAGCGCTGTTCCTGGCCGGATATTTCATTTGCTTCTCTAAGATATGATCATTAGCGAGATAGAGAAGAACAGGAGAAGAATTAACCTGTTGCGATCGAAACCCAATTCGAATGTGGGTCCAGCGTGATGTTGACCAGAAGGGCCCTCATCCTACCCTGACCGTTCAGCAAAGTCTCTCCGAAGAGTTCTTCCTCTTTCAGAGGACGTGCTGGCAAGACCTTCGCGCCAAGGCATTAAGTATGCCGGCGGCATAACGACCAAAAGTTGTAGACACCCCGCGTATCAAGTGCTTACGACACGATCTTCAGCAAGCCCTGTGGCAGTTCTGTCGTCATATGTACCTGGTGGTTCGCCGGAAATAGCTCTATTGGGTGGAACAGATAACAGGGTTAGCGGTGCGGCCACATGAACGGACAAGTCGATACTCTAGGAAGTCGTTACAGAGCTTGCAGCTCTGCGGCCGCAAATCTCGGTGGATATTCTGCTTCCGACTGGTTTAGTCAGAAGTTTAGTCTGATCAATTAGCAGTGATGGCTAGAACACGTACTAGTAGTAGTACGTTATAATGCCAACACGCTTGCTAAGAAAAACAAACCCGCGGATCCGATGCGTCGCCCCTTGGCCAGATGACCGAGTATAAAAGTGGTTCGTCGAGACCTTGGTTCTTGTGGAGGCACCTCGCGCCCAAGTTTTCCTCCCACCATGATTATTCTCTCCATTTCCTTAGTTCTTTGCATTGCTAGCACCTACGCAACGAGCGCCGCGACATCCGCAACAGCAGCGTGCAACAACATTACCGCGACACTCGGCTCTACCATCGTCCAGTCGTCTGGGGCGCAGTATAACGCGACCGCCCAGGGAACTTGGAGTCTATTCAATTCACTGGATAGGCCAACGTGCATTGTGTACCCGACGAGCGGAGCCCATGTCCAAACTGCCATGGCCGCCATCTACGCGAACAACGCGAAATACGCGGTCATCGCTGGTGGACACAGTGGAATGCTTGGTTATAACGAGTGAGGTGTAGTTGTGCCCTCAATTAGCGTGAATTAACCATAATTAGCATCACCAATGGGGTCCTCATTTCCTTCTCAAACATGCAGAGTATCTCTTATGACGTCGCGACTGGTTTGGTGACGGTTCAACCTGGCATCCACTGGGGCGACGCTATCAACTATCTGCAGTCCTATGGCGTTGCAGTCATGGGTGCTCGAGCTTCGTGGGTGTCTTTCTTGTGTGGGTGAACATATACTCAACGTGGAGTCAGGGATATTGGAACAGGTCTACTTCTTGGAGGTGGCATCAGTTTCCTGTCCCCTCAATATGGTTGGTCGGCAGACGCGATACAAGAAGTCGATGTGGTATTGGTCGATGGAAGGCTGGTGACCGCAACACGGACCAACCAGTATAAAGACCTTTTCCGGGCTATCAAGGGAGGAGCAAATCGCTTTGGCATCGTGACGCGGTATGTGCTGGTGCCTGTAACAACGGGAACAGCAGCGGACAAGAATTGGTATGGTGGAATCAAGATGGTAAGTTCGACGGCGCTATCCTAGGAAAGATTGTTTAGACATTTCCAGTTTTCTGGCGCGGATTCGGCGAAACTCAACAATGCAACTGCAAAGTTCATTCGCGAGAATACGGATCCCAAAGCGAGTGAGTTGGAGAGAGTTGAAAGGGTTCATTTTCTAACACACAATTAGTCCTGATGCCGATTATGAGCACCATGGATCTTACCTCACCCACCGCCCATGTCATCTACATGTACTACCAAGGTGCATCCCTCCCCACAAGCATTTTCGGAACCTTCCTTTCTCTCAATGCAACCACAACGTCATTCTCCGCGTTATCTTATGCCGATATGGCAAACGCGATTGCTGGAGATGGGCGAGGCAATGGCCAGAACTTTGGCGCTGCGTCGTTTATTGGGAGTGAAGCAACATTCCAAAAGGGCTTCGATTTGTTGGCCAACTTTACCAACCACTTCGGCTCCCAACTTGCGAGCTGCAGTTTGGTCGTGTCGGTTATTCCGCGGTCGCAATGGGTTGCAAGCAAGGCGCGTGGGCCGAATGCGATTGGGGACCCAGGAGTGCCATACGCCACTATGGATTACTACCTGATTTATCCTGCTGGCGTATCGGTTCGACCAGCAAACGTCCAGGCTGGGTTCGAATTTTTGCTTTCTCAGTTACAGATGCCAGAGAACAAGGATTTGCCGTTATATATCAACGAGTGCGACGCTTCGCAACAAGTCTATGCAACATATCCAGCGTACAAGCGCTTGAAGAGCATATACGCTAAATACGACCCAACGAGGTGTGTTGAACTTTGCTGGGATGTTCATCGGCTGACTATGTTGTAGGTTCAACGTAAGAAAGACAGTCGGGCCCATGGGTCTTTAATGGGTTTTCTGGAAGCATCGAGAAGTCGTTTATACCAATGTAATTTTAGCAGACGAAATGGGAGTGCTGAGCAAGAAGTGGAGTCACGACGTGACCAATCCGGCACCGCAATTTCTCCACTTTCTTCGAACGTCCACCATGGACACGTTCGACAACTTCCAATACGAGTCGGCCTCTTCCTACGGCGGGGGAATTGGCATCGTCGATGACACCTCATCGGTTTATACCGCCAACACAGCAGATAATGCTTCCTCGGTTGACTTGTCAAGTCTCTCGATCTCAGACGCGGATTCGTACAACCACGCAAATGGTCATGCAGGCCATTCACATCCTCACGCGCAACCCGCTCGAAACGGCGGTGGGATTGATGAAGACTTTGATGCTGTTCTTGACGATTTGAAGGATGATGGTGCTGTCGACTTGCCCCCGCATGCTTGCAGGTTCGTCTGTCGTTTTTTTCTCCCTTGTTTTTGGCTCAGGTTATCTCAGCTATTGCGGCATACACTCTCCAGCTTCCGTCGTCAAGTGTCTCGTTTGCGCCAAATGGTTCTGCAACTCGCGAGGAAATACTTCCGCGTCGCATATTGTCAACCATCTCGTTCGCGCAAAGCACAAGGAAGTCATCCTCCATGCAGAAAGTCCCCTGGGCGAGACTACTCCCGAGTGCTATAACTGTGGGAGTAAGAATGTGTTCATGCTGGGTTTTATACCGGCGAAAAGTGACACTGTTGTCGTTCTTTTGTGTCGGTGCGTGACTCACGCGAGCGCAATTTTTGTCCACTCATATGTGCTTTCAGTCAACCATGTGCTGCTATTTCTAAAGATATATCGTGGAATGCAGCGCTTTGGGCTCCTCTTATCGACGACCGCTCCTTCCTCTCCTGGTTGGTTAAGCCCCCGAGCGAGACGGAGCAACTGCGATCCCGTCAGATTTCCTTCGCCCAGATAAATCGCCTCGAGGACCTGTGGCGGGAGAACGCTAACGCCACATTAGAAGACTTGGAAAAACCAGGCGTCGACGACGAGCCCCAATCGATCCTCCTCCGTTATGAGGACGCATATCAATACCAAAACATATTTGGGCCGCTTGTCAAGATTGAGGCAGACTACGACAAACGTCTCAAGGAGAGCCAGACGCAGACAGACATCACTGTTCGTTGGGACCTTGGTTTGAATCAGAAGCGCGTTGCGTGGTTTGGCTTGCCGAAGCTGGAGAGTGGTGAAGTTCGACTTGCTGTTGGTGACGAACTGCGTTTGCGCTACCAAGGCGAACTCCATAAAGCTTGGGAGGGTGTTGGTCATGTCATCAAGATTCCCAACAGTACGTTTTCACTAATGCTTCTTGTGTTGGCTCTCATGGTTTATTAGATGTTTCTGACGAGATTGGTCTCGAACTTCGCCGAACAGAAGGTGTTCCGTCTGAATGCACACATAACTTTGCAGCAGACTTTGTTTGGAAATCGACCAGCTTTGACCGTATGCAACTTGCGATGAAGACATTTGCAGTCGATGAGAAGAGTGTTAGCGGCTATATCGTGTGTTGCCTTTTCATTCTATTTTTCGCTCATCTCACCTGTTGCTACAGTATCACAAACTTCTCGGTCACGAACTAGAACCACAGAGCTTGCGCACGCAAATGCCGAAGCGGTTCTCGGCGCCTGGTCTTCCCGAGCTGAACCATTCTCAAATGTATGCGGTCAAGAGTGTCTTACAGAAACCCATCAGCCTCATTCAAGGACCTCCTGGCACAGGCAAGACTGTCACCTCAGCGTCGATCGTCTACCATCTCGCCAAGATGAATCCGGGTCAAGTCCTTGTCTGCGCGCCCTCCAATGTTGCGGTAGACCAGCTTACGGAGAAGATTCACGCGACGGGACTGAAAGTTGTCCGCCTCACAGCCAAATCACGTGAAGCCCTTGATTCCAGTGTCAGCTTCCTCACGCTACACCAACAAGTCGCGAACAGCACTACGCATGTCGAGCTGCAGAAGCTTATAATGCTCAAAACTGAGCAAGGAGAGTTGAGCAGCAACGACGAGCGCAAGTACAAGACATTAATCCGACAATGCGAGAAGGAGATTTTGGCGGCCGCAGACGTGATTTGCTGCACTTGCGTCGGAGCGGGAGATCCGCGATTGAGTAAATTGAAGTTTAGGACCGTGTTAATTGACGAGGCAACACAAGCTGCTGAACCTGGTATGTCTTGATAATTTGGTCGTTTACTACAACTGACTATATTTCGCAGAGTGCATGATTCCTCTTGTTTTGGGTTGTAAACAGGTGGTGCTTGTTGGTGATCACCAGCAGCTCGGCCCTGTTATTATGAACAAGAAGGCTGCCCGCGCTGGTCTTACTCAATCCCTTTTCGAACGATTGGTGGTGCTTGGCAATCGACCCATTCGGCTGCAGGTACAATACCGCATGCATCCCTGCCTTTCGGAGTTCCCATCCAACATGTTCTACGAGGGTACCCTTCAAAATGGTGTCACAGCGCCGGAACGACTTCGAAAAAATGTCGACTTCCCTTGGCCTGTTCCTGACACTCCCATGTTCTTCTACCAAAATCTTGGACAAGAGGAGATTTCGAGCAGCGGGACATCGTTCCTCAACCGAACTGAAGCTTCCAACGTCGAGAAGATCGTCACCAAGTTTTTCAAATCTGGCGTTGTCCCTGGTCAAATCGGTGTCGTAACACCTTACGAAGGACAGCGTTCCTATATGGTCAACTACATGCAGTTCAATGGGTCCCTCAAAAAGGATCTGTACAAGGAGATCGAGGTCGCCAGCGTTGACGCTTTCCAAGGACGCGAGAAGGATTATATCATTCTCAGCTGTGTGCGAAGCAACGAGCATCAAGGTATCGGGTTTTTGAACGACCCTCGTCGTCTGAACGTCGCGCTCTCCCGTGCGAAGTATGGAGTGGTCATCTTGGGCAACCCGAAAGTGTTGAGCAAGGTTTGAATCTTTCACTCACTCATTTCCCCCTTGGCTGATACAATCATTATTCTAGCATCCGCTCTGGCATTATCTCTTGACACACTACAAGGAGAAGAATTGTCTGGTGGAAGGCCCACTGAACAACTTGCAACCAAGCATGATTCAATTCAGCAAGCCAAGGCGATCGCTTGCGAAATCGATGGATCAATTCCGCCGACACGAAACAAGTGCAAGAGATTATATCGGCCCCGCGAATGGGAATGGCGGTATTCCGGATAGTGAGTTTATCTTTTTATCTTTGTGGGAATGAACCTCATGTATATACTTTCAGGTCGCCGCTCTGGAACTCCCAGCCGCTTTGACTCGAGCTTCTATCGCGCTCATGATGCTTTGGGTTACATCCCTTCGGATGTCCAATCGCTTCGTTCTCAGGCAACTTACTCTACTGGTCTTCCTATGTTCTCTTCTGCTGGGCCATTTGGGCCGGTTGGTGGAGGAATTCCTCGTGGTGCGACTGGCGCAAAACGAAGCACGTACAGTTACGCCTCGTCTGTTATCTCACAAGACGCTGGAGCGCCGAGCGTTACCGATGCAAGCAGCGTTGTTGGAATGGGAATGGGTGTGGGAGGCAGCGGGGTCAACAACATGATCGCTTATTCGCAGAGCGACCGTATTCATGGCCACGCGCTCCCTCGTCACGGTCGTCGACCCTCGTTTGGAAGCTCAAGTGTGGCTGGAGTCAGTGAAGCAGGCAGTCTGGCCATGTCCTCCCAATACGATTACAAGAGCCAAGATGACGCAGGCGACATGGACGACATGAAGAGTCAGTATGCCGGCACGCAAGCTGGCGTCACTGTCTATTGATCGTGTTGGGGCGCGCTGCCTTTCTTGTTGCGCTGATGAACCTCTGGTGCTAGCCTCTGAGGAGACGACGATAGCAAAGCATCATTTTGCTTAGCCTCACTTGGTGGCCGCATTTGCTCGCCCGACCTGTCAAATCGTCACGTTTTGTCTTGAGCTGGTTATCTGCTCAGGACGTACACGGCCGTCTTCTACCCACAAGACGCACTACCGGCTCGTTCGTCTACTACCGCTCTAGCATTGGACAGGATGATGCTTTGGCTCGTTGTAGTTGTGACTCCGGCCGTTTTACATTTCTTTTTTTCGCTCGACATATCCACCTCGAGTATGCTTGTGTATTTGTCGAAAACTACTATGAACTAGAACGTTGTGCTGTGTGTGAGAAATCGTTACAGATAGTTGGCTGCTTTTGTCAGTTTGGAAGAAGGCAAGCACCAATACAGAGCTTACATACTCTGTAAGACCAAAGGTATATCTACCAAGCCCAATGCAACAACTTCAATAGAGGAGTTTCGAGAATACAAGAGTGAAGAGCCTAATTCTACACACAAACTAATGAGGGTTTGGAGCAAGTCAACGTCTCCCTCAGTAGAATCGTCACGTGCAGATGCTTCCAACAATTGCTCTCCGGAATCGCCCACTGTTTCAAAGGGTTGAATGACACACAAGTGCCAGTGTCCAATCCGCAGCCAGAAATTTTTTTTCCTCCAGAGGCGGTGCTTCTCGTATCTCAGGCCAATACTTCATCGCCGGCGGTTCTGGACCTGGATGATCAGCTAGGCTCAAAATTCACACTTAAGTAATGCGCCTCAGCTCATTCGGCCGACTGGGAATCCATTCAAAGCCTATCGGCGTGCCTAACAAGTATTGCCCAGACAGGGAGAAAAAGGAATGACCCCGTCCGCTCTCGGAGATGAAATGACGAGGCGTTTTTCATCTCCACGAGCCTGAGAAGAGGCCGGGTGCTCTCGACGACGATCGATTTTGCGCCGTGTGGCCACCCCCAACCCACCGATTAACAACTCTCCCATGCCCTGACCAACAACGAGGAATTAAATTTCGAAATCCGCATTCGAAGCCCTTCCCCAGATGATATGAACGTCGTCGACCGCCGCGTTTGTGGGTGCGCAAATCCGAGCCCGTGGGTACCTGGGTAATGCTGATGCAAAAAGGCGGAAGGAGGGCTGGCATGTTTTGGAAAGAGAGCTCGAAAGAAGCGCAACGAGTCATCCGATCGCAACCGGTCATTGCCTCCTTCCCGCTGCGGCCAGCCGCACGCAAATTTATACCAGTCTGTTCCCACCAGCTGTGGTTGTGGGACCTTGGCGACGGCTGCCTGCCAGAGAGGCACGAACAAGGGCAGCGTCAGATGGACGGCCGGGTGGAAATGAAGGTGGGAGAGCTATCTTGCCCATGCAGGCAGCAGGAGCAACTGGCCCGCGAGTCGTACGATGTTCCTCTATCGATTCGCAGTTTTATTCAGATCGCAAGCCACGTTTATCAGCTGGAGCAGCAAGCGAGTTGTCTAAGCGAGATAATTTCCCGCCATGCACTGGCCCTGCCCGTCGGATTTTGACTCGCGGTTCAGGATGAGATTCGCGCTGACTGTTGCGGCGTTGATGGGTCACAAGTCGGGGTCATGCGGTACCCGGGTTCATGAAAGAGAAACAATTGCTGACAGCGGAGCTTGTTGTGTGTTAGGAGATGTGGTAGCCGTCTTGAAAGCTGCAACGTAGCCGAGGCTAAGCCGAGAGAAAAGCTGAACAAGCATTTGGGAATTTGGCGGCGCAAATTGACTTTGAAGCTTTGAAGAAGAGCATGAAGGGTATTTATGGATGGCTTGCGATGACGAGGCTTGGAAATGGTCGATGGCCATGCGAGAACGGCCAAGGCCTTGATCGCCGTTCCCACTTGACCCACAAATACAATCCAATCACCCGCGGCCCTTGCGAGTAAGGCTCGACCGCCCGTATGGGTTCTAGCTTCCAAGTCACAGAAGGAACAAAAGCGCAGCGTTGAGACTTTGACCAATTGCAATCGGACACGGGCAAACGGAAGAGATAGTACAGATTCATTACATTTTGGTTTGTGTTCTAGCTTGAGTGACAGAGATGTGACGAGGGAAGGCGATAACAGAGAGTAAAAGCGATGGTATCGTTCGCAAATGCATAGCAGATAAGGGTAGATGAGATGCGATGGTTTTGACTTTTTCGAATGCTGCTGATTAATTTTCTGGAGGAGGGACGCTCTTGCTCCTGCGGGAGCCTGGACCAGTTCCGCTCGAATGTCGACGCAACCGCCTGCCCCCGCGAGTTGAGCCAGTCGCTGACCCTTGTGACGACTCTCCCGAAACAGACTGAGGACGCTTTTCGTGAAACGCGAAGCCAAGGATGCGCTGAATAAACGGTTTTTTTAGTCCTCCAGCGCTTCCGCCAGAGCGGACCGATGTGGGCGAGTGCTGTGGTGACTGGGGAGAGTGTGCGTGGGACTGCGAGTGTGAATGTGAGTGTGAGTGGTGTCCAGATGATCCTGCGCTGGTGTCTGGAGTGGGCTATTCAAAGCGGGAAGTATGTCAGCTGGCCAAAGGAGAGTAAGCGAGCAGAACTTACAATGATATGAACCTTCTGACGACCTGTCGGCATCACGTAGTACGTGCTGCCAGAACCATTGCTTTCAAAGGAAGAAATGGAGGAGGCTGGGCTCCTGTCTCGGCGATTCCTCGAATGTGAACGACCGTTGGGTGTTTTTGACCGCCTTCGCTCTTCTTCTTTGACGGCAGACATATGGGAATGAGCTGAGGGAACGACAGATGGGTATGGCGTTGGAACGTATTTTTGCGTCGGTCGGACCGGCGCGGAATGGCTATAGATCATCCCATTAGGGCCCATTTGTGGAGGATGAGTATAAATGGCGGGAGGAGCATAGTGCGGGCGCGAGCGGGCATGTGAGGGTGCATAAACAATTGCCGGAGGGTGTCTCCCGTGGTTATGACCCTCTCCATGCCATGGCTGAGGTGTCTGACCAAACGCCACTCGGGGAGGACCATAGCCGGGAAGAGCCGGGACTGGGGGAACGGGAGGAACCGGGTCTTGTATTTGGGAGTAGGCATTGCGAGGGAGTGATTTGGAGCGAGCGTGGCCATGTGTGGAGCGCGGCGCGTCAGCCGCAGTGGATGTGGGCAATACTCGAATTTCCTCTGGACCACGTGCCGCGACTGACCCTGATCGCGAACGGTCATGGTGCTGTGGGCGTAGCTTGGACCCACTGCGATGGGGAATAGCTTCGTCTGGACGACCATCGCTATACCTCAAAACCATCTTTGGAGGTAAAGAATGGCTACTGCCAGCGTCTGAAGCGGGTGGGAGGACGAAGTCGGGGTCATTGATAAAGGAGGGAGCGACAGAGGGAGAGTAACAAAGATCGGGTGGCTCGGCTCTGTTGTAAACCCAATGTTTTGTCCGTTCTTTGCTTGAAAGATATTCACGAATCGCCTGAGACGAAGTCGTGTATTCAGTCATGGTGAAAGCAAGACGGGAGTCGGTGGAGGGCGTCGACCAAAGCAGAAAGGCTTAAATCCACCGGGTGGCTGTTTTTATACCTGGGTGAGATCTTTGTTGGCCGGTCCTGGTCTTCCGGAGCGAAGGGAAGCTTGATGAAGCCCTTGGGATAAAATCAAGGAACGTGTACGCCTCGAGGCAGCCCTGGCACCTGCCAGCGTCGGCCGGACTTGATTTCGGGCTTAAATAACATTTGGAATGCTCTCAGTAACCAGCAGTTGTGCAGTTAGAGCGCGAGAACAGCCGAAAAATGGGCTGGATGAAGTGGAAGATGAGTCTGAGTCACGATAACTGTCACGCGACTGTCACGCAATCATCATTCCCAACACAAGTTCACAACACCACTACTTGAGAAGCCCACCATTCCAGCTTGGGCAGCATTGCTGTTGAGGCGGCAATATCAAATGAAACCCTCCTCCTAGGCTATGTCTCCTCAACAGCAACGCCAGAATCTATTGTGTCTTTACGTATCAGGCTGGCATGCTCCATCTTCCTCGTTTAAGATCTCGCTTGTTGACGCGGATGGACGCGTAGGCGGTGGGGAAATGAAGCCACGGTTGACCTTGTTGACGGAGAATGCAGCAGGAAACCCCAAGCCCTTGCCGAATATAGACGACTGAAGCACTGCTTCGGAGGATAACCACCGGGTATCCCCATTTCTAAGGCAACTCACCCGCAAGATATGGCTTCAAAACATCGCGTGGCTACCTCAAGTGGGCGACATGAAAGCTGAGAGTCCTCGATAGTATCGGAAATGCTCAAGTCCGAAACTGCGCAAGTCCAGATGAAGAATCCCTCATCTATTGTAGCCTGATCCAGAGCCCATGCCCACATTTACTCACAGAATCCAGCCATTGTATGAAAACGCCGCTAAGATCCTTCATAATGACAATCAACCTTTTGCAGCCACGCATCTTTGGAGCTTACTTAAGAACTGCAAATCGGAAGAAACCTAAGTATCTAATCAACGGCGATGGCATTGATGGCTAAGTAAGTAAGTACTTGACTGACGATTTTATGCCAAACGGCATCAAATGAGTGGTCTATAAAATGAGAGTGTTGGAATTACATCGTGCATATTATCTGCCAGTGGGAGAACCTGAGTGCCAACCAACTCAAGCAAGCACAAGTAACGCTCCGACGACCGCACCAAGGATCGGCGCTATTGCGGTCAGACGATTTGCAGCATTTGGCGATGGGCTTGACGGAGCACTTCCACCAGCGCTGTTTGTGTTGCTCGCCCCGCCAGAGTTACTTTTGGCGGGATTAGGGCTGGAATTGGACTGGCTCGGCGCAGGTGTCCCAGTGGCAGGGAGGATCTGCAGTCCGAATGGCCGAGCGGCATCCGTATGGGTGACTGTTACGGGTCCGGCTGAATCAGCCTCAACAGCCACACACGTCTCCTGCCCGTTCGCGAAGTTGCAAACTCCACCAGCAGTGAACGAGCCTTCACGGTCGTTGACGACATAAGTAAAAGATGCATAGTCCGCCCCTTCGACAAGCGTCGCTAGTTGTTATGTGTAAGCCGTGTGAAGCACCGCGAAGGGGAATTTTATTTGCGCACCAGTGCCTGGGAAACTGCCCTGAGGGTCTGTCCATGTCCCAGTGTAGGCTCCTTGGGCGAGCTCGTATGTTGTACGTGCTTGACCCGCGTCCACTCCAATGACCTTCGCGCTGATTGCTTGTGGATCGACAAAAGGAACAACAAGAGTTGTTTCGTCCGCAACGGCACCTGAACCTCAGAAGTTAGCCGCTGGCAAGTACCGTATTGGAGAAACCCACAGACGACAGCAACGGCAGCAAGGGAGAGGGCGAAGACACGAGTCATCTTGGTGGTCGTAAAACGGCGGTGGTGACTTTCAATTTAAATGGTTGTGAATCCGAAGCATGATGCTTCAATGTGCTGCCGCATGACAGTAGATCGGAGTTTCGTGCAAGCAGCGGTGTCTGATACTCTCCATAGGTCGAAGAGCCAGATTCCTTGACTCTGCAAAGTCCTTGAGCAAACGCACAACCTTAAAAAAGATGACGTGTGGAATCAAAAATAGATTCAATGATCCGGATTCAACGGTGTCACGGTGTCACAATATCCTCAAATCCAACCACTGGCATAAACTTGCGCAGACCAACCATTGTGCGCTGCCCACAACGGTTCAAAGGCTAAATAAGACTCTTCATTTACATCCGCACTTAACGGCCAACAAGTTGAAGATGCCAACCCAATCTTACTGTGTGCGTATAAAGAATAGTTCAAGTTTTCTGTTGAGTCGTAACGAAAGCGACATCCTCATGTCTTCACATTGCCCCGAACTGTCTCTGTCTTCGGTGCGACCGGCCTCCAGCTCCTTGATAATCAAAGCCCTACTCAGAGATGGCGCATTTCACCCTCGGGCGATAACTCGTGCATCTAAAGAGCGATGGGACATTGGCGCAGAGGTCGTCGAGGGTGATACCACAGCAGATAGCAGCTGTTGGTACAAGCACTGACTGGCAACAAGGCTGTCTTTGCGGCAAGTAATCATCACAGCCTTTTGTTACTGTCTTCCGACACCCACTTCCCTAGTTTACGGTGCCTTTAATACGGCCGGGGGATGCTCCAGCCAAAGGCCAAGTAGTGCAGGGGAAGAATATAATCGAAGCAGCCAAACAAGCCAGCGTCAAGTTCTTGATTTTAAGCTCTCTTCCCAGTCTCGCAAAACTGTGACCTGTCCAAGGGGAAGTATACTCACTGCTCAGGCAACGACTTGCGAAGGTGCTCAGTCTTTCAACCGTCATAAATCTGCCGACTCTTACCAATAGAGGAAGCTGTGGTCGAGAACTACCTCATGCAGTGGTTCATCTTGTTTTTTTCGAGAACTTTTGGCTCAAAGGACCCACCGAACCCGGAGCCCCGTATTCTGTCACAATCCCACTGGCAATTTACACTTCGGAGACAATTCAAGCAATGACATGGGTCAAGCACGACCTCCATAAAGTTGTTCTGGCGCCTCAAGAGTTATGATTCCGCTGATCCCGAAATTCACGACCTTGTCAATGGAGGGGTATTTCCAACATTCTCTGCATACTCAGCCAAAGTATGCTTCCGACTATTTCGTGCCCGACTCTCATGCTCATGGTATCGCAGCCATCGGAGCGCCCATATCATTCGTCAGTGGCCCACCAATGGGAATTGACGCCGCAGACCATATGGTAAACAAGTTGCTCTCCTTCCTCAATCGTGCCCTCTTATGGAGATCTTAGTGGATGGCGAATCGTGACATGAATGGCCTCTACTCGGAGGTGCCCATTCCCAACTTGAATCCAGACCTTATAAAACTCGGCGTGCAGATCAGCGCTGTGCATGAAGTTATGGAGGCGGAAATTAAGTCTTGGTTTGGTCAAAAGCCAGTATGATAAGAGTGCATTTGGACTGTGTAAAGTATGGTTTTGGTTATCATGGTATCTCTCTTGCACTGATGCAACATCGTTAGTCCTTTCATGGACCGCACCGGCCCTGTGTCATTGCAATCAAGAGAATAGGATTATAAATCTCTTTTATTTACAAATCACGACTCGCCCATAACGAGAGTATGGAAGTTGGGAAATACGAGCTCCTCCTCGACTGTTTTCCTGATGACATCTTGGATGAAGCGCTCGACACGCGTGACATTTTTCAAAACATGCTTGTCCGCCTGGCCGATCTCGCTCTCGATGTAAATTGACGGTAGGAGACGCTGGCCGATGGGAAGCGGCTTGTTGTTTGTCCTTGGATACGCCGATTCGAAAGAGTCCGCCTCGCCCACGTCTGGCGGGGTGCTGTTGCTGTCGAGCGAGTCACGCTTTGGCCTGTGTACTCCAGCGGACGGGCCATATGGGTCCATGTCGTCAAGAATGCACAGGTGAACGCGTTTGCGCTCGCCTTCGTAGGCAACCGCGACTTCGCCAGTGAAGACGAGGCCTGTGACAGAGAGCTTGATGGGGAGCGACATGAACATGGGCGACGGGTAGTTTATGAGCAGCGAAGTCGTCAGCGTGATTCGCAAGTCGGAGGGCCAATGCATGTGTAAGTGCAGTTGGAGATTTGGAGAGGAAGGATTTGGTGGGGGCGGCGCCGCTGACGGAGAAGGCGAGTCGAGAGAGGAAGACCGGCTTGGTGGCCGTTGGAGAGGTGGGGTAGCCATAGGCGGCGCGAGTGGCGAACGATACATGGGTGAATTTGGCCAGGCCGAATAAACGGGGCCTAAACTTGGTAGACTGTTCATGCCCCCGTTCCAGATATCAGGCGTTGTGCGCAGGGAAGGAGTTGATGCAAACATATCGACTCCACCGGGTCTGACATGAGGCGGTAAGTGGTGGTAGCCCAAAGCATCTCCGTGGTTAGCTGCCCGCCGGGACACCCATTCGAATCCATCATCATCGTCTCCGCCTTCTGTGACCTTGACAGGTTCACCCCCAGATTCTGAGTCATCATCTTCCAGAAAGTCACGGTGAATATCGCGTAGGTCAACCAACTCGACATCTGGCGCAGCGGAGCCAAAGTCAAGTGAGGTAACCTCCACCGGTCCAATGAACGACGGTCGAGGCGTGCTTTTGAGCTGCCTGTTTAGGAGGTCAACGAGACTGTGTGCCAGGGAGTCGTCGAGTTTATCCCAGTCCAGATCAATCGACATTGGTGGTGGTCGTGAAGTCAGGAAATATTGATCATGTGACCACGCGGCCGCGGCCACTGGCAAACGGATCTTCCACAACTTCCATGTCCCGTTACGTCCCAGGCCGATTTCCTGCAGCTGGCGCATCACCCGTTGCCGACCGTATACGCGAAAGACGAGGGGCAAGAGGACTGACGGCGCTTGACGGAACTCTTTTACATGTCCCCCCAGTCGCAGAAGGTTGGAATTCGCTGCTTGGCGCCATTCGCACGAAAGGAGCGCTTCCAGGCGACGTCCGAGAGCTTATGATTCTTCGAGTCGCCGCAAGAAATCATGCAGCTTACGAATGGATTCACCATGAGCATGTTGGCCGTTCCCATGGCCTCACGACTTCTCAACTTTGGGCCATTCGCGATACTATCCACCCCCCTCAACTAAATGTCCTCTCTCCTCTCTACTCCGCTGCCCTGGCCTTTGCCGACCACAGCACTGTACACGTGAAGGTTCCGCAGGATGTCATGTCCGATTTACAACAGCACCTCCAACCACTTGCATCGAGTGTTAATCTCGATGTCGCAGATTTGCTGGTTGAAGCTGCCGCAGTGGTCGCAACCTACAACATGGTCTCGCGCTTCTTGGTCTCTTTGGACATAGCCGGATCTTCTGACGATGTCGTTCCATGGCCAGTCGACAGCACTGAACACACAATCGAGCTGGCGCCCAACGTCAACATTCATGCCATAACACTCGTCACCCACCCCAATGCTCCTTGGATTGCCTTCTCAAATTCATTGCTCACGGACGAGGGGATGTGGGAATGGATTGTCCCACACATAATTGCACCGGCTTCGTCAGCCCCGAATTGGCCGTTCAAAGGCACCTACAACATCCTCCTCCATTCTCAACGCGGTCATGGCCAGTCGTCTGTTTCGGCAGCGCCGTGCACTATCCCTCTCCTCGCACATGATCTGGCTCATCTCATTTCCATTCTTATTCCGTCAGGAAAGGTCAAATGCGTCATCGGTGTCTCGCAAGGGGGTGCTGCCGCTCTAGCCTTTGGTGCACTCTATCCCACGCTCACAGAAGGCGTTATTTCATGTGATACGGGGCCCAAAACTGCTCCAGGGAATGCGGAAGCATGGCAAGAACGTATTGCCCTTGCAAAAACAAAAGGCATCGAGGAGCTAGCTAGTGTGACTGTTGACCGCTGGTTCCCTTCTCCGTCCAAATGTGGACAAGGAGGTTCGAGATACGGAAGGACAGAAACAATCAAGAAAATGATTGCGACCACCAGCATCCCCGCTTTCGAGCTCGGAGCAGGCGCTCTCATGTCGTACGACCTACTCAAACCGCTTTCAGAAGACGGCGTCGATTTGCTGCACAGCGATGTCAAAACCAAAGTGCTGCTTGTTGCCGGCGAGCTCGATGGCGGGGGTAAAGTTGCAGCTGGAATGAAAGGATTGCGCGAAAAATGGCTTGAAGCTACGCCAGCTGCCAAGGTCGAATTCGCCGAGATTGCCGGCGCGGGTCATCTTCCGATGATCGACGAAACAGAGAAATACTGGGAAGTCGTGAGCGCATTCCTGAAGGGGTTGTGACCTGGGAAGAGGCATTATTTGGCTTGACGACGAACAAATGTACATCTAGTTGTAATTGTACAAAGAACAAAAGACCTTGTACAAAAAACAAAAAGCACTGCACAAGGAACAAGAAGCACTGTTCAAAGAACAAGAAACACTTTGTCCAAGATTACGATCTTATCGATGGTGTCATTGTCTGTGACTCGTATAAATTGCCATCGTGACCCAGCGCGTCGATCACATAAGCCCTATCCCTTCTTTCTCTCTTCAACGTTCAATTCGCTATGCCGTGCGTCTGCCCTTCTTCCAGTAGTATAACTCTCTTCAGCACGCGTGCGGCGCAGATCATGTGTGTATGCGTCTCCACCCTCAAATATTTCACATGTCAAATGTTACCCCCGCTTGCACGCCGCGCTCCAACGCTAAGTCGCGCTCGCTCGCCAAGTCGCGCGAGCGAGGGACCCCTCTAATATACCTCTTTTCCTCGCGCACGGACCTCTAAAAAGTCACGAGTTAAACCTACTGGGGGAGAAAATTTGAGGTTTTGGACCCGTCTAACGGCAGTCTCGGGCATCGTTTGGGGGAGACAGGGTTTTGGAGTAACTTTCGGGCACTCCGGGCAGGCATAGAACAGTGTAAAGTCATGTATTGGCCTATTGATAACATCCAGGCGCTACTAAGGACGCGTCGCGACGCGTTTGATCCACCCGGCCCGGTTCATTCATTCCGACACCAAGTCCTCCGCAACAGCGACAGAGCGCTAAGCACGCTCCGTTCATCGCCCTCCTCACGCGGGGCCTCCGGCGGTTCGAACCTGCAAAAAAATTGAGCTCTTTAACACTAAAATGCACTTACAAAGTAACGGCGCAACGGCCAAAATGTGCCCAAGTCCACGCTTTCAGCTGGTTGATGGCCAGACGTGTTGCCGGAGCTGTCGCAAAAAGCCCGGAGGGGCAAGACGGGAGTCGACGGCAAAGGGCGGGCCGGCAAGCGGAGGAGTCGGGCGGGCAGGAGGTGTGACACGCGCAGCCAGAGGGTGGAGCGGCCGCAAACTTGAAGGCAGCAGGCCGGTGACAGAATGTGACACGGCTGAGTCGTTGCAAAGGTTGGCGGGCAGTCGGGAAGGAAGGTCCGGACTGAGTGAACGTGGCAGGAAACGACGCGGCCACCATCTCGTTGCCCTCCAACTCCAGAAATTGCCCGCCCGCGGCGTCCCAGGAAGTTGATGGCCGAGATTATCCCGCGGGAAGGTGGAGCAAGTCCGCCGTCGCGAGGCTAATCCGCCAACCACAGCCCTCGGCCCGTGGCGTCAAGGCGCCTCGGCACAATGACACGTTTGGAGTCGATTGTCACGGTGGGTATGAAAGCAACGGCCGAACGGGGGGGGATTGTAGTAAGAGCTGAGTGAACGCAGACATGTATCCCGCGGAGACAGTAGCCAAAGGACGTGCCGGCAAGAAAGGGAACGCGGGCCAGCTCCCCGAGCAGGCGGTTGATGCCCACCTTGAGGGGTCCGGGCCGGGAGGGAACGTGACGCAGGTGGCCGGGCAACCAGGTGCCGGATGATAACTTTCCCTCGGCCCATCCATCTCGTCAACGCGGGTGGACCATCGAAATTGATGGCCAAGGAGGGTGGGCGGTTGACTCGGAAAGGGTAGGACGCAGAGCAGGCCGGCTGGCCGCTCGCCAGATGATGGTGGTATGTTTGGGAAAGGATAGGCCGAGCTTGAAGGATGTGATGGCCAATATTATCGCAGGGGATGATGGCAGCATGCAGCAAGGCCGGACCAGGAATATGACGCCGGCATTAACAGGCTGAGCGTGTTCGCCGTGAGGGAGAGTTGTCGCGAAGGGTGTAGCTCGGTGATGGTCAGACTCGGAAGGTTGTTCGGCGTGTTGGCCGGAAGTCCATGGTCAACGCGAGGAAGTGAGGGCCGGCCGGGAGGCAGGAGATGATGGCGGGACATGAAAGAGAAGTGTGGCCGTGTGTACACCACACAGCCGAGAACTTTGCAGGCCGGGGCGGCATGCGCGCCTCCGGCGGCAAGGCCCTGCAAAAAAGTGAGCCTTGAATCAGAAAAAAGCGGGTCAGAATGCTCACCAAAATACCATCAAATCGTGATGATGGCATCAACCCGTGGTCAACTGGCAGGGCAGGGGGGCCTGTGAGGAAACCACACAGCCGAAAGCTTTGAAGTCCAGGGCGGCTTGTGCGCCTCCGGTGGCAAAACCCTGTGAAAAAGTGAGCCTTGAATGCTGGAAAAAGTCAGCCAGAATGCTCACCAGAATACCATCAATATTTGATGATGGGATCAGCGGCGGCCGATGCCGGGCTCGGCAGAATCCAAATATGGAAATAACCTGCACCGAGGAAGTGGAGGTGGGAGACAAGGAATGTGGGAGCACAAGCTCCAGCATCCGATGAAACTGAACATGCCTCCGGCAGGTCAAAACCTGAACAAAAAAGTCAATTATTTTTCACGTTTTCGGCGGGGATCGAACTGCTTACGTAATGCAGACAGTGTCGGTACAATCAGCGTGGAACAGCGAGGGATGCTAGGCAAAAAGCCCCAGCATCCGAGGTGGTTGCGGTAGGGACAGGATGTGCCTCCGGCGGGTCAAAATCCTGGAAAAAAGTCAGTTAATTATTATGTTTTGTTTGGGAGTCGAACCGCTTACGTAATGGGCTTGAGGTCTCCAAATCAAGCGGTCAAGTCGGCAGGCAACTGCGAGCTGTGCTGAGGCAAAATCCTCAGCATCTGACAACGCTGTGCGAGAGGCGCTATGTGCCTCTGGCGGGTCAAAAATCCTGAAAAAAAAGTCAGTTATTACTCGTCCTAGGGTGGGGCTCGAACTGCTTACGTAATCGTCTGGCGATCCCTAAATTTCGCCAAGGCAGCCGGCAAATTTGTTGGCATGGCGGAGCGTTGAGACGCAGGCAACAGCGGTATTGGGGACGGACAGAGCTACGAGTGGTGAGCTGCTGAGAGCATACAGCAGTGAAGATCAACCCACAAGGTGTTGCAAAGGTTCCCCCCATCGCGGACACGAGCACCAGAGAAGATGCATGATTTCACAAGCCAGAGTGCTGACGCCGCATAGACAGGGACAAGACAACTGGAAAAACGATGTCACAATGGCAAGAAAGCTGGCTTGAATAAACTTACCAGTCCCAACAACAGCGGCAGAGCAAAAGCTTGAAAGCTTTACTCGGGATGACACTTAGCGCGCTGGTTTCTGTTGAAGATGAACAAATGATCAAAAGGGAAAGGCATAAGTACTCACAGCTGCGTCGAGAACAGTGATGATGCCTCGCATCCCTGTCGAGAGTAGCTCAGGTCATGATGGCCAAGAATACGAGTGGGAGGTCGTTGGACTCGCACATTGCTGCTGGCGGAGGGGATGGTCGCAGCAGATTGACGCCGCCGAAAGGGAATGTTAGCGCAAAGGGTTGATTCTGAAGACGGAACATCAACCAAGTGAAGAAAGCAAGTAAAAGTCCACAAACCTTGGTTTGAACCGGCACCAAAGGGCCCCGCCTTAGAACAACGGGCAAGGAGGATGTTGATATCGGGAAACAAGCCCTTGATGCAGAGCCAGAGGGCAGTCACAACCCGCTTGAAGCCACGGTCAGCGTTCGCTAGGCCTGTCTGTAAAGAAACAAATTAGCACGCTGGAGAGTCCAACAGAGGGAAGACTTACGAGCCACTGGCAGAGGCGGCGGCGGTGCCAAGCGCAAGGACATGCATGGTGGTGGAGCTGTTGGTCACGGTAGCCTGAAGCAGGTCGAGGGTTCAAGTTGGCGCTCTCCATAGTCTTCAACAACAATGACGACTCGGAGGAGTTGAAGAGAGCTACGCTCCGAGTGGGTCAGTGTCGTGTGGTGGTGGTGTAAATTTTCGCTGCCGTATATGCCGTCGTGATCGTGGAAACGTCGCTCGCGTAAGAATTTGAAGGAGCGGAAGGGGGCTTGACTGCCAAGTCCAAGCTCAAGTTGGCGCTCCCCGTCTGCAAGAAGTCGCAGACGACTGAAAAAACACGGTCAGTGAAGGGAATAAAGAAGAGGAAGGTGAGGTACTAACCATGGCTGAGTCGAGCGAGGCTCTGCAGACCAAGTTCAAGGACGTTGATGGGTTGGCTGGGCTTGAGAACGCCTTCGCTGGGCGGCGGCCTCAGTTTTGGGCACAGAAAACACGCTAGAAAGTGTTGGTCAGTAACGAGGGAGGAATGCAGAAGAAGGCAAACATACGAGCAGGATGGAGGCGGCGACATCGAAGAGAGAGGTTGTCGAGGGTGACGACGAGAGGGATTGTGGTGGAGCGGAGACAACCAGGAAGAGGGCGTGACCTTGTTGACAAGCACGGGTTTGATGAGTGATCATGCCGTAGATGTGATAATATGTGATTGATTGCGGGCGGAGATCGTTGTGAGGCCGTCGGGCGGCTTGCCCGTGAAGCGGCGAGCATCACCATGACCGTGAGTAGATACGGGCCAGTCGTGAGAGGGTACGCATTTCCATCGCAAGTCCACTCCAAAGTTGGTGGGAGTAGTAGAGCCCATGGTGGCGCGCGCCAAGTTACCGCGGAGTTATTTTGGCCTTTCCGGCATCGTCCGGTGGTCGCGGCCAGGGTCAGGGAAGCGAGCTGAAGCGAGCACCGCCAATGGAGCTCGGGCGGCGTTTCAGGGAGCACTCAGGGTCTCGTTACCATACCACGGAAAGGAAGCGGCAGATATGAATGGCAACAGGTGACAGGCGGGGGGTGCACGCGATCTTTACCCGACTCAGTCAGAAAGTATGGTCTCCTTGCTCAGGTGGCTGCTGGCCTTTCACCCTTGTTGCTGACGTTCAACGCTTTTGCTTTTGCATAGCAGCCTTTATTTTCCTTTTTGAACAAGTTTGACACCAATAATCTGGCGAAAACAACGCGTTTTCGACGCGCCGCATGCCAGATTTTCTCTGGGACGCGTTACCTCTCGCCGCTCAACTTTCTATCGCCATCACCACTCACACCTGAATCCAAATCAGGTAATCCCCCCCGGTACACCTCGGAATCATCGAGCCTCACACATTTTGACTGGGGTCAAATCAGACAATTTTAAGAGATTATGAAGTCCTGGTCTACCACCTATATCCGAGCCTTATCAGCCCTTGCGATGCACAACTGTTTGCGTCGCAACTGCAATATCCAGATTTTGCATCGCTGCAGCAAGTGTGGCCCATATTGCCCGATTAAATGTGCCGGAAGGTGGGAATGAAGTTTCATTTCCCTGAACAGTTGCCTGATTGTTCACTAGTCGTCGTCAACGTACGATCTTGGCCAAATATTGCCGCCGCGCATGCTGATTCCCGTGTTACCAAGCACGGGCGGGCGATCGAAGCACTGCAACGACTCCATTTGACAGGTATAGCCGTGTTGTAGGTTGTGCCGCGTCTATTGGGGTCTCGCAAGCCTCTCTCCCAACCCAGTTTCGACTCGATCCCTGGTTTGTTATTTCATGAGTTGAGCACCCATTCTGTGCTTAATCTATTCACATTCTGCCTCAGAGATACTCGCAAGTACTTTCCCTAGCTAGCCCACGTTTCAAAATAGCTCGCTTACGCATTCTAGACTGACATTTCATCCATTCCAGAAATGATCATTGCAACGATAACGACACTGTCCAGCCCGGGCGGTGTACGTTATGGAAGCCCCACTCGCTAAGAGTATATAAGGCCGTGGCCTTCAACTGTTGCGCAACCCCCTCTTTCTTTCCTCCCACCATCTTCGATTGTCAACCTCACGTGTCATTGCTCGTCCCTTTCCAATCCCAACCCCATTCCTCACATGTTCCACTCAGCCTTCGATTCATCGCTGTTCTCTTCTGAACAGTCAGTAAATCATCCTCTCGTCGTCATTGAGCACGCTTACCGTTCCCCAGATTATCCTAATTCGCCTCACTTGCTCGCGTCCCGCAACGTTGTGCTGACGCTCTTAGAGTTTGCAGACGGGGGCGTGTCGTTGGTTTTGCAAGTACAGTTTCCCCCCATCGTTGTGTATCCTGCTTACCGTTCTCTAGTTGTGGTCGACTCCCATATCCCGCCGACCACCCTTGTTTGATTCCCTTCACTCATTTCCCACCGTCCTGCTGACAATCTTGTAGTTTGTTTGGGCATCGTCGACGACGGGTGTTAGCGCATGGCCTTGCGCGTTGGGAGGCGAAAACTGTGCACTGACAATAGGTGAGCGCTTTTTTCTCTCGTTCAAGTAGCTGAGCATGCTTACCGTTCCCCAGACCGCATTCCCGCCGACTCTCCCATCCCATTTATCCAGCTCGTTCGCTTCATCTCGCTCACTCACGAGTTTTGCTGACCTTGTTGTAGTGTTCGCAGCACACGTTAGTTTTCGCCAGAGCTACCCGCCAACTTGAACGCGCTGAGAGAAGGGGCCGTTATCGCGTTCAATTCCTGCCGTTCTGCTTGTACTGACCTGACTGCAGTTTTGGCGCGATTTACGGTTGCTTTGGAGTCGTTGCGGGGTTCAAAGAGGCCATTTTTGACTGCCCAAGTACGTGTTATGGCGATTTAGGCTTGTGTCTTGGACCATTAACTCGTTATAGGTCTCTTCGGCCAGAATTGGCGCAGTCGGGCTGGCTCTGCTAATTGCCGGCGATGAAGCAGCTTGGGGCTTTGGTGAGATACGTCGGTACGGCGGGTTTGGAGTATAGTCGTCAGCGTAAGCATTTTCGCTCGCAGCTGGAGACTATTTGCAAAGACTTACTGTGATATTCAGGGCAAGATAGACCTTGGCGTGGAAGAGCGGCATTGAACGCGGGAGACGAAGCCGGCGATTTGGTGACTTGGGTCATAGCTGGCGGCAATGCGGCTTGTTTGGTGGGCAGTGGTGACTTGGGAGTTGGCGTCGGACTTGCGAGATATGCCCAAGAGTGGCGAGTTAGCCTGAGATAGTGCCGACGTAGATAGATGCTGAGTGTGCTCGCCGTTCGCGGCAGCGAAAGAGTCCGTTGTGAGTTTGAGAGCACGACAGAGGGCCGTTTCGAGCCCGGGCGGGTGGAAGATGACGGCAAAAGGCCGCTGTCAACGAGCACGTGCCTGCTTGAGGCTGTACCTTCTTCTAACCACCAACACGCGCCCGCCTTGACGCGTTTTCCCGAGCTGGTCGCGAACGCTGGCTTGTTGCGAGCCCGAAGGAACAAGCTAACCCGGGCCGAACTCGCCGTCTTGGCTGACCACCGCGGCTTGCTTTCTGGCGGCTCCATATGTTTGCGGGCCATTGAGGCTGCTGCCTCGTCCAGCGCTTGCGTCGGCAACTTCAACGCTGCCACGGCCCAAGTAAGCATCTACTATTTAGACTTCATTTGCTTCAACTCTGACTCTTCTACCAGCTCTACTGCCGTCCTTCAACCCATTCCTCTGCGCCTGCATCGAACTGTGATGTCAGTCTCGGCGCTTCGACCCGGTAATCTGACCGGGCCCAGTTGCGCGGTAAGTACTTTGTCGTTGACTCCGTTCTCGCTGACATGTTTAAATGGGAGTCTGCTACGGTTTGTATCCTTTATCGGCGGGTACTACTCGTCTCAAACGAGAGTTTGGCTGCGTCACCCGCGGAACAGCTTGCGTCTATTCGTGTTTAGTAGAGGGCAGCTTTGTACTTGCGCGGTTAGTACTTTTCTTCGACTCCCTTTATTTCCGCTGACACGCCTGGACAGTCTGGATAACAACGCGTTGACAAGCACCGTTATTCAAGATGGATGCGGGATAGTAGTCACTCGCGAGCGCGGTACCAGTCGGCAACACTGATATTTCCAGAGTTCTTGTTGCTTTGAACGTGCGGGAGTGCAATGAATCTATGTGAGTACTTTGACTCGATTTGGCGGCGCTGACATACTCTTTCTGCTTCCCAGACAACGACGCGTTTCCCGTTGTCCCCGATAGCCGTTGGAAAAATTGGGGCTGATGACGACAAGGCCGCGATTGACTGTGCGACGCGTGAGTTTGGACGCTCATTTTATGATTAAGCTGATGTCGTCGCTGCAGATTGTGCGCAGGCATTTATTTGCTCGAGGGTGGCGAGAGTAATGGTGGACTTGCTTTGGGAGCAAGGTAAGCTTTTCTTGTCCGTTGTCCTCTGAGACTCATGTTACTGCAGAGTTGTTACTGTTTTTTTTGTTGTTCTCTAGTTGATGAATATTGACTTTTGCTGAGACTTGACTGGCGCGTGAGTTTGGGGCTGATCCATTTGTGGTCTGCGCAATGAGCTCGTCGTTGCGACGCGCGCGCTGCCCTCGTCGTCGTTATGAGCGGCGAAGTCGTCAGCGTGATACGCAAGTCGGAGGGCCAATGTGCAGTTGGTCCAGGCGACGTCCGAGATCCGAGTCGCCGCAAGAAATCATGCAGCTTACGAATGGATTCACCATGAGCATGTTGGCCGTTCCCATGGCCTCACGACTTCTCAACTTTGGGCCATTCGCGATACTATCCACCCCCTCAACTGAATGTCCTCTCCCCTCTCTATTCCGCTGCCCTGGCCTTTGCCGACCACAGCACTGTACACGTGAAGGTTCCGCAGGATGTCATGTCCGATTTACAACAGCACCTCCAACCACTTGCATCGAGTGTTAATCTCGATGTCGCAGATTTGCTGGTTGAAGCTGCCGCAGTGGTCGCAACCTACAACATGGTCTCGCGCTTCTTGGTCTCTTTGGACATAGCCGGATCTTCTGACGATGTCGTTCCATGGCCAGTCGACAGCACTGAACACACAATCGAGCTGGCGCCCAACGTCAACATTCATGCCATAACACTCGTCACCCACCCCAATGCTCCTTGGATTGCCTTCTCAAATTCATTGCTCACGGACGAGGGGATGTGGGAATGGATTGTCCCACACATAATTGCACCGGCTTCGTCAGCCCCGAATTGGCCGTTCAAAGGCACCTACAACATCCTCCTCCATTCTCAACGGGTCATGGCCAGTCGTCTGTTTCGGCAGCGCCGTGCACTATCCCTCTCCTCGCACATGATCTGGCTCATCTCATTTCCATTCTTATTCCGTCAGGAAAGGTCAAATGCGTCATCGGTGTCTCGCAAGGGGGGTGCTGCCGCTCTAGCCTTTGGTGCACTCTATCCCACGCTCACAGAAGGCGTTATTTCATGTGATACGGGGCCCAAAACTGCTCCAGGGAATGCGGAAGCATGGCAAGAACGTATTGCCCTTGCAAAAACAAAAGGCATCGAGGAGCTAGCTAGTGTGACTGTTGACCGCTGGTTCCCTTCTCCGTCCAAATGTGGACAAGGAGGTTCGAGATACGGAAGGACAGAAACAATCAAGAAAATGATTGCGACCACCAGCATCCCCGCTTTCGAGCTCGGAGCAGGCGCTCTCATGTCGTCGACGACCTACTCAAACCGCTTTCAGAAGACGGCGTCGATTTGCTGCACAGCGATGTCAAAACCAAAGTGCTGCTTGTTGCCGGCGAGCTCGATGGCGGGGGTAAAGTTGCAGCTGGAATGAAAGGATTGCGCGAAAAATGGCTTGAAGCTACGCCAGCTGCCAAGGTCGACTTCGCCGAGATTGCCGGGCGCGGGTCATCTTCCGATGATCGACGAAACAGAGAAATACTGGGAAGTCGTGAGCGCATTCCTGAAGGGGTTGTGACCTGGGAAGAGGCATTATTTGGCTTGACGACGAACAAATGTACATCTAGTTGTAATTGTACAAAGAACAAAAAAAGACCTTGTACAAAAAACAAAAAGCACTGCACAAGGAACAAGAAGCACTGTTCAAAGAACAAGAAACACTTTGTCCAAGATTACGATCTTATCGATGGTGTCATTGTCTGTGACTCGTATAAATTGCCATCGTGACCCAGCGCGTCGATCACATAAGCCCTATCCCTTCTTTCTCTCTTCAACGTTCAATTCGCTATGCCGTGCGTCTGCCCTTCTTCCAGTAGTATAACTCTCTTCAGCACGCGTGCAGCGCAGATCATGTGTGTATCGCTCTCCACCCTCAAATATTTCACATGTCAAATGTTACCCCCGCTTGCACGCCGCTCCAACGCTAAGTCGCGCTCGCTCGCCAAGTCGCGAGAGCGAGGGACCCCTCTAATATACCTCTTTTCCTCGCGACGGACCTCTAAAAAGTCACGAGTTAAACCTACTGGGGGAGAAAATTTGAGGTTTTGGACCCGTCTAACGGCAGTCTCGGGCATCGTTTGGGGGAGACAGGGTTTTGGAGTAACTTTCGGGCACTCCGGGCAGGCATAGAACAGTGTAAAGTCATGTATTGGCCTATTGATAACATCCAGGCGCGCTACTAAGACGCGTCGCGACGCGTTTGATCCACCCGGCCCGGTTCATTCATTCCGACACCAAGTCCTCCGCAACAGCGACAGAGCGCTAAGCACGCTCCGTTCATCGCCCTCCCTCACGCGGGCCTCCGGCGGTTCGAACCTGCAAAAAAATTGAGCTCTTTAACACTAAAATGCACTTACAAAGTAACGGCGCAACGGCCAAAATGTGCCCAAGTCCACGCTTTCAGCTGGTTGATGGCCAGACGTGTTGCCGAAGCTGTCGCAAAAGCCCGGAGGGGCAAGACGGGAGTCGACGGCAAAGGGCGGGCCGGCAAGCGGAGGAGTCGGGCGGGCAGGAGGTGTGACACGCGCAGCCAGAGGGTGGAGCGGCCGCAAACTTGAAGGCAGCAGGCCGGTGACAGAATGTGACACGGCTGAGTCGTTGCAAAGGTTGGCGGGCAGTCGGGAAGGAAGGTCCGGACTGAGTGAACGTGGCAGGAAACGACGCGGCCACCATCTCGTTGCCCTCCAACTCCAGAAATTGCCCGCCCGCGGCGTCCCAGGAAGTTGATGGCCGAGATTATCCCGCGGGAAGGTGGAGCAAGTCCGCCGTCGCGAGGCTAATCCGCCAACCACAGCCCTCGGCCCGTGGCGTCAAGGCGCCTCGGCACAATGACACGTTTGGAGTCGATTGTCACGGTGGGTATGAAAGCAACGGCCGAACGGGGGGATTGTAGTAAGAGCTGAGTGAACGCAGACATGTATCCCGCGGAGACAGTAGCCAAAGGACGTGCCGGCAAGAAAGGGAACGGGGCCAGCTCCCCGAGCAGGCGGTTGATGCCCACCTTGAGGGGTCCGGGCCGGGAGGGAACGTGACGCAGGTGGCCGGGCAACCAGGTGCCGGATGATAACTTTCCCTCGGCCCATCCATCTCGTCAACGGGTGGACCATCGAAATTGATGGCCAAGGAGGGTGGGCGGTTGACTCGGAAGGGTAGGACGCAGAGCAGGCCGGCTGGCCGCCAGATGATGTGGTGGTATGTTTGGGAAAGGATAGGCCGAGCTTGAAGGATGTGATGGCCAATATTATCGCAGGGGATGATGGCAGCATGCAGCAAGGCCGGACCAGGAATATGACGCCCGGCATTAACAGGCTGAGCGTGTTCGCCGTGAGGGAGAGTTGTCGCGAAGGGTGTAGCTCGGTGATGGTCAGACTCGGAAGGTTGTTCGGGCGTGTTGGCCGGAAGTCCATGGTCAACGCGAGGAAGTGAGGGCCGGCCGGGAGGCAGGAGATGATGGCGGGACATGAAAGAGAAGTGTGGCCGTGTGTACACCACACAGCCGAGAACTTTGCAGGCCGGGGCGGCATGCGCGCCTCCGGCGGCAAGGCCCTGCAAAAAAGTGAGCCTTGAATCAGAAAAAAGCGGGTCAGAATGCTCACCAAAATACCATCAAATCGTGATGATGGCATCAACCCGTGGTCAACTGGCAGGGCAGGGGGGCCTGTGAGGAAACCACACAGCCGAAAGCTTTGAAGTCCAGGGCGGCTTGTGCGCCTCCGGTGGCAAAACCCTGTGAAAAAGTGAGCCTTGAATGCTGGAAAAAGTCAGCCAGAATGCTCACCAGAATACCATCAATATTTGATGATGGGATCAGCGGCGGCCGATGCCGGGCTCGGCAGAATCCAAATATGGAAATAACCTGCACCGAGGAAGTGGAGGTGGGAGACAAGGAATGTGGGAGCACAAGCTCCAGCATCCGATGAAACTGAACATGCCTCCGGCAGGTCAAAACCTGAACAAAAAAGTCAATTATTTTTCACGTTTTGGCGGGGATCGAACTGCTTACGTAATGCAGACAGTGTCGGTACAATCAGCGTGGAACAGCGAGGGATGCTAGGCAAAAAGCCCCAGCATCCGAGGTGGTTGCGGTAGGGACAGGATGTGCCTCCGGTCAAAATCCTGGAAAAAAGTCAGTTAATTATTATGTTTTGTTTGGGAGTCGAACCGCTTACGTAATGGGCTTGAGGTCTCCAAATCAAGCGGTCAAGTCGGCAGGCAACTGCGAGCTGTGCTGAGGCAAAATCCTCAGCATCTGACAACGCTGTGCGAGAGGCGCTATGTGCCTCTGGCGGGTCAAAAATCCTGAAAAAAAAGTCAGTTATTACTCGTCCTAGGGTGGGGCTCGAACTGCTTACGTAATCGTCTGGCGATCCCTAAATTTCGCCAAGGCAGCCGGCAAATTTGTTGGCATGGCGGAGCGTTGAGACGCAGGCAACAGCGGTATTGGGGACGGACAGAGCTACGAGTGGTGAGCTGCTGAGAGCATACAGCAGTGAAGATCAACCCACAAGGTGTTGCAAAGGTTCCCCCCATCGCGGACACGAGCACCAGAGAAGATGCATGATTTCACAAGCCAGAGTGCTGACGCCGCATAGACAGGGACAAGACAACTGGAAAAGCGATGTCACAATGGCAAGAAAGCTGGCTTGAATAAACTTACCAGTCCCAACAACAGCGGCAGAGCAAAAGCTTGAAAGCTTTACTCGGGATGACACTTAGCGCGCTGGTTTCTGTTGAAGATGAACAAATGATCAAAAGGGAAAGGCATAAGTACTCACAGCTGCGTCGAGAACAGTGATGATGCCTCGCATCCCTGTCGAGAGTAGCTCAGGTCATGATGGCCAAGAATACGAGTGGGAGGTCGTTGGACTCGCACATTGCTGCTGGCGGAGGGGATGGTCGCAGCAGATTGACGCCGCCGAAAGGGAATGTTAGCGCAAAGGGTTGATTCTGAAGACGGAACATCAACCAAGTGAAGAAAGCAAGTAAAAGTCCACAAACCTTGGTTTGAACCGGCACCAAAGGGCCCCGCCTTAGAACAACGGGCAAGGAGGATGTTGATATCGGGAAACAAGCCCTTGATGCAGAGCCAGAGGGCAGTCACAACCCGCTTGAAGCCACGGTCAGCGTTCGCTAGGCCTGTCTGTAAAGAAACAAATTAGCACGCTGGAGAGTCCAACAGAGGGAAGACTTACGAGCCACTGGCAGAGGCGGCGGCGGTGCCAAGCGCAAGGACATGCATGGTGGTGGAGCTGTTGGTCACGGTAGCCTGAAGCAGGTCGAGGGTTCAAGTTGGCGCTCTCCATAGTCTTCAACAACAATGACGACTCGGAGGAGTTGAAGAGAGCTACGCTCCGAGTGGGTCAGTGTCGTGTGGTGGTGGTGTAAATTTTCGCTGCCGTATATGCCGTCGTGATCGTGGAAACGTCGCTCGCGTAAAGAATTTGAAGGAGCGGAAGGGGGCTTGACTGCCAAGTCCAAGCTCAAGTTGGCGCTCCCCGTCTGCAAGAAGTCGCAGACGACTGAAAAAACACGGTCAGTGAAGGGAATAAAGAAGAGGAAGGTGAGGTACTAACCATGGCTGAGTCGAGCGAGGCTCTGCAGACCAAGTTCAAGGACGTTGATGGGTTGGCTGGGCTTGAGAACGCCTTCGCTGGGCGGCGGCCTCAGTTTTGGGCACAGAAAACACGCTAGAAAGTGTTGGTCAGTAACGAGGGAGGAATGCAGAAGAAGGCAAACATACGAGCAGGATGGAGGCGGCGACATCGAAGAGAGAGGTTGTCGAGGGTGACGACGAGAGGGATTGTGGTGGAGCGGAGACAACCAGGAAGAGGGCGTGACCTTGTTGACAAGCACGGGTTTGATGAGTGATCATGCCGTAGATGTGATAATATGTGATTGATTGCGGGCGGAGATCGTTGTGAGCCATCGGGCGGCTTGCCCGTGAAGCGGCGAGCATCACCATGACCGTGAGTAGATACGGGCCAGTCGTGAGAGGGTACGCATTTCCATCGCAAGTCCACTCCAAAGTTGGTGGGAGTAGTAGAGCCCATGGTGGCGCGCGCCAAGTTACCGCGGAGTTATTTTGGCCTTTCCGGCATCGTCCGGTGGTCGCGGCCAGGGTCAGGGAAGCGAGCTGAAGCGAGCACCGCCAATGGAGCTCGGGCGGCGTTTCAGGGAGCACTCAGGGTCTCGTTACCATACCACGGAAAGGAAGCGGCAGATATGAATGGCAACAGGTGACAGGCGGGGGGGTGCACGCGATCTTTACCCGACTCAGTCAGAAAGTATGGTCTCCTTGCTCAGGTGGCTGCTGGCCTTTCACCCTTGTTGCTGACGCGTTCAACGCTTTTGCTTTTGCATAGCAGCCTTTATTTTCCTTTTTGAACAAGTTTGACACCAATAATCTGGCGAAAACAACGCGTTTTCGACGCGCCGCATGCCAGATTTTCTCTGGGACGCGTTACCTCTCGCCGCTCAACTTTCTATCGCCATCACCACTCACACCTGAATCCAAATCAGGTAATCCCCCCGGTACACCTCGGAATCATCGAGCCTCACACATTTTGACTGGGGTCAAATCAGACAATTTTAAGAGATTATGAAGTCCTGGTCTACCACCTATATCCGAGCCTTATCAGCCCTTGCGATGCACAACTGTTTGCGTCGCAACTGCAATATCCAGATTTTGCATCGCTGCAGCAAGTGTGGCCCATATTGCCCGATTAAATGTGCCGGAAGGTGGGAATGAAGTTTCATTTCCCTGAACAGTTGCCTGATTGTTCACTAGTCGTCGTCAACGTCTGATCTTGGCCAAATATTGCCGCCGCACGTGCTGATTCCCGTGTTACCAAGCACGGGCGGGCGATCAAGCACTGCAACGACTCCATTTGACAGGTATAGCCGTGTTGTAGGTTGTGCCGCGTCTATTGGGGTCTCGCAAGCCTCTCTCCCAACCCAGTTTCGACTCGATCCCTGGTTTGTTATTTCATGAGTTGAGCACCCATTCTGTGCTTAATCTATTCACATTCTGCCTCAGAGATACTCGCAAGTACTTTCCCTAGCTAGCCCACGTTTCAAAATAGCTCGCTTACGCATTCTAGACTGACATTTCATCCATTCCAGAAATGATCATTGCAACGATAACGACACTGTCCAGCCCGGGCGGTGATGCGTTATGGAAGCCCCACTCGCTAAGAGTATATAAGGCCGTGGCCTTCAACTGTTGCGCAACCCCCTCTTTCTTTCCTCCCACCATCTTCGATTGTCAACCTCACGTGTCATTGCTCGTCCCTTTCCAATCCCAACCCCATTCCTCACATGTTCCACTCAGCCTTCGATTCATCGCTGTTCTCTTCTGAACAGTCAGTAAATCATCCTCTCGTCGTCATTGAGCACGCTTACCGTTCCCCAGATTATCCTAATTCGCCTCACTTGCTCGCGTCCCGCAACGTTGTGCTGACGCTCTTAGAGTTTGCAGACGGTGGCGCGTGTCGTTGGTTTTGCAAGTACAGTTTCCCCCCATCGTTGTGTATCCTGCTTACCGTTCTCTAGTTGTGGTCGACTCCCATATCCCGCCGACCACCCTTGTTTGATTCCCTTCACTCATTTCCCACCGTCCTGCTGACAATCTTGTAGTTTGTTTGGGCATCGTCGACGACGGGTGTTAGCGCATGGCCTTGCGCGTTGGAGGCGAAACTGTGCACTGACAATAGGTGAGCGCGCTTTTTCTCTCGTTCAAGTAGCTGAGCATGCTTACCGTTCCCCAGACCGCATTCCCGCCGACTCTCCCATCCCATTTATCCAGCTCGTTCGCTTCATCTCGCTCACTCACGAGTTTTGCTGACCTTGTTGTAGTGTTCGCAGCACACCGTTAGTTTTCGCCAGAGCTACCCGCCAACTTGAACGCTGAGAGAAGGGGCCGTTATCGCGCGTTCAATTCCTGCCGTTCTGCTTGTACTGACCTGACTGCAGTTTTGGCGCGATTTACGGTTGCTTTGGAGTCGTTGCGGGGTTCAAAGAGGCCATTTTTGACTGCCCAAGTACGTGTTATGGCGATTTAGGCTTGTGTCTTGGACCATTAACTCGTTATAGGTCTCTTCGGCCAGAATTGGCGCAGTCGGGCTGGCTCTGCTAATTGCCGGCGATGAAGCAGCTTGGGGCTTTGGTGAGATACGTCGGTACGGCGGGTTTGGAGTATAGTCGTCAGCGTAAGCATTTTCGGTCGCAGCTGGAGACTATTTGCAAAGACTTACTGTGATATTCAGGGCAAGATAGACCTTGGCGTGGAAGAGCGGCATTGAACGCGGGAGACGAAGCCGGCGATTTGGTGACTTGGGTCATAGCTGGCGGCAATGCGGCTTGTTTGGTGGGCAGTGGTGACTTGGGAGTTGGCGTCGGACTTGCGAGATATGCCCAAGAGTGGCGAGTTAGCCTGAGATAGTGCCGACGTAGATAGATGCTGAGTGTGTTCGCCCCGTCGCGGCAGCGAAAGAGTCCGTTGTGAGTTTGAGAGCACGACAGAGGGCCGTTTCGAGCCCGGGCGGGTGGAAGATGACGGCAAAAGGCCGCTGTCAACGAGCACGTGCCTGCTTGAGGCTGTACCTTCTTCTAACCACCAACACGCGCCCGCCTTGACGCGTTTTCCCGAGCTGGTCGCGAACGCTGGCTTGTTGCGAGCCCGAAGGAACAAGCTAACCCGGGCCGAACTCGCCGTCTTGGCTGACCACCGCGGCTTGCTTTCTGGCGGCTCCATATGTTTGCGGGCCATTGAGGCTGCTGCCTCGTCCAGCGCTTGCGTCGGCAACTTCAACGCTGCCACGGCCCAAGTAAGCATCTACTATTTAGACTTCATTTGCTTCAACTCTGACTCTTCTACCAGCTCTACTGCCGTCCTTCAACCCATTCCTCTGCGCCTGCATCGAACTGTGATGTCAGTCTCGGCGCTTCGACCCGGTAATCTGACCGGGCCCAGTTGCGCGGTAAGTACTTTGTCGTTGACTCCGTTCTCGCTGACATGTTTAAATGGGAGTCTGCTACGGTTTGTATCCTTTATCGGCGGGTACTACTCGTCTCAAACGAGAGTTTGGCTGCGTCACCCGCGGAACAGCTTGCGTCTATTCGTGTTTAGTAGAGGGCAGCTTTGTACTTGCGCGGTTAGTACTTTTCTTCGACTCCCTTTATTTCCGCTGACACGCCTGGACAGTCTGGATAACAACGCGTTGACAAGCACCGTTATTCAAGATGGATGCGGGATAGTAGTCACTCGCGAGCGCGGTACCAGTCGGCAACACTGATATTTCCAGAGTTCTTGTTGCTTTGAACGTGCGGGAGTGCAATGAATCTATGTGAGTACTTTGACTCGATTTGGCGGCGCTGACATACTCTTTCTGCTTCCCAGACAACGACGCGTTTCCCGTTGTCCCCGATAGCCGTTGGAAAAATTGGGGCTGATGACGACAAGGCCGCGATTGACTGTGCGACGCGTGAGTTTGGACGCTCATTTTATGATTAAGCTGATGTCGTCGCTGCAGATTGTGCGCGAGCATTTATTTGCTCGAGGGTGGCGAGAAGTAATGGTGGACTTGCTTTGGGAGCAAGGTAAGCTTTTCTTGTCCGTTGTCCTCTGAGACTCATGTTACTGCAGAGTTGTTACTGTTTTTTTTGTTGTTCTCTAGTTGATGAATATTGACTTTTGCTGAGACTTGACTGGCGCGTGAGTTTGGGGCTGATCCATTTGTGGTCTGCGCAATGAGCTCGTCGTTGCGACGCGCGCTGCCCCTCGTCGTCGTTATGAGCGGCGAAGTCGTCAGCGTGATACGCAAGTCGGAGGGCCAATGTGCAGTTGGTCCAGGCGACGTCCGAGATCCGAGTCGCCGCAAGAAATCATGCAGCTTACGAATGGATTCACCATGAGCATGTTGGCCGTTCCCATGGCCTCACGACTTCTCAACTTTGGGCCATTCGCGATACTATCCACCCCCCCTCAACTGAATGTCCTCTCCCCTCTCTATTCCGCTGCCCTGGCCTTTGCCGACCACAGCACTGTACACGTGAAGGTTCCGCAGGATGTCATGTCCGATTTACAACAGCACCTCCAACCACTTGCATCGAGTGTTAATCTCGATGTCGCAGATTTGCTGGTTGAAGCTGCCGCAGTGGTCGCAACCTACAACATGGTCTCGCTTCTTGGTCTCTTTGGACATAGCCGGATCTTCTGACGATGTCGTTCCATGGCCAGTCGACAGCACTGAACACACAATCGAGCTGGCGCCCAACGTCAACATTCATGCCATAACACTCGTCACCCACCCCAATGCTCCTTGGATTGCCTTCTCAAATTCATTGCTCACGGACGAGGGGATGTGGGAATGGATTGTCCCACACATAATTGCACCGGCCGCGGCCCCGAATTGGCCGTTCAAAGGCACCTACAACATCCTCCTCCATTCTCAACGGGTCATGGCCAGTCATCTGTTTCGGCAGCGCCGTGCACTATCCCTCTCCTCGCACATGATCTGGCTCATCTCATTTCCATTCTTATTCCGTCAGGAAAGGTCAAATGCGTCATCGGTGTCTCGCAAGGGGGTGCTGCCGCTCTAGCCTTTGGTGCACTCTATCCCACGCTCACAGAAGGCGTTATTTCATGTGATACGGGGCCCAAAACTGCTCCAGGGAATGCGGAAGCATGGCAAGAACGTATTGCCCTTGCAAAAACAAAAGGCATCGAGGAGCTAGCTAGTGTGACTGTTGACCGCTGGTTCCCTTCTCCGTCCAAATGTGGACAAGGAGGTTCGAGATACGGAAGGACAGAAACAATCAAGAAAATGATTGCGACCACCAGCATCCCCGCTTTCGAGCTCGGAGCAGGCGCTCTCATGTCGTCGACCTACTCAAACCGCTTTCAGAAGACGGCGTCGATTTGCTGCACAGCGATGTCAAAACCAAAGTGCTGCTTGTTGCCGGCGAGCTCGATGGCGGGGGTAAAGTTGCAGCTGGAATGAAAGGATTGCGCGAAAAATGGCTTGAAGCTACGCCAGCTGCCAAGGTCGACCGGCCGAGATTGCCGGGCGCGGGTCATCTTCCGATGATCGACGAAACAGAGAAATACTGGGAAGTCGTGAGCGCATTCCTGAAGGGGTTGTGACCTGGGAAGAGGCATTATTTGGCTTGACGACGAACAAATGTACATCTAGTTGTAATTGTACAAAGAACAAAAGACCTTGTACAAAAAACAAAAAGCACTGCACAAGGAACAAGAAGCACTGTTCAAAGAACAAGAAACACTTTGTCCAAGATTACGATCTTATCGATGGTGTCATTGTCTGTGACTCGTATAAATTGCCATCGTGACCCAGCGTCGATCACATAAGCCCTATCCCTTCTTTCTCTCTTCAACGTTCAATTCGCTATGCCGTGCGTCTGCCCTTCTTCCAGTAGTATAACTCTCTTCAGCACGCGTGCGGCGCAGATCATGTGTGTATGCGTCTCCACCCTCAAATATTTCACATGTCAAATGTTACCCCCGCTTGCACGCCGCGCTCCAACGCTAAGTCGCTCGCTCGCCAAGTCGCGCGAGCGAGGGACCCTCTAATATACCTCTTTTCCTCGCGCACGGACCTCTAAAAAGTCACGAGTTAAACCTACTGGGGGAGAAAATTTGAGGTTTTGGACCCGTCTAACGGCAGTCTCGGGCATCGTTTGGGGGAGACAGGGTTTTGGAGTAACTTTCGGGCACTCCGGGCAGGCATAGAACAGTGTAAAGTCATGTATTGGCCTATTGATAACATCCAGGCGCTACTACTAAGACGCGTCGCGACGCCGTTTGATCCACCCGGCCCGGTTCATTCATTCCGACACCAAGTCCTCCGCAACAGCGACAGAGCGCTAAGCACGCTCCGTTCATCGCCCTCCCTCACGCGGGCCTCCGGCGGTTCGAACCTGCAAAAAAATTGAGCTCTTTAACACTAAAATGCACTTACAAAGTAACGGCGCAACGGCCAAAATGTGCCCAAGTCCACGCTTTCAGCTGGTTGATGGCCAGACGTGTTGCCGAAGCTGTCGCAAAAGCCCGGAGGGGCAAGACGGGAGTCGACGGCAAAGGGCGGGCCGGGCAAGCGGAGGAGTCGGGCGGGCAGGAGGTGTGACACGCGCAGCCAGAGGGTGGAGCGGCCGCAAACTTGAAGGCAGCAGGCCGGTGACAGAATGTGACACGGCTGAGTCGTTGCAAAGGTTGGCGGGCAGTCGGGAAGGAAGGTCCGGACTGAGTGAACGTGGCAGGAAACGACGCGGCCACCATCTCGTTGCCCTCCAACTCCAGAAATTGCCCGCCCGCGGCGTCCCAGGAAGTTGATGGCCGAGATTATCCCGCGGGAAGGTGGAGCAAGTCCGCCGTCGCGAGGCTAATGCGCCAACCACAGCCCTCGGCCCGTGGCGTCAAGGCGCCTCGGCACAATGCACCCGTGGCTCTACCCCTCACCATGATGCCATGGCACTAGCCAACGGAACTGGTGCCTACAGCCATGGCACTAGCCACCCACTGGCTACAGCCATGCCTTCAACGTTCCGCTCCCTCCTCCTTTTAGCCTGATGGGTTGTTGGCCTCCATGTGCGCTGTCGCAGCGATCGCCCAGCACATCTCTATATGGCAATGAGGGGGTCCTCGTTGATGACACTTTCCTGTTGCATACCGTTTTCGGTAGTGGTAGTCACACCGTTATTTTCCGATTATTTTTTCCTTCCAAATCCGAATCGGAATAGGACTCCGGGGTGTGACTCTGTTACCGTTACCCGGGCCTCTGTTACCTGTGACTCTGTTACCCGGGCCGTGAAATCTCCCATCATGGTCGACAGTCCGAATGGAAGTGCGTCTCCAGCTATTAATACTGAGGGCATCGCTCACGTTTACATCCAGCAGCGTTCGCGCAGCTGAAGCCACCTGTCCGAAAATGCCTGTATGAAATAGACGACATCATTACCACCATATTCGCCACTTACATCTTCTCGACAAACAACTGGAGCCTTGTGTCGATTCGACGGGGCACTCTTCGTCTCGTCTGTCGCGCTTGGTGGTCCATAATCGACTCCACTGCCTTACTTTGGAAACCCCTCTACGTCGTTGGCCATATGCGAGAGGAGTTTATCGATGGGCACCTCATCCGACCATCAAAATTCGTCCAGAGTATCATTTTCGACGCGAGCGACTGGGTTTTTGCGGCGCAAAATATCAGTGTTCCGTGCTCTGTCCGGATTGCGTCTCCAGAGAAGAGTGTATCTCGAATGGCGGCTCATCTTTCCCGTATTTCCAGCACCATCCAACAGCTTCACATTAACGTCGCGCACTGCTTCGATTGGAACCAACTTGTGGCGCTTCTCCACGACTCTTTTTTCCCCAGTCTCCGCCACCTCCATATTTCTTACTACGCCGCCTTTCGCCCTCTTTATCAAGACCCGATTCCCCTCACCCTTGTTGTTATCAAGACCCGATTCCCCTCACCCTTGTTGCCCCTTCCCTCCAACATTTATTTCTCAACGGCCCATCGACCCAATGCATCTCCTCGTATAGCTCCCTGGAATCCCTTTCGCTGGACGTCACCGGCGAGTTCTACGTCGGCCAAGGTGTCAGCGGCATTCGTAGAGAGCCGCCAGAGATTGCTCTAGCAAAAGTCCTCCGCCAAACCACGCGACTTACTCATCTCCGGCTCAAGAACGCAGACCTCTCGCTTACCGTCATCCCCCGTATGGAGCTCTCCTCCCTCCGCTCCTTGTCCGTCAGCTGCGAACATCTCATTAACCAGGACATACATCGATGCGGCCGATTTGTGTCCCACATCGACCGACATGATATTCACATTCTCGAAATCGACCTGATACACGAGGATTGCGTGGTCAGCTTCTGTCAGCAAAATCACAAAATCTTTGGCCGCATTACAGACCTTCGCGTCTCCGGCAGCTACCACCACTATATTGCCAACGAGTATTCGACCATTTTCATTGATTTTTCGAACCTCCAGCACCTTGATTTAACCCAACTTCGTGGCGTCCCTTCTTTCTCGGTGTCCCGAGAGGCTACCGCATCTCAATCTTACGTCAACCTGCTTGCCACTCTTCTGAATCTTCCGCTTATGCAAGACATCCGCGTGCCGTCGTCAATTACGGTCGGAGAGCCCATTTTGATGGAGGGCATAAATACGATTATGCAGCGGGTCTTCGACATTCAAAACGAGCCAACTAAAGCGTGCATCATTGAGGAACACGCACTCTGCCACATCCATAATCATTCGCTGTGCCCCTCACCGTTTCCCCACACCTGCGACAGCGACACGCCCATCCACGAGGATTGCGTGCCGGTCCGATATTCCGTGGTCACGTGCAGCATCAAGGATCCGCAGGCTTGGCATTGTGTCGACAGTGGTCATCTAGGCTGCGCCATCCGATGGAGTCATGCAGGGACCAGCCGAGTACCATCGCTGACACCATCCCCTCCTTCGCCCGTCCTCCTGACAGGCGGTGAAACCGGGGCCTCACGGACGGTCCATGATCTAGTTCCATGGTTCGAGCAAACTTGATTAGATGTCGGCGTAGCAACAATTATCAATGATCATCTGATTTCGCCTTCTTTCCTTCCTAACCGCCATGTCTGCCTCCTTTCGCTCCAGTGCTGAGTTCAGTCAACTCTATCGTTCTCTGGACAGAAGTGCCCTCCCTCCTGAGTATGTCAAACTTCCTCGTTGATTCCTTTCTTTCATTCCACCCCCAGCTTCGTTGAATCAGATCTTTTCAAGCCAGAGACCTCTCGAAAACAACCCTCGTACAACACGCTGTGAGTATGCGACCCTTACAATGATGTCCATAACTCTCGCTCTACTCAGACTTCGGAGACATTTCCGCAATCTGCAGAACCGTCGGGCAGACACCCCTCCTGGCGAGGAATCCGATGAACCGCCCTCCTACCAGACATTGTGCGTCGCCATTCTCATTTTCAAATTCGCTATTTAATTGTCCACCGTAGGCTAAAGCGACATTACTCTCGGAACGAGCGCTCTCGCATGCATATGGCCAAGTGCGTTCTCATCGATGATCTCATCCCTCTACCCCTCCCTACGGCAGTGTCTAAGTTGCCTGCCAGGAAGCGCGAGCAATTGAAATCCCAGTCATTGGCTGAGCAGGAGCGGATTGCGGCACGGTCGCGTGCATATCGCGCCAAGTATCGTGACAAGTGCGCTTCATTTCATTTTGTTGCAGTTTTCTCGTTGAACTCACACTAGGTGTCGGACCCAAACTCAACAAGCAGAGAATGAACAGCACCGCCGCTACTTTCTGCTTGAGGATATGGCTCCGCCGCCGCAGTCTCTCAATTGGGCTGAGGAGGCTGGGGGGGAGATGCCAGAGTCTTATGGGTTCTTGTAGTTTTAGCTTGCTTAATTTTATTTCATGATAATTGTCGTTGCAGAATGTACTAATAATCGATTGCCGTCCAGCTTAGTGAAGCATTTTATGCCTTGAACGCACTTTCTTAATAGGTATTGATTAGTTATCGTCGTTGCAGAAGGTACTCGATTACATCCCATCTAGCTTAGTAAAACGCTTCATGCCCTTCAACGCACGGAAACGACGAGAACGATGCAATGTGAACTCAGCTTCCCCCTTATCATCCATGGTAACCAACTCCGCTAGCGCCTCATCCGACAGGCCTCCATGTTCTAGCCAGCTCACCACTGAAACGTGGAAAGACTGGCAGAAAACATATTGGACCTCGTTCTCGCCGACAGGCATCAGGCCATAAGCCATTGCTTCGCCGGGGATGACGAAAGTGCTGCCGCATTCGAGAGGTATCATGCGTTTGTCGTGCAAGACGAGCTGGCCACCACGAGCGGAATCCCAGTTTCCGAACACGGTACAAACAACCGGCTCTCCAGGCCGCACTTCCCAGTCTTTTCGTGCCGCGTCGGATACCTTCCCAACCATACGCAGCTCGCAGAGCGGAAGAACCGTGCCACTGAAAGGTATCGACAGCTCGTAATCCTCCGCATATTGTTGCATCTCGTCGATGGCTGTCTCTAACAGCGCATAAACCCCAGGGAAGAATTGTCGTAGGAGATCTAGAATGGTGCGTTGGTCGGTACTATGCATCATCCAATGGTGGTTTTAACTCACGATTTTGGTAAGCTGAAGCAATCTTGAGTGGCTCTGCCGTTCTCAAGTCGTATACAGTCTGGGTTAAGAAGGGGCTTGGAAAGAGCGTCGCTGGATGCTATAAACCAAAATTTTAGCAACATGATTTGGTTATCCGCACGTCCACTTACTGAACTCGTCCGTGGCGCTCTAGGCAGCACCAACGCAACGCCCCAACGTAAGGGTCCCTTATCCCAAGCATGGCGTCGCTTGAGCAAATTGAGCGTTCGCGAGAACTGCTCAGCACAGCTCCTCCACTCCCCGATCATGTTGGATGGACCTGGAGCGACGAGAGCCATGAAATGGCCAATAGAATCGAGCAATGGGGTTGGACGAAATCTAGGCTAGATAAGCAACAAATTATGGTGAACAAATGGACCTACTTGTCGACTTCGACTGGTATTGCTCTTTGGACGAATCCCATCAAATCGACAACACTTGTAGTCGCAAGAGCAGCAACTGGGGCAACACGGGCTGGCGCCGAAGCGCTTCGAGCAATGCGGGATAGAAGCTCCTCATTCGGCTCTGCGATCTTGAAAATTGGCTCATTAGTGAAACCCTAGATTCTACCGTGCCGCAAACCACGTACCAATTCTCTGAAAACATCCGCATGCTCTTCGAGATATTTTGCAATGGCGTCCTGTCGGAGAATGTAGTCCAGGAGTGGCCGAGATACGCGTTCAGCGTATATGGCGGGCGCGAGGGGATCATTGTTGAAGATAAAGGACTTTTTAGAGCGAGTGAAGTATTTTTTCGGCGTTGGGGGAGAGGACATATCGGATGGGGCAGAAATTGGTGAGTGCTGGCGCCGCTGAGTGCCCTTTTACTATTCCAGCGCATGATGCCTAGACGTTGTGATGGTCACTCGTTCAGATGACCGTCCCATGCATAGCCTACGGAGAGTTGTCGCCGCACGTGGATTCCAGCGCGACAAGTTGTCCCCTTGCTGTTTGAGTCTGAGTTGTCGTCGTGTCAAATGGGCGTGAGGAGTTGTCGTTGTGTCAAATGGGCGTGAGGAGTTGTCGTGGTGATTCAAGTGGGCGTGAGGAGTTATCGTGCTGAATCAAATAGGCATAGGCGTTAGGAGACGCACGCTCGTTCAGAGATGACAGTCCTGTGTGCGTCAATGACAAACTTGGCTAGGAATGCGGCGAACGGTAGGCCAACGGGGGAGTTGTCGTCACATGGCTTACCGTAACATGACAGTTTGAGTACTAGTTCATTTGTTGATTCAAGTGGGCATGAGGAGTTGTCGCAGTGGGCGTGAGGAGTTGTCGTAGTGGGCGTGAGGAGTTGTCGTGCTGATTCAATTCGGTTTAGGTGTTCAGAGTTGTCATGTGAATTGAAATGGGCAATGTTACTTCGAACAAAAGTCTTCATTCACAAAGCAGTCAGAGTAGAGGCATGAGTGATTCTTTGCATATACATACTCTATCTGTACGACGCATAACTACTTGTTCCAATTAAACTCTTCGTAGTAGGTCGCCATTCCCTCCATCATCCAGCACGCGTCCTCCGTTGATACAACCCAATCTGCCTCTTCTGCGGTGCCATGGACCTCACACCCCCAGATGTACAATGCCGAAACAATGTACACAAAGCCGTCAGAGCCCCAGGTGTACAGGTCGCCCCAATCGGCGCCACCACCATAATTTCCGCTTGTTTGCCATCCAAGACTATCAGCAGTGCGTTTGCGCCACTGTGGCTGCATACTGTCCCACCACGCTGTGTACTCCGCTTTGAAAGCCGGGATATTCTCGACTTTGGGGGCTTTGTCTGGGTTAGACCGTTTCCAACGCGTGAGGATATTTGGTCGCCCCGTCGATGGCAGCGAAAACATCGCAGTGGTTGAAAAGTGAGGCGGCTTCCATTCGCAACCATGCGACAAGGACAGCATTGAAAACGGGCCCGAGGTTTACTTTGGTAACGCGATCCAGAGCACGCTGAAACCATTCCTTAGCATTCGAGGGGCAAGGCGGAGGTTGGGTCATGTCGTGGTCCTGTAGTGTTGCTTTGCGCGTGCGACGACGTGGTTCCACCGTCTTTGTCTTCGTAGCCGCCGCTACAGGAGACACGACAGACGATGAGCTCGATGGGGGCAATGTGGATGGAGGGGAAACCGAAGAAGGGAACACCGGCTTTTCTGGGACCGAAGGTGGCATTGACTCGTGTTCGAGGATGGCTTGGAGGGCCACGCGACTAGCAATGGTGGCGCGAGGTTGGGCTGCTGATGTGGGCAGTGTTAGGGCGTTGGACAGTGATGATGAGCTGGCCAGCGATGAACCTAAGAGATGATAAGCTGGATCAATTAGATAGTCAACTTGACAGACCTGAAGAGAGGCCACGAGATGTCGCTTCATTTGGGCGGAAGAATGGCTCATGCCAACTCGACGATGAAGTCTGGGGGGCCTCGTTGAACGGAGTAAACGAGTCCGAGTAAGCGTAAGCATTTGACGAGTTCGATGGAGGTGTGGTGGCGGATATAGATGTAAATGGGGGAGATGTCGATTGGGGTAAGAATGCCGGGGCGAATGAGTTGGCGTAAGTCGGATTTGGATCCATTGAAGCTGCAAACGTAGTCGCGTCTCCATGAAGTGACGGCGACGAAGACCGTGATGGGGAGGGAGAAGGGGATGGGAAGAAGAGCGGCTTTTTGGCGAAGTCAAGGGCTGGGGCAGGGGCAGGGGCAGGGGCAGGGGCCGTCAGTGTTGAAGAGGGAAGCCAAGTCGAGCCCATAGTCAATGACTCGGTCACGTGGGCGGACTGCGTAACCGATGGATAATTCATCACCGAGTTCTGGTTCGATTGAGTGGCCGATGAGAACGTGAATTCATTAGTGACACCGTTCTGCGACTGCGAGTGCATGGAAATCAAAGGAATCATGGGCAAGCGTGGCATTCCCGCCGGCGAGGAATTGGAAACAGCGGAAGTGACCGGGAACGATGTGCGTGGATGTGGAGGAGGGGGGGCATTTTGACCATGACGCCGTCTCTTTTTGGAACGATTCAGCTCGGTGTCGCTCTCCAAGTCCGAAATCTCTTCATCCTCAGAGTCCGATTCAGAGTCGATATTTGGGCTCGTGTCTGCATCCGAGTCTTCGTCTGCTGTCCCCATTGATGTTCCAGGCTTGGTGCGAGCGGGCTGGTTGGGCAAGGCAGCAGCAACACAGTCTCGTTCAGCTAACAAATAGTAAGTGACGATCTTGCCTATGATCATAAACACGTACTATACGTTGTCTTGAGGAAATCAACGTAGAAGCCCAGAACATCCCTCTCAAAACGCAGGGGATCGTATTCAGCCCAGTGGGAATGCCCAGCATTAAGGCTGCGACCGAAGGAAATGCTATCGATAAGTTCAGTGTGATTTCACGACAATAGAGGTAGTAGCACGTACTGGGTGGTTGTGATTTGACCGCCAAACTCGGGGTGGGGACCGCCGACAATAAGAGTTGAATGACATCCTGTGACGTTGTAGATTTCCTGGAGAATTGGCGCGATAAAATCGGGCAAGCGATTCAGCGCACTGGATATAGTGAGTAAAAGCGAAAGATGACAATTGGATAACACACGCTAGACGGGCTTCGGGGGTCATCGAGGGGGCTTCTCTGAGTGCGTTTTCAAAAGCCGCTTTTTCGGCTGCAGCCAACACTTTTGCTCTTTCCGCATAGCCTTGTTGCTCCAGTCGGGAAAGCGCACCGAACATCTCCTTTGCCACAGCAGCGCGAAAGCCGGCCCGGGGTCGAACATTGATATACGCGGGGTCTTGTTGTTGTTTTTGAGCCCAACGAAGCTGGACCATAGGAGCCACGTCGGAGCGGTAGCACTCAACCATGTATTGTTGGAAGGCCTGCCGCGCTTTGCGAGGGGGTGCATAGCCGGAAAGTCTGATCACCATACGAGCGTACGGGTCCTTTGTGGGATCACGACCAAATGTTCGGGCGGAACTTGAGGGTGCGGTGGACCCGGTATCGAAACCATCGTCGAATGCGCTGGTGGGTGAGTCAGAGTGACAGTCGCAGTCCCGTGATGTGACCCACCTTTCCCAATTCACGCAAACGCGCATCCTTGAACGCTTGAACTTCTGGGGTCAACTGCTCCGGCATGATCACAGAGTCGGCACTCCAGTTGGGGTCGAGGACAGGCTGCTCCCAGTCTGGCAGAGACCAATGAACCCGACTGAAAAATATGACCAGAATACGGCGGAGAAGCTTCCGCTCCGCTGAGCGCCCTCGAGTGACGGCGGCGGCATAGTCTGGGATGAATGGGGACAATATTTCTTCGCGCGCACCCGTAGCCCAGAGGCGCAGCGACTTGCGCTTCTCAGGAGGGATAGGCAGGCGCTGACGACGTTCTTGCGCGTTGGACTCGGACATGCTACTTGGAAAAGGTTAGGCAAACGAAAGACGACAAATGCAAGTCACTGACCTGGTGCAGGAAGAGGGTTTTCTGAGACGAAAAGAAGCGGGGGGACAGAGGAGGTGATCGCTTTTCTTTCAGTTCTCTTCTTCGCTAACCAAACATTTTATACTTTTTGAACCTCTGTCGATGTATCATCTTGTCCATCATATTCCGGCAACGGCAACAGCTCTACCACATGCACGGTTTCTATCCGTCCGTTTGGAGGTAATCGGACTTTGAAAAAGAATCGAATAAAAAAGGCCCTGAAGTTCGAGCGATCCCCAAAATCTTCAACTTCAGCGATGTCCACCACTGAGAACACCCCAAATGAATCGGCGACCACCGATAACACCCCAACTCAACCAGCTCAGCCATCTCGTCTGAGTATACAATGCGATTATCCTCCTCGACCTAGCTAATATCTTCCCAAGCGACCTATCACGATGTCTGCAGACTCTTGCAAGCGCTTGCTCAGGCGACGTCCAACCCTGGTAGGGCGCATTAAGTTCTTGTGGTCCATTGATCTCATTGTTTCAGATATCACCCTTGCGGCCGTTCTCCGATCCTGTGAGACTGATGGTGCATTTCACAATCTCATTCATCGCGTGGTAGCGCTAAGATTTTCAGGTGAAATGATTCTCCAATTCGAAAGCATGGTCACCTCTTTGGCTGGTAGGTTTATCTCCCAGTCTTTGCGCAATAACTCTCAGATAATGGACAGCATATATCGCCCTTCAAGATTGGACCGACGACGAGCTCGAAGATGTTAGCTCGGTTGGCTCGCGTTCCACCAAGGACAACGATCCTCCGCCGGCTAATCCGGCCTCTGCCGCTCCTATCGTCGCGGAGCCTGCCATTCCCGTTGACCCCATCACTACTACTCGTGAGCCGCCCTGGCTTTCTGGTCGTCTATACGACAAGGTACCTCGGGGACATCTCCTCCCCGTTTCAGACACTGATGTTGCTCCCGGTACCATCTGGTACTGCGTCATGGTCGGCACTTATGTCGGCGTTACTATTTCGAATCATTGGGCCGAAATGGTCACCGACAGGGTTTCTGGAGCCAAGATGAAGCACCAGAAATCCCAGACTGCTGCACTTGCTCTCTTCAACTCCGAGTTGGATCTCGGCCGCGTTAAGATTGTCAATGGGAAAAAGTGATTTTGTTTCTGCTACAGTACAAGTTGTTACCATACCACAAATTGTCGATCCTTTCGAATCAACGTATGCTTCTCTATCTTTTGTGATTAAGTTTTAAGTTTTCAGCGACAACTCTGCGACAACTCTTGGCGCATTGCTCATGCCGTTGATCTTCAGGGCAAGTGACAAGCAAGTGAAGTCGCGTTCTCTCGCGTTCTGTTCAAAATACTGAATACAAACGGTATGTATCACTCCTCGAAGATGGCATCATCGGGTGGCGTTCGCCCGGCCCGATGCACTCCATTCCAGTGGAATCGCCACGCCTTGGCATATTTGCAAGTACATGGGCATCCGGGGCAAATTTCCTGGTCGCAACGAGGATCTTTGCATGGTCCGTCGACTTCGACGGTTTCTGCTGATGTCGCATGAACGGTTTTCGCTGATGGCGCCTGAACATTCGACCAGTCGTAACGCTTCTTCCGTTGTCCATAGAATCGATTGGATGGTGCATTGACCGCACTGCTCTGAGAGCCACTATCGGAGTCGGACTCAGAGTCAGCTGCTGCTAGCGCGCTCAAAGACGGAAATGGGATGGCTTTTTTGTGGGCGGCAAGAAATGAGCGACGTGGTGTTATAGGAGTGGTGGGGGCAGGAGACAAGTATCGTCGTCGCCCACTGGCAGAGGGTGGTAATGGTTGTTTAGTAGTCAGGCTTGGTGCTGTCCGACCCTTAGCCTGGTGGTACATAGCATTGAGCTTGATCAGCCTTGAAATTGACCGAAGATAGCGTTACCTTTGGTGCGCTGGGGGCAAACTGTGCCTTGGATATGGCTGTCCAAGGCTTCGACACAGGTGTTGACTTGATTTTGGGGCTGCGAGAACTTTTGACCATGCCCGCGGAATCGACGCTGGAGGATTTCTGGGAAGAGACTTTCGTCGTTGAAGACTGCCGGGGCCTGGAGTCGTGCTCGTTTGCGCGCCTAGAAATATGCATTTAGGCTCGAGCATAATGGAATAGTCATAATGACCGACCTTTTGACCATGCCCGCGGAATCGACACTGAAGGATTTCTGGGAAGAGACTTTCGTCGTTGAAGACTGCCGGGGCCTGGAGTCGTGCTCGTTTGCGCGCCTAGAAATATGCATTTAGGCGCGAGCCTAATGCAATAGTAATATTGACCGTTGGCGATATCGAGCTGATGCAGCTCGAACTTGTCGCTGATAGGCTTGACGAGCCTTGAGGTCGGCACTTTTAATCTTTTCTCGATGACTATGATACTTAGTAGGATGGAATGGGTGCAATAGAGAAGACTGACAGACGCATTCGAAGGCAGGCCGCCTTACGGCGCTCCTCGATGTGTCTGAGGATTCATTTCTAAGTTACTAAGGGTAGTGAAACGCAGAACAGACTGTTGCTCGTATAGGTCTTGGGAAACTTGTCGAGGAGTCTTTATCGCGGCCGAAGTTTTTGACCTGGCTTGCTTCGTCTTGACCATAGTAGTGGTTCAGTGGTGAGTTGTGACCTGTCGCACACCTACAGGTCGACGTCAGTTCTCGACAGATCAAGCGCCAGTTTTCTGCGATATGCTCTAATGTCTGTCGTCCATAAGAGCTAGAATTGTTAGTGAGGGTACCATAGGCGTACCTTGGGGAGTTATCGAGGGGTTTTTGCTGTCACTGAAACTTTTGACCTTGCTTGCATTGTCTTGACCTGCGTTGTGGTTAGATTGCAGTGTGTGACCTACCCTGTCGTACCTTCGAAAACAGGTTCAGTGCGTCAGTTCTCGACAGATCAAGCAACAGTTTTCTGCGAATTGCTCTCATTTTTGTAGTCTATAAATCCTGAAAATATTATGTAAGGTACAATCTGCCTATTGTCGCATGCCTGAAAAAGCTCTTGGACATAGGCATCCCCGTTAATTTTCTATGATTTTTTTAAGCCTCAAAAAAATGATTTTGTATCTATCCATGACAGCCATGTTGTATATTGACCTGACAAAATTTGAGCGCTAGCGGAGGAAGGACATGCGAGATATATCGAAATTACCATCAGTTCCCGACCATACCAGTCCGATTTATGTGAATATAATAGCTGAAAGACCTGTCAGTACTGGCCATACTCTACTACTGGATGTATACTATAACTATTTGCTGCTTCCTGCCTCTACCACGCTGAAGGGGAGGAATTACCCGTCATCTCGAGAGTTGGCGCGTCAGTTCTCGACGCGTCAGTTCTCGACGCGTCAGTTCTCGACACGTCAGTTCTCGACCGCGTCAGTTCTCGACACGTCAGTTCTCGACGGGAGAACTTGAAGATTACTGACACTTAGATAGTGGGATGTGTACATTTAGCATTGGATGAAAATATCAAGGTGTAAATTAGTTGTGCGCCGCTTCCAACTCCGCCATTCCATCCAACATCGATAATTGTTGCAAACTTTGCGTGGCATCAACTCCCCATGAGGTCTGGTAGTGGCCAAGGAGGAGCTCATGCATGGCTGCTTGACGCAGAGCATACGCATTCAACCCCTGGAGAACTTCGTCTGACACTGAGGAAGCGCGACTGCGGGCATGGGCTCGCCACCAATTCGTTTTGCCAACGAAGGAATCGCAGCACGCGCCGCATCTCCTCCTTCAGCAACATGACCTCTTCACACCAGCGCTTCTTCCGCGACAAAGCTCTTGTCCATTCGACGCGGATTGCTATTGCAAGGATGAGTAGAGGCAAAATCATAATCAAGACCTTACACTCATGTAATTCGGCCTCCTCGTCTCCAAGAGCACCTGCAGCTGTCCACACCCACGACATTGTTCGTCGGGATTCCCCCGAGTTTCGTCCTAAGCGAGTGATGCGTGCATTGCGTCGAGCACCAATGGCATTGAGCTTGTGGGTAGCGTCTACATCTTCAGTATCGGCATCCATATTGAAGCGGACATCCGCATCGGTCAACTCGCGGAGTTGGGGGTGGCGATGTATGGCATTGAGATTGCCCAGTGCTGCGAAGCCGCGCCGATAGCGACGCACATGCCGCATCAATCGCTCAGTTACGCTCTCAATGAGCTTAGCCGATTTGGTCGTCTGCTTTTGGCCAACAAGATGTGCGTTGCGGTAGGCGATTAGCCACCGCTTGGCATTCAAGGCCGACCGAATTGCAACCAGAGAGTTCTCGCATTGCGTCACCCTCAGGCGTTCTTCGGTCTCCACAAGTCCTGGTCGACAACCAAAGCGACCACCAGCATCGGTAGCAGCCGGCATTTGACTAGGCATGTAAAGCTGAATATGTTCCGGGTCTGGAGGTGGGAGATCCGAGTCGCGGTTGGCTTCGTCGCGCTCGAGGAGGGTCGCAGCACCAGGCATATAAACCGACTGAAGTTGGCGGAATCGAGAAAGTTTAGCAAGAACTGTATGGCGCCATTGCTCAACGTGGGTTTCATGTGTGGTGGTTAGGAGACTGGGCGTTGAAGATGCATTGAAGATGCGTTGTCTGTAAAGATGCTTATTAGCCGTCAAAGAACCAAGAAAACTACGGACTGGAGATCTTCCATCTGAATACCAGCGGTGAGGAACGATGTAATACTTCCGCCTAGCACTGTTGCAGACCCATCCTCATTTTGTTGACGCTCCTCTCGTTGAAGCTGAAGGCGAATTTCGGCTTCTGTCGGACACTCTGAAAGTGAATTAGTTGAGATTAGACACAATAAACCGCAAGCTGACTTTGATTCTTGGTCGCAAATGGATTTGGCTGGGAATGATCCTCTTCCCACAGACGCAACGCACGTTTCCATTCTTTGATCAGATCGGAATGAACGCCTTCAGAAACAGCCTCGAAGGCATCAATTTGGTGGGAACGTTCTGCTAACGCTAGAACAAGTCGTCGTTTGAGCGTGTTTCCTACAAACCATCAAGATATATTGTGATACTTAGATCAAACCATACCAAGACCGAGGTTCTTGAGGAAATTATGGTTGTCGACGCGATCTTCTATTACGTCCGCGCGATGGCCCAGGCCCATTTCCTTGGTGGAGAACGCAATGGGGTTTAGCACCGACCAAACACGCTCAATGCCCTCGCCGTCAGTTTTCGCCGTGCCCGGCTGGCGCTCGAGATGGTTTTCGTTGTTGCATTCGGTATTATGGATAGGCGCATGGAAAACCGGAAGACCAAATTGAATCTTGGTTTCTTCGAGATTTTGTTGCATTGGCGCGGGGAGACGACGCATCCGTTCTGGCAAGTTGACCTTCCATTGACAGGCAATATCGTAAGAGATGGTGATGAAAAGGATTGCGAGTCCCATAAGCGCAGAAAAGACAATCCAATCCATATTGGAATATCTATTGGCAGTCAGCGCAGAAAGCGAATATAAGCAAGACACACCGTTCCCCCTTTTGTAGGTCACCAAGACCGTTTGGTCGTATACACCTCGTGCCGCGCGCAAACACAGCCCCCCACCCCGGAAACCCTCAACCCGGTGGTCATGCGAGTGTCCTTTTGCAGAAGAGCCGCGAAAGCGATGCAGGTGCTGACCTGGATGGCAAGTAAAAACCAATGATGTGGTTGTGAGAGGAAAAAGATACATCACTTTCGCTCACGTATTTCTTCACGTGCTCACGATAACCTATGGGCTCGACCCAATAACCCCAACCAGGACCGAGCGGCGGGTCATCGATTTCGTTGGCTCGAATCCTATTTTTGAGTCGGAAATTCGCATCAACTGCGAGGATTAGCATGTAAAGAAACCTGCGGGAAATCAATAGGCTGTAATCGCTTGATGAATGTATCCCACTGATATTTTCGGTCAGCTTGACACCAATCAGCTGGAAGATTCTTCCCGTCATGAGGACAGGCCCAACAAGAGACAGCAGCACCACCGAGTGACGTTGCTTCGACTCCCTGCAGGGTCGTGACCACGACCGGCTCGCTTCAGGCGGGAAGTGAATGCCCACTGTCTTGACATTCGATGGAATTGACGGCGTCGATCCTGAAGCGGAGTTAGGATTTTTGGGTGGATAGGGAAAAATGCCTACAGGAACAGAGGATACACCACTGGAGGCTTGACTGTTGGTTGAACGCTCTAAGGAGGTGACGAAGTCAGTAACATTCATGTTACCGACAACGTTGAGAAGCCTAAAAAGTCGCAGAGCCCGGAAGGTGGCGCATGTAGCCGGGGCGGTGACTGTAGCTGGATACCAGGTGTTTCGAAGTAATTGCTGGCAATGCTCGAGATCCAGAGCGCGGTTGCAGCCACAATAACGGATCGTGACAGTGCGTATTCCTGAAATGTCGACAACAGTAATCGTATGGGGGTCGTCCTCAGGAAGAGGACAAGGAAGTCCACCATGCCCGAGCTGGTAAACGAGGCCGAGCTGGGACAACTGAAAAGGGACATAGAAAGAGCCGTTCCATTCCTAAATATGATGGATGAGAACGTTTTGACAAAGAAGGAGGCCATACCTCAAGCTGGTGCAAAGGCATTGATTGATGCCGAGCCAAACAACACTTCTCGCACTGCAAATGCTGCCCACACTCCTCACAGCGAAACAACCGAGTCGATGACGGGTCATCGGGGTGCATTTGCGCTTGACAGTGGGCACAACTGGGATACGCAGAGGAGTTGCCGAGCCCTTCGAGTCGGAGTATTTCGTCCAGATACATAGACAGCAGAGGTCGCCATTGCGACATGGGGTTGATCTGGAGAAAAGTTGAATAAACACACACAAGAAGGCGAAAGCTCACAGTGCTCTGGTACCTCTTGCGTTTCTGCCCGGTGGACCCTTCTTCTATATTACCCTCCTCGCTATTATCTGGAGGGACGTGGGACATGGCGCTAGCCGGATCGAAAGTGTCGTGGGGCATAGGTTTCCACGATGCGAATTGGTCCTGCAATTCAGACGGTGCGACTGCGGGCAGCTGGAGCGAAATATTGGTCAAAGTGGGACGTTTCGTGAGTCGGGTACCGCCTGAGCCTTCGGAAATGTACACTGCTCGTGCAGCGACCTCTTGGTGGCCGGGTACATGCTGGCCTGTATCGACATCGATGTCCCGTGGGGCTCTCCCAGTACGAAAGCGAGAGGCCCTGCTCATGGCATGAGAGGAGAAGAGGGTTTCGGATCACGCACGTAATACGTCAATGATTCAATCAACAAAATTCTACTCGTTTTCAGATTCAATCGGACCCAAGTATGTGCAAGCCTAAAATAATAGTATTCCAGTTTGAGTGCAGACTAGTAATTATCTAACATTCAAGTCGTCGATTTTAGGAAACTCCAATGCTTCCCATTCGTAAGTGACATGACTACGGTCATTGGCAATCTCAGGATATTCATCCTTCAGCGCGTACTCCATATCGAAGCAACGATAAGGTTCAGAGGTAATTACTCTGTCACATACTGGGCACTTCCAGGTGCGTTGGAGGGAGAGATGGATGCACAGGTAACAGAAGCTGTGGCCGCACGGGGAACTGGTAAATTTGAATCGTTGAGCAAAACAGCAGAAACGTGGATGAAAGGGACATACACGACAGGATGAACCTTCGCACCCAGACACACACCACACATGTGATGCAGAGAGTGGGCTTGAACGTGAGGCGGGATCGGGCCGGGGAGCAGTACATATCCGCGGGGCACATACGTGCCCGTGAAACGACGCCAACCACGATGAATAGAGTCGCGTGCTGGACGACGCAATCGTCGGCCGGTGGTCATGGGAAGATCTTTTAGAACAAGCCTCTGGGCTGCTCGATCGAAGGGGGTGGACCCCAAGGTAAGGGCGGGAATGCGCCGGCGTCGAAAAGGCGAAAGTGTAGGACTAGAGGGACCCGAGGAGACTGCTACATGTATTTCAGCGGAGGAGAACGCGACGGCAATATAGTTATACCACTGGATGTCGAGGCTGGGGATGCTGGAGCACTGTTGCCTAAGCAAATTTCGGTGAGCCTGAGCGATGAGAAGGAGTTTTGAACATACCAGAACCAGCACCTGAAGATGAGCCAGAGGAGCTCGCAGCTAGAATTGAATGAGGTTAGCGGGAACACAAAGCAAAGGCTTCAAATTTGCGTACTTGATTGACGGCTGCGAGTCGGAGTCGTGTGCAAAATCGCAGCCTTCACTGCAAATAGACAGCGAATCAGTTTGCTGCTAATCGTGAGGTGGACTGCATACCGGGACTGGCTACGCTTGAACGGGGAGAAGAGCCCTCGCGGCGACGAGAGAGCTTTTTGGAAGGCGATTTGAGGGATACCATGGCGAAGACTTTTGGCGAGGAATCGACCGCGAGAACAACTTGAATGCGAAGCTTGGGTACTTGAGGACCATCGTACTATGGCTAGGGAGATATCATTTGGAGCCAGCCATACGAGGCGACAACTCCTCCTGTCTGGCGACGACGACAACTCCTCGTTGGGTACTTGATCGTACTATGGCTAGGGAGATATCATTTGGAGCCAGCCATGCGAGGCGACAACTCCTCCTGTTTGGCGACGACGACAACTCCTCGCGTGGCGGGAAGGAAAGGGAGCGAATAGCATCTCCTTCTTGGTGTTGGATGAATTCATTGATCAGCAGGGGAAGAACCACGACAACTGCTCGGCCAGTTTGTAGATGTCCCAGAGATGTCCCCGTAATGACGCTTTTACGGGAAAAGATGGCAAAGCATCCGCGTTGCTGAACGTGGGAGCTTCCCAGAAATCCACCGACGTCATAGCTGCACGTGCCAGATCAAACTAGCGCGGATCCGGCCAGGAAGACCCGGCGGCCTGTAGGTCCTTTTGAAATGCCATCGGGTAACTAAAGTATGCACATGCGGAGACAACTCCTCACATCACTCTTTGAGGCGTTGCGCAGCTCTACGCAGCTCTCTACGCGAGGGACAACTCCTCGTTCCACAACAACAGCGCAATGCCGAGAGGCAAATCCCTCCTGTTGTCGCGCTATTAAGCTGACAATCAACGAATCGTTGTGAAGTACTAGTAATCTACGACTAATGTGCGACGACAAATCCTGATGGCCAGAAGTAAATCTTCAAACGAAGAAACAGTCCGTCGTCACATCAAGAAGCAGTGGTTGACAGTTCCTGTCAGATCACTTCTTGTCCGATCAATCACGTACATACGGTCATGATCTGGTCGACGCTGGTCCAGAGGATACCACCAGCACAATGGCTCAGTGGTACAGCGTCCGATGCTTGCATGGGAGTTGAGGGTTCAATTCCCTCTTGTGCTACACGGGCACCTGGAGCCTCTGTGGCCAGAGCAGCGCACACTGCTAATGCGCATTCATTGTGAATTGCTCTCGCCACGGAGGCTTCCAGGGGCCCCACTTTTTTAATCGGGCAAACTGGATTTGACTCCCGCCCATTTTTGTTCATTTCTTTCTGCGCTCGCATCCTGTACAGCCTAAACTATGATAGCCAATGCTGGATCAAGTAATTCTTCCTGGAATGGCAAGAGTTTGGACAAAAAGTAAAGATGGCACCCAATTTGAGACCCGAACCATCGGGGTTTTAGGCAAATTTTCATTTGTTCACTACACAATCTAGGATATGATTGCCATAATCAATTGCCAAGGCAGACAAGCTTCCCAGTTTCACGCGAGGAGTTGTCTGCCGATGTCGCACCCAGGCCATCAGCGACAAGAAACAAAGATAGCACCCAATTTCAGACCCGAACCATCGGGGTTTTAGGCAAATTCTCATTTGTTCACTACACAATCTAGGATATGATTGCCATGATCAATTGCCAAGGCGGATAAGCTTGCCAAGTTTCAGGCCACGCGAGGAGTTGTCTGCGAGTCTCCCGATTTCGGACCCAGGCCATCAGCGACACGGAACAATTAGGCAATAATCATAGTGAATCGCTCTGAGAAAAGGCCAGTACATCGTCCCAATGGCTGGAAAGTAAGCCAGGCAGAGCAGGCATTCCCCAGCTCCATCCTCCACAAGATGCGTACAGCATGGCAAGAGCATCCGCATCAAGCCGACCATCGCGGCACATCGGCCGCATCACGCCAACGTGGCATATCTGCATACCCGAGCATAGCCGCCCATCCAATGAGCCGCGCCGGGCGCCAAGCCGCTGAGATGGCCAGGGTGGTTGGCGCACACTCACTCTTTCCGGCCGGCGTGACCCAACCCAACCATCATTTGGTACGACCATCATTTGGTACGACCATCATTTGGTAGGACCATCATTTGGTGCGTCGAGAGGGGGGGGGGGTCGAAGCAAATCACCTATCAGGGATCAAGAGATCCTGTCAGATGACGACCTAAATGGGGAGTGATGGACGCGCCATGTGGTGTGAAGTCGTAGCCAGCGGGGTGGCTAGTGCCATGGCTGGTATGTTGCCGTCCCGTTGGCTACTGCCATTGCCATTATGATAATGTTTAGCGTGGCGGCTCCACAATGACACGTTTGGAGTCGATTGTCACGGTGGGTATGAAAAGCAACGGCCGAACGGGGGGGATTGTAGTAAGAGCTGAGTGAACGCAGACATGTATCCCGCGGAGACAGTAGCCAAAGGACGTGCCGGCAAGAAAGGGGAACGCGGGCCAGCTCCCCGAGCAGGCGGTTGATGCCCACCTTGAGGGGTCCGGGCCGGGAGGGAACGTGACGCAGGTGGCCGGGCAACCAGGTGCCGGATGATAACTTTCCCTCGGCCCATCCATCTCGTCACGCGGGGTGGACCATCGAAATTGATGGCCAAGGAGGGTGGGCGGTTGACTCGGAAAAGGGTAGGACGCAGAGCAGGCCGGCTGGCCGCTCGCCAGATGATGGTGGTATGTTTGGGAAAGGATAGGCCGAGCTTGAAGGATGTGATGGCCAATATTATCGCAGGGGATGATGGCAGCATGCAGCAAGGCCGGACCAGGAATATGACGCCCGGCATTAACAGGCTGAGCGTGTTCGCCGTGAGGGGAGAGTTGTCGCGAAGGGTGTAGCTCGGTGATGGTCAGACTCGGAAGGTTGTTCGGCGTGTTGGCCGGAAGTCCATGGTCAACGCGAGGAAGTGAGGGCCGGCCGGGAGGCAGGAGATGATGGCGGGACATGAAAGAGAAGTGTGGCCGTGTGTACACCACACAGCCGAGAACTTTGCAGGCCGGGGCGGCATGCGCGCCTCCGGCGGCAAGGCCCTGCAAAAAAGTGAGCCTTGAATCAGAAAAAAGCGGGTCAGAATGCTCACCAAAATACCATCAAATCGTGATGATGGCATCAACCCGTGGTCAACTGGCAGGGCAGGGGGGCCTGTGAGGAAACCACACAGCCGAAAGCTTTGAAGTCCAGGGCGGCTTGTGCGCCTCCGGTGGCAAAACCCTGTGAAAAAAGTGAGCCTTGAATGCTGGAAAAAGTCAGCCAGAATGCTCACCAGAATACCATCAATATTTGATGATGGGATCAGCGGCGGCCGATGCCGGGCTCGGCAGAATCCAAATATGGAAATAACCTGCACCGAGGAAGTGGAGGTGGGAGACAAGGAATGTGGGAGCACAAGCTCCAGCATCCGATGAAACTGAACATGCCTCCGGCAGGTCAAAACCTGAACAAAAAAGTCAATTATTTTTCACGTTTTCGGCGGGGATCGAACTGCTTACGTAATGCAGACAGTGTCGGTACAATCAGCGTGGAACAGCGAGGGATGCTAGGCAAAAAGCCCCAGCATCCGAGGTGGTTGCGGTAGGGGACAGGATGTGCCTCCGGCGGGTCAAAATCCTGGAAAAAAAGTCAGTTAATTATTATGTTTTGTTTGGGAGTCGAACCGCTTACGTAATGGGCTTGAGGTCTCCAAATCAAGCGGTCAAGTCGGCAGGCAACTGCGAGCTGTGCTGAGGCAAAATCCTCAGCATCTGACAACGCTGTGCGAGAGGCGCTATGTGCCTCTGGCGGGTCAAAAATCCTGAAAAAAAGTCAGTTATTACTCGTCCTAGGGTGGGGCTCGAACTGCTTACGTAATCGTCTGGCGATCCCTAAATTTCGCCAAGGCAGCCGGCAAATTTGTTGGCATGGCGGAGCGTTGAGACGCAGGCAACAGCGGTATTGGGGACGGACAGAGCTACGAGTGGTGAGCTGCTGAGAGCATACAGCAGTGAAGATC